TGGGTAAGTTAGGTCATTTAGTCCTAAATTCCACATTAAATTGGGGTGGTTTTTTTTGTGTGTCTCCGTAGGCCCGATTGGTTTAATGAGTCGGTGGGAATATCAAATGGTATACTCTTGTAATAAGAATACTCTTAAAGAAATAAGAGGCCACCAGCGCCCTCGAATAGGACGATGGGAAGGACCAAAAAGCTCGTCTAGGCTCGGGTGTCTCCTAAAACAAAATGGCGGACACAAATTTCGTATGGTCAGCACAATTTTCTTCTGCAGCTAAGTATTGTCACCTTAATTAATACTCACTAGAGAAACATTTTACATGACTTAAGTACTGATTATGATTTTAGATGACTTCATAATGTTTAGATTCGCAGCAGAGGTTCAAACTACGCCGTGGCCATGTGGGTATTGTTTTATATATAAAGTAGATGCTATAGGTTCGAATCTATTTCCATTTTCTAAAGGAAAGGGGACTTTTTGGGGGCAAACTTGTTGAATATAAGTCATAGTTTACGATGGAAATAAACTTCACTATACAGGGTGAGTAAAAAACAACGAAACCCAAATGTTGGGACCATTGTTTTAGGGATGTTCTGCATGTAGAACATTTAAAATCTAGGATATGAAAGTTCAATTCATAAGCTTTCTTTTAGTACAAGAATCATTCAAATCACTCATGTATTTTTCAAATTACGGAGTTTTAAACACAACCACCATTTAAAGGTTCTGACCACGGATCACAAAAAAGTTCAGTGTTCTTTCAGGCGAAAGGAAATCACATAGGGATGTGTGTGAATTGTTTTCGTTTTGCCGAAAGAACGCACACATTTACTATCCAACAAGATTTGAAATGGGATGGGCAAAAACTATACACTATAATCACTAAATCCAGCAGAAAATTGTTCATGTTTCGAAACTTAAAAAAAGCTGGTCTTAATGCCCAAGAACTGTTAACGGTATACAAAGGGTACATTTGACCGCTTGTTGAGTATGTAGCTTCACTCTGGAATGGAGGCCTTACCCAGGGCCAGGTATCTCGGGTTGAAAAGATTCAGAAAAGAGTAAGCCGCTGTATCCTCTCTTAAAATAGAGTGGTCTTTTTCCAAAATCTAAAATAAGTGTGATTTGCTTTCCAAATTTTCTTTTTCTATAATGCTTCACACTCAATGACACTTTGTAGTCTTTTCCGCTTTTACGCTCATTACTGCTATAGCTCACGCCATAACAGTGGACGCTGATTTTGAGGGCAGCTTTTCCAGAGAGTTGTTACAGAAATTCCTCTTATTTTAAAACTGCAAAAAAATTAACAAACTTTGTGGAGTTAAAACCCCTCACCGACACTTGAATCTTTGAAAGCTAGACTTTTTTCTCCTAATCCCATTGTACAGGATGACAGCCATCGGTCCCATCCTGAAAACAAAAATTTATATATAGACTTGTTGCTTGACAATTTTAAGTATAACGTTACGTACAAATCGTTGTTTCCACGATCAAGAGAATGATTTTTAACTGTAGCTCGTGAAATTGAACCAAGGATGGGTAAATGTGAGCAGCGGCGGCGGAACGGGTTTGAAACTGGGGGGGGGGGGGGGGGGGGGGGGGGCAGCACCCAAAAGGGGCACTTGCAAACCAAAAGGGGCACTTGCAAAACCGTGCTGAAATGTCGCCACGTTTTTTTCACCGGACACTTGGCCTCCGTAAAATCAAATAGTGGGTGGGGGGGGGGGGGGCCTTGTACCTATTTCCAACATAGGGGGCGCTCTTCAAAACCAATGATTATGCTAAACATACATTATGTGCCCATTTTCAGGGCGTCTTGTATGGGTTTTGGGACTTGGTTTTCATATTCTTCGTTTATATCAAAAATATCTCTACCATTATTGGGAAATGGTTACTTCTAAGAAATACTAAGATACTTTAAGGACATTTTTAAATTTATCTCGAGGGGGCACATTTATGGCCGCAAAAGGGGCACTTTAAAAAATCTGGGGGGAAAACGCCCCCCAGCCCCCCCCCCCCCCCCCCCCGGTTCCGCCGCCCCTGAATGTGAGGTATCCAATCGATAGAGATAAATCGAACCCGTGACAATTTGTTTTTCGGTTTTTTTTCTCTAAGCCTAAAATTTCGCTTGCTTAGAATGTTTATTTTAGAGAACTGTTCTGGTTTCCTTAAGGACAGTGTTGTGTTTTCCTTTTTTTGTCATTGTGCTTGTGCTTTATAATTTCTTTGTTCAAGGAGGAAACGTGGACGGAATGCAATGTTAAGTACACATTTCAAACTGTTGAAAGAGCATGGAGCGCAGCATCATGCATGGACAATTCTTCTGTTCTCGACGTAACCACCAGCAATGAACTGTCTTTCATTCGGAAAAACCTCGATTCGCACCACAGCTGTAAAACATGGATAGGTCGTGTGGACGCTATAGAGGTAAACATGGATAGATGGTTTAACAATAAATTTAAACTTGAGTGTCAGAATTAATCCAGACTATTGAAGACAATAGTTTATACACTCGTCATTTGCTACCTTGTGTCTGTGCACAGTGGTGTTTCAACGCAAAGAACATGTCAATATTATTTGAACCAGAGGCGTCACTAGGGGGTTAGGGTATCAACCCGTCATCAACCCCCCCCCCCCCCACCCCCCCCCATCCCCCCACCCCCCCCCCCCCCCTTGTTCATTTATGTTAGCAAAATCGTCCTTTCGGTAAAATTGTTTGTCCGTATTGTCAACTTAGAATAGCGCGCCACTGATAATAGGCGGCGCCAATTATACATTTTGTTGGGGGGGGTGCAGTAGGGGGAAAGGAAATATGTTTAGGGGCGTTCAAACTAATATTGGATTCGCAAAAGCTAAGGCGTAAGTAATGCAATTAATAGCAGGAAGGATCTTGCGGCTAATTTGATGACACACACATAAACCCTATTCAAGTTGTCTGGCGACGCCTGTGGTTTGATCATTTTTGTCATAGGGCACACAAAGGCCTATTTACTTATAAATACTAAGTATACTTTCCAGTTAAGGAAAGTACTAAAAAGGAAAAAAAAATTCAGAACGTAATTAGGCTCAACTTTTAATTCCAAACTTTCCCCAATTGAGATTTGTTGCGGTGTTTATTCGAGAATAATGTCATTCACCCATAGACCTTACACGTTGAGGAGGATTTAGAGGTCAACGGTTTTACCTGGCTCGAACAGGCATGAGTAAACCTTTTATACATTCATCGTTACATTGTTTAGTTAATCAATTTGATTTACAAAGAACAACCTCCCGGATACCTTTAACGCACAAGGTCTTTTTCAGGTTTGTAAATGAGTCACAATATTCCGCCTGATTTTCATTAGTTGCATGTATAGATTTAGAGGCGCAACAACAAAAATATGAAGAATGCATTTTTTCCTCGTTTTTTATAAATTTTCTTTAAAGAAATCAAGGATGGTAATTATTTAAGAAAATCTGCTCAGTCATATAAAAGAAAAGAAGAAGAGATTAGAAACATACCTGACCGTAACATTTTAGCTTGCCACTTCCGAAATTGAATGGCCAAAGCATATAAATAAATGATTAAAAAACGAATTTGCAATCTCAATTCAACGCCAATCTCCACAGGAGACGAAATTCCCGAAACCTGGACGAATCAGAATGATAGATTCGCGAATCACACTGGACTAAATATGAAATCTATTGGTGTAAATTCGAAATCGGAATTACCAAAGGAGTCCATTATACAGCGACGTTCTGGGAGGAAATTGAAGTATCTTTCGATGGAATTCGAATGATACAAGTGTTACAATATAACTGTGAAAACCTATAGGGCCTAGGCCCTAAACTAAAAAAAAAATTAAAAAAATCCGGTATCACATGCGAGGTTAGTTTTTCAGAAGTGACTTTAAAAGGACCAAAGGACGTGAGAATGAAGTGAAATGGTGTATATCTAACAAAACGTATTGCATATAGAAACACTATATTGGGTTGTGAGTATATTTACTTACCTTGTTTTAAAGCAAAACTTCTATCAAATGTTTTACAAAGTGATTGTTATGTAAAACATCACAAAGGTCCAGTAAAATGGCAACGGATAAATGCGATAACAACCCAGGCACAATAGTCCCTTCTGCTTTTTTGGATACCTGCATAATCGGCGTGAATGCTTTACGTGTACACTAATTTAATTCATGGTCGGTATTCTCAAAGCAAATTGAGCTGATAATAATATTGTTGTACAATTGTGAAGTCTTCAAAAAGGTATTCTGAACTTAAATATATGGCGTTATAAGACTGATATACGATGAAGTGTTACTGGTACGAAAAAAAGTTTTATTTCTGAGAATCGCCTAACACCATACTTCGGCTTTTTTCAGGGACTTTCAGAAACTATCAACAGTGGTAAGTACATTTTATTTTAATTTCAATTTAATTCATGATAAATATACTTGTACTCGGATATGGTCCGGCCGTAAGAAAGCGCACATAATGTAAAAAAACAACCCACAAAATTTTGCAAAATACTGCGTGACGAGGAGGGTTTTTTTTTTCTTAAATCAAACATAATTTTGAAAGACAAAAGGGGCCATTGCATGTCAAATTCAAATAGGATCGCATTTTGATAAACCACTTTATATCGTGCATGCATGTAGTAAATGATTTGTTTACGTAAATGGTTTACATTTTGCCTGTAAAACTTGCATGATGGCATTTTGTCCCCCCGGCCTGAAGTGCCTTTGTTCACGAAGCACAGATCAAAAATATATCAGTAAACAAATGTTCATAATTACACACTTGACGTGGAAAAACCAATTACCAACTTCCCTTCTGTTTTGTATTAAAAAGAAAAGAGGTATACACCATAGCCCCCTAATTTCCATGTAATAGTATCAATATAACACATTGATTCAATGTTGTGATAAAACCTATCTAAAAAAAATAAGGTTTGCTGATAATACTCTGATAGGGATTTGCATTACATTTTATAAGCAGGAAATGACAACAAACAATGTGTTGCAATGCATAACGGCCAGTTGCACGCAGACCAGTGTAGCCATACTCATTACTTCATTTGTAAAAGAGGTGAGATATCATTTTCACAAGGTTTTGAAAAACTTTGATTATGCTGTATAAAAATAGTTAATATTGTTTGAGTTCAGCTTTTCAACATACCGAGGACCAATACATGCTCACTCTTAAAACTCATTGGATATGGAAACGATATACTTGTATATATAATAGGAACATGAGAACTACATGCACAACTTTGTTAAAGAAATTGATGATTTTAAATGCAGGATCAATGGTTTCCGTCCGGCATATAGGCTTATTTATTTTTTATTTCAGATAAAGATTATTTTGTTTAACCTGCAAAATATATACAGTTCATTTTAAGCAACTCGTTCAACATAATTTAGATGTCGCGAAACTGTTGATTTATAACCTAAGCAAATCCACATTTTTCATTCGATGGATGTGTTTTATTTCTGTCGAGGATGTTGAACCACGGCTACGCCAACCACATTTTTGATATGACTTTCTTTGGTCATTGCAATGATTTCTTATTTCTTCGTTGTTCTCTGAAGCTCTCACAGACACTAATGTGGGTTCAACTCCGCCTAGTCCAATCTGGCCAACATCAGCTACTTCGAACCCGAGCGACGCAGATAGTGGCACAAGTTCATCACCCAACTCACTGATGGCAACTTCAACAAGCTTGGCAAGCACCGTTCCCAATCGCAGCCCGTCGACAACGCCTTCAGTGTCGTCAACTGAGGTACTCTGTTCAACACTCTCTCCTTTCCATTTCGAGTGCCGTCGCTATTTGGAATCAGAAAAAGTACAAATGGTTGACATTGTTATATAAAGCAGAAACATGAACCAAAAACTGAATATCATTAAGAAAAAACTAGCAAAAAACATATCCCCCAAAATGCATGAATAAAAAAAAATCGTGGCTTACACAACTTACACAACGAGGAGGCGTCATCAGCTACTCAACATATCTCAACATCTGTATCCCCTTCTACTGAGACACTCATTGAGATTACCACTGCATCTACCACAGTACACAAGGTATGTAGCAAACATCACTTCGATCCTAGTGTCATCATCGTTTTTAACATAATGCTTGCGAAACTAACAGTCAGGTCTGATCCCAGTATAATCTTTCTTAGATGCCACGTTGTATTTGAGAAAACAATAAAAAATGGATCTAAAGGGATGCCGTCCTTAATTGTAAAATTAATACAGTTAAAGAATTTTCAGTCAGTAATCAGTTTGCAGCTGTTTTAATACCTCTGCAATATTTTGTATCTGCAGATATATAGACATGTAGAATATGCGATATTCTACATGTCTATACACCTGCAGATTTATAGCTATATTGCGTTCTTCTTTTCACCACTAAAGGTTTACTTCCAATCGTTTGTTAAATCAATAAAAGGTTATACCAAAAGCCAGAATTTGAAATGCAGCTTAAACAACTGAATTTGTTGAAAATAACAAAAACACTTTCACGATTTTGCCGTAAAACTCGAAGACAAGAATACAAACCACCAATGGTCCACCAATGCAACATCAGGTTTTTACTGCAATTCGTCTATTAACAAAAAGCTGTCTGGTGCTCTGGTTGACCAATGTTTTCGTGATAGTGACGTCTCGTTATTATAATAATTTTAATAATAACGGCTTTTTATATAGCGCTTTTAACTAAGATGAAATCGTTTAATTCACATTAGTATTAAAACCCCTGATAATTGGGCCAATTCTGTGAAGGATTAGTTGATGGTACCCTGTGAAGGTTATTTTGTGTTCAGGCACTCTTCGCAGACGATGCTAAATGCACTAGACGAACTTTCATCTGAATGTTTACAAACACTGTTTATGTTGGTATAAGCATACTCTCTCAAATAAAAAATGCAAGAAAATCATTTTGTTGGCCATGTAACTGCATCCGCCATTATCCCATACAGCACTCACGCTGCAGTAATCTCTCGAATCAGTAAGATCAGAATAACACACTAAATCTCAAAATCAAATGTTTAAAGTTGTATTTATTTATTTACACAAGTCAACAAAACTAGTGTTATTTGGAACATCTAGTACTCTCCCACTTGTTTTAAGTATTGTCAATTGTTCAGACGGGTCATATGTTCATTGATTTTACAGCTACGCTGGACATCTACTAGCTACCCATCCACAAATCCCCAGCAAAGCCAAGTGACAACCGGCATCCCGTCTGCAACTTCTTCACTGGTGTCCACTAAGGAGACACCAAATCCGTACTCAACTGCATCCACGGCTAGCTCAACATCAAGCCCAATCAGCCCATCAAAAGAACCTCTGACAACCACCGCGACCACCCCTAACCCGTCAAGATCCACTACCCCTGTCAACACCATCGACACAAGTCCATCTTCGACTACAACAAGAAGCTCATCAACCATCTCACCCACATCTCAGCAATCAAGCACTGGAGCTATTCCTATCACCTCCGAATTACCTTCGCCTGCAACTACCGATGAGGTTGGGCTTACCGTGTCATCTACACCCCAGACAAGCTACGGTCCCACACTTATCAAGACCACACCAAGATCTACTACTGGTATAGCTTCAACTCTAACCAACCAGTGGACATCTAGCCCAGCAGACGAGAAGACATCATCAGCTACTCAACATATCTCGACATCTTTACCCCCTTCTACTGAGACACTCATTGAGAGTACCACTGCATCTACTACAGTACCCAAGGTATGTAGCAAACATCACTTCGATCGAAGTGTCATCATCGCTTTTAAAATAATGCTTGCGAAACTAACACTTAGGTCTGATCCCAGTATAATCTCTCTTAGATGCCACGTTGTATTTGAGAAAACAATAAAAATGGATCTAAAGGGATGCCGTCCTTAATTGTAAAATTAATACAGTTAAAGAATTTTCAGTCAGTAATCAGTTTGCAGCTGTTTTAATACCTCTGCAATATTTTGTATCTGCAGATATATAGACATGTAGAATATGCGATATTCTACATGTCTATATATCTGCAGATTTATAGCTATATTGCATTCTTCTTTTCACCAATAAAGGTTACTTCCAATCGTTTGTTAAATCAATAAAAGGTTATACCAAAAGCCAGAATTTGAAATGCAGCTTAAACAACTGAATTTGTTGAAAATAACAAAAACACTCTCACGTTTTTGTCGTAAAACTCGAAGACAAGAATACAAACCACCAATGGTCCACCAATGCAGCTTCAGGTTTTTACTGCAATATTCGTCTATTAACAAAAAGCTGTCTGGTGCTCTGTTTGACCAATGTTTTCGTGATAGTGACGTCTCGTTATTATAATAATATTAATAATAACGGCTTTTTATATAGCGCTTTTAACTACGATGAAATCGTTTAATTCACATTAGTATTAAAACCCCTGATAATTGGGCCAATTCTGTGAAGGATTAGTTGATGGTACCCTGTGAAGGTTATTTTGTGTTCAGGCACTCTTCGCATACGATGCTAAATGCACTAGACGAACTTTCATCTGAATGTTTACAAACACTGTTTATGTTGGTATAAGCATACTCTCTCAAATAAAAAATGCAAGAAAATCATTTTGTTGGCCATGTAACTGCATCCGCCATTATCCCATACAGCACTCACGCTGCAGTAATTTCTCGAATCAGTAAGATCAGAATAACACCCTAAATCTTAAAATCAAATGTTTAAAGTTGTATTTATTTATTTACACAAGTCAACAAAACTAGTGTTATTTGGAACATCTATGTACTCTCCCACTTGTTTTAAGTATTGTCAATTGTTCAGACGGGTCATGTGTTCATTGATTTTACAGCTACCCTGGACATCTACTAGCTACCTATCCACAAATCCCCAGCAAAGCCAAGTGACAACCAGCATCCTGTTTGCAACTTCTCCACTGGTGTCTACTAAGGAGACAACAAATCCGTACTCAACTGCATCCACGGCTAGCTCAACATCAAGCCCAATCAGCCCATCAAAAGAACCTCTGACAACCACCGCGACCACCCCTAACCCGTCAAGATCCACTACCCCTGTCAACACCATCGACACAAGTCCATCTTCGACTACAACAAGAAGCTCATCAACCATCTCACCCACATCACAGCAATCAAGCACTGGAGCCATCCCTATCACCTCCGAATTACCTTCGCCTGCAACTACCGATGAGGTTGGGCCTACCGTGTCATCTACACCCCAGACAAGCTATTGGCCCACACTTATCAAGACCACACCAAGATCTACTACTGGTATAGCTTCAACTCTAACCAACCAGTGGACATCTAGCCCAGCCGACGAGAAGACATCATCAGCTACTCAACATATCTCGACATCTTTACCCCCTTCTACTGAGACACTCATTGAGAGTACCACTGCATCTACTACAGTACCCAAGGTATGTAGCAAACATCACTTCGATCGAAGTGTCATCATCGCTTTTAAAATAATGCTTGCGAAACTAACACTTAGGTCTGATCCCAGTATAATCTCTCTTAGATGCCACGTTGTATTTGAGAAAACAATAAAAATGGATCTAAAGGGATGCCGTCCTTAATTGTAAAATTAATACAGTTAAAGAATTTTCAGTCAGTAATCAGTTTGCAGCTGTTTTAATACCTCTGCAATATTTTGTATCTGCAGATATATATACATGTAGAATATGCGATATTCTACATGTCTATATATCTGCAGATTTATAGCTATATTGCGTTCTTCTTTTCACCAATAAAGGTTACTTCCAATCGTTTGTTAAATCAATAAAAGGCTATACCAAAAGCCAGAATTTGAAATGCAGCTTAAACAACTGAATTTGTTGAAAATAACAAAAACACTTTCACGTTTTTGTCGTAAAACTCGAAGACAAGAATACAAACCACCTAAGGTCCACCAGTGCAGCCTCCGGTTTTTACTGCAATTCGTCTATTTAAAAAAAAGCTGTCTGGTGCTCTGGTTGACCAATGTTTTTGTGATAGTGACGTCTCGTTATTATAATAATACTAATAATAACGGCTTTTTATATTGCGTTTTTAACTATTAGATGAAATTGTTTCACATTAGTATTAAAATCCCTGATAATTGAGCCAATTAAACATTCCAAATACCATCTCAGCTCCCTTGAGAGTATACAGCTCGATGCTGCATGTTAGGCGCAAGGAAGCTAATTTAATCACAATGGCCATCTCTACCCTCACAGGTCGTGACCCGTTTTACTCCTGGGTGGGGAGAAGCAATGAGTGACAAAGTGCCTTGCCGAAGAGCACACTACCATAACCCCAGGCTGGACTCGAACCCACAACCAACAGAATTACCCGCAGACCAGGAATTCCATGGCCCAGACCACAAGGCCACGGCACTCCACACGAGCTCAAACTTAACCGTTACTCTAGATTCCCCCACTCCTGCAATGAGCTTAAACTAAATGGCCACTTGTCTGAAGACATTCACACTCTTTGTTTTTCAGAGGAACGACCACAAAGCACTGCGGGAAGCCAACAGGAAGATCGACAGGCGATCCAGGGAGCTAATCGGGAAGTGTAGCAACGAGAATTCCATAGAAACGATGGGGAATCTGTCCCAGTCTGGTAAGCACTGTCATTTTGCTCTTCTCTTTAAAAACACTTTCGCCGGTCGAATAGTTGTAGGCCAACTGTAACTTTGTTATTCACCGCTGTACGTATTTCGGTTTTACATGGGGCGGATGTAGGCTTTATAGGTGTAGCTGTGGGGGGAGCGGGGGGTGGTGGAGGGGGTTATGCCTTTTTATGCCTGATTTTCCCCTTTTTTGCTGCCCAAGAGGAGGGGTTTAAACCCACTAAACCTCCCCTGTTGATCCGCTACAGTTACGCTGCATGGTCAAGATATTTCTCTTTTGCCTTGCTTAGTTTCTTCCAAAGCACAATCCATCCTAGCTCTAAAAATATCCCATTCAGCTTACCACATGAACCAATTAACATGATTAAATAACCACTAAAACCAACCGACCGACCAACAACCAAACAAGCAAGCAAGCAAGCAAGCATTCAAAAAAGTTGTAGACTGGTCAGTCACAAGACAATCATAAGGCCCGCTGCAATTGACAATATCATTCCTTAAAACTTGATAACTTGTGATTGATTGATGATGGATTGCCGATGACTTGTCAACACTCGGGTATCGTGTCTGATTCTAGGCACTGTACACCAAAACTAACCCCAAATTTGACAATAGAACTACAAACCAATCGTTTCCTAAATTGAATACATCGTATAAGAAATCACCTTCCTCCCCCCCCCAAAAAAAAACTTGAACAAACCAAAATCCCCTCTAAAAAAATTATTACAAAGGGCAAATTTACCCACAAACAACAAAGCAAACACCCCCTTGATTAAAGACATTTTAAAAATTAGTTGAAGCTGAAGTACACACGACGGTTTATCACTAGCGTGTGGTATAGTGACAACGGCATGATAACTCGAACTTATTCAGTATTACCGTGTATGTTGTGTCTATGTTAGGCCAAAAAAATAATAAGTCGGTCTCTGGTCAGCGCGCGCGTCGATTTTAATCATGCGCGTCAATATTTTTTTTCCAAAATGTTCCGCGGTAGCTCCAACAGCGCCCTCTATTGCCGCACCTCCTCAATTTTTTTTCTACCAAAGAGCACTAAGGATGGGGAAATTGCACCAAGGCAAATGATCGAGAGCACCAAGGCAAATTATGGAGGACACCAATGTACACGAGGACACCCAAAAAGCTAAATAGTACCCCACCTTGTCTGTAAAATCCAAGCTTGAAGAAAAAAAAAAAAAAAGCAAAAAAAAAAAAAAAAAAAAAGCCGCGTCGCCGCGTCAATTCCAGAACTTTGATCTGACCAGAGACCGAATATTTTTTTTGTTTGGCCTTAATAGAGATCATCAATCAAACACCGCCTGCTAATGGCCACAGAGTAATTTTTCCCTTTCAGACATTCCCATGGCCAGTGATGTAGTGCCTTGATGCTGGGCCTTGGCCTTAAGGCTGCCTTAAGGCTGGATTTTAGGGCCTTGGCCTTGGCCTCGAGGCTTGAGGGCAAAAGCCTTGGCCTTGGCCTTGGCCTTGAGGGTTCAGGGCCTTGCAATTTTGAGTCAAGGCTCTTCAAGGCCCATAGATTTTTGCATTTTCCAGATAAATGTTACCATTTTAATCGTATTACCATGGAGGAGGGAAGCACCCTATAGATTTGTGTGTTGGGCACACTTCCACTTTTATAGCATCATATTTTGTTACCAATGTAGTAGATTTGCTGCAAAAATATTCCATACACTTGTGGGGCTAATGAGATGATCACTTTAATTGCATATAACTATGGAATAGATCTGATTGGTTGTATATGTCTCCCTGATAAGTGCTAAAGATTTGCATGTATCTGTTTTAGATAATGCTGATATTTCTGACCATGTTGGGCCAGCAAATAAAAATTTCCCAAATCAGTTTCTTGGATCCCCCTTTTGTTACACTTGGGAGAATTGTGTGTCAATATAGAAGTAAATCATTATTTGTTTAGTTAAACCATATTGAAGACCTGAACTTATACTTTAATAGATACAGTGCAGTCATAAAACGGTGTACATGTAGGCCTAAGCGAGCATGTTGATTGCAATTAGAGAAATGTTGTTCTTCGTAACGAGCAATTCGTGATGATAAGGGCGGATCCAAGGGGGTCAAAAGGGGCCATGCCCCCCCCCCAAAAAACGAAACCATTTTTTTTATGTGACGTTGTAATAAAGGCAGGCAATGAGTACACCATCATCTTTTCCTCAAAAAACATCGGTTAAAATGGTCAGAAATTGCCTCAAATTGTACCACAGAGCATCTTGAATCCAAAAATTTTTCCGAAGCCCCAGCCGTAATTTTTGACCCACTTTTTTTTTTTTGGGGGGGGACCAAATTCCCCCCCCCCCCAAATTGTGTTCTGGATCCGCCCGCGCCCTTGCGTGATGATGTGTCACTCATGTGACTATAATTAGTTCTATATCAGTGGTCATTTCATAAAACAGGGCCTTGGCCTTGGCCTTGGCCTTGAGGGTTAAGCCTTGGCCTTGGCCTCGAGGCTTGAGGGTCAAAGCCTTGGCCTTGGCCTTGGCCTTGAGGGTCAAAGCCTTTGCTCCAACACTGCCCATGGCCATCTGTTAATTACATCATTTATTTATTGGACTTGTAGAGATCCTGTTATGTTTATTATGACTATATATCAATACATGCTTTTAATTTTCATTTCCTATTAAACGAGTAAATACAGGTAAACATTAGAAAAAAATGGCTGGGAAAACTTTGAGTGAGTGATTAACCAAGGCAAGACGCCCCAGCCCTATTTCAGACGTCTTTGTTTATCATTCAAAAAAAACCAAAAGATACAATAAAACGTTCTTATTAAATCTAAAAGCGCGTTTGTACTTATTCGGTTATGTTGGTGAGGCTACAGGTTCTTGATTGTCGTAGCTAGCTAAACGACTTTTTGACTCGAGTCAAAATTCTGAAATTAATGAAGGCGTCAATCCCATACAAAGAGCTGCGAGTTGTAAAGTGCTTACCGGGCATAATGGAAAATAAACGAGACAGATGTGTTTTTGTTATTCTATAACATCTACCGTGTATAATTTAGTTGCGTACATCAAAATGAGAGCTGCTCTTTTGCATGTGGACTTGTGGCCTCCTGCGGTGTTTGAATCATTCATTGGATTAATAATTCTAAGGGGTTTTCAGCGGAGGGAAAAATTAGCAGTATTTTCAATAAATTGTAATATCAGAAAGCAAGTGCAATTTCAAAAAGCAATATTTCTACACCTATTCAGCCATTTACCGACTTTCAAAATACCGATCCTGAATAGAAAAAGAAAAATATATAAGGTATATTTTCAGTCAGCCAGTACATCTAACTCTTGATTTTTTTTCTAGCAAAGAAAAAAAAACTAGCAAGCAGAGTAGAGGATTATGTTAATCCCGAAAACATGGAGGCAATGCGCTGGTTTTTAAATGTTTCGCTTTCTTTTAACAAGAACATTGAAAGTTGAGGATTATATCAGCAGCGCGGAGATCTTGCGCTAGTTTTCATACAATGTTTATATCACACTCTATTTTATATATCTCATGAATCTGCAGAAAAAAAGGAAGGTAGAGGATTTTCTTAAATGCAAGAGAACATGGATATAATAGATGTACTGTGTTTGTTCTTTTTACACTCGGGCGTTCAGAAGAGGGTGTGTCTTTCACGACTAAAACTCCCCATGTATTTTTTTGATGTACATTATTTCAAACATAATTACATATTGTTTCGGTTTGCGGTAACACCCATGTGGTAATAACTACTGCTCAATGATGTTTAGTTCTGAAAAGAACTTGTCTGCTGATTATCAACTTTTGCTATGTAGTTTTAGTTCTGATGATAACAGTCTCCTGAGTCCTGACCATGACTAGAGCAGGGTAGTCGAAACGTTGAGATCAAAGACAAGTTCATTTAGAACTATAGGACTGTTCTTATCAGAATAAAACTGCTTAGCTAGTTCTTTCCAGAACTAAATATCTACTGAGCAGTATAGTTATTACCACATGGTGTTACCGCAAACCTAAACGACACCGATACTCACCATGCAAAGCCTCAAATCTGTACTAATTATATAATCTCCAGAATTTGTCAGTGTTTGCCACATTCACGTGACTGATCTTTAGCCCACGTTAGTGGACCACAGTTAAACTTGCCTAGTTGACTTTTCGTGACCAGCTTACCAATGTATCTGGCGCTTCACAATAACAAACAGGGAGCCAAGAAATTGCACGGTGACGGTCGTCATTTGACTATGGACAGTTTCGTATGTTACTAAATAATGCGCATGCGTAAGTCACGACACAAGTCTACCACTAGTTATCACCATGGGCTCCGTGCGCCAACGAAAGAGGGCGCCCTCTTAACTATAGCAACGACGTCCCATGGGCGGGACATTTTAGCTGGTTGACGCGCACCGTTCCTTGTGTGTGACGCACGTACACAATTGTACAATGAACGCGCAGTGGTACGTACGGCCGCGCGTCGCGGCAAAATATTGCAGTCAGGCAAGATGGCGTCGGTCGGTCACCCCCAACTGTGCTTTCTTTGCCGATGAGGGGGTACTTGTGAACGGAGCAGATAACCACGATCGAACTTGTTCTTGTATTTTTGGTTCGTTGCAGAGTCGCTCGACTGCTCTGTTTGTGCCACAAATGTCACAGGGACACCAAGTACAAACGAGCGTCGGGCCAGCTTTGGCCTTCCAGGAGCTGCGCTGTCGCTACCCTGCCGTGCCTTGGCAGGCAAAACAGGTACAATTAGCCATTTGATTCAAACCGTAAGCCTATCACTATTTCTGATATGAATTCTTTGGTTTCAGATGCAACTTGATTGCTTTGAGATGAAAAATAATTGAACATGCTTTTAGGATTTCGGCATTTGTTTTCAGGATCTCGGCCTTTTGTTCATTTAGAAAATAATTGTGCATCCACACCGTTAACTCAGAAAGGTTTAATTTTGAGAATTATGATTAGTGCCCAGCACATAAGGAACGTTTTGCTAAGCAGCGTCATGATGGTTGCCCTATAGTGCAATCATTGCTACGAAATTAAAATGACGCACAGGTTTATAGACCATGTGACATCATGGTCACGTGATACTAGCTTTCAGCAAACGATTGTTCTTCTGCGCTGCCTTTAATTTATATCTCTATTGAAATGTGAATTGTTTGATATTGTTTGCAAACTGGTTTGGGGCGAAATAACATGCTTAAATGTTTGGGTTGCCCAGCGGCGAATCTTTTTTTCCAAACAACATATCTGTTTGCCATCTTCTGATTGGTCCATTACATTTGCATATCATGGAATGCCCTTTTTCCCAGAACACAAGCCCAAGATAGGCTTTATGTCGTGTGAGAAATGTTCCTTCCTCACTTTAGTTATTTCAAAGGTAAAATGAGAAGAAGTGAAAAACACTCACTGAGATTCAAAATCAGATCACCTGATTAGAAGTCAGGACTACTTCAACCAGTCCACGAATCAGCTGCCAATCGTCGATGATTCAAACACCATTATTTCTTGTTATATAACTTATTCTCTAAAGCCCGGGACATCATGAAAATGCAAAATGCAGAGAGAGAGAGCGCCCTCCTTTGATATTTTCCGATCTCGTTTGGGATGACGTCACAGCTAGGGCTTGTGATCTATAGCCGATGACGTAACTTTGGACACCTGTTTTATCACCTTTGGCATTCTAATTTACCTCTTTTTGTACCTCTTAGCTGCCTTGGCAGTGGTGCTTGCAACCAAGCTAACCGATATGTCATCGGCCCCACCAATCACCAACGACACGGGGCTAGATACCAGCCGGGCCGATGATATCATCCAAGTCACAGATGCCGTGTCCATCTCCCTTGCTGCAAGAGACACTGACATGGGATCATTCGACTTTCACGACAATCCGATCGAGTTGGAACTTCTGCACAATCAGGTAGGTGTAGTAATGCAACTTTCGAATTTTCTGGCCAGTTCATTTTCTTTTTACAGATTTGAAATGTTTGTAGCACCCGTGGTATGATTCTTTTCCACCCTTCTTAAAGTTCCTGGTCAGCTTGACCCTGAATCCAGGTTCCAGTTGGCCCGACAATTTTTGGGTCATTGACACATCTCTTTGTGAAAAAAATGACACGCTTGCCAAGATTTCCGGGTCAACCTGACCAGGAAAATGAGTCAAAGAAGCTTCATTTTGACCCGCAAAGTGCAATTTTGACCCTAAAAAGCTTCAGCTAAATGTGAACACGGATTCCTGGTGAATCTTATGGTTATAACTTCAGAGCGATCCCCTTCTCATTTCCAATATGTTAATGTAAATCTCTCTAGGCGTAGCACGATTGACCCAGTGCAGTTTTGTCGGCGTTTCCGGTTTTTGTTTCTTTTGGGATTTTGGGTGTTTTTTTTGTCCTCAGTAGAACACAGCGTATTTCCAGTAATTTTATTCCCCATCATCTTGCCTCTTGAACAAAGCCATCTTTTATGTCCTCTGAATATTTTCATTAGCATGATGGTTCATTGTTACGCAGGGTACCAGAGTAGTCGTCTTATACAAAATAAAAAAAAAAGCCCCAAAAAATAGCAAAAGCCAGATGAAATGTTTCTTCAGTAACTACACCATTTATTTCATCTTCCGGACGCCTTGACTTTTATCACAAAACAAATTTCATTCGAATCCCGGGTGATTGTCATTTTACGCGCTTGTGGTGCTTAATGAGGCCAGGGTTTGTTAGCGACATTCAGTGACGAATACAGTACAAAATGTCCACTCTTTCCCATTATATAAAGATCTGCCCTCATGACGTCCGATGCACGGAGGCTATTGTTAGTGGTTTTAAAAACAAAAAAAGAGTATGTTTCTTTTCTGAATTAAATTATAAAAGTATATCACTTTGTACAAACATTTCCTTTGATGTCTATCCTTTCGAAACCACATATTTCCTCTCCTTTGGTATACCTTATATTCCCTCACAGTTTGAATGGTAAATGACCGCAGCGTATTTCCAGTAATTTCATTCCCATCATCTTGCCCTTGAACAAAGCCATCGTTTATGTCCTCTGAATAGACTTATTTTCACTTTGTACAAATATTTCCCTTTGATGTCTATCCTTTCGAAACCACATATTTCCTCTCCTTTGGTATACCTCATATTCCCTGGCTGTGCGTAACCTTGTATCTAATGTTTACTAACATCCATTCAAAACTTAAGCATAACTGATATTTTTTTAGGGTTTCAGAAGACTTCTGAAATCATTTGTTGGCAGAAAAAAATAAGAGCAACAATAATGAATATGAATTAAAAAAAAGTGGGGCGCATTGTTTTAGAGACGTTATTATTTGCCGCATTTTTAAATGCCATCACTCCCTTGATCATTGTGCTGTGTCCAACTTCAAATGAATTTTCCCCTGTAATAATCGTCTGTTCATAAATACCTAATATCGGGACAGTTCTTCATGTCTTGCACAATTTTCTAAGCTTCCCGACGTTAGCATGAATTTTTCGTTGCGGGATCATTCACAACACTCCGTGTTTTGATGAGTATTAATATTCTGTTCTACCTATGATATTCGACATTGGTGCCATGTAATATTTTATATGCCCTCATTAGCAAGTTCACACTCGGTGAAAAATCTTGACAGAGTTCTGATCAGCCACTACAAGTTCACCGTTTGGGGAAAAGGCAATGCCGCATGGCCACCACAATTGTTTCGCTACACAATCAACGTAGACCCCCTGGGAATCATAGTGGTGCACTTCACCGATGTCACCACAGTGAAGGGTAACATAGATGTCGCCCGCATCATCGCAGCATACACCGGCTGGTTTCGCCTCTTTGTCACCCAGAGAAGTGCTGACAGTAAACATTTCTTTTCCCGTTATTTCTACGCATCGTAATGCACTGCAGTGATACGCTGCGGAAACCAAACGGCCTTTGTTGCACATGGCAATATCCTCTTGACGAATAGGGGCACCGGGGATGTCTCTGATTAGGGATCCGTCCAGATTGTATAGAGATGTGACCCTCCTTTGCTGATTGACCACTACTGCCAAATTGTCCTTGTCAACCGTGGTACCGCTTGTGTTGATGTAAGGCTCATCCCCTACATCAGGCTTCGACAGGTTGAACTCAGAATTCAATTGACAGTTTTTGTCAAAAACCTTTACATGATCTCCACAATTTGCCAAAAGTAGATCCGACGTTACTGAAATACCATACAATGTGTTTAGATCAAATTTGGTTTTGTGTTGTCCTGTTGAAGTAAACACAGATATCCGCTTATTTTTTATATCGTTGACAGCGATGTCGCCATTGCTAAAGCAGCACACGCCTCTTGCCCATCTGAATTCACCGTCCCCGTCTCCTTGCTTCCCAAACTCGGTCTTCAACTTCCATTTCTCTTCATGAAGTATATCACCAAGGTCTTTGTCGAGCACAACGTCTTGGCATTTGACTCCGATGAAAGATTCACCGTGTTTCACTCGCTCAAACTTGAGATCCTTCTGGAATTCCAGGTTGTGCATCACCTTAGGCTTCAAATTCAAGAGTTCGAAGTCGTCAGCTTGTTTCATCAAGTCGGTCACGGCTGCCTCGATCTCCTCAGCTCGCTTCATCTTCTTCTTGTTGTTGGTGTGAACTTTTTCAAACTCCTCATCTCTCTTCTTGCCAATTTCAGTTACCTTGTCTGTGAGAAGTTGAGACTTTCTCTCGATTTTGGCAATCTCCTCTTCTTTCTTTGCCTGAATGTCGCTGCAGGCCCGGTTTACCATTATTTTTAGTCTGTTTCTAGCGTGCTCCACCGACTCCTCATTAGCTTTGAATTCCTCTTTACTACTCTGAAACTTCTGCAAGACATCATTGACTTCTTCACGATACGATCTGATGGCGTTGGCAATTTCACTGTATTTATGTTCAGCCGATCGGTGATCGATTGCTGCGCATGTGCCGCACGCCAACATCTTGCACGTCTCACAGTAAAAATGCATCTCCTGGTTAGCGTGCTTCGGACATTTCAGAGAATACGTCTTGCTGAGATCTGCCGAAGGAACATCCTTCTGCTCCAGGTGTTCAATCAGTGTGACCCGATGTGTCTTGGTGCGTTTGAATCGTACATGAGCTGCCTTGCATAGCTGGCACAGATTTTCCTCGCAGTCTAGACATCGCGAGACGACCTCCAACCCCTCGTCGCATTGGTCACACGTCGGTGAAGTCGTTGCTTGCTGCTGGGTCTCCAGCGACCGCTCCTGCTGGTTGATCTCATCCACCAGGGAACTCAAGAAGAAACAATCGAGTAGACCGGGCAAGCCAGCATCCGGCACCGGGGTTTCCTTCCTGCAGACCGGGCATGTGATCTTGCCTGTACTCGGCTGCTGTTTGCTCAACATCCCATCCAGACAGTTGAGGCAGAAGGTGTGGAGACAGTCCAGTATCTTGGGATCTTTGTAACGACAGAAGCAGATGGGGCATTCCAGGTGACCCTGGCTGATCTCACCTAACATGGTTTTAGCTGTGGCCTCAGCTGCCTCAGCCATCTTCAGCTGGTTATCTCACAACCAACCTGAAAACAAGCAAGATTGAAAATACAAATGTCATTGTATTCGCCCTGTTTTTCCAACAATCGGACTTTTTAGTGTTAGATGAGGTTAGTGGTGAACTGCAAATGTTGACTTAAACTTACCTTTTGAGAACTAGAAAGCACCGCATCAATTCAGCCTTTGAGTTGGATTACAGGGGCTCCTTATTCTTTCAATCTGAATGGAGACATAAAATGGAATTGACTGCTTCAAATTAATCTTCTGATAATTCCATTTTGGTCAATCAAGTATTTTGTAGTTCTCATCAATGGTAATTTGTCACAGTGGTTAAGGTTCTAAATGATTGCGGAATCTTCGAATTGTCACTTGTTGGGTTTATGAACATTACGATCAAGCGATGTATACATTATTTACTTAGTTCATGTTCGTACCACAACATGCAATGTACATTACACAGATTCTTAGTCTGATGCCGTTTGTTTTCTCAATTCTGTAGCCACACAACAATGTTTCCAGTCCAAACCAGCCTCGCAAAACCTCCGTCATTGGTATTCGGGTCTCCAGTGTGAGCCAGAAAGTATGGCGTTCAACATTATTTGTCCATGTCATTTTCGCCTTATACACGTATTGTCTGGTTATTGAGGGCATTTTCCTGGTTCTAACTCGACCCTAACGTGTGTGCCTACCTTTCCGTAATTGACTCAGGTGTATATTCCAGGCACAGGTGGTTGATTACAACACAATCTGAAGCTGTCAACAAATCAGTTTCGCAAAAGCTCTTCATGTAATCCACAATGGTTACGTATATTGGAAGATATTTCTCACTTTTCTCGAACCCGGAAAAACCCAGTGCTATTTTTGCTACAACACAGCAGTGCACCTAGGGTTCAAGGTTCAACTTGTATGAAAGGGCATATCACGTGCGTACAGCTTTGTGAACGTATGAAGCTACGGTGTTCCCTACCCACCATTGAAAGTGTTTTTAAACTTTGAACTATTATTTTAATAAACAAACAGTGTTGGAATAGCCTGGGGGCTCTGGGAATGTGTTATTCAAGGGGATTACAGGCGTGAATTAAGTATTTTTTCAAATTCTTCAAAATACCGCGTAAATGGTGAAAGAACTGAAGCAAGGGAGGAAGATGGGGTGTATCCCTAACCCAGTGTCGGACCCATCGTCACCGTCTCAGCGGAAAGTCCATACAAAGTGACCCCTGAGGTAGAAAAAGGGGCCAATATTATTTACAGTGTTTAAAGGAAGTATTTCTCGTTGGAAAGTGTAGATTTCTCAGCATAGCACGTTGTATTCCCAGGCATCGTATTTCCGTTAATCCTTCTTCATGAGCGCAGCCCTCCTTTCTGACCTCTTATTTCAAACTCATTTTCAGTATATAATATGTGCTTAATTACTCGAGAGACACAAATGTTACCTGAGTAGCCCGTGCTTTAAAAAACATTAAAGAAAAATAAATAAATAAAAAACAAGACCACACAAACAAGGACAAAAACAGAAGAATAGCGAGATCAGGTTTTTTCCCTCTGGACGCCTTTACTTTTATCACAAACTCCATTCATTCAAAACCCGAGTGATTGTCAAGCTATGTACATGTGGTCTCGATCATGATTTGTTACTGGTATTCAGGACAAGTAAAGTACAAAGCGCACTTTGAGTGCACACTTAAGTGTGTACTTATTCAGCCCGTGACGTCAGATGCAAGGAGTCTTTTGTGTCTGGTGTAAATGAATTTATAAATTTAGTGGGTTTTTTTCTTAGTTTTCTGAATTATACAAATTTTCTCTTTTTGAGATCTATCCTTTAGAAGCCACATCTTTGCAATACATTATTCCTTCACGGTTTCAATTGTAAATGAGCACGTGGCCATGCGGGGCCTTGTATCTAACAGGTTTATTTACATCGATTCGAAAATTAATAATAACTTGATTTTTGGGAGGGCTTAGGAAGACTTCTGAAATCGAAAAATAAGTTGTTGAGCAACATAAGAGTAACCCTTTGATTCTGCCCTGAAGCTTAATAAAATACTTGAGATCATTCACAATCTTGTGTGTAGTATCAAAACAATTCAAAAGCATTTTAATTTTAGCAGTAATACTTTATACAAGATACGCATAGTAGGAAAGTGAGCAAGTATTATACAGACGCTTAAAAATCCATTAAATGTCAACAGTGATTTATCATGCAGAAAAATTGTCAGCATTGCTCATTAGGGCTGTGGATCTTATATTTTTCTAGAGCCCGTCGCAAAGTGTTCTCTCATAATCAAAAAGATTGGGCGTATTTTGTTTTGGAGACATAAATATTTACCGCCACCTTAAGTATAATTTTCTTTTGGTCTGTGATGGTAATGTGTTCAACTTTGGAATTTTCCTGTAATAAAACTACTAGTCACGAAAACCTGTGTAGCAGAAAATCTTGCGCGGACAGTTTTCTTGTACGAGCCTATAATGAATTTTTCATTGCGAAATAACAATTCACTACTGTCTGAGTTTTGATGAGTACTAATATTTTGTTCTATATATACCCATACTATTCAAACTGACGGTGTCGTGATAGTTTCCACACGCCGTGTAAATCTGGCAAGTTAATTCATACTCGATGAAAAATCTTGACGGAGTAGTAATCGGCCACTACAAGTTCTCCGCTTGGAGAAAAGGTTATGCCAAATGGCCAGTGCATTGCGCGAGCAACACAACCAATGAAGACCCCCTGTGGATCAAAGTGGAGCACTTCACCAACCCCTTTGTCTAAGCCGTTACCGTGAACGGTAACATAGATGTCACCCGTATCATCACAGCATACACCAGCTGGCCTCGCTTGCCCCAGACGAGCAGTAACATTTACTTTTCCGGTCACATCTACGCATCGCAATTCACTTTCATCATACATTGCGCTAAGGATGCATCTTTTCTTGTTTGTGATGATGTCGATTGGAACCATTTTAGTATTAGGAATGACCCTGATCAAGGATCCGTCTAGACTGTGAAGAGATGTGACTCCTGTCTTCTTGTCAACCAGTGCTACCTGATTGGTTTTGTCAACTGTGATACCGCTAGTATAAGTCTTATTGTTTGACCATGGAGAAATAAAACACTGATCAGTGCTATCGGTACCGGTCAGGGGTAGGTTGAACTTCGAAATCAATTGATGGCTTTTATCAAAAACTTTCACGTGATCTTCACAGTGTGCCAGAAGAAGATCATGGGACGTTACAGTAATACCGTACGGTGCGTTCAGATCAAACATTGATTTGTAGTGTCCAGTAGAAGTAAATACAGACAATCGTTTCTTGTTGATATCGTTAACAGCAATGTCGCCATTGCTGAAGCATGCAATGCCTGCTGCACAGTTGAACTCACCGTCCCAATCTCCTTTCTTCCCAAACTCGCTTTGTAACTTCCATTTCTCTTCGTGAAGTATTTCACCAAGATCTTTATCGCGCACAACGTCTTGGCACTTGAATCCGATGAAAGATTCACCGTGTTTCACTCGCTCAAACTGGAGATTTTTTTGGAATTCCAGATTGTGCATCACCTTAGGCTTCAAATTCAAGAGTTCGAAGTCGTCAGCTTGTTGCATCAAGTCGGTCACCGCTGTCTCGATCTCCTCTGCTCGTTCCATCTTCTTCTTATTGTCGGTGTGAACTTTGTCAAACTCATCATCTCTCTTCTTGCCAATTTCAGTGACCTTGTCTCTTAGAATTCGAGACTTGTTCTTGATTTGGGCAATGTCTTCTTCCTCCTTAGCTTGAATCGCGCTGCAGGCCCGGGTCACCATTATTTTCAGCCTGTTTCTTGCGTGGTCGACTGCCGCTTCATTTGCTTTGAATTCTTCTTTGCTCTTCTGAAACTTCTTCAAGACATCATTTACTTCTTCACGATAGGATCTGACGGCGTCGGTGATTTCACTCAACTGGTGTTCAGCCGATCGGTGATCGATCGTGGCGCATATGCCGCACGTCATCATCTTGCACGTCTCGCAATAAAAATACATCTCCTGGTTACTGTGCTTCTGACATTTCGGAGAATACGTCTTGCTGAGATCTGCCGAAGGAACCTCTTTCTGCTCTGGGTGTTCAACCGGTGTGACCCGATGTGTCTTGGTGCGTTTGTATCGCACATGAGCCGCCTTGCATAGCTGACACAGATTTTCCTCGCAGTCTATGCATCGCGAGACGACCTCCAACCCCTCCTCACATGCGTCACACGTCGGTGAAGTCGTTGCTTGCTGCTGGGTCTCCAGCGACCGCTCCTGCTGGTTGATCTCATCCACCAGGGAACTCAAGAAGAAACAATCGAGTAGACCGGGCAAGCCAGCATCCGGCACCGGGGTTTCCTTCCTGCAGACCGGGCATGTGATCTTGCCTGTACTCGGCTGCTGTTTGCTCAACATCCCATCCAGACAGTTGAGGCAGAAGGTGTGGAGACAGTCCAGTATCTTGGGATCTTTGTACCGACAGAAGCAGATGGGGCATTCCAGGTGACCCTGGCTGATCTCACCTAACATGGTTTTAGCTGTGGCCTCAGCTGCCTCAGCCATCTTCAGCTGGTTATCTCCCAACCAACCTGAAAACAGCAAGATTGAAAATACAAATGTCATTGTATTCGGACTATTTAGTGTTAGATGAGGTTAGTGATGAACTGCAAATGGTGACTTAAACTTACCTTTTTAGTACTAGAAAGCACCGCATCAATTCAGCCTTTGAGTTGGATTACAGGGGCTCCTTATTCTTTCAATCTGAATGGAGACATAGAATGGAATTGACCGCTTCAAATTAATCTTCTGATAATTCCATTTTGGTCAATAAAGTAGTTTGTAATTCTCATCAATAGTAATTTGTTACAGTGGTTAAGGTTCTAAATGATTGCGGAATCTTCCGATTGTCACTCGTTGGGTTTATGAGCATTATGATCAAGCGATGTATACATTATTTACTTAGTTCATGTTCGTACCACACCATGCAATGTACATTACACAGATTCTTAGTCTGATGCCGTTTGTTTTCTCAATTCTATAGCCCCACAACAATGTTTCCCAACCAGCCTCGCAAAACTTCCGTCATTAGTATTTGGGTCTCCAGTGTGAGCCAGAAAGTATGGCGTTCAACATAATTTGCCCATGTCATTTGGCCTTATTATACACGTATTGTCTGGTTATTGAGGACATTTTCCTGGTTCTAACTCGACCCTAACGTATGTGCCTACCTTTCCGTAATTGACTCAGGTGTATATTCCAGGCACAGGTGGTTGATGACAACACAATCTGAAGCTGTCAACAAATCAGTTTCGCCAGAATTCTTCATATCATCCGCAATATGGCAACGGATATGGGGAGATATTTCTCACTTTTCTCAAACCCGGAAAAACCCAGTGCTATTTTTGCCACAACACAGCAGCGCATCAAGGGTTAAAGGTGAAACTTGTATGAAAAGGCATATCACGTGCGTATGGCGTTGTGTAGATAAGAAACTACGGAGTTCCCTACACACCATTGATATGGTTAATTAACTATTATTTATACAAAAAAAATATTGGGATAGCCGAGGGAGGGGGCTCTGTGAATGTTTCCTTCAAGGGGATTCTAAATACCGCGTGAATGATGAAAAAACTGACGGAAGACGGGGTGTATCCTTAATGTAGGCCAATCCCCACTTTCTCAGCGGGCTGGGAATGGACAAATTAAAGGTTACCGCCTCTTCCCCAATAAATTTTTAACAAACAAAACGCAAATCAAAAAGTCCAGGTCGAATCCGACACGGGGCGCTTAACAACGCAATATTTAAAGCAACTGTTCGTTCTCGATCAGAAGTACAATTTTCTCATTCGATTTATTTCGAGGCACCTTTGTCTCCTAAATATTTCTGTGTGAACAAAGCCCTCTTATGTGTCATCCGCATGAAGACTCGTTTTCAATGTAAGAATTATGCTTCATTCCTATACAAGAGACACAAAAGAGTATGTTGCCCTTTACACAACATTTTATAATTCAGTAGCAATTACAAACGCTTCAGATCCTTTAAATTAGAAAGACAATTATCAAACATTCATTTTCATAATGATTTTCAGAAATAGTACACGACACATTGAGTCGAATACTTGAAACATATTGTTGTAGAGTCGTAATAATCCCCCTTTCATATTATTGTGCTAATGGTGTGACGGTTACACGTTGAACTTGAAATGCGTTTTGCTGTAAACAGATAGATTTCACGAATATCTTAACAACAGCAAACATTGTCGGGATACTCTTTCATGTCTTGTATGATTGTGATCTTCCCAATATTATAACATGGCCTTTTTCATCGTGAGATCATTCACAAGATGTCTTGACCACCGTACCAAGAATATTGGTAACTATTAACGTTTTGGTCTATTTATGCTACACTGTAAAAATCAGTTAACACGTTATCAATTACAATGTTGATAAACTGTTGCAAAAAAGCGTTTATAATTGTTTCACTAGTTTAATTTGTTGTGTATTCCGAGCCAGTTGTGCCCTGACCATTATTCATACGCCTGATTAGCAGGTTAATACCAAATAAAAAAATCTTGGCATGCAAAGAGAAACCCTCAAACCCCGATCACAATCCCAACCTAGGAAGTCACTTCCTAACCCTTACAGTAACAACCGCGAACCAAAATTACCCAACAACCACGGCCGAATCAAATGTACATTTCAATTTATACAAGAATAAGTCCGCTATAGGGACTTGATGTCAGACTGGTTTCTGGCAATGACTGGCAAATCATTCCATAATTTAGCATCTCTGCAAAACATGTTTTGACCCTTCTTAAGATTTGTGTTAGTCACCTAGATTTTCCCATTAAAATTATCAGTAGTATATTGTGAGGATGATTTATGAATTCAAATGCAGCAAGATAAATACGAGAGAAATTATTACATGTATTACATTTATAACCGAAACGGCTGCATGACAATCTCTGTTTTCCATAGGTCTAATCCTCCCAAGTTTGTTCAGCAAATCATCTGCATGTGTTTTATATGAGGAGCAAAAATAAATATTGCCCTGACTGCTCTGTTTTGTAGTTGCTGAAGTTGATTTTGCTGTCCAAAACCAAGATGACCCCAAACCACAATAAATGAATGAAATGGAGTTCAATTAGCGCATTATATTTAAAAAAAAATTATAAAGATAAAGTATAAATCTCATGTATGAAACACAAATCAGTTCTTTTTCAGTGGTGGATTCCTGCATGCATTGGTCATTTAAGATTGTACTCTCTCATTTAGATCGTTTTCTGGAGTCTATTTATCTAAAAACATGATAGGCCTAATAAGCATTTTATACAGCGGTTCCATTGAATTGTAAGGCGGATTTGCCCCCCTGAAACGGTACTTAGATACCAGTATATGCTGTTAAACCGTTCAACCGCTCTAGAATAAATTTACATTCATTTCAATAAGAAAGAAGGAAATATATTCATATATAGCATATTCACTTTCATGTATGGTTAAATAGTAGATTATTACATGTACTGGATAATCAATATATTGTGAAACCTTCAAATGATAATGATAAGCAGTAAACTGGTTATTACCGTATCCAAACTGAATCAGTTGGTCGGGGCATAATGTTTACATAGATTCAGTAAATGACTGACCAACTGATGTAAAACAAAAATATAATTTAATTTATACAATTCGATTAAACTCAAAAAAATATTAAAATGACTCTTCAACCCAGAAACCAAATCAAATGCCCAAGAGCAGTCTTATTACACATGCAGACTCGTGAACCCATAAAATAGTTGGAGACTTTGTCAAGCAGTGGGGTTAGTCTGAATAAAAGATAATAGCTGAAGCTTTAATGAATTTCAATGTATGATTTTTATTTACAAATGACAAAAAAATTATATTCTATTACTTATCAATTTGTCCACATGATCTGTACAGTCTATATGTTTGTATCAAGCCAAACACCCACGAATTTGGGAAGAATTTGCAATTTCTGTCACCTATCCGTCTACTTCTATTTTGGGAACCTCGAAATTAGTTAACTAGCTTAATTCTGTCTTGTTCCAACGGTATTTCTTAGGTCAGGTAAGTTTGTTCTCTTTCAGCCATTCACTGAACCTCAACATGTGACTCCAGGGCTTTGCCAATTTCAGAAGAGTTTTTGAGGAAAAAAATCATCGGCATCATCGGATGTTGAGTCCATGTGGATGTTTAGTCCCAAGAAGTTCCATCCACTCTTGCTCCTTGCTCCTACGAACTCGGTCGTCTCGAACGCGAAAGGATTGTATGCCCTGTAAAATCATATCATCCTTGGAATGGCCAGGCAGGTTGAAGTGGTAACCAGTAGGATAATTCAGTTTCTTGGTGCGGACATATGATTGATGTTCACTGAAACGTTTCTTGAGTGTTTGAATGGTCTCGCCGACGTACTGCTCTTTACAAACCTTGCAAGTAATGAGGTATATGACATTAGATGTGGTGCAAGTGATGAGACCAATAGTTTTGTGAGTCGTGTTAGACGAATAGCCAGAAAACGAGCTCGACTCCCGGATGTGTGTCTTGCAAACCTCACAGTTTTCTTCATTGCACTTGAATGTTCCATTCTCGGGGCAAAACTCCTGAAAGATCTTGACCGATAGCTTATCAGCCACCACAAGCTCGCCGTTTGGGGAAAAGGTAATGCCAAATGGCCACCACAATTCTTTCGTTACACAATCAACGTAAAACCCCTGCGAATCATAGTGGTGCACTTCACCGATACCTCCGCGTTTACCACATCGAAGGGTAACATAGATGTCACCTGCGTCGTCACAGCATACACCGACTGGTTTAGCATCCTTTCCATTTACAGAAGTGCTGACATTGAACAGCTCTTTTCCATTTAGATCTACGCATCGCAATTCACTTCTGTCAAGCGTTGCAAAAATGAGACATTCTTTATTTGCGACAATGTCAGTTGGAACCACTTTAGTATTTTGAATGACCTTGATCAAAGATCCGTCTAGATTGTGGAGAGATGTGACCCCTGTCTTCCTGTGAACCACTGCTACCTGATTCTTATTGTCAACTGTGATACCGCCGGTCAAAACCCCTTCCCTTCGCTGATCCTCTCTATCGTCCTGTGGTAGTTTGAACTGCTCCATCAATCGATGGTTTCTATCAAACACTTTAACATGACCTTTACAGTGTGCCAGAAGTACATCATCGGACGTTACAGCAATACCGTGCGGTGCGTTAAGATCAAACTTTGCTTTATAGTGTCCAGTGGAAGAAAATATGGACAATTGTTTATTTTTGGTATCGTTAACAGCAATGTCGCCATTGCTGAAGCATCCAACGCCCATTGCACAGTTGAAGTTTCCTTGCTCCACTTTTGGAAACATGGTCTTCAACTCCCATTTCTTTTCAATAAGTATTTCACCGAGCTCGTAATCGTTTACTGCGTCTTGGCTTTTGAATCCAGTGAATGATTTACCGTGGTCCACTTTTTCAAGCTGCAGACATTCGAAGTCGCTAGTCAACGCTGTCTCTGCTCGTTCCATCCTCTCCTTATTGTTGGTGTGTACTTTGACAAACTCTTCATCTCTCTTCTTGCCAATCTCAGTGACCTTGTCTATGAGAAGTCCAGACTTGATCTTGATTTTGGCAATCTCTTCTTTCTCTTTAGCTTGAATCTCGCTGCAGGCCCGGGACACCATTATTTTCAGTCTGTGTCTGGCGTGCTTAACCGACTCCTCATTAGCTTTGAATTCCTGTTTGCTCTTCTGAAAGACATTCTCTACTTCTTCACGGTAGGATGGGGCGTTGTCGGCAGTTTCACTCGATGATGATTCATACCACACGTCATCATCTTGCTCGTCTCGCAGTGACGATGCATCTCCTGGTTCCCATGCTTCTGCCATCTCGGCAAATGCGTCTTTCAGAAATCTGCTGATGAAGAAACGTTCTTCTGCCGCAGATATTCAAATGCTGTGACCCGTTGTGTCTTAGCGCATTCGTGACCCACCGTGCATTGTTCCTCGCAATCCAGGCATCGCAATTAAGAAGACAACTAATCCTTTCTCGCATTCGTCTCAGGTCGGTGAAGTCGTTGCTTGCTGATGGGTCTCCAGCGACCGCTCCTGCTGGTTGATCTCATCCACCAGGGAACTCAAGAAGAAACAATCGAGTAGACCGGGCAAGCCAGCATCCGGCACCGGGGTTTCCTTCCTGCAGACCGGGCATGTGATCTTGCCTGTACTCGGCTGCTGTTTGCTCAACATCCCATCCAGACAGTTGAGGCAGAAGGTGTCCGGCCTGTCCAGTGTCTTAGGATCCTTTTTTGACAAAAGAAAATGCCCAGTGTACAGTTTACACAGTTGATACTTTACATGCATGCTATACCTGACAACTGAGGAAAAGTTCCATATTTTGCGAATTTGCAAACTAAGTTTGATATTTTTTTCAATCGTAAAAGATTTCATTGGTCACTTAATATGAACGCCTTTTTCATAGAGTTTTCTCTAAAAGATGTAAAGCCAAAATCCTCATTGTCTTCCTGATTAATAATGAATCGCTGAAAGCAGAAAAACAGAGCAATGCAAGCCCCTACAATCCTTTTGACTTTCTATGCTGAAACAGATTTCTTCCTTGAAATTTCTTCCTTGAATGACATCACAGGTTCGTGAATATGGAATTTGCAATTATCATAACAAAAACCAAAACGCCCTTAAAATTACAATGTGAAATAACTAATGAAGGGGACTATATATGATGGAACACAAAGTACATTTCAAGAATTACATTGAAAGAAACCATTATCTGGGTCCTTTAATGTCGGATATCTCATGATAATCGTCATTGCAAAATCATTTCGTCTTTTAGTCTTACTACGTTAATTGCTTTCTCAACCCCCACCACAATGTAACCAAACCAGCCGTAGTTTGAAAAGCCTGCGTCATTGTATATTTAGGTCTCCAGCATAGAGCTAGAAATTAGTAGGCGAATAGACCTACGTAAATTGTCCTTGTATACCCCCATTTGCAAAGACATATTCCTCTTTCTATTACTCTTCCCTATGGTATGCCTACCTTTGCATAATTGAATCAGGTGTATATTCCAGGCACAGGTGGTTGTTGAAAACACAATCTGAATCTGTCAACATATCATTTTTATCCAAAGCTCTTCATGAAATCCACAATGGCTGTGGATTTATTTCTCATTTTTCTCAAACCCGGAAAAACACTGTGCTGTTTTGCCATAACGCAGTACGTAACGCACCATAGGGTTCAAGGTTAAAGATTTTGCCCGTCATCGACGTAAACAAGTACATGTAGATATTGTCCTTGTCTACTGTTTGTTTTGTGTATTTAAAATTTAGCAACTTTAAAATATAAGTGGCCTACGATTACAAGCGTTGCTTCCTAGTATAGGTTCCTGTATAGTTTAACCATTTGTCTTTAACCTGTTTTATTCATTTATAATACTTACATATGTGACATTGTGGAAAATAAATGAACAATGAACACAGAAATATGAACAAAACACTGAATTCTCTGTGTGTGTTACAAGGTTGTTCAAGGTTGATCAACTTGTATGAATGGGCATAAGTCACGTCCGCACCATGTTGTATAAATGTGAAACTACGGAGTGCCCCACCTGCCATTAAAAGTGTTATTAAATTATGTGTACTTAAAAGTATCAGGATGGTGATGAAGGGGGACTCTGGGAATGTGTTGTTCAAGGGGATTACAGACGCGCAGTATTTAAAGGGGGGGGGGGCAAATTATTATTCTGAATGTCCGGAACGGTAACCAATGCAGAGGTGGAAGGTTCAAACCCCGTCCAGTCAATTTCTTTGTTCAATTTTTAAACTTATTATCAGGTGCCTAGTCACTTTGCCTTTGTGCGCGCTTAGGGTCGTACTTTGTTTGTTGATGAAAATAATCGCTGGTTTAACATAAAACAAATACCAAAAAATTACACCTAAGATAGCACGTGAACCCAAATAAAATGCGCATCACATGAGATTGTTCAGTCGTTGTTGCATCGGGAAAACTAAATTTGAAAAACACAAATCCAATTTGGATTTTTAACCAGATTTAATTGTTCAAGGGCCTCCAGCCACCCATAGACACATTGCATCTGACGTAATGTCTAATGGCAGGTGTCTGTTGCTCTGTGGTATGCTTGATTAGACGCATTGCGTCTAGCATTGGTCATTCATTACCACTCTGTATAAATGCTCTCAGGTACGAACGCACTATGGGCCTAAAGGACCCACATACCTTTTCACTCACTCTTTGTATTCTAGCTTACTTGTATGCAGTTTCTTATAATGTTGTTTTTTTTCTTTAAAATAAAAGATAAAAATTATTCTGCAATTTTTTTTTAATTTTTTGTCAATCCTTTCCATCCGTATAGGTCGTCCCTGAAAACGCCACAAGGGCTTGTGTATTTTGGAAGATTCTGGACGAGTAAGTACCGCTATACTTAGCTTAAATTCGGCTGCATGATTTCAATTAGGCATATTGTATCCGATGCATGAAACGACGTCCTTATGACTAGCCATTCAGTAGTATTCTTTCAGCTCCATGACAAGCTTTTTTAGGACTATGTGTTTGGCTTTGGTTTTCAAAGCGTACACGAATAACTCAGAAATTAATTCGAACCCCAAAATTAAATTGCGAGCAAAGTAGCCTGTAATTTTGTTTGTTTGTTTTGTTTTGTTTTGTTACCCGATTGGCATGAAGAATTGAAAATCGATATTTCAGTCTTGGTATTCTTCAATCGTGGGTATATTTCTGTTTCATTTGTATTATTGATTATTCTGTTTCCAGCGAGACCTTTGCGGGGGTGTGGTCCGGTGAGGGATGCAGTGTGACCAATGAGGGCGCCAATTTAACCAATTCAACCACGTGCTCATGTGATCACCTGACCAACTTCGCCGTACTCATGCAGCTGGATCCTAATGCGGTAAGTCAATAAAACGAGCTTTTCGCGATGTCTAGTATTATGATACTTTCAACTTACTGATCAGATTCTTTTTACCCAAAAAGTATCAATCATGTTGGTTATGGAATGAGTTCGCAAAGTATTTTCTATAACAGTTTCAGAGAAAAGTAAACAATTTGGCTTCTGTTGTTTGTTTTACATTGCTGAAGCTGCATTTGCAGTCTTCACTTTTATTTTGTGTATATATGGTGTTTTCTCAGAAAAATACAAATTATAATTTGCTTTTCTCTGTTGTTAAAATCGACCTAAAACAAAGAATACTAGCTATTGTCTTGGAAATACGTTCTCGTCAAGTAAACCAGTATAGAGCGAGTTGTTAGAGTCGGTGTTTTCCATGCATTGGTTTGAACTTGCTAAGTAGAGAATGACGTGTAAAACGACTGATTTCACCACTCGCTTTTGCACTTTTTCACTCGATTTTATTAGTATTGGAACTCGGGGCTAGGTTTATAAAAACAAATGATTTCTAAAGGAGACACTCTCTAGTAAAATATTTCACACAGTGGAGACTTTGGTCATTATAGGGATACATAGTGTCTCCCTAACTTGTTGGAATTACCATTTCTGTAAAAAAACATTTGCTGTCCCGAGTTGTTTTAAACAAGTACTAGTGCCGATAATAGTAAAGTAAGATGTTTTGGGAGGTGAAATATTCAAAAAAGGGGTTATTGAAAGTTTTTTGTTTGTGCGCATACATGCTTATTAGAATTTCTTGCACAAGTGTATTGCATTTATTAAACCGTAAAGTATCTTTTCCGGTAATACTTACGATTATGCAGCAGGGGCTAGCTGTCTTTGCTTACAGGTACAGCCGAACTGACACGCCACAGTCTCTAATGCTCAGATGTCTTTATTTGATAGGTCCCTATACCTAAGGCCGACGAGAAAGCCTTGACTATTCTATCCATCCTCGGAGGCTCTCTCTCCATCCTGTGCTTGACCCTAATGCTGGTCATCTACGCACTCTTGGGGTGAGCAAAGTGATCTTCTTGATTGATAGAGCAAAATCAAATCCAAGTTGCAGTCGAGATATTACATCTCTGACGTGGCCGACAGCCAATACATGTCAGATGTCACCCGGAATCCTGGTCATGCATTTTGACCCAATACTGTTATAGGTCAAATATCACCTTTGTTTCGGACAAGATGTTACTTTTGCCGTGATTTCTGGATCACAATGGCTGGGAAAATGAACCAGAGAAGTGCCAGTTCTACCCGGAAAAGATTAATTTTGACCCTGATCAGTATAAAGATCACTTGACCCAGGTTCCAGGGGCCAATTTTATGGAGCTGCTAAGCACAAAAATGTGCTTAGCATGAAAAGTCGTCCTTAGCAAAAACAGGATTACCAACCAATTTCCATGTGATGTATATTGTAATTGGTATTCAGCTGTTGTTTGCTGAGCATGAAAATCACATGGAGTTTTGGCTGGTAACCTGCTTTTATAAGCCAAGCCTTTTTTTGTGCTTATCAAATTTTTATGCTTAGCAGCTCCATGAATGTGGCCTAGGTCATTTTGGCCCCGAGTGTAATTTGATATTCTGAGTCAAACAAAACTTGCTTTTGATTTCACTCGTTCTTTGTTTCAATTTTGTGAATGGAAAGGATGTACAAGACTGAACGTGGAATGGTCCATACCAACCTGTGCGTCGCCTTGCTGATATCACAGCTCGTATTTCTGACGGGAATCGACGCTGTGTCAAACGTGAGTTTCACTGACAACTAAGTCACAAAATACTATCCTTGATCACGGTGTTAATTTTACATAATTATGGTTTTTGCATTTAACGATGGTTGTGTGAATACTCCGCACGGATATTCCCCTGTGGATTTCGCAGCCTTTTTTTTTTCAATATTTTTTGTATCGTCCATTTGTTCTCCCAAACGGTCTATTTCTCCTCCAAGTAAGTGTTTTCTACCAAGGCTTCTTTGCAGGGGGTATTAAACTAGGCTTAACTTCTAGGGGGAATATCAATTATTCAAGCAAGCTATTTCCTGCTGGCTTCGTTCAGCTGGATGTTGGTAGAGGGCGCGCTGCTCTTTGTCAATTCATGCATTATTCATCTCATGCATTATTCATGATTGTGTCTCTGCAGGCAACAGGCTGCAGGGTTGCCGCGGTCCTGCTGCACTAATTCCTGCTGGCTTTGTACAACTGAATGGTGATAGAGGGCGGCCTGCTCTTTGTCAATCTCATGCATTATTCATCTCATGCATTATTCATGATTGTGTCTCTGCAGGCAACAGGCTGCAGGGTTGCCGCAGTCCTGCTGCACTATTTCCTGCTGGCTTCGTTCAGCTGGATGTTGGTAGAGGGCGCCCTGCTCTTTGCCAGTGCCAAGTTTGTGTTTCACCGGCAGGTTCGTCCCTGGAAGCTCATGCTCCCCGGCTGGGGTGAGTGCATATGCGGCGGTAACCTCAGCGCTTAATTCTTTTATTTCATGGTTGCTTGTTGTACAATATCGCGGCCTTTTATTATTCAGAGAACAATTTTTTTTTCAGTCGGAAATGCAAACTATTCTATATTTTCATTCAATGTTGAAGGAACCGTGAGTTTTGATTCAACATCCGATGCCAATTAAAAACGTGTTTTCAAGACATTACATTGCACCGACGTCTTCGTAGGACCTTTTGAGATTCATTTCCCCAATTAAATGATAACTTTCAACCCTACATTAACATACGATGAACAACCCAACTGATTTGTGTTTGAAAAGTCAAATTACTGCGAGTCTTGGTTCATTCGTGTTGGGCTCAGATCTTACATTTCATGATGAGCATCCGGTTTATAAGGTCTTTGAAAAAGGCCTGGACTATATCACTGATTAAATACCACCTTATTTTGTGAGAGTGTGTCCTAGAGGTTTGGGTTTGTGACTCAGGATCAGAGGGTCAGGGGTTCGAATCCAGCTGCTGGCCATATGGTGTGTCCTTGGGCAAGCCACTTCAACCCACTTGCCTCTCTCCACCCAGGAGTATAAATGGGTACCGGCATTAGCTGGAGAGTAACCTGCGATGGACTAGCATCCCGTCCGGACTAGCATTCCATCAATAGAAATATTCTTAGACGTTTCATGCTACTGAAACAGGAGAAATGCCGGCCTAATGGACTTTATTGGCTCCTGACAAACTTTACTCTCTTTTTTTTACTATTTTGAAGACACTTTAATATTCGATTGATTAAGTGTTTTCTTTTTCTTTTCTGTTCTTCCAGGCGTGCCAGCCGTTGTAGTCGCAATCACTTTCGCTGCAGCTGCAAAGGATTATGGGTCAAAAGAAAAGTAAGTCTCTTAAAGATGAGCCGAGAACAGTCAACACTTATCGTTTTCAAAAACAACAACACGTTTTCAAATTCTTTCAGATGTTTTTTTCACCCACCAATTTGTTCAACCATTTCAAATCATGCATATTCTCATTTACGATGATGCATATTCATGAAAGTGCCTCCCTCATGTTGTTGTTTTTCTCCGAGTTTCACCACGATTTTTTTTTATAATTGCTCGTTTTTTGAAGCAATACAAAAGTTATTAACTCTAAATGAGTCATCGAAGAAAAAAATCCATCAACGTTTAGTTATTAAATATTTATACCTCACATATTTTAGATTGTTTGAGGCCCGCGATAATTCAAGCATATCTTTTGTCGTTATTTGCGCATTTAAATGAAACTCAAAATAAACACGTATTTTTAGCAGGTCGAAAACATACCAAATAGAATTTAAAAAAACATTATTTTCCGCTGAAATGTAACATTCAAATCAAAAAAATTTGTTGGGAGAAAATAAATGGAATATATTTAATAGCTTGGGTAGAGCAACTGCACAGTAGTAGGTGTACAGTTACAAAGTGTACTTTCGTGAATCCTCAAAGAAAATCTTGCTGTATCCTTCCTTGCCTTTGCAAATCAGAATGTGACAGAATGTGTAATTGAATTGAGGTAAAGGCAGTCTGCACCAATTTATTTCAGACGGTTAAGAATAATAAGACCCTTAAGAATATCCCCTTAAGAATATTTTTACGAAATACCTTACTAGGATGTTGGTAAATGACAGTCTCAAGCATCTTGTAAAATTATGGCACCTGGTGTAAAGTCATTTTCAAGAAAATGGTATTTTTGTAAACATTTCCAACGATGGTCGGCCGACCAGCGTTGGAAAAACCTAACTATTTTTCAACTACTGCTCCAAATTTACCATTTGTTCAGTCCAAATGTTGTTTGCTATTGGTTACATGTTCATGAATGGGTGCAGGCCTGCTAGACTGTTTCCCTTGCCTTACAATTTTCCATCATCTATAAATTGATCCATTTTATCTTTTGTGGAGTCAGGGAACCAGACTACTTGAACATTTTTGTTTTTCTTGGTTTTTCCAACCTTTTCGAACACAAAACTGCAAAAATGTCAGTGTAACAATAATTGATCTATTATACTAACCTCTCAAATAGTTCATTTCTGAAAATTACAGCAAAAGCCAATGATGTAACGATTTCTTTGTCTCGTAGATGCTGGCTAATGGGGAACACCACCTGGGCATTTATTGCCCCAGTCATCTTCGTTGTCGCGGTAAGACAATGTTAAATTTCAAACGAAAGGAGTGCTTTTGATTCTGATATAATCCAGCGAGCGCAAATTTTGAACTTATCATGGAAAAGGATAGCTGTTTGCCTTTCGTGTACATTGCTGTGTTAATTTAACGCAAATATTATTTCATAATGAAAACATGAGTTGGTGTATTTCCAACATATAAATGTGCCAATTGAATTCATTCTGTCTCCTACATTTTAAAAGCAGGTTGAACTTTGCTTATATTTTTCTTGTTTAATCCACATTAAGATGATTAATGAATTCATAATTAATTTTGCTGGATATCGGATTATAGGTCAACCTGATCTCTTTGATCTTCGTGTTGGAGTCGCTGGTGAAACTGAAAGTTGTGAAAAGTAGGACAGAATTCGACAAAATAAGGTGATAAATAAAATAACACGTCGACGTCTGTTTCAGTAGATAGAGCAATTTTTTTTTTCAGAGAGAGTTAAAAAAAACCGAAATACATAAATACTTGTAGCATATATTTAATATTTTTGGCCCCATTTTACTGGTATCATAACATAAGTCAGCGACTGAAGGGGGGGGGGTGTTGTTTCTAACCCCACCCCTTAGATCTGACACTGAAATATTACGTCTTGACATAGCTTAAATTGCTATAAACCCAAACTTGCTGAATTCTATGGGATGGACTCTGCGAAAAGTCTCATTTGTACAAATTGCGCAATGAAATCCCATACTTTCAAGGGTAACATCTGCTTAGAAAAGTAGATAAGGAAACACGTTTGCGATCATTAAGTTAAAACAAGTATTGTAATAACTTCCTGTAAAGCGCATTGAGATTTCGTATGTAATGCGCTATATAAGAATTAATTATTATTATTATTAAAACAAGCTGTTGAACGAGCCAGTTTGACCTTTGACCCCTAGGGTTGTAGTGAGGGCGCTGTTGATCGTTCAGCCACTCATGGGATACACCTGGCTGTTTGGACTCGGGGTCAATGCAGCCGATGGCGTCAACCTCATCTTCTACTATCTCTTCGTCATTCTGAACTCATCACAGGTAATTCAACAGTTTATGCAATTTCGCAGGTATAATTAGTGGAAAGATTCCCATATCTGGCCATCACTTAATTGTCATCATGTGCACAAACTCTAGTATGACTGAGATTGGTCTGGAAATTTATTCTCAATAAATACCAATATTTTCCTTGCTCATTTTGACCTTTTAGGACATGTTATCACTTTCTGATGGCTGATAGGTCACTGAAGGGGAAATTAGTGATGGCCAGATATGGAAATCTTTCCTTATTGGTTTCAACCTTCGCAGACAAAACGTATCTACCGACTCATGGGGCGAATTTAAAACCCTGTTCTTGAGTGACCCGCGAACACGAGTAGACGCTTGGTACTTCTATTATCACTGAATATAAATAGATACCTTTCCGCTGCAGTTTTGAATTCAAACCGACCGTGGCATACAAGCTCGGTGGTCGGTCAGTAAGAAAAACGCTGGTATTTGTTGTATTGTTTTGACATTGCAATTTCCGTTTTGTATCTCAATCTATTTCGATTCTTCGGTGTTATGGAACCTGCTTGCCTTTCCCAGTCTGTAAAATACACAATGTCCCATGTAACATGACTTCCTTATTGTGTCACCCTACAGGGCGTGCTCGTCTTTTTCTTATACTGTCTGAACACGGAAGAGGTGAGTTCTTATCAATACACCATTAACATAAGTAAGATCTAAATCGGTAACCAATTTACCAATTGTCAGCATCATGAGGTCATCAGTTGCTCTTTAGAAAGGCTCTGCGTTCACGTAGTCCAACAAATGTCATATTGAATCCTGACTCTCCGCCATAATTGTTTGAAGTTAGACCTACACACCTACGTCATGTCTCTACACATTTGCCCTAGCTAGGTGCATGCACACCTGATGAGTAAATTACCATGTGTCGTGTGACGTCATATGAACGGGCAAGCGACGGAAAACACAAACACAACCTTTCGCGTGTTATTTTACGCGTATAAAGCAGTTTACATGTCACCACTTATGTGATTGTTTAAAATACGATGTATGCTGCAAAAAAAATACGCTTCCGGTACCACAAAGGTTTATAATCCGAAACGTGCATACATGCAACATTTTAAGGACAACTTTTCAATTGGTCACTTCTTCTCTTCCAATTACTCTTCACCTTTTTTTCACGCCAACCGACCGTTTCGACCCACGTGCCCGGTTATGTTGCATGTCGAAGGTCAAACAAGCATTCGGTCGCTTCCGGCGCCGATTCAAACGCCGTGTCACACCGCAGGTGTCATTTGATCTCATGATGTCGACCTCCTCCAACGGAGTCGAGAAAGACACAGAGAAGGATGCCGGGAAAACTTGTCCGACCATCGAGAAAAAGAGTTTTCAGAGTTAGTAGACATTTTTTCTCAGGCCTCTCACAGTTACAAGTATTTTTGTGGTATTTTCTTTTAATCTTTTCTTATCTTTTATTATTTTGCATGATATTTGCCTCATTTTGAGAGGCATGTCTGATTTAGTATCTTTGTGGTATTTCACTAATTTGGCAATTAGAATAAGTGCATGGTGCGTGGTGTGTAATTCATTAGACATGCTTCTAGTAATTATATGCGAGATATTTGCTTCATGCGAGAAGCTTCTCAGTATATTATTATTTGCATGACTTTTGCTTTATGAAACAAGCTTCTAAACGGCAAGTATTTCCGTGCTATTTCTTAATTTGATAGGCCTCCCAGTATTAGGATTTGCATGGTATTGACTATAATGTTAAAGGGCTCCTGAAGCTCACTTCGTTGATGTGGCATGCGATTGTGATCTAGTATCATGGTATTTGCTTATTTGACAAAATACTTATAATGTGTATGGTATTTGATATCTAACAGCTTTTAGAACTAGACTATGCATACAATTTGGTTTCATATGTTTTAGTATATCTGCATTATATTTGCTATATTGCGACCTCGCACAGCTATTATCTGCGTGATATCTATTTCACAATAAAAGCCCTCTAAGAAATAGTGTGTTGCTTTAGTTGATAGGCCTGGTAGAGTAGGCAATAGTAGCACGTAATTCGCTTTCAGACCCGTGGTATCTGCATGATATTTGGTATAAATCTGAAAGCCATGTTATAGTATCTGCACGTTATTTCTTTTATGACAAGTCGCTTAGGGGTTGTATTTGCATGGCAGACAACTCCGATCTCCATGACTTGCTAAGTTGTTAAAATTTAGTATCTAAAATCATGTTATATCTTTGCTATATGGTTTGTTTGAAGGTGATTTTGTTCTCGTCCGTTATCTGCTTGTGCTTTTAGCTTTATTTACCCGAGAAATGATTATTGATAGTATTATTTTGGGGGGCTTTTTCTCCTGGGTATGCTTATGCACATCTCTTTTCCGTAACACTCCATGGCTGGATGTAAATTGGAAACTTGCGCTGGCATGCAGGGTTTAAATAATATTTTTTTTTTTTCATTTTACAGAAAATGGGAGGTTTGCAGCATGGAATATGAAACCTTTGCACCAAGGGAATGTCGAAAACACCTGTCAGTCTGTAATTGATGAGATGGATTTCTAGTTGTAGAGAATCAGCACATGAATTATAGTAGAGAATTTAATATTTAATAAAAAAAAAAAGATGGTTAATATGTGATTTAAGATACATTCATGTGTAGAATAGTCTCTTAAAGTTTATATTTTCATCGTCGTCAGATGTGATTTTTAAGAATGTAGATATCGAATGACCCATTTAAAGCCACGGCTTGTACAAAAGATCTGGAGGCCTTCAAGAGTGTGGTAGTTTGGGGTCAGTGAAAAATGAAGGACATTAAATTTGACTAAATTACTGGGAAACTAATTGAAGTGAATCATTTGAAGTACAGCGTCCTGCACGAGGCCAACAAATAGTTCTGCTTCCGGTTACACTCCCTACCCTTTTCTGACAGCCACTACCCTATTTTACATGGGGAAAATGAGAACAAAAACACCCAAAACCATCAAACGAAATTCCCTACATACCTACACTATTTTCGGATGCCATGTAACCGGAAGCAGAACTTTTTTTTTTTGCCTTACCACTGACATGCAGATGATGAATGGTAGGAGGATATTATGAGAACGGTCCTTACAGTTAAGACTACCCATGTTTTGGTGGTGAGAAATATGACCGAGCAAACAATCCACCAGACCACTCTACTGTCTCATTGACTCATATCAAACAAATGCTAGAATGACTAAACTTAACTGAAGTAGTAAAGTACTGAACAAAAGAAGAATGAAAATGAACATTTATTGCTGTGTAAATAGGCCTTATTGTATAATGAATTATGTTTAATGTAACTAGCATTGCTGCTCACCCTTTGCACTTGAGAATCATCCTATTGACTACTATTCAAATGTTTGAGTTCATCCCAGGATGTATAGCATCACACCAACTATCTCTGCCCTCACATGTCCTGGCTGTGGAGAATCAATCAGTGAAAAGTGCCTTGCCCTAGGACACATACCATAACCCTATTGTAATAAAAGTTGTCAATCTCAAAAAGAATACATTCCAAACATCCATGATAAAGGATATCTGCTTTATAAACGGAAAGTTTAAAGGGGCATCTTGATGAAATAGGTCAGGAAGTTGAAAAAGCCCAAAATAATCTGAGCAGGAAATGCATGTTTAGTGCCGACTATAAAGGGACACAGCCAGGAGATTATCAGGGCGTACGGTTTCGGATTAATTGGGCGTTCCGGCGACGGCAGACTGGCTCATGAGCATGTGCTGTCCTGCGTAAAGGCAGGCTGTACTCCACTGGGGAAAAAATCGGCAAAGCCTGACATCATAGTGAGGCGTTCTGGCAAAAATGAGACAGAACTGGGCACTGGTCGAAATGAGGTTTAGCGGGTCAGGATTAGGAAAGAGAATACAATTCTTCTTAAAATACCGTTTGTTGCACTTTAATCGGACATTCCGTTGGCAGGCTATGGCATTTTTTAAGATCGCACTATGGAAATGCCAAAAAAACCCACAATATTTAGAAAATTAGGCCTTAAAAGTTACGAGGTTTGTATTCGTGAAAATGAAAGCTGACAATTGTTTGTTTCCCTTGAAAACACAATTGCTATACTATTTCTTCAAAATATATGTAGTAAACATTATCAGATATGACAAATATCAATAAACCTGAAAATCGAATCGCCTCATTCGGGTTTTGCATTTTTCTTTGCAACGGCTTGTGCCCTGTTACGTCTCATTTTTCCAGAAAAACAACTTGGAAAAAATTGAAGAGTTGTATATAATGTATTGACTTAACTAGTAAGGACGTATGTAAATATCGATGGTACATGTTATATTTATTTAGTGTTTTTTCTGAATAGCTTCCTACTTAAACAGCATGAAACTCTATTTTTCTATATTCTCTATTGTGAAGTGTATGATGTAATGTACATGTAATAGAATGCATTGTATTTGCCGAGTGTGTTATAGAATTAATTATAGAATTATTTTAAAGATACTGTTAATGCCACATAAACAACCCTTGGGTGTTAAAATGCTGGTCTTTCTCACCCACCCAAAAGACACTTTGAACCTGTTTCAGACGCCTTCGCAACGCGTATTCCACACCCTCAAATTTGGAATGTTTACCGGATGAACTTGTTAACAAGATGACGCAAAAAGCCACACAGAGCTGACCACATTCATGTTATGTATATATTTGCCAGTCACAATATTATTTATATCAATAGCAATACGAATTTATTACATTTATTAAAATATTTTAGACATTCCATTCAGTGTTAGCAATACATAATGAGACTATTTATACTGAAGTATGGGGGGAAATTAGTAAAAAGTAAGTAATTTCCAAATTCCGTTACAACAGTTTTCGTGTTTTTGAGCACGTTGTCTTTTTATATTTTTATTTTTCATTTTATTTATTTTTTTTCATATTTTTTTTCCAGATTCATGAACTTGTACTGTGATACAGCACCTCGACGCTTACGGCAAAAAAATTACAATCGTACCATTTAGAATCGCCCAGTATGTCATCAAATCATGCAACCGTTATATAACCATATACAATGCAATGACAATAAACGCCTACTGTGGGGTCGAATCAAGATTACCATAACAATGGACCGATCCATTTAAGCCCCGCCCACTATACGCACGTGATCGGCAGCGCACGCCCCACGCGCCTCTTCAATGCCACGCGGCATGAGCTCATACGCGCGGGTCATAGATACGTTCACGCAGACTTGTTTCAACTTGGTTACTCAGTAACGGTTGTGATTGGCTAAAATATCAAGGGGCGGAGCTTAATTGACCAGTCTGGAGTACGTATTGTATACCAAACAAATAAACCTCTAATAAACCACAACTGGTACATCACTGCCAGAATCCTCACCATTCATCTATCTTGCTTCAAAACAAACATACATTAATGTCATGATACGAGGCTTCATATTATGCCATACACTTTGCAAAGGTGTAATAGCATTGCTACATGTATAACGAACGTTATCCAGCGGTATAACTTTATTTTACAATGGTATCCAGCCATTTTCCTTTATACAGGGGAAGCATGCATGCAGTTTTTCATATACATGTATAGACAGGTTCCCGCCTTTAAACTGTCAGCGATGTATTAAATCAGTTTTTTTTACATTAAAGTAACGTTTATACACTTTCAACAATACCTGTACAAGACAGTCTGCGTTCACTACTCGATAGCAAGCTGCTTGGCAATGCAAGGGCAAAGGCAGAAATATACAAACACTAAGGCCAAAAAAAAGAAATAAGTCGGTCTCTGGTCAGCGCGCGCGTCGATTTTAATCATGCGCGTCAATCTTTTTTTCCAAAAATGTTCCGCGGTAACCAACAGCGCCCTCTATTGCCGCACCTCCTCATTTTTTTTTTACCAAAGAGCACTAAGGAATGGCAAATTGCACCAAGGTAAATGATCGAAAGCACCAAGGCAAATTATGGAGGACAACAATGTACATGAGGACACCAAAAAAAGCAAAAAAGTACCCCACCTTGTCTGTACAATCCAAGCTTGAAGAAAAAAAGAAAGCAAAAAAAAAAAAGAAAAAAAAGCCGCGTCGCCGCGTCAATTCCGGAACTTTGGTTCTGACCAGAGACCGAATTTTTAAATGTTGTTTTGCCTAACAGCGACACTAGACCGATACATTATTAAGCCACACCCCGTGACGCTTTGACCAATCACAGCCTTGAGTAATGTACGACATGCGTCTACAAAAAGTACGACATGCATATTCAAGTAGAATTTGAATATGTAATATGTTATTGAAGAGGCGCATGTGCTGTTTTCCTACGTGCGATGTGGGCGGGCCTTAATGTAACGGTCTATTAATATCAGCTTTATTTCTATTATTTTGTTAATTGATTTAACATTTTATGTAATGATCATCACTTGTATGGGTTACGGATTGTGTACACATGCGATCCAAAAAACCCACAAGGGATTTGTTTGGTGATTTTAACTTATCGATTTATGGAAAGAACAAGTCCGCAACAATTAACGTGTTTTGCTGAATGATTGTTATTATTGTACATTGTACACAGAGCAATAAAATCGCTGCACTTGCAACTTAAGAGCGCAATTGGCCTAGTCTTTTTTTATTGCAGAGTTGGTAAGCAGTTCATTCCCTTCGTAAGATATTTCAAATAATCGCTTGTTACATGGAAACGCATGGCGGCCTCGCCCTCCATTTCCTACCAAATGCGGCCACAGCATCAGGGCGCCCCCTAGTGGTGGTGCCCGGCATTAGCGTCCACGCCTGGCAAATTCCAAACCTCGAAGAAGCACGCGGTGGAGTGGAATCGGAAGAGGATCTCCAAGGGCGCCGCGAGATGCACGATGACATACCAGGTGGTGGCTCCGTAGAAGCCGTTCTCCAAGGCGTACAGGTCGTAGCCTCCTTTCAACTCGTAGGTGCTGATCAGCCACCAAGTGATGTTGGCCACCAGCAGGAACATGAGAAGCTGCTTGGTACGAGTATGGCGGAAGTCGGCCGGCGGCTTGCGGTGCATGGCGTCAAGGATCAGCACGCACTGCAGCACCGTCTGGATGATGTGCGAGAAGTCATCGAAGAAAACCAGACCAGCGTGCAGCTGTCCGAGGGAGGAGATGGCCGCCACGAAGGTGTAGGTGCTCTGTAGCAGGCTGCCGCCCACGCAGATGAGCAGCAGCGCCGCGTCTACCCGATGCGCCGGGCCTGAATGATGGTCCTGCTGCCAGCCGCCTTTGTGGATCCCAATAAAGGCGCCTATACAGGCGATGATGCAGACAAGATTCAGGAAGACCCGGTAGCCACGGTAGGACATGAAGCTCTGGTCTCGCTTCTCGTAGTCTCCCAGATAGATGATGTTAAGGATCAGGATGATGACACCACACATGGTACAGAGCACGCCAACCAGCAGACCGCACTCGAAGCTGAAGTTGAACTGACGGGGGGTTTGCTCCTTGTGTGGATGGTGCACCCGTCGCCCGATGTTCTGCCACATGATGTAGGCCATGGCACCGGCAATGATGGTGTACTCGATGGTGAAGGAATACAGGAAGACAGAAGCCTTATACACAGCACCGCTTAGACCGTCAGCTGTCTTGCCAATGTAGCAGGGATCCACAGGGTAGCCACCCGTACCATTGTAAGTGGTGTTGTCTTTTTTGCGAAGGAAAATAGGAAAACAAAACAACAGCCATTAAAATCTAAGCAAATTAAGGTTTAATTTTATTGAATAGCATTCGAGTATCAAAACGTTCAAATGTAACATTCTTTTTTTTTTTTGGCTTATGGTTTTAAAGAGAGGTAGCAAGTGCCCTACTTCTACAGCTGTTGTATGTATTATGTTGCAACTTGCACGACAGAAGAGCAGGGTCGGTTACCATTGCTGCCATAGACTACGTATGTGCATTCATGCCGTGTTGATGTCGATGTGAAGATCGTCATAATGCTCACTTGCACAGTTGGAGTGTTCGTCCCACTTATCTCTATATAAAGACTGGATAGCGGATATGCATACAACATTCACACAGTAGACTTTGCATATTGACCAATTCGCCCCCGGTCTCACGAAGATGGCCGCGTATTAATACGAACGATCTACGCGTAAATACGCGCGCATTGTATCAACAGTTGACGCGCATTTTGGTAACGTACACATATTATGATGTTCTAAAAGGAACACATTTCCGTAGTGATTATTATTTCAAAAACGCCGAAAAAGTGATTTGCAGCATTATAAAAGTAACCACTACGTTAGAAAAATTGTAGTAAACCTTGGTCAGTTGGTCAGTGGTGGTGGCCAAAATATAAGTCAAGTGAGCCGCGACGTTACAAAAGAAATCAAGCTGTCTATAAAGACGACAACTTGTCCTTTGTAGATCACCAGCCGGTCTCATCAATATGGCGTCAAATTCGTACATTGTGCGGCTCTTTATTAGCTATCCAGTCTTTATATAGAGATCAGTGGGTTATAGTATGAGTGCCGGACTGGCTTATTATACATAAAGTTTACTATTAGTACTTACACTTGCCGTATAGGTTGCCGCCCTCTGCCGACACAAGATGGCCAAGCTTCCCGGTATATCCTGACAACAAACAGGTAACAGCAGATCTCAAATTAACTGGAAAAGGCTCACTGGCAAGTAGGTGTAAAAGATGTCAACGAAAAGACCCGACTCGAGCATCGTCGGGTTGGCGTAGCTTCCTCACCGAACACTCTTGTGACCCGGGTCAGAATGACACCAAGGACGACATGAGGATTTGTATGCAAGCTACTCACTGCTTTTCAAGACTCGGGGGGTTTCCTTTCAGTCTCTAAAACCAAGTAATTCTTTCACTTTCGGTATTGCTCCTGCTTCTGAGCTACAGTTATCTTGTACATTGGGTGAATTGGTTGCATTATCAGCGAGATTGAAATATATGGTCAGAGGCGGATTTTGCCTTTTCTGGTTAAGATAAAAAAAAAAGTGCAAGGTCCCCAATGTCATTCAGTAACTTAGCAGTGAGTGTCTTGACATGGATGCTTATTCGAAATTCGGCCATCAGCCATCACAACACCTGCGAAGGCCAGGCGATTAATATCCGCGTTACTTTTTGCGACACGACGTTTTTAGTTCTTACCTGCGTCATGTTTGGCGTAGCTAGACTTGAGATAGTCCAACAAAAAGTCCTCCCACGTTTCCTCCACCAGAGTTCGCACGCAGAGTGCTGCATTCGTTGCCATGAGGTGCATGACCGCAAGTCTATCAACAAAAGTACAGTAGATACTTTTTTTGTAACAAAAGCTACTTTTTTGACTGGCAATATTTCTGTTCTCCTTCATGGCATGCCAGTCCATCAATAGATACTGCCCAGCAGATGCCGTTACTCATTCATACTCCTTTGTGAGAGAAGCCAATCGGGGTGATTTGACTTGCTCAGGGACACAACGTACGGCCGGAAGTTGGATTTGAATACCCGACCCTCTGATCAGGTGTCACGAACCTTAATAGCCACACTCAATTTTGAGGGTACTTCGTGACCATGGCTTTGTTGTTTTGTCATTGGCACACTTGGGTGGATAGTCGTAGCCGTTAGCAACATGCTTTTTGTTTGACCCACCAGGAGTCAAGAACCCTAACAAATTAGTAACGTCCCTCACAATATTGAGGGTACTTCGTGACCATGGCATTATTGTTTTTTCATTGGCACACTATGGTGAATAGCCGTAGCCGTTAACAACATGAGTTTTTTGGGGGGACGGTTCAATGTGCAGCATTACGTACTTGGCGATGGGCTTCCAGCGGACGATACAATACTTGGAGAATCGCCAGAAGTAGTAGATCTGAAGCATAGTGAAGACCACGCACAGGATGGAGCCGAAGGCGAAGACGCTTTGGTTGCCGCAGTTCTTCCCGCTCATTTCAATGTAGGAGGCGGTCCTCATGATCATCCACAGGGAACCACCGATCCCGAAGAAGAGAAGACCCACTGAAAGAGAAAAAGAAATCCGCTCGTTTACCAGGTAATACGGTGGAAAGAACTTCATTCACTTTGACTTAACAGAATTAGACTATAAGATTATTAGGCTTTGCATGGTGGAGTATCAGTATCGTTTCGTTTTGCGGTAACACCATGTGGTGATAACTACTGTCGCTGAGTAGATATTTAGTTCTGATAAGAACTTGTCCTGCATATTATCAACTTTTGCTAAGTAGTTTTAGTTCTGATAAGATTATCCCTGCTTTAAGTTCTAAACGAACTTGTCTTTGGTCTCAACTTTCTGACTAGCTTGCTCTCGTCATGATCAGGAGACTGGGGAGAGTTGGAGATGCTGCTCCTTAAGTAGGCTGTGTTAGGATTGGGAGTGCTTGCGTTGGTAGATTCTGATTGGATTAAATTATTGAATTGGGTCAGAGAAGAAGTGAACACCATAACGAACTTCGTGGAAATATCCAGATTGGAGAATATTCATCTGTTTTGTTTACATCGCCTTAGATGGCATCACTGTCCTGCTCTTGTCTACCCATGTATGCCCTATATTGGAATCCACATCAGCTCTTAAAAAAGCCAAGTGCTCCAATAACATTACATAATAGCACTTGATAAAGACACAACGCTGCACTTTAAGGAATCTAACGCACAAAAGAGGTACACACAAGTCTACAACGTTTCACAAGAAAATCGTTTACGCATTGATTCCCGCCATCAACCTCGATTTCCATCCGTATATTTCACGAGGAAATCATAAGTCTAACTTATCCTCGGCAAGTTATTCGTTCTTGTGAAATTGTTGTTCCCGAACGTTTCTTGTGCATACAGTACATTTGGCTGCCTCCAAGTAGCACACTTTGCCTGAGGCCATTTCATGTAGTTATGCTAAGACGCTGGGATCCAGTCAAAACCAATGTACTTCCATGACATCTTGGCTGGTAACCAAGTTGTGCTAAGCAATAATCTTCTGTGCTTAGCAAATGTCTGTGCTTACCATGCAGTTCCATGATATTAGCGCACGCACCCGTGTTTTACCATACTCTCGAGGACAATGCTTTGTGTTTCCCTTTGTCCCTGTAATATAACACTTTCCCATAGACTAAGCACACTAACTAACTACAGGGGACCGTTTCCGACAAAAGACCCGACTCCCGAGGACTGAAAGGATCTCAGTTCTTCCTTTGTGTATCGGTCCTCGGTGTTATGTAGAACACGTACATATCCCCTGGTGCGACTTGGTTCTTATTTGATCATCTTACCGTACAAGTACCGGCTTCCAGCCTCGGCGTCCGTCCGCTCCTCGTCATCGCTGGCCGGTAGCGGCCGCTTGAGCACCACTACCACCAGTATCCAGGCGATGGAGATCAGGTACAACATGATGAAGAAGCCTTCAACGTGTGCCGGCGTGACAGCGTTCACTCCCTCGGAGTAGCGGAGGAATATCTGAGCCGTGTCTAGGACAATGACGATGGTCACCACCACCATGGCGTGCATCATGCTCAGGAGGGTCCAGACATCGTCACTAAAATGGAACAAAAAATGTATTCACTGCCTGGGTTCGAGATCTCAGCAACATGACGGGAGTCCGTGGTTATTTCCTTGTCTGTCATATGGCCCGGGTTCGAGTCCCACCCAGGTCCACATGTTAAATGGGTGCTCATCCTTTACCAGATTCCGTCCTTTGCCATACTGATTTTTCTTCTGTGGTTTCCTTCCAACAGTTTAAACAAAATTGTCGCCATTCCCTTTCCTGTAAAGATTTTGAGTAATTCTTGGTTTCTCTACCAGAAAATAAATAATAATGATAATGCATTATATTTTTGTTATTTGTATTATTATTATTATTATTATTTTACTTCATTGCATTGAGTACTGACGTCAGCATCGTGTGATGTACAGTGAAATCTCGATGAGTCAAATCTAAAGGGATGGATAGAAACTTTTGAGATATCCGAAGTACAAGTAACACAAGTTCCCAATTTTCTACGATCGCGTACAATTGACCTATCGCCATTAAATTTGCGAGTTAGCCACGCCCCTTAGAACACCCTATGGAATGTGTACGTTAAGTTTTGTTTGTCTCAGATTTTGCGCGTTCCGCGTCCATTTGTATATCATGTAATTGGTCAATATTTCACAAGCTGCGTTGACGCGATTCTAACGCAATAGGTTAATTTATCGCCTATATCAGACTCACTTATCGTCATCGTGCCCATCCTCCATGAGCCTCTCGTTGTAGTGATGGGTCTCCGGTTCGACTCCAATATGAACCCCTGTCGGGTATCGTAGACTCAGCTCCAGGCTTCCCATCTCTGTCCCGTCTGCTTCTTGCACGCGGTAATTCTCACTCGGCGGATCGGGAGAGTAGACGATGTTGTAGGCTGTGCAGAACGAGAAAGGATTATTTTGGAAACCAATGCTATTTTGTAATTGAAATAAATGGGAGATCCAACAGCAAGAACGGCGTAAAGACAATAAAACAACCATCCATGAAATAAACGTCTACACTAAATGTTGCAGATTATCACTTCCTTAAATTTTTTTTTTGGGGGGGGGGATGTGGGGAGGGAAGGGCGTGAGTGAGTGGAGGTGCTATTTATCAACAAATTAGCTGATAACATTTTGTCTTCGATGCATTTTAATGAAATCATCTCGACAATTTTTTACTGACAGTGAACTTTAAGCTTTCTTACAAAAACATACAATTAAAGAGACACCTTTTTTTTGTAAAATCATCTTTTGACAATAGTATGAACATAGAAAAGGCCCGAAATTAACCATGGAATTACTAAGCTTCGCGTATACTGGCGCTGCAATAATGTATATATAATATATTGTGAATCTTAGCGTCCTCCCAGGAGGCGCATGCACTCGACAGAAAACTCAACCTTCAGTTGGGAGCAACAACCGGTTTTTTTTTAACCCCATGGGCCCGGGGAGCGGTCATGGCCGCGGCCGCTAATCCTCATTGGAATGCATGTTTTGCCAGCTGTGGTATGCCGTGGCACACGGCTAGTGGGTAGTTCCACAGCTGCTGCTTTTGTGCAGTCCCGCTACCACACAAAGGCTGTGCAGTCATGCGGGCCACTTGCTCTATGTGTGGAGGAATGTCCCCATTATAACCCGTGCTTAAGGGGCATCTTTCTGGCTGCGTCTATCATTGGTATGTTCCCCGTACCACATGAAGCACAATAACTATTTCATATTCCCAGTAAAGTAACTTGCTCGGTGACATGAGAAATTGGTCATAAGCACCGTTATGAACACTCCATCTAAGAAGTAATACAGCAAGCAGACAGTTTGCAACGAGAACCCACGTTATGAATGATCTCTTTCAGTAAAGGTAGCCCCATATGGTAGCCCCCTAACAATTACATATGTTTCGTCTTTTCCTTGTATTTTGCCGTTTAATGGTCTTGCTTTCCTATCATCACAAGTTGCAGTGTTGGTGACTGTACACCTTTTCTTGATTTGTAATCTTTTAAGAAGACGTTTGTAACAATTAAGCGTGTCCTACTCAATCCATAATCCGTATAAAAGACGGCTTGTATGAAGACTGCCCACAGGGACACAAGTCTAGACTTGCATTTTTACTCAGCAGTTTAAGATATTCTGGATGTCATACACCAGACCTGTAAGCTTGACTTATGACGCTGATAAGCCATAAGGAACGGGCCCAGTTTGGAAGTATCGTGGGTCAAAATCCGTGCTTCCTGTTTCGAAAGCATGGACCAGCCATTTCTCTAAAAATAGCAGTGCTGATTCGAGCAATGACGAAGGGTTGCGGATGAACGCAAGCGTCGACCTGGGCCTCGGCTCTGGGCCTTCCGCGTTGGGGACCTCAGACAAAACGCTTAGCATCCTGCAGTAATAGTAAAATGTTGTCGAGAACGTATATCAATTGAACTTGTAGCTGATTATATTAAGTTAACAGACAGACAAACAACAGAATTTCAGGAGTTCATTCTAGCTAGCCACGAAAGTGTCCGGTTTATCATTGCATCCGGGCAGCCACCGGAGACCTGCTGGCGAGCTGGCGCACTGGTGGTTGACACCGGTGCAGACACGAGTATCACGTGATGACTCGTTCATCGAACGCTATCCAGTAAATTTTACTTACACGTGTAAGCTTCTCGAACGCACCCATGATGAACCATAGATATAGAATATTCTATATCTATGTGATGAACACGCAAATATTCTGCGTGCACGTGTCATGCGCACGCGAATGTGTTGATCCTGAATTGACCTATCGCAGTTTGCGAGTTAGCCGCGCCCCTTAGACAACCATATGGAATAGACCGCTTGCAGACGCGTTCGATAATTGACGCGCTAAGGTGAGCGACGCCATGTTATGGGACAAAATGTGCGTGGATATATATACGCCTGTCCCACAACATGGCGTCGCGCGCCTTCGCGCGTCGATTATCGAACGCGTCTGCAAGCGGTCTATTACGTGTTCGTTCAGTTGTTTGTCTCGGATTTGGCGCGTTCCGCGTCCATTTGTACGCGATTCTACCGCGATATGTTAATTAGCAGGTGTACAAACTCCCTCCAACGACACCCTTCAATATGGCGGTGGGGTAGTAGGTTTGATCTAAGGGGTACTATTTAAAAATATTTTGCCCGACAGTGTTTAACCATTATTTTTTACAGTTGGCCTATACTGCACCCTTAATCGGCCTATCATGACAAATTATTGTCATAGTTCGGAAAGGCATGGGTGTAATCAGCACCTGCTTCCCTGATCACACAAGGATTTAAAGTTTCCCCAACCTTGCCTCATCACAGCAACCACCAACTCCCACGCATGCCAAATACAAACCCCTCGTAACTATGCACCGAATAACCTTTTAGAATAAAAGAAAGACCGAATCACCGAACATGAAAGAAAGACTAATTTTGTGATATGGTATTAAAATCAAGTATGTATTTTTGGGCACACTCGGTTCAGATTTCTAGATTTGATATTGCGGCTACCAATCAAATATGCTGCAACCCAAGAGTTCTTGGTTTGAGATCAATGGTTTAGACCAAGAAAAAAGTATGAAAGCTCAATTCTGAAGTGGGGTCAGGGAACCAGACTACAAGAACAGATTAGTTTTCTTGGCTTTTCAAGCATCTACAAGCCCAAAACGTGAAACAAGTCAGTTTAACAATATTTGTCTATAACAAAAGCAAATGTACGTCGTACAGTCCCTTTAACGGAGGTCCAGAACACTACAGTTAATCACTACAGTACAGTCTCAACGTAGCAGTAACAAGTAAGGCCTTTATACCGCGAATTTTGCAATACCAGATCAGGCTGGGAGATCGGATAACAGTGACTCATTTCCAGTCGACCGAAGCCCATAAATAGACGCGATTTGAATCAGTGATTTTTGAAGTGGATAGACTGTGAAAGCCAGGGATTAAAGTTGGATACTGGAGAAAAATGTAATTGAAAAGGAGCGTTCTTTGAGATTTCCACTAGGTGCATTGCCTATGTCGTAATTATGTATATCGAAATAACATCCGTAATCAAATAGGAACTGTATTTTCTCCATTGTTTTCTTAAGACAAGGTGTCCACTACCTACATCTGCCGTTTGACAGAGGACGCTTGTACTTGTAGGCTGTTAATATGTGAATATTTACGAGGTTAGATTACAAGACTGTCATTGGGTCTTCTTTGGTTAACATTCTTTTTTATTTGACCGGAAACTTTGCGATTTGCAACAAGTTCAATAGTAATTGAACTACAATACAAGTTGTATGTTATGATGCGGGCTAATACCGCCACCAAGAGTTGAAAAACCCTTCCAGTAATGGTTTCCAAGTATACATTTTCTGCATAGATTTTCTTGAGATCCCACAAACAAAATCTTAGCAAATATCTCGTGACGTTAGAAAAATTCAAAATCCGGTAGCATGGATGAAAAACAACAATTGTAACTGAGCAATAACGTCCATTGCAAAGGCAAGGTTGTCCGGCAACCATGTTCAAGACCTGTCTCTGACACACGACTTAACTTTGAACTTCAGGTACCTTAATTTGGAAGGTCAATTTTCTCTAGGACACCCACGCCTGCGCAATATCCGGGAACGTTACGTGGGAGTAGGGGGACTGTATTACATCAAGTCCTGACCGCTTGTGCGTTTCCTCAATTAATTAAGTATGCCATTGAGCAACATCCTTCCCATGAATCATTGCATCTTTGGAGGGTCAAAGGTCAACGGGGTTAACAACACAGAACTGGTAACTATGTGGGTAGGGGACACTGTCGGAAATGGACATTTTTTGATCATTGTGTCATGAGAGACAAGCAACTTTTCTCATTAATTAGATTGCTATTGTACAGCACCGCTGTAATGCGGCGTTGAAAATGGGTTTTCTTTTTTTTACAAAACACATTATTTATTTCCTTTGTTTTACTTCAAATGAAATGTATAGTCCTACCTAATTTATCTAAAATTTCTACCCAAAACTCGATTGGAGTCACCTTTTCATCTTAATACTTGTCACAAAAAACCAGAAGTATTTTAAGTACTTTATTTAACACAAAATGTTAGTACTTTAACTAAAACGAGTTTAAGTACCTTAACTTATTATGTTTAAGTACTTTTACTAACCATAAGTGGTGGGCAGCCACGTTAGTCAGGCACAAACAAGGGAAAAGTAAGGTCCCACTTACTTAATGACTTACCAGAAAAAAAACTAAAAGTTTGCATAAGCTTTTTCAGCTACAACTACTTCATCTGATGCACTAAAGAAAGGCACATAATTATTGTACAAGCCTTGCGTGATGATGCCCCTGTTCATTGCATCTGATGAAGCAGTCGCAACTACAACAGCTTATACAAATGATTACTTCTGTTCTTGTATAGTGCTTCCTTACTTTTCCATGGGTTTTAACTGACAAACAGTCTGTGAAGAAGCAAAACCTAATGGATTTGCGTCACCCAAACGCAAATTCCATCATATGAATAACTTCCAAATAGTTCAAGTCCATGCCTTGTATTGTTCGTACACTTTGAGTGGAAAGGGTCCACATCTACTAATAAGGTCGCTCCTTCATTTAAATTAAAACAAATGCCACCTCGAATATCAGCCTGGCTGTAGGCCTGTTTATGTAACTGCGCCTATTTTAAGGCACTGTACTGCTCATCACGCGCCGGCTGGAAATTGAGGCAGAAATATCGTGACTCAGTCTGAGCCTTGTCGGAGTTAGACACTCGTCCTATCAACTTCCTGTGGAAGGCAGATATTTCTGACCAACCCTCAGTTCCCTTAAAAAAAAATCTGGGCTAAAATTAAAGCCAAGCCTGCCGAATTTGGCTTTACACTGTGCGTCATTTACCTCAGGATTCTCCCCACGAGACTAAACGTTACCGCCTGACAACTGACTGAATAAAAGAGACCTGTTATTCTGGATCGAAAGTTTTCTTTTAAAATTCGTTTTAATTGTGGAGATGAATCTATATTACTGATATAACAGGTGTAAGTTTCACAGTGATGGACACAATTATGTAAGAGGCACTTAACTGTCATAACATTGTCTTCTTGGAAGAAGAGATGTGAAACAACATAACAGGATATGGCGAATTATGATAGCAAACAAAGGGAGGTGATTATTGTCTATTCCCTCCAAAAGAGAGCGTGTGTTTATTGCGTCATTAAAAAAAATAGTGATTTCGACAGCCATTTTTAGCTTTTCATTCAGAAGACCAAATATGATGCGCATATACGGTTGCCAGTGATTTAATTACAACTTTACAATTTTCAGTTTTTGTTTTTCGATCACTCCTTACCATTATAATAAGGACTCGGAAATAACCAGTTCCTTTTTGTATGGAAATATAGATTGGTACAAGAAGACTATTGTTACTGCACGAAAGTACTTAAGAATTCCAATGAAACTGTAATATGGCATCTTAGGATGACACATTTCGCTACTGCATGTAGATGTCTTACTTCTTGCCTTTCACAGACAATAAAGGAAATACAGACATTTATTTGTAGATAAAAGTTCAGAGCCATGTCATTTTAAACTCTGGCTTTATTGAAACGCCTAGAAAACCGAAAGATTTCTTGTCAGCACGCGCTCTATAATTGGTCCGGAAGCAGCTAAGCATGAATCATAGGAGCAAGTCAAATCATAGCCTGGGCTAGCCTCTTCATCGGCGGTATGGACAACACTATGGCAAGTACCACAGCATCTGCAAAGACCAGGCTATCATCAAACTGCACGTTTTTGCAAATCTGTGGTTATAATTAAAAATGTCTTTCCTGTTCGGAAAGTTGGCCAATTCATTTCTATTTGTGTATTATAGTATAAATAATCATATAGCAAAAAGTGGGAAAAGTCACTTTAGGTTCAGATATTGTTATTTTCCATTTAGGCCTAGTTCAAAGAATTGGTTAAAAACTGTCCAAATTTGTTGTAACTTAGAAATTCCTTGTCATTTACAAATTCCATATTAATCTCATACGCCAAAATGGAAGTTATTTTCTTGAGTTCGCGCTGATTTCAACTTTTTTACAAGAGCTTTGTTATTTGGAAGTTTAAGAAAACATAGCTTTCAAGTTCTAAAATGGGTCTCCTAACTTGAATCATGCAGACGTTCTTCTTATTTTCAAACCACGCCTTATTTGACTTGTTTTAATCACTTTTCCACTCCTACCTTTGTTGACTTTCTTCTTGGTCCGGTCCCACAGTGAGTTAAAGTTCTGCTGCAGCGAAGCCAAGTTGAGGGATGGAGGCCGGTTGTGGTCTACCCGGTTGTAGTCCTGCTGGTACCGCTGCCCACGTCCGAGGGATGAGCACTGCTGCTGACCAGGCTGGGCTCCCCCACGAAATGGGACCACATGCATCCGGGAAGGCCTAGTGAAGACGACTGCTGCACCGAACTTACCCACTTAGCGCCCCGTCCACTCTAACCAATCTCCCGTGCTTTTTATGCCGCGCGCCGGTCAGCCCTCTCCACAACTAACAGGTCACGTTGTCAGTCAATTAATTACCACTCAATCTTTTTTTTTAACTTCTTGTCGATGGAAAAGACACAGTCGCCTGTGCCTAGACTCGAGCCACGTTGACTTGCGATAGGAAGAACGTGTTACTGACGGAGGTCGGAAGTGCATTGCAGTTGACGTATATCGGCAACTCCAGCTAAAAAAAAGGAAGAGAGAATTAAGGGTTGGGGAGATTATGGGACGTTCCATTACAAAATGGGGAGACAATGGACCGATCCAGTAAGTCCCTCCCACTGCGCGCAAGTGGGCAAATTAACACGCGCTCCGCTCCAATGCCACACTGCATTTTCCTGCCGCGCGCATCATACGCGCGTGCACGCATGTCGGACTTTTGTGCACGCACGTCGTACATAAATCACGGCTGCGATTGGTCAGAATACTATGGGACGGTGCTTACTGGATCGGTCCATTGGACAGATTTAAATCAGTTTAACGCGTGTTCCACTTATGAAGTCGTAGGCCCATTAATAAATCTAAGATGTATATATTACATGACTGCAAATGAAATGCATGTGAACTTAATCTGATTTGACCAATGGAACGATCCACGTCTTACAAGACGGTGACGTTTTTAATGCTTGGATGTTATATTTTGCGAATGACGGAGATGAGGGGGCGGGGTTACCATCAACACTTGCACGCTGAAGGCCCCTTAATAAAGACACATCACCAAGAAAAGTTGCAGCATGGACATTTTTGGTAAAAAAAAGACCCAAAATAGTGATGTATACTTTAATACACCAATGCTTAGGATGTTTGCATACCAGAAAAGGAATCTACCTTTGCTATTCGCTCGAAACACATTTTATTTATTTTATTTATTTCATTCATCATCCAACAGCGCAAGCGCCAAAGACGGATGGATGAATTGATTAATTTACAATAAAAAAACAACAAATAGGAATCAAGACATCAAAACATTAAATTAAAAAAATACCAAACAATGCACAAAATGAAACAGGCTCACTCTGTGCTTGACTATCAATAAATGGGTATTAAACTGACTCTTATAATCAGAAACGAAGACCTGTTAAGTGTTTTGTGTACCGGGCTGACCAATTTTGTTGTGCTCCAAATGATAATAATAATAATAATTACCCTGGATTGCACATTTTGGGAGACATTCCCATAGACTTGTGCACTCAATTTTTCAAACTTAAATGTGCCCTAACCCAATATTCCCTTGTCCTTTCTCCACCAATTTCGGTATGTTTGCTAATTAGACCACGAGCAACAAATATAATCTAATTGTGACAACAAAACGTTGCCTGTAAAGGGGGGCTGTGACATTAGGGAGACATGAAAATGACCCATGTCTCCCATCGTGCGAAGAAATTACGATAACGTGTCTCCTTAATGGTACCATTACACGTATAATAATAATAGTGGCATCTTATTGAGCGCACCAGGTATATCACTCAGTGACGCTCATGGCGCTATACAATGAGTAATTATACAAACTACAAAATATTTAAATGCTAAGTCCTAACACATATGAACTGCAAGGTACAAGACAAGGTACTATAGGTACAAATGTACCTATAGTTAAGCTTATATGCATCAAGGCTTTACTTTCTTTCTTTTTTTACCCTTGAAGATCAGACAATTCTTAATAAAATAACGAAAGTGATCGTTGGTCCATTAGCCATGCGGTAATGGATTCTGAAGAACGATGGTTTGGAATTGAACAATGGGTCATTTTACGATGGGTTTTTTCTGTCAGTGAAATTTGCTCACAGATTGCAGAGAGAGAGCTACATTGATCAGATTACAAAAAGAACCGCACGCCTCGTTTGAACTGTGTAAGAGGCTTAGTGTAATATCTTGTTTTCTCGTTACAGCAGATGCAGATTTTATTTTGCGAGAGAGAGATTTGGATTAAGCATTGTTCTGAGTAATGCTCTTTCAAATGCAATGTCCTGCAAAAGGATTGAATATCCCTAACGCATATTTTTCTTCATTCTCGATTAATAAGCTATACCGTGTAGTAACTAATATAAATTGCTGGTCTTTCGAGGCTGGTCTTTCCAGAACTCACTCTGCCGCAATGGATGAAGCAGCTTTTCAAAAGAGCTCCTCTAAACGAGGACTTGCCTTGAGTATGGCGTTCGTGCTGTTCGGTTTTATCGGTTATATACTAAATGTATCTGCAGAAACCGTTTGCACTCGGCAGACACTGCCACAAGCGTTCGTTGCTGCTGAAAATCGAGTACTAAAAAATGCCACCATCTGGTCAGGTTCGGCTGGTAGCCGTGTCACTTGCGTCAGCAAGTGTCACTCGTTACCTGCGTGCAAATCGGTCAACTACTATCCACTCAATCGAGTATGCGATCTCAACAATGCCACACGAGTTGACGTCCCGAGTAAGTTCGTCGTAGACAACGCCAGCGTGTACTTCGATGGTAATGGCGACACACCTAGGTTCTCCGTAGCGACTAGCGATCACAACGACGTTCATACAACCGGATTCTCTGTCACACTGGAGCCACGTTACAGCGATTGCCAGAGTTTACTGGAGGCAGGTTACAGTGTGAGCGGTATCTATACGATATTCCCCGCGGGATTCGCTGATGGTCTAAGGGTGTACTGCGACATGGAGACCGACGGGGGAGGCTGGCTTGTCATTCAGAGGCGTCAGGATGGCAGTGTCGACTTCTACCGCGACTGGGCTGACTACCGCGTGGGCTTTGGGGACTTGGCTGGTGAGTTTTGGCTCGGCAACGACAAGTTGCGCATCTTGAGTAATTCTTCTGGATCTTGGGATCTTAGAATCAATTTGGAGGACTGGGATGGCAACACAGCCTGGGCTGAGTACGGAGGGTTTCAAATCCTAGGACAGGATTTTCGTTTGAGTTTTGATTCGTACAATGTCCAAAGTACTGCTGGAGACTCCCTTGCCTGGCACAACGGTCAGCTCTTTTCAACAATAGACAACGACAATGACCGGTATTCTCATCGTAACTGTGCAGTGGATGAGCAAGGAGCTTGGTGGTACAGGACATGTTCTTTGTCAAACTTGAACGGTATGTATGTTAATTCGTCCTTGGAGATACCAGGAGACTTTCGAGTCATTGCATGGTATACATGGAGGGGTTATATTTATTCCTTAAAAAGTTGCAGTATGAAGATTCGATCAGTGTATTAAACGTAATTATTGTCCCATATAAGTCACCTTTTTGGTAATAAGGACGAGTAATAATTATGTTACGTATAAAACTAATTAATCACATTTTAGAAATCTAAAAAGTAGCCGTTATATTTACTCTTTGAAAAGATGTAGGATGAAGATTCGTTTGGCTTCGTATATATAGGATCAGTAATGTTCGACTCATCTTTGTTGTGTTACTGGATATAGGTAATATCTTGGGTATTGTATGAGTTTTTATGGATGGTGTGTCATGTTAGATCGACCAACTTTTAGCTGAATTGTTTAGCTGTATTCTATACTTGTATTCCACGCCTAATTTTTTTTCCTGTACTTCGAGTAGCAGTTTAAAAGCAAGATTTGTTGGTATATGCTATCAAGCCACTTTGATTAAAGTTGCGGATTTTGATTCATTAATATCGTCGGAGTTACACTCAACAGGTCCCCTAAAAAGTAGGCGAATTATTAGTTCCAACTGGTCGTAGCTCAGGCTCAGTTTAAACATGAAAAGTCAGTAGCTGAAAGTTTTGTGTCGTCATAAGTTACACCTGTGGGTGGCTTTAAAGTTTACTCAATGCAGTAATTGTGAAATTGTGATGGTATGTACACTAAAATGTTCTATGTGAGGTCTCGTGACCCAGAATCCTGCTTCTTTTCGACCCGATACTTTTCAGGGTCAAAAAGATGTTTTCCAGGTCGGAATGTCTCTTTTCTGTTTTTTCCCGGGTCATGTTGGACACCTTGCGAAAAGTTTCATTTTGACCCAGAAAGGAGTCGATCTGACCCTAAAAAGTATCAGGTCAACTGGAACCAGGATTGCGGTTTAAATCTGAATGGAGCATTTTAGATTGATTATGATGTATCCGTATAGTGTCATATTTACAATCTTTGTGAGTAAGTTTTGGTAGCAAATGCTTTTCGCGCGTTAATTTGTAAATGGGCGCTAGAGGTTTCCTTTCGATTACCTGAATTTAGAATCGTCAGAACAAAACGCTTTGTAAAGGTCAGCTCATTGATAGAAGGGTTGTTTTAAAAGATATTTTAGTCATCTTTCTGAAGAGCAGCAACTCAATTTTTTTTGGTAAAATGAAGCAGTGCTTTATACAAAAGTCATAACAATATAGAAATATCAATGCAGTGTAACTGTGCACGCTTAAATGGAGAGGACGAATGTGGAAGAATAGCCATTTATTTTAAGGTAATCAATTGTTAAAGCGTTGCTATGGTTACTTAATCGAAGATGCATGTTGATCGATACAACATGAGCACCATCGCTGCAGCTACGGGCACAAACACAATTGAAACATGACATCATTGCAATCACCGCACGTCAAAACAAAATCCGCGATCAATATGTCTGGTGACTTGAATCATGTTTACTTGTTTGGAAGCGTGCTCGCTCGGAGACGAGGAGTGTGGAACAAAGGGGCTTTCAATACGACCAGGTTTCTAATAAAAACATTACTTCGTGGAGTAAATCAATTTTGTACAAGTAATACCATATCTGTTTTGATAAAATTCTACCACAAAGCATCGCTTGCAAGATGGAGGAGGTACGGTTTTTGAGTCGCTCAAGTAGACAGGTACTTGTCACCTGTCTTGGGTTTTATGCTTTCTTTTTAATCTTGCCGGCGTCTCAAGGAAGCTCTTGTGGTCATGCACTCTCACAGGAATTCAGTGCTGCTGAAAATCGAGCACTGGGAAACGCCACAATTTGGTCGGGTAGAGTTGGTACTCTTGTCGGCTGTGTGAGTCGGTGCCACTCTTGGCAAACTTGTCAATCAGTCAATTACTTCAAGAACAATCGCAGGTGTGATCTGAACAACGCCACACGAATCGATGTCCCTGCAGATAACTTCGTTGCAGACTACGCCAGCGTGTACTTCGATGGTAATGGCGACACACCTGGGTTCTCCGTAGCGACTGACAGCGATTGCCAGAGTTTACTGGCGGCAGGTTACAGTATGAGCGGTATCTATACGATTTTCCCCGCGGGATTCGCTGATGGTCTGAGGGTGTACTGCGACATGGAGACCGACGGTGGAGGCTGGCTTGTCATTCAGAGGCGTCAGGATGGCAGTGTCGACTTCTACCGCGGCTGGGCCGACTACCGCGTGGGCTTTGGGGACTTGGCTGGTGAGTTTTGGCTCGGCAACGACAACTTGCGCAAGTTGAGTAATTCTTCTGGATCTTGGGATCTTCGAGTCGATTTGGAGGACTGGGAGGGCAACACAGCCTGGGCCGAGTACGGAGATTTTCAAATCTCTGGACAGGATTTTCGTTTGAGTTTTGATTCGTACAATGTGCAAAGCACTGCTGGAGACTCCCTTGCCTGGCACAACGGTCTGCCCTTTTCAACAACGGACAATGACAATGACGGGTATTCTCATCGTAACTGCGCAGTGGATGAGCAAGGAGCTTGGTGGTACAAGAAATGTTCTCGGTCAAACTTGAACGGTATGTATTTTAATACGTCCTTGGAAATACCAGGAGACTTTCGAGTCATTGCATGGAAAAGATGGAGGGGTTTTATTTATTCCTTGAAAAGTTGCAGTATGAAGGTCCGATTGGCAGTGTAAGGTAGTTATTGTCCCTTATAAGTCACCTTTTTGGTAATAGGGACCTTGAAGCCATTTTACGGTCATGTTTCACGTGAATCCAAAACGAGAGATAATATTTTACGCAGACTTGTTCATTTTATAATCAAAACATTTGTTTTGAAGTCAAAGTCGTAAGTGGCAGTTAGTGATTATGTATGTCGCAGGTCCACCTATTACAATTTACGGGTAAACCCGGCCGATTCGATAATAAGACGGTACTCGAGACAATAAATTCAAAGGACAATTTGATTTACATAAATCGAAGAAATTCTAATTAGCAACTAGCACAGCTCAATTGGGCTACGCTTTGAACGAAACGATCTGAAAGAACATTACAAGTAGGATATAGGCCTAAACATCCACACAACTATCCTTTCAAAACTGGGCGTTTTTGTGTTATTCCTGTATTATGCGTGCGTGAACGATTTTCGGGTCCACTTTTGCGACCCCAAAAATTAGAGCTGTGTTGATGCTAGTTGTGATTTCATCCGCAAAGTGTTCGCTTTTTGCGGACGTGTAAGATGGAAGGGATGTTTTAAAAGATATTCTCGTCATCTCTCTGAGGAGCAGCAACTTTATTTTGTTTTTAATACAATGAAGCAGTTATTCTTAGAAAAGTTACAACAACGTAGAAACATAAAAGCTGTGTAACTGTGCATGATTAATTGGAGAAGACGAATGTGGAAGAATAGCCTTTTCTTTTAAGGTAATGAACTGTTAAAGCGTTGCTATGGTTACTTGATCGAAGACGCAAGTTGCTCGATACAATATGAGCAACATCGCTGCAGCTACAGGCACAAACACAATTGAAACATTACATCATTGCAATCACCGCGCGTCCAAACAAAATCCGCGATCAATAATGTGTGGTGACTTGAATCATGTTTACTTGTTTGGAAGCGTGCTCGCTCGGAGACGAGGAGTGTGGAACAAAGGGGCTGTCAATACGACCAGGTTTCTAATAAAAACATTACTTCATAGAGAAAATTTAAAAAAATACATGTAATACCATATCTGTTTTGATGAAATTCTATCACTTAGCATTGCTTGCAAGATGGAGAAGGTACGGTTTTTGAGTCGCTCAAGTAGACAGGTACTTGTCACCTGTCTTAGGTTTTATACTTTCTTTTTAATCTTGCCCGCGTCTCAAGAAAGCTCCTGTGGTCATGCACTCTCACAGGAGTTCAGTGCTGCTGCAAATCGTAAGCTGATACATGCCTCAATTTGGTCGGGTAGAGTTGGTACTCTTGTCGGCTGTGTGAGTCGGTGCCACTCTTGGCAAGCTTGCAAATCAGTCAATTACTTCAAAAACAATCGCAGGTGTGATCTCAACAATGCCACACGAATCGATGTCCCAAATAACTTCGTTGCAGACTACGCGAGCGTGTACTTCGATGGTAATGGCGACACACCTGGGTTCTCCGTAGCGACTGACAGCGATTGCCTGAGTTTACTAGAGGCAGGTTACAGCGTGAGCGGTATCTATACGATATTCTCCGCGGGATTTGCTGATGGTCTGAGGGTGTACTGCGACATGGAGACCGACGGTGGAGGCTGGCTTGTCATTCAGAGGCGTCAGGATGGCAGTGTCGACTTCTACCTCGGCTGGGCTGACTACCGCGTGGGCTTTGGGGACTTGGCTGGTGAGTTTTGGCTCGGCAACGACAACTTGCGCACCTTGAGTAATTCTTCTGGATCTTGGGATCTGCGAATCGATTTGCAGGACTGGGAGGGCAACACAGCCTGGGCCGAGTACGGGGATGTCCGGATCTCAGGACAGGATTTTCGTCTGAGTTTTGGTTCGTACAATGCGGAAAGTACTGCAGGAGACTCACTAAGTCGACACAACCACTGGCCGTTTACAACGAAGGACAAGGATAATGACCGTTCACCGACTATTAACTGCGCAAGGTCGGGGCAAGCAGCTTGGTGGTACAGGTTCTGTTATGATTCACACCTGAACGGTATGTACTTTAACTCATCCTGGGAAGTAGATGGAGACTTTCGAGTGATTGCATGGAAATCATGGAGGGGTTATATTTACTCCATGAAAAGTTGCAGTATGAAAATTCGATTGGCAATGTAAGAAACCCTCAGTTCTGTATTCGGTTGCTTCGTTTCATTATGATCTGCCGCTCATTAATTAAATGATTCGTGTTGGTCTTAACGTGGGTCACAACACGTGTTGCGGATGAAAACCCAACGATGATAAAGAACATTACGCCTATACATTGTATTACGAGTTTGGCGGTCTTTTGTGTATCTGTGTCAGTAGATGCCATCTTATTTACTAGTAACCTACATTTGCATCGACGAGCGAGCCGTTAAGCTATGAAATGAATACATATGCGACCCGAACCAAGGCACAGGAATATATTTTCTAGGGAGCTTTATTGCACAAAATGTCACCTTCGCTGTTTTGCGAGCAGTGCATTTTATTGGTCTACGTTACATGATATATGGAACGCATAATTGCCACGTTGCCCGTTAAACTTCAAGGACTGAGCGTAAAGCATTATGAACGAGGCAACGGCGCAGGATACGAGTTGCCCAATAAAGCCTGGCAGCAAGAAGCTGCAGACCCTCTGATAAAAGACACATTTTCCAAAAATCGATTGAGGGCCTGGTTTCATAACTGGTTGGCGTAGTAACGCTCTCAGAAAATCGCAGAACATTCAATAGAGCTATTAGAGCCTGAAAACAGCAAGAGTGACTGCCAAGGAGAATTGATATTGTACTTGCAATTTTGGGTTTAATTAAAACTGGTGCTCGATACGCGCTGGCCTCAGTTATGTTTTCTTGATGTCATGGAAACACGTTTTGCAATTACGGCATTTCGTTGACACTCAAGCATTGTACATGCAGTTGGCGTGAGACAGCGAAATGGAAGAGGTACGGCATTGTGGTCTCTCTGTGAGACAAGTACTTGTAACTGGTCTTTTGTTTTACATTTTGCTTTCTATCGTGCCAGTGTTTCAAGGAACCTATTGCGGTGGTATGATGTCACACGAATTCCATGCTGCTGAAAATCGAGCAGTAGGAAATGCCACAATATGGTCGGGTAGAGTTGGTACTCTTGTTGGCTGTGTGAGTCGGTGCCACTCTTGGCAAGCTTGCAAATCAGTCAATTACTTCAAGAGCGATCGCAGGTGTGATCTGAACAACGCCACGAGAGTCGATTCGCCAAATGACTTCGTTGCAGACTACGCGAGTGTGTACTTCGATGGTAATGGCGACACACCTGGGTTCTCCGTAGCGGATCACAGCGACGTTCATACACCCGGATTCTCCGTCACGGTGGAGCCACGTTACAGCGATTGCCAGAGTTTACTGGAGACAGGTTACAGTGTGAGCGGTATCTATACGATATTCCCCGCGGGATTCGCAGATGGTCTGAGGGTGTACTGCGACATGGAGACCGACGGTGGAGGCTGGCTTGTCTTTCAGAGGCGCCAGGATGGCAGTGTCGACTTCTACCGCGGCTGGGCTGACTACCGCGTGGGCTTTGGAGACTTGGCTGGTGAGTTTTGGCTCGGCAACGACAACTTGCGCACCTTGAGTAATTCCGGATCTTGGGATCTTCGAATCGATTTGGAGGACTGGGATGGCAACACAGCCTGGGCCGAGTACGGAGATTTCCGGGTCTATGGACAGAATTACCGTTTAAGTTTAGGTTCGTACAATGAACGCAGTACTTCAGCAGGAGACTCATTGACCTATCACAATAACCAGCCGTTTTCAACGAAGGACAAGGACAATGATGACGACTCAGGGTACGACTGCGCAGAGGTATATTATGGAGCTTGGTGGTACAAGGCCTGTCATTATTCAAACTTGAACGGTCTGTATATTTATTCATCCTGGCAACAATTCGATTACCATCGAGGTATCACTTGGGAATCATGGAGAGGTTCTTATTACCCCTTAAAAAAATGCAGCATCAAAATTCGATTGGCACAGTAAGGTAATGACTGAAACGAGTGAGATCGCTTTGCCTCAAATGAGTTAACAAGTTTGGGATATTTAATCTAAAGCGTGGAAATTACTATAAATTTGAACTCGAATTCTGACCTTATTTATTATTTCCTGTATCTTTTTCGTTTAAACCACCAATGCATGAATATTACCTATGGTCGAAAAATCGCAAAGTGTGAATTCGAATGTGCGTTAAAATTTCAATCTCATTTTCAAATACCTTTTGGCTGTAAATGTTTGTCTGTGTGTGTCGTACTCTCTAAAAAGTCCCGGGTTAGACTTGACCCAGAAAAGGGTCGTGTGGGATCTGACCCTTTTCTGGGTCAAAAATGACACTTTTCTGGGTCAAAATTAACATTTGTGACTCAATTTCCGGGTCATTTTGACCCGGAATAGTGTCAATTTTTGACCCAGAAAAGGCCAATTTTTGACCCAAAAAAGGGTCAGTCCCCACTTGACTCTTTTCCGGGTCAAGTCTGACCCGGGACTTTTAAGAGTGTAAGAGTGTTTGACAGGAAAAATAGTCTTTAGGTGTTGGATATTTCATTTTGATTGCTCCTGAAAGGCCTTGTAGAATAAAGATATCGAACACTTAGCAGGAAAAAACAGCACCGATTCGGTATCCCGAAGGACACAGATTGGAACTGCAGCTTATTTTGTTTCGAACAAAATGTATCAAACTAAAACTTATCGTTATGAAAATAAAACAATTTTTAAAAATTAATGATAATGAAACCTTTTTACCTAATTTGTAAAGTTAGAAGGTAATTGTGTTTGCCGTGCAGTTTAATGCTCGTCGAAGATTCGAATGTCGCTTTACAGGGCGAGTTTTAAAAAAAAAAAGTCCCTTTGGATAATTCCTTGTCTCCAACAAAAGTATCATTGAAATTTGTGCTGAATGTGGTCAATACCCAGATCGAATTTCGAATGAAGACAAAAACTTGTAACCTTGTTTCCCGTTTTTGTGGGAGACAAGGAATTATCCGAAGGGACATTTTTGACTCACCGTTTAGCCTTTACTTGAACATAAACCTGTTTACAAGCTTCAGAGTCGGATGTTTTGGTTAAGGTTAAGGATTAATATAACTGATAAACACCCGTAATGCTGCCCGGCATGCTCTTAATTGCTGCACCGTTATGATGTAAAAGTTACTTTCACTTTTGGGTGGATAAATATTTTACAAGTTGTGGAATGAATTGTGATATTCAAAGCTGGTTGATTGACTTTAGATGTGAAGACTTACACAATTACGTTTGTAAATGCAAAAGTGTACCTTTCTGTAATGTTAAATTTAAAAATTGTATTGCACACGATGTTTCAATTATCCTCAATCGCTTTTAAACCACACCTATTTGATAATCTTGCTTGCAAAATTTAACTTAGATTGTTGCCATGTAAAAGAGTTTGTGTTGGTTGTGTTGAAGTAAAATTGGTAAGTGGCAGTTAATAATTATGTAATTCGTAAAATTATTTTAAAATTATGCAGATATTTGAAGGAACAATTTGCTTCGAATGTGGTGTACGTTCGCACGAACTATTATTTGGTGTATTTAAATCGGCGGCGGTAGCTCATAAGGGGCCGTATCATAAGTCCGACGCCTCATAGGTCCGACGCCTCATAAGTCCGGAATTTCGGACTTATGAGGCGTCGGACTTATGAGGCATATCATTTATTTATTCCGCCTCATAGGTCCGACGCCTCATAAGTCCGACGCCTCATAAGTCCGACAACGGAAAAACGAGGCGTTTAATTTGTCGGACTTACGAGGCGTCGGAGCTATGAGGCGTCGGACCTATGAGGCGTCGGACTTATGAGGCGTCGGACCTTTGAGGCGTCGGACTTATGGGCCTTTATTTGTTTAGGGGATGCGATTTTGTCGGACGTATGAGGCGTCGGACCTATGAGGCGTCGGACTTATGGGCGGACCCCGCTCATAAAACAGCAATTTGTTGTAAAAAGAAATGTCGTATATGAATGTGATTTAGCACGTCTTAGAATTTCGAATATGTTCGCACAAAAGTCAATGATTTTGTCATTGCTTTGCGCGATTTTTAAAGTTAGGTTTGGCAAAAATTTACTTGTAAAGATTGTTGCACTTAGATTTGAATCTGTTTGGTATGATGTACTTTATGTGTATAGTTTTAGCATTGAAGTATTATTAATCACTGACATTTGCTATTCTAAAAATACAAAATGTGTCGGCAAATAATCAGTGTATTTCTTTTAGTTAAAGCGGAGATATCATTTTAAATCAACGTAGATCTTGTCAAGTTGAGTGAAAATTTGTGATTTGTTAAATTTGTTATTGATGCTTTAAAATTCATGACCTTATATAGAAAATATCAGTGTTTTCGTTAGAAGTGTGATAAGTGTTAACATTTTAAAATGCAATATGGAACATAAATGGAATATAGGTAGAATATAAATGGAATGTTGTTCGATAAAATATGCTTTCAGACGAATGTTTGTTCTTTGTGCAGGGAATTGCAAGATATTTAGACTGATTAAAATTACGGACTCGTATATTGACAGGTGTAATCGAGTCACTGATAGTCGAATCGCAGGTTAGATTACAAGTAGGAGATGAACAATCGAAGGAATGGTTTTCTCTCTGTGCATTCCATGAATTTTTCTAGACAGCTCGATGACTTGTGATAGACTTGTGTTGTGGCGCGCGATCTATCGCGGTAGAATCCGTCAACGCAGCTTGTGAAATATTGTCCAATTACATGATATACAAGTGGACGCGGAACGCGCAAAATGTGAGACAAACAAAACTCTGTGTAAAAAACTCCATAGGGTTGTCTAAGGAGCATGGCTAACTCGCAAACGGCGATAGGTCGCGCTCTTATGTAATACAAATTCTTGTAATTCCTTTCAGTCTTGCGTGGCTATAGAAGCACGCCCGCGTCTATTATTCGTTGTAGTTGGCTCAGGGCGTTGGCTCCGTCATGATGTACCGTACATGTATTTTCTGTAGTCAATATTAAATTGTTTGGAAGCCGAGTTTAAGTTTCCTGTGTTTGGATTTGAGTTGTCTAGTGTCTGTCCTCACGGCTCTATTTGTTCAACAATTGGAAACCATGAGTTTGCGGAGGATCCACACTAACTCCGTGTTCCTACACCGAGCTTGCCCAGTTCCTTCACTCCGACTCTGACGGCTAACGCCCCCGTCATCTGCCCTTACCGGCACGGTAAGTTTTTTTTTTTTCTCAAAGTGACATCAGGTTTGAATGGTTCAGTTTCTCTTGTAAATAAATGATTAATTGGTGTACTGTACACGGTTATTGAATTATATTTGATAAAGTGGAAGATTGCCCAAATTTAGTTTCATTTGCTGTTTGTGTTCCAGTATCAATCCTTCAATGTTTATGGAAGTCGACCTAGAAGAAAAACCAACAATGTCGGCCACTAAATATGATTTAACCGCTTCTGGACTAAAATATTCAGGTATTGCCGAAGAGGATTAGATGAATCTATTTCTAGATTTATAACTTTGGCCTCATTAAGAGATTTTACGGATGCCAAAATAAGCCGTGGCCTTACAGTCTCGAATATTTGTATATTCTGGAATAATGTATTTTCTGTAGTCAATATTAAATTGTTTGTAATCCAAGCTTATTTTTTTAGTGTTTGGATTTAAGTTGTCTAAACTCTAAAAACAGATTGGTTAACGTAACCAATCATTTGGTTAATGTTTGTCCAACCAATCGATTGGTTGACTTACATAACCAGTTGTTGGTTATTTCAACCACTAATTAGTTATGTTAACCAATTCCTCGCGCTTCTGTAACTTCTAGTTTTCTACAATCAGAAACCCCATAAGCCTTGTGATGACTTGATTACCTCAGAGTCTACATTTAGAGAACTACAAAAAGAAACAGCCATTTCTCTTTCTACACGTTTATTTTTTTTCCTCTTCACTGTTCTAATTTTTTTTTACCACAACAATCAATTCAATACCAAGTTATTTTTACAACTTTGCAAAGCAATGTACATCAGCGATCTGGGATTTTTGGAGATTTTACTCTGCAAGGAAAATCAACAAATCAAAATTAACAAGAAATCCAAGATGACAGCCATGAATACATACACACTTCTCAAGGCTTGTCCTTGCACAGAATCACTTTACTTTGTATTTTTTTAACGCGTGCAATTTTGAATGAAATAAAATGTTTAGAGCTTTACAGTCAATGAATGAAAAAGAATCTGTTCACAAATATTAATATGTTAACAATTCAAGCAACGAGAAATTTCAGAAATCAGGGGCGTTCGCGAGAACAGTTAATAAAAAAAATAGGTAAAGTACTTTTTAAAAGGCGTCCAACCACTGTTACGAACTGTCATTCAGACTAAGCTACTGTCCATTTCAATTAACATAAGTAGAGAAACACTTGCATGGTATGGATAATCTTGGTATAGAAACCATTCCGTCAAAATCAACATGATTATTACTATCAACAACCGCCCAAATTACACTGATTAGAAAAACAAAGTGATCAAATATTTGTTGTAGTGAGTTTCTATCTAGATTATTTTGCCGAATGTAATTTCAACAATTAACCATTTGTAACAATAGATATCTACATATAATTTACTTATGCGGAGAATATATTTAAAATGTCTATTGGATATCGTGCGCAGCCACTTCTTATCACAAAAGTGCATGTATTTGATACATTGCAAATCATGTTTTTATTTGCAGTTTTTTCTGTGTACATTTCGTAACATCCACCTTACTTTTTCAACCTCCAAGTTAACACACATGAATACACCACTAGCGGTAACTCGCCGTGCATTACTATTTAAAAGAAACAGTGTTAACAAACACCGCTATTAATAAAAGATGAAACATTTGCTACAACTATGGACCATATTTTGACAAACGTATAATTTGTAAGCTACTGTGACATATACAAATCTCATCCACAAATTGGTACGCGAAGGGCATGCACTACATACAGCTTGGTCAACAAGATTGCAAAATGACACTATACTAACACAGACACGATCTACAACCATCCAACTGTAACATCAATGCATTGAATGAAATACTCTTTTTTGATATTAAGTTTACAGCAAAGTACCCTTTTGGGGGAGGGGGAGAACAAAAACTATTTGCCTACATAATCATAAATTACAATTACAATTTGACCCACTGCCGGTGACCAGCCTTGCAACTCTTATGCCTCAAATTTAGAGACTGTCTATTCTTGCTTTTTCTCATACATAATTTATGCATCTCTTATTGTTCCCAAAGGTAGTTATTGAACTCTGCTGGTTCCGTTCTGATTTCCATTTTCTTTCTCTTTCCAATGTGTGCAGCCCTCATCTTGAGTGGCCTTTTTTCACGGACTTGTGATGAGCAACATGTGCCTTTTCACAATATTACACTTGTTTTCATTTGAGTGTACCCAGCATCCGAACAGAGGCGCAGTTAGTGACTGTAAACGTTATTGCAAGACCCATGCGTTTAGTTCACACTTTTAAAATGACCTTCGAATTTTCATGCTACATTTTTTGAGCGAGTAGTAAAATCCTTTCCAAGAACTCCATGTGATGCCTTCATCACCAGAATCTGAAGACGGATTAGTCAAGTACATACCGTTCAGGTTTGCAGAAGAGCACGAATCATACCACCAAGCTCCCTTCTCCAACTCTGTACAGGAATTATCAAAAGATTGATCATAGTCCTTTGTTGAAAACGGCAGGTAGTTGTGGTAACTGAGTGAGTCTCCGGCAGTACTGTCCGTGTTGTACGAACCAAAGCTCAGTCGAAAATTCCATCCCGATATTTGAAAATCTCCGTACTCGGCCCAGACTATGTTGCCATCCCAGTCCTCCAAATCGATTCGAAGATCCCAAGATCCAGCAGAATTACTCAAGGTGCGCAAGTTGTCGTTGCCGAGCCAAAACTCACCAGCCAAGTCCCCAAAGCCCACGCGGTAGTCAGCCCAGCCGCGGTAGAAGTCGACACTGCCATCCTGACGCCTCTGAAAGACAAGCCAGCCTCCACCGTCGGTCTCCATGTCGCAGTACACCCTCAGACCATCCGAGAATCCCGCGGGGAATATCGTATAGATACTGCTCACACTGTAACCTGCCTCCAGTAAACTCTGGCAATCGCTGTAACGTGGCTCCACCGTGACGGGGAATCCGGGTGTATGAACGTCGCTGTGATCCGCTACGGAAAACCCAGGTGTGTCGCCATTACCATCGAAGTACACACTCCCTTGGTCTGCAACGAAGTCATTTGGCGAATCGACTCTCGTGGCATTGTTGAGATCACACCTGCGATTGTTCTTGAAGTAATTGACTGATTTGCAAGCTTGCCAAGAGTGGCACCGACTCACACAGCCGACAAGAGTACCAACTCTATCCGACCATATTGTGGCATTTCCCAGTGCTCGATTTTCAGCAGCATTGAATTCCTGTGAGAGTGTACGACCGCAATAGGTTCCTTGAAACACGGGCACGATAGAAAGCAGAAGACCGGTTACAAGTACTTGTCCCACAGAAAGACCAACATTCTGTGCCTCCTCCATTTTACTGTCTCACGCCAACTGCAAAAATGTGAATAAGACCAGTGCGTGTATACCGAGCACCAGTTTTCATTTAACGCAACATTGCAAGTACAATATCAAGTCTCCTTGACAGTCACTTTGCCTGTATTTCAGGCTTGAGCAGCTCTATTTAACGCTCATCGACTTTCTAAGAGCGTTACCACGCCAACAAGGGTACCAAACCAGTCACTCGATCGATTCTTTTCGCAACATCTCATTTTAAACCACAAATTCATGAAACTTCTCAGCAGTTATGCTTTACTTGAAAACCTGCATATTGAGATGCTGCTCCGGTCATAACGCCTTCCATTCAATCCTTTGTCTTTTAACTGGAAACGGAACAATTAGGTGTTAAATCTATCAAAAGTATACCAAATTACATGCAGTGCTCGCAAAGCAGCAGTGGTAGCAATTACCGGCTTTCGATCTGTAGCGGTGAAAGCGCAAGGTGCGCAATATAGCTCCTCAGAAAAAATCAATTTTTGTGGCTTTGTTCGGATGGCATATGGATTCATTTTGTAGCTGAAAGTCAGTTCACCGATGCACATGTAGTTTATCAACAAGATGGCGTCTGCTAACACAGGGGATTATAGACGTACGACTGGAAGTTTCATCGTTGGTTTCGGCAGCATTGAATTCTTGAGAAAGTGCACAACCGGTACCACAAGCGTTTGCTTGAGACGTGGCCAAGATTAAAAAGAAATTATAAAATCCAAGACAGGTGGCAAGTACCTGTCTACTTGAGCGACTCAAAACCCGTACCTCCTCCATTTTGACGTCAACGCAAAGTGATAGTTGGAATTTCAGCGAAACAAATATATAGCATAACACGTACGTATTTCCAAAAAAAAAGGTATTTCCATGGCATCAATCAATTTTGATTAGAACCCTGTTGACAGCAACCTGCAGTGTTCCACGCTCCTGGCTCGCTCGATTACTCCTCGGCTCCGCCGAGCAAGTTCCGCAACAAATACACTTGAGTCAAACCACCAGACCGATTGAACACGATGTGACTACGAATGAGAGAACAATGATGTATTGTCCCAAGTCACAGCGGTGGTTCTCATATTGTACGCGCAACTAGCATCTTCGATCATGTCACCATAGCAACGCGTTAAAATGATTACCTCCAAAGAGAAGCCTATTCTTCCACACTCGTCCTCTCCAATTAATCATGTACAGTCACACACATTTCATGTTCCTACATTATCTTTTCTATGATGCTTGCTTCATTTTAAATTAAAAAAAAAACAGGCACTGCTCTTCAAAAAGGTTGCCTGGTTAACAACAAATCCGCCAATGAAGCTGACCTACAACGCGTTTTGTTGTCTCGTTCTGACGATTCTAAAGTCAGGAACACAAATTGAAATATCTAGCGCTCAGTTTACAAATTAAATCGCGAATGGCACTTGCTGCGAACACGTAATCAACGAGATTGCAAAACTGGCACTATTGTGTGCTGACACAAGTCATGATCTACCACCAAAATTGTAACATTCAGTGCATTGAAAAAACTCTAAAGACAAATATACTCAAAATGCCACATTAATACACATTTTAACGCACGTTTTGTTAGTAACTCCAATAAAAATTGTGATTTTATTACGGGCTCATTTTGACCCTACTGCAGAGACAAGTCTCGCAACTCATATGCATGTAATTTAGAGATGTTCTCCTGTTGTTTTTAAAGGTAATTATCGAACTCTGTTGCTTCCGTTTTTACTTCTAATTTTCTTTCTCGCTCTCTTTTCCGGGTAGCCCTTACCTTGAGTAGCGTTTTCGAATTGGATTTAAGCAAACAAAGATAACTCTTCTTTTTTCTTGTTTTTCTGATGAGTAAAAATCAAACAGAGCCCGAATCACATTAAAATAGGAGTAGGGTAAAAACAGTACCAGTCGAAGGTTCATGCCATTTTTTCTTCAGGATTTATAATATTATTTTCAGGGTATCCAAATGATGTCCTGATAGTTACGAATCGAGGGTATATTGCATTAATAACCTTTCAAACTGAGTCAAGTGATATTATCTCCTCGGCAAAATTTTGAAATTAAACGGGAAAGTATCACATGTGACTGTGTGCATCATAGATACATATCAAGAGGATGACAACATTTTACGCGACAACAAAGTATGGACGCATTCCAAAGTAATACTCACGGACTGATAAATTCATAATGAACGAGTCATTATCGTGTTTGTGCATTATAGGCTCAAAACTTTCTGGTAAACGTGTCTATAGGCTTTACCTCCCGTGCAAACTAGTTTTTGATGACACAGTTATTTGGGGAAGATGCATCTAATTCATATATATTTAGTCTCTAGGGAATTCTAAAGACTGAAACCAAGGACAAGACCATTTCAATAGAGAATCACACTCATTTTTGCTTAAAATACTATGAAAAGGCAAAAATCGAGTGAAAAGTTGATCTTTGTCGATTGAATGAATTTCCATTAAATGAAGTGATTTTTCACTCGTAGTGGGGGGTGTCAACTTCCCGACACTAGGTGGCAGCAGACACATTAGCCTGTACTGTTTGAATTAACAGCTGTTTGGAAAATTATCTTTGGTTGATAACGTAATGTTGCATCTTTCTATTTATTTGAAGCTTGGTATCAAAGCGACTGTCCTTGTTGTTTCCGAGCCTGCACCCCCCCCCCCCACCTTTGTTTTTTTGTGTGTTTAATTACTGTTTTTAAAAGCAAAACAAAAGATTTTGTTCACTTCTGTATGCGACATCAAATGAAAAATCTTCGATCGAAATTTAGTTTTGCTATACGTAACCTTCAAATTTCGCATAATTTGCCGTCCGATAACATTTCAGTTTTCACTGGTTTCCTACCTTGTCAGTTTCGATAAGGTAGGCCCCAGGAACTAAACTATTCTCAACCTGGGATGATCGTTTATGCGCAAAAGCTACCCGAAGCAAGTCTTTTGAGTTGCCAAAGCCTTAAGTAGAAGTTACATTTAGACAATCATTAAAATGTCTAAATTTCACAGGGGAAAGGAGAATTGAATTTGTCGAAGGGAATGGGCAGTAATCTTTCATGTTTAATGAGCTTGTAATTAGTTCATACTACTTCAATGGCTATCGAATCTTCATACTACATTTTTTAAGCGAGTAGAAATCTTCTTTCCAAGTCTCCCATATGATGCCTTCTGGATCGTCATCAAGATGTGAAGGCAGATATAAATACATACCGTTCAGGTTTGATTCAGAACAAAACAGACCATACCACCAAGCTCCATGCACGTCCTCTGCGCAGTCCGACCTGTATTCGTCGTTGTTCATGTCTTTTGTTGAAAACGCCAAGTGATTTTGATATTTCAGTGAGTTTCCGGCCGTACTGTCCGCATTGTACCAATCAAAACTCAAACGGTAATCATGTCCAGAGATTTGAAACCCTCCGTACTCGGCCCAGGCTGTCTTACCATCCCAGTCCTCCAAATCGATTCGAAGATCCCAAGATCCAGCAGTATTACTCAAGGTGCGCAAGTTGTCGTTGCCGAGCCAAAACTCACCAGCCAAGTCCCCAAAGCCCACGCGGTAGTCAGCCCAGTCGCGGTAGAAGTCGACACTGCCATCCTGACGCCTCTGAATGACAAGCCAGCCTCCACCGTCGGTCTCCATGTCGCAGTACACCCTTAGACCATCTGCGAAACCCGCGGGGAATATCGTATAGATACCGCTCACGCTGTAACCTGCCTCCAGTAAACTCTGGCAATCGCTGTAACGTGGCTCCACCGTGATGGAGAATCCGGGTGTATGAACGTCGATGGGATCCGCTACGGAAAACCCAGGTGTGTCGCCATTACCATCGAAGTACACGCTTGCGTAGTCTGCAACGAACTTACTCGGGACGTCGACTCGTGTGGCATTGTTGAGATCGCATACTCGATTGAGTGGATAGTAGTTGACCGATTTGCACGCAGGTAACAAGTGACACTTGCTGACACAAGTGACACGACTACCAACCGAACCTGACCAGATGGTGGAATTTTTCAGTGCTCGATTTTCAGCAGCAACGAACGCTTGTGGCAGTTTTTGCCGAGTGCAAAGGGTTTCTCCAGATACATTAAGTATACAACCGATAAAACCGAACAGCACGAACGCTACACTCAAGGCCAGACCTCGTTTAGAGGAGCTCCAAAGAGAACGTGCTTCATCCATGACGGCAGAGTGAGTTCTGGAAAGACCATGAAGTCTCGAAACACAAGCAATTGATAATAGTTAACACACGGTATAGCTAAGCTTATTGATCAAAAGTTTAGAAAAACATGTCCCAGCATGTTAAATCTCTTTGCATGAAATTGCATATGAAAGAGCATTACTCAGAACAATGATAAGCCAAATCTGTCTCGCTCAAAATTAAAATCTGCATCTGCTGTAACGAGAAAACAATATATTGCGCTAAGTCTCATTCAGAGTAAAAACGAGGCACGCCATCCTCCGTGTTATCTGATCAATATAAGTCTCTTTGCTATCTGTGACCGAATTTCACTTACAGATAAATCCATTGTAAAATGACCCAATTATTGCTCCTTCCAAACCACCGTTCTTCATAATCTATTGCCGTAGTTACTGGATTAATTATCACTTTCGTTATTTTGTTAAAAGCAGTCTTCAAGGTTGACAAGAAAGCACGTTTTGATGCATATAGCTTATAACTAAGTTAATTTGGAGGGGGAAAAGATTTGGGTCAACCAGAAAACAACCAATATTAAATCTCTTTGAAATATTGATTTGGTCTTAGGCTGCTGGCGAGAAATCATAGGCAAGAATTTCACGGGCTGTGCCATCGAATATTCTTTGATTAATTTCCAAATTTGGATTCGTTATATCACAGCACAAAATAAACTTACGAAGCAGATTTATTTCTACATCTTTATTTTTCCACTTAACAAGTTTTCATTCCTGGTCTCAACAGTGAGCTTAATAACCATTAAATTTAACAATTCGTCAAATGTAAGGACAGCAGCAGGTGCAGCAAGCTGACAGTGTCCGGACTTTGGAGTGGTTTTGTGACGGTGGATTGGCATGAGCAGACCAGTTGGTCATTTGTTGTAAACCGAAAAATGAGATTACAGCCAAATCAGTTATCTATGTCTTACACCAGTGCTTAGGCTATTTGAATACCTGAATAAGAGTCCACTTTTGCTATTCTTTTCAACACATTTTGAACATTATCGAACGACATCCTACTTGTATTCATTCATATTCCATATTGCAGTCGTTTAATATCAATATTTAATATTGATATACCAGTCAATAAGACGTTCTTCTCTGAACTGAATAACAACTTTTTCCACATGTTTTACTGAATCAACTTTAAAAGCTAGAACACTTATCACCTTTCTAGAGAGAACACCGATGGTGTTATAAGTAAATGAATTTTAAAACATCGTTTCTCAACAAAATAGCTATTTTTTTACATGCAACACTGAATAAACTTTAAAAATTTGAACACTTATCACACTTGTAAATTGTAAAATACACGACTTTTCAAAATTCAACAACAAATTGGACAAATCAGAAACTTACACCTAAAACGTGGCAAGATCTACGTTGAATCATAATGACATATCCTCTGTGGCTAAAAAAAAACATGTTGCGTTGATTGTTTTCAGAACTACACCTAAAGAAAATTATACAAAACTACATTCTTGCCAAACCCTAAGTTTAAAATCGCGAAGGCAATGACACTTTTTACAAATGCAAGACTAGTGCGAACAATTTTCAGACTTCTAAAACGTGCTTAATTAGATTAACATATCACACATCTTTCACTCAATTGCTATTTTATGAGCTACCGCCACAGATAAAGTGCACCAAACAATGTTTCTCGTGAGCGTATCGCATTAAAAACACATTATACCTTCAAACGTCTTTATCAATTTGACTAATTTTACTAATTACATAATTATGAACTGCCACTTTTACCAATTTCACACAAAACCAAGTTAACCAACCCATTTACATATCACATTACTAAGCTCAATTTTGCAGGCAAGATTATTCAAGTGGTATGGTTCAAAAGCAATTGAGGCTTGGTGAAAAGTCATGTTCGATACCATTGTTAAAATTTAGAATTACAAAGATATAGTTTGCTTTTACGTGCATTATCTTACAGTCTTCAAATCTTAACACAATCAAATAGTTCTAAATAAATATCACAATTAATTTACCAGCTTTATCTACCGCCACTATATTTATTCAGCTATGATATTAGTTAGGAGAATTCAGATAGTTTTGACATTTCAGCATTTGGTCTGATAAACAAAATCTAATAAGATTGAATGAGAATTAGTTCCTATTTGCACCAAGTGACTGTACATGTAGCTGTTACCCGATCTAGTCGTGCGTGCTTAAAGGTATTGATAGACACCATTTGCAAACATCCAAAAATGAAACTGCCAAAATATAATGAAAAAAATCTTACTTGATTAAAAAAAAGTACCAAGCATCCAGTGAAATCATTTACGCCTGGTATGCTGTCATTTGCAAGAAACGATGAATTACCATCATTCATCGCAATGGTTCAAACCACACTTTGGTGTTTGTAACAAAACGTTTGAATACCTAAAATATCATGCTGGCATATAGTGCGTATCATGAAAATTAGCAGGTAGAAAAATTGTCGATTGCTTGTTCGCATTGACATTTATGACGCGTCTTTACTAAGGTTTACAACCCTAAAAAGTATTTGGAGGTTGCAAAAAAGGCCAATTCGGAAACACGTGTTAACATTTTGGTGGTGTTAACGCATCATTGCTTGTAATAAGAACAAACATGTGGACAAGCATAACCTTTCGTTCTATAGGTTCACGTTAGGTTTTTCCACAACCTTTTTCTATCCCCAAATAGGTGACTCATGCATGGGTCAAAGTGACACGTTTCACTAATTATCAAACATTGCCAATCGAATCTTCATGCTACAACTTTTCAAGGAGTAAAGATAACCTTTCCATGATGCCCATGTAATTACTCGATAGTCGTTTGGTACTTCCCATGGTGAATTGAAATACAAACCATTCAGATTTGATTCAGAACATGTCCCGTACCACCAAGCTCCTTTCTCGGCCTCTGCGCAGTTACGAAGAGTACACCCGTCATTGTCATTGTCCGTTGTTGAAAAGGGCTGACCGTTGTGCATGTCAAGGGAGTCACCAGCAGTACTTTGGACATTGTACGAATCAAAACTCAAACGGTAATCCTGTCCAGATATTTTAAAATCTCCGTACTCGGCCCAGGCTGTGTTGCCATCCCAGTCCTGGAAATCGACTCGAAGATCCCAAGATCCAGAAGAATCACTCAAGGTGCGCAAGTTGTCGTTGCCGAGCCAAAACTCACCAGCCAAGTCCCCAAAGCCCACGCGGTAGTCAGCCCAGCCGCGGTAGAAGTCGACACTGCCATCCTGACGCCTCTGAATGACAAGCCAGCCTCCACCGTCGGTCTCCATGTCGCAGTACACCCTCAGACCATCCGAGAATCCCGCGGGGAATATCATATAGACACCGCTCACACTGTAACCTGCCTCCAGTAAACTCTGGCAATCGCTGTAACGTGGCTCCACCGTGGCGGCGAATTGGGTTGTATGAACGTCGCTGTGATCGCTGTCCGCTACGGAAAACCCAGGTGTGTCGCCATTACCATCGAAGTACACACTCGCTTGGTCTGCAACGAAGTCATTTGGCGAATCGACTCTCGTGGCGTTGTTCAGATCACACCTGCGATTGTTCTTGAAGTAATTGACTGATTTGCAAGCTTGCCAAGAGTGGCAGCGGCTCACACAGCCGACAAGAGTACCAACTCTACCCGACCAAATTGTGACATTTCCTACTGCTCGATTTTCGGCAGCATGGAATTCCTGTGAGAGTGTACGACCGCAATAGGTTCCTTGATACACAGGCACGATAGAAAGTAAAATGTAAAACAAAAGACCAGTTACAAGTACATGTACTTGTCTCGCAGAGAGACCAAACTGCCGTACCTTTCCCATTTTGCTGTCTCACGCCAACTGCATAGTCAAGGCTTGAGTATCACCGAAATGCCGTATTTGCAAAACGTGTTTCCATGACGTCAAGAAAACGTAATCAAGCCAGACAGTATCGAGCACCAGTTTTCATTTAACGCAAAATTACATGTAGGCCTGCATTATCAAGTCTCCTTGAGAGCCACTAGTCTTCCTCTATTTAAAGCTCCTATAACTCTATCGAATTCTCATCGACTTTCTGAGAGTGTTACCAAGCCAACCAGTCACCAAAACACTCCCTCTTGTCTTTTGATTTTTTGGACACATTCTTTTTTTTTCCACGGACTCATAAAATTTCCAATCAGCCATGCTTTATTTCAAAGTTGCATATTGCGCCGCTGCTCCTTTTGTGGCGCTTTCTCTTCAATCCTTGATTGTAATGAAAAATCACGCGAGGTGCTCAATATTGCTCCTCAGAAAATCAATTATTGTGGCATTGTTTGGATTGCATTATGGATTAATTTTATAGCCTGGAAGCGAGTTCACTTATACCCATATAGGTAATAAACACGATGGCATCTACTTACACAAGGGATAGGCTGTAGGGATAAGAAGTTGGATGATTTAACGTGGGATTAATTGATTTCAACTCTGCCCTTATAACACGGCAAAGACTTCAACGAAGCATTTCTCTTTCTTCATCTTTATTTTTTCCACTGCATCGATCTTCATTCTTGATCACAGCAATCAGTTTAATCCCAGTTCATTTTACAATTCAACGAATCTTGACACAGCAGCCAGCTTACATCAGCAGTGTTTTTGAGTGCCTTTTGGGTCCCTTAGATTGACATGAGTAGACATGCTTTCCAGTCGTCGAATTAAAACAAATCAAGAAAAAAATGAGTAGCCATACATTTTATAATTAGGAAAGTTGTAGACCAGAGCATTAATCCACTTTTGTTATTCATTTGAACATTTCAAACCATTTTCAACATTATCTGACCATTCATTACCGAAACGATACCTTGTCACTAAAACGTACGTTCTTTTCTGAACTGAATCACTTAACTTTTTTACATGCACTATCGAATAAGATTTAAAACTTAACACTTATTACATTTCTAGAGAGAACACCGATGTTGTTACACGTAAATACATTTTAAAAGTCAACAACAAATTTGGAAAATCACAACTTCATCTAAAACCCGAACAAGATTTGCTTTGATTAAAGATACAATTATATTATCATTGACAGCTAATCACATGTCACATCGATTACATTGCTAAACATTTTGGTTTTAATCAGGAATTAATCATATACTTCAGTGCTAAAACGAGATTTACATCAAGTTTATAATGCCAAACGAAACATTCAAAATTTCAATTTACGGTGATTTAAATCGTTAAGTGCATACATTCTTCACAGTACAATCTTGCCAAGCCTAGCATTTACAATCACGGAAAGCAATGTACAAAACAGTGAATAGCGCAAACAATCCTCAGACTTCTAAAGCGTGCACAATCATATTTATACAAGACAGTTTTTTTTTCAGATTGCTATGTTTATGAGCTACCGCCTCAGATTTAAATACACCAACAACGATTCTTGCGAGAGTACATCGCACTCAAACTATTTTAAACATTCAAACATCTCCACAATTTGGACTTCTTTTACGAACTACTTGATCATTATCTGACACATATACCAATTTTACCTCAACACAACCAATTGTATAACTTTCCCACAAGACCAACAATATTTAATATCAAATGTCTAATTTCAGTTTTGCATTTCAAAGCGTCGTTGTATATTCTTAAAATCTAAACTTAATCACAAAAATGTATCACAATAAATAAACAGCTTTACCTACTGCCAACAATTGTATAGTTTATCTCATGTTGAACCGTGCTGAACTCAAGTCAATGCGAAGTTTGTCGCGCTGAAAGTTTTTGAACTGACTGCATGTTGTGTGTAACCTGGCAAGCTACAGTAACTCTAGATACAGTAACTCAGTCTCCTGACGATGACTAGAGCAAGCTAGTCGAAACGTTGAGACCAAAGACAAGTTCGTTTAGAACTTACAGCAGGACTGTTCTTATCAGAACAAAAAAACTACTTAGCAAAGTTGATAATAAGCAAGACAAGTTCTTTTCAGAACTAAAATCTTGTAAGCAGTAGTTATTACCACATGGTGTTACAGCAAACCGAAACGATAACTCTAGATACATTATATTCGACTATTGTGGTCTGCGTTTAGAGAGCAACTGCCGTGCTATAGGCGTGCTATTGCACTGGCACGTCGTTTATTGAGAACAGGCCTTTAACACGTTTTGGTTTAAGTAAAGACAATCAACTATATAGAGCGACATTCCTATCTACAACCATGCAATTCCACAGCGATCATAATAAACAATTGTAACTTCACAAAGCAGAAACGAATTGTCCCTAACCTTTTTTTCAGCTGCAGGTTTTGTTTTAAATGAACTCGTTTGCCCCTAGGACCAAGGGATATTAACTTGTCCGGTTGAAAAAAATTAAATGAACGGCGGTTGGTTTCGAACCTCCATCCTTAACAATTCCGAATTAGCGGTTCTGCAGCTGAGTGGTCTCCTCTTTGGTCAATATCTTTGTATTGTTCGCTTATCAGGTGGAATATCCCACACTTTCAGTAGATATGTTTGAGTTGAGTTCACTTTTTTAAAGCAAAAGATTTACATTTCCAGTCGTTTAGGAAATAAATGTATCATTAATCAATCGTTAAAAAAAAAATTGCCCGACAGACGCCCTGGTTTGTATATATAGTTCATCAATAAAATTGGGTTCCTTCGATATCTTGCACGTCAATATTGATTTCTTTGTCTTTATATTGAGCACTGAGGTTGGTAAGAGAACACACTTGTGTGTTACCTAACTTGTCATGTTTTAGGGATTTTCTTACATTTCCAAGCGAATCTTCATACTGCATTTTTTCAAGGAGTAAAGATAACCCCTCCATGATTTCCATGAAATCACTCGATAATCTCCAGATATTTCCCATGCCGAATTAAAGTACATACCGTTCAGGTTTGAATCATAACAGTCGCTGTACCACCAAGCTCCTTTCATAAGCTCGGCGCAGTTATGGTCATCATACTTGTCATTGTCATTGTCCATTGTTGAAAAGGGCAGACCGTTGTGCCTGTCAAGGGAGTCACCAGCAGTGCTTTGGACATTGTACGAATCAAAACTCAAACGAAAATCCTGTCCAGAGATTTGAAAATCTCCGTACTCGGCCCAAGCTGTGTTGTCATCCCAGTCCTGCAAATCGACTCGAAGATCCCAAGATCCAGCAGAACTACTCAAGGTGCGCAAGTTGTCGTTGCCGAGCCAAAACTCACCAGCCAAGTCCCCAAAGCCCACGCGGTAGTCAGCCCAGTCGCGGTAGAAGTCGACACTGCCATTCTGACGCCTCTGAATGACAAGCCAGCCTCCACCGTCGGTCTCCATGTCGCAGTACACCCTCAGACCATCTGCGAATCCCGCGGGGAATATTGTATAGATACCGCTCACACTGTAGCCTGCCTCCAGTAAACTCTGGCAATCGCTGTAACGTGGCTCCACCGTGACGGAGAATCCGGGTGTATGAACGTCGCTGTGATCCGCTACGGAAAACCCAGGTGTGTCGCCATTACCATCGAAGTACACACTCGCGTAGTCTGCAACGAAGTCATTTGGCGAATCGACTCTGGTGGCGTTGTTCAGATCACACCTGCGATTGTTCTTAAAGTAATTGACTGATTTGCAAGCTTGCCAAGAGTGGCACCGACTCACACAGCCGACAAGAGTACCAACTCTACCCGACCAAATTGTGGCGTTTCCCAGTGCTCGATTTTCAGCAGCATTGAATTCCTGTGAGAGTGCATGACCACAAGAGCTTCCTTGAGACGCGGGCACGATAGAAAGCAAAATATAAAACAAAAGACCGGTTACAAGTACTTGTCTCGCAGAGAGACCACAATTCTGTGCCTCCTCCATGTTGCTGTCTAACACCAACTGCATGAATTAGGCTTGAGTGTCACCGAAATTTGCAAAACGTGTTCCTCTGACGCAGAGACCAATGAGACCAGAGTATGAAGCCCGGGAAGGGACAGGGTGGAATTTTTTTTTGGCATTTGCTTATTCGTTCGCACGAATTACTAATTCGTTCGCACGAATTGCTAATTCGTTCGCACGAATTACTATTTCGTTCCCACGAATTAATAATTCGTGCGAACGAATTAGCAATTCGTGGGAACGAATTTGGAATTCGTTGGCACGAATTAGTAATTCGTGGGAACGAATTAGGCCTAGTAATTCGTGCGAACGAATTACTAATTCGTGCGAACGAATTACTAATTCGTGCGAACGAATTAGTAATTCGTGCGAACGAAATAGTAATTCGTGCGAACGAAATAGTAATTCGTGCGAACGAAATAGTAATTCGTGCGAACGAATTAGCAAACTCCAAAAAAAAAATTTCCACCCTGTCCCTTCCCGGGCTTCATACCAGAGCGTATCAACCACCAGTTTACACACCATTGCAAGTACAATATCAAGTTTCTTTGACAGTCACTCTTCCTGCATTTCAGGCTCTAATAACTCTATTGAATGCTCCACGATTTTCTGAGAGCGTTACCACGCCAACCAAAACAAAACAGTCTCTCTGTCGATTGTTTCCGATTTGTCTTTCACCCTGAGGCGTCTTTCGTCACGCTTATTATAGCAGCCGTGCTTAATTTAAAAAGCCGTTTATTGCGCCGCTGCTCCTCTCTTAACGTTTTGTATTCAATCCTTGATTTTTAAAGGTCGACTGGGAAATTATATGCTGCATTTGTCAAAAACCGACCAACCAATGTACTGCTTGCAAACCAACGGAGTTGGTTTTTAGTGGCTTCCGATCTGTAGTGGTGGTAACGCGAGGTGCGCAATATAGCTCAGAAAATCAATTTGTATGGCTTTGTTCGGATCGCATCTTAAGTTATTTTATAGCCTGGAAGCGAGTTCACCGATGCGCATGTGGGTTTAATATAAACAATAAGGCATCAACACACACACAAGCGATAGGCATACGCCTGCCAATCTCATCAGATATCCATACACTAGTTCATGGTGTTTTTGTTTTCATTCTAGTTTGGTTTTCTGCAGCAGTCGTTGTTTTGTGGCGTAGGTAGATCGATGCTCGGATCGTTGATAATGATGAAGGAAACGACTACAGGACTGACTGAAGGGTTTCTTAAAGGATCTGCTTTCTATGTCAACAGAACATATTCTGAAATGACAACGGATATCGCACAGATCCTGAGTGCATCTTAGAACAGAATCTTTTGGCAATAAAGGCAAACAAAAGTTATGCTGACGTCATGCGTAGGCCTATGGTCAAGTTACACACACTACTGTTGATTTCTTGATAAATAATCGTCAACACTGTCTTGTCTGTCACATTTTGACGATTACGGCCTCAGAAGAAATTCAAAGGGGTAATGGAACTAACGGAAAATTCGAACTCACACTTTGCGTTGTTCTGACCATTGGTTGTGTTTCCGCATGCGGGTTCACGTATGTACGTTCCCTGCTTAACGTTCCCTATTACCAAGAGGTGATTCATTTGAGACAAAGTAATCTCGGTCGTTGAAGTTTTAATCTTACATTGCCAATCGAATCTTCATACTGCAACTTTTCAAGGAATAAATTTCACCCCTCCATGATTTCCATGCAATCACTCGATAGTCTCCGTCTATTTCCCAGGATGAATTAAAGTACATACTGTTCAGGTTTGAATCATAACAGTCGCTGTACCACCAAGCTCCTTTCTTGGCCTCTGCACAGTTATGGGTAGGATACAAGTCATTGTCATTGTCCATTGTTGAAAAGGGCTGACCGTTGTGCCTGTCAAGAGAGTCACCAACAGTACTTTGGACATTGTACGAATCAAAACTCAAACGAAAATCCTGTCCTGAGATTTTAAAATCTCCGTACTCGGCCCAGGCTGTGTTGTCATCCCAGTCCTCCAAATCGACTCGAAGATCCCAAGATCCAGAATTACTCAAGGTGCGCAAGTTGTCGTTGCCGAGCCAAAACTCACCAGCCAAGTCCCCAAAGCCCACGCGGTAGTCAGCCCAGCCGCGGTAGAAGTCGACACTGCCATCCTGACGCCTCTGAATGACAAGCCAGCCTCCACCGTCGGTCTCCATGTCGCAGTACACCCTCAGACCATCCGCGAATCCCGCGGGGAATATCGTATAGATACCGCTCACACTGTAACCTGCCTCCAGTAAACTCTGGCAATCGCTGTCAGTCGCTACGGAGAACCCAGGTGTGTCGCCATTACCATCGAAGTACACGCTGGCGTAGTCTGCGACGAACTTACTCGGGACATCGATTCTTGTGGCATTGTTGAGATCGCATACTCGATTGAGTAGATAGTAGTTGACCGATTTGCACGCAGGTAACGAGTGACACTTGCTGACACAAGTGACACGACTACCAACCAAACCTGACCAGATTGTGGCATTTCTCAATGTTCGATGTTCGGCAGCAACGAACGCTTGTGACAGTGTCTGCCGAATGCAAACGGTTTCTGCAGATACACTAAGTATACAACCGATAAAACCGAACAGCACGAACGCCACACTCAAGGCAAGTCCTCGTATATCGGAGAACCTTAGAGAACGTGCTTCATCCATGGCGGCAGAGTGGGTTCTGGAAAGACCAGTCTCGAAACAAGCAATTAATAATAATTACTACAAGGTTTAGCTTATTGATCGAGAATTAAGAAAAATGCAGGAAAATGAATCTTGTATATACTTAAGCCAAATCTACCTCATGCAAATAAAATCTGCTTCTGTTGTTACGAGAAAACAAGAAATTTCGCTAAGCCTCTTTCAAAGTTAAAACGAGGCACGTGGTTCTCTTTGTAATCCGATCAGTAGAGAACGTGTAGGCAGAGTGAGTTCTGGAGGACCAGTCTCTGAACACAAGCAGTTTATTAACAATACCAAACTGATTTGAAAGTGAAAGGGGAATAAACAGAAATGCAATAGCCAAAGCTCTTGGCAGGAAATTGCATCTGTAAGAGCATTACTCAGAAGAAAACTTTAATAATCCAAATCTCCCTCTCTCAAGAAAATCTGCATCTGATGAAGCAAGAAAACAAGATATCGACGTCACCCCTTTTCAAGATTAAAACGAGGCACGCGGTTTTTTTTGTAATCTGATCATTATAAATCGCTCTGGAAACTGTGACCCAATTTCACAGGTCAAATCAACGCTTTGTTAAATAATTTACTTTTCATCTCAGGCTTTGGTAACTCATATTCCATTCTGGAGTAGCTGGGGTTCAACAGCGTCTTCATGTTGAGAGGACCGAACCGAAGCGCAGAAAATAGAACACTCAAGTATCGGCCTTATATAAGGTTGTAGAAATTTCACCATTTGCATTGAGTGCATAGATGTTTCATGATGTACTTTTCTTTTCTGTGGCCCTAACAGAAAGTGAACGCTAATCCTCCTACATCTTCTAAAATCATCCATGAGGTTTGAAGATGTTACATAGGCTTGCCATCATTACTGTACACAATGCCCAATGAAATTTAAGTATAAAATATGATAGCATTGGTGGATTTTTAGAGGATTAAGGAATTAAGTGTACCATTATTAAGGAAAATGTCTTAATAGAGTGGGTGTTTAATATGCAAGAAATCTGCTCTTGATTTGCAGGAAGAAGCTGTCCAGACCAATCTTCACATCAGCGCCCAGCTGGAGCGAATGAAGGATGCGGCCAGGGATAACAAGGAGTCAGCTGAGGAAGAAACGAGTCGAAGAAGAAAGCAAATGGTCAGGAGGAGTTGTTGTTATTTTATTGTTTTTATTTTTTTCATTTCTGGTAATGAAACCAAGGATTCCTCAAAAGCGCCCTATGCACTGTAGCTCGCAAGCCTTAAGAAACCTGTAGCGAAAAGACAATGAGAAGAGATTCCTGTTTTTGAGAAGGAAAACCCAGACAAAAATATTCTGGGGAAAACCCAGAGATTTATGTAGGGACTGAAAACCCAATCCACATGTGACCAGGGCAGGAATCGTTTATAGACTTTGTACTGATGTTGGGCAATCTTCCAGGTTCCAGGAGTTGACGTGGCGTCTCCCATGCTACGTCTTCAGTGACATGGCCTGCGCTGCATTGCTGGACAAGCTGCAGGGTATGGGCATCATTGAGAGCCGTAAGACCACCCCACAGAAGTTCCTGAACGTCTTGACGGGGCTCAAGCCGTGGGAGCTGTGCCTACCCGAGGTCAGCGCTGCCGTCGAGGTAAGCTAGCGAACCAAACCAAATTATCTGCAAGATTTTGTTTTAAGTACATGAAATACAACTTGGTGTTTGAAACAGTTAGGAAGGACAGCGTAAAAGCATCGGCAGTTGCAGGCATTCAACAACAAAGAGAGAATTTTATCTTAGCTTCACTTTTTTTGTTGCTGTTAAAAGATATTTTCCATATTTGTTGAAATGTAGAAGACACTATTCCAATATTGTTTTTCCTCTTTTTTTGTCCAGTTTGTCCGTGAGCGAGTCGTCCTGATGTCGGTGGAGGAATTTGAGGCGTGGTATCAACACGAGATTCCGGGAATCAGCCGATCGCAGAGTGCTCCTCCTAACACTTTCCCAACCTAACCCAGGCGTCACTGTCATGACTATAAATCAATCTGGGCATGTTTCTGGGCATGTTTCTGGGCAGACTATCGTGTTAACTTGGTCCGATTAACTTGGTCCGGTTAACGTGATCTGGTTAACTTGGTACGGTTAACTTGGTCCTTGTTTGGCCTGTGTTACCATGGTCTGTGTTACCTTGGTCTGTGTTACCTTGGTCCGGTTAACTTGGTCTGTGTTAACTTGGTTCAGTTAACTTGGTCCGTGTTACCATGGTCCGTGTTACCTTGGTCCGTGTTACCTTGGTCCGGTTAACTTGGTCTGTGTTAACTTGGTTCAGTTAACTTGGTGTGGTTAAACTTGGTCGGTGTTAACTTTAATTGGTCTTGTTACCTTGGTCCGTGTTACCGTGGTCAGGTTATTAACTTGGTCCGTGTTAACTTGATTCGGTTAACTTGGTCTGAGTTAACTTAATTGATCTGGTTGACTCGGTCCGTGTTAACTTGCTGTAGTTAAATAGGTCTGGTTAACTTAGTCCGTGTAAACTTGCAATGCTCTGGTTAAATCGGTCCGCGTTAAGTTGCTCTGGTTAACTTGGTCCATGTTAATTTGTTCTGGTTATATTGGTCAGTGTTAACTTGCTTTGGTTAAATAGGTCTGTGTTAACTTGCTCTGGTTAACTTGGTCCGTGTTAAGTTGCTCTGGTTAACTTGGTCCATGTTAACTTGCTCTGGTTATATTGGTCTGTGTTAACTTGCTCTGGTTAAATCGGTCTGTGTTAACTTGCTCTGGTTGACTTGGTTCGTGTCGCTATCCAAATCGTGCACCTATCCTTTGAGTGCCACTTGAACAAATTATTGGTTTTATAAGACTGATAAATACATGTAAGACTTTGATAAATGGGGTAGTATTTATGGAAGCTAATACTGAACTAAATTCAAGTACATTTTGTGAATCATCTTTGAAATAAGAAAACATTTTCACTAACTAGAAACAGCATTGAATTCCGAACTTTGTCAATAAAAAAATATTCTTATATACATTTTGTAGTATACATGTATATTGTATTTTCATTAGAAAATTGCATGCAACAGTTAACATGCGTCCGTTGAAGTAATTAATTTTATGTGATCATGATAACTTGTCAGCTGACGCTGTGGGTTACGGTGGCCCATGAAGAACAAATTTAATAATGCTCATTTCAAAGGGTCATTGGTTTTGCAGCTTTTTTGTTTTTGTCAATATTTTTTAAACTACAGAACAAATTTTCAGAGCAGGAAGAATTTGAGGTTTGATTTAAACTTTATATGAACAATCTGTTTTTTCATGTATTTCTAATTCTGATTGTAAAAACGTTGTGATTAATAGTGATATTGTATTCCATATGGTCTAGGATGTTCAGATGTTTTAAAACTGCTCAGGTGTTGAACCTGTTGGGAAAAGGGGTTAACATTGTTGGTTTATCAAAAATAGGCAAAATTTGACTACTTTTCAAAAATTAACAAATATAAGGGGTTAGCCTTGTTTTTTTTTATCAAAATCGGGCAAACTTTAACCCTTTTTCAAGAATCAACAAATGTAAGGGTTTTGCCTAGCATTTTAGCAAAATTGGGGAAAATTTGAACTTTTTTTCGAAATAAAAAATGTGAGGGGTTATCTCAAGATAAACACTTTGCATTCAAATGAAATCTCGTCCAATATTAGATATTTGACACATCAACAAGAATCTCGAATTTTGACAGGAACCGTGAAAGAATATAAGGAATTCGATGTATAAGGTAACTTTGTATTTCCTGAATCGTCATCAACTTAATTCTTCCAAAAGAGGGCGCGCTACATAACATAGCTCACCGCGCGCTGACTTTTTTAAATTCGAGATGTAAACAAAGGTTTTGTAACGACGAAATCTCAAGATAAACACTTTGCATTCAAATGAAATCTCGTGCAATAGTAGAAATTTAACATATGCACACGAATTTCGAATATTGACAGGAACTGTGAAAGACTGACATAAATATAATTAAGGAAATTGTAGTGTACTACAATTCGAATTTAAATCGGCATCAATTTCTTACAAATGAGGGCGCGCTATATAAACACTGCTCACCGAGCTCCTTTTTTCGAAATAAAAAAATGTATGGGGTTAGCCTTGCATTTTTCAAAATTGGCCAAAATTTGACTTTTATTGGAAAATCGACCTTGCTTTTTTATCAAAATTTAGCAATATTTTACCAAAATGCAAGGCACCCCTTATTTTTGTTAACTTTCGAACAAAAAATCAAACTATGCTTAATTTTGATAAAAATGCAAGGCTAACCCCTTCCTTTTTTTAATTTTGATAAAAATTCAAATTATGCCCAATTTTGATAAAAATGCAAAGCTAACCACTTACTTTTGTTAATTTTCGAAAAAAGCCAAAATTTGCCCAATTTTGATAAAAATGCAAGGCTAACCCCTTACTTTCGTTAATTTTCGAAAAAAGGCCAAATTTGCCCATTTTTCGATAAAAATGCAAGGCTAACCCCTTACTTTCGTTAATTTTCGAAAAAAGCCAAAATTTGCCCAATTTTGATAAAAATGCAAGGCTAACCCCTTACTTTTGATCATTTTCGAAAAAAGTCAAAATTTGCCCAATTTTGATAAAAATGCAAGGCTAACCCCTTACTTTTGATGATTTTCGAAAAAAGGCAAAATTTGCCCAATTTTGATAAAAATGCAAGGCTAACCCCTTACTTTAGTTAATTTTGGAAAAAAGGCAAATTTGCCCATTTTTGATAAAAATGCAAGGCTAACCCCTTAGTTTTGTTAATTTTAGAAAAAAGGCAAAATTTGCCCAATTTTGATAAAAATGCAAGGCTAACCCCTTACTTTAGTTAATTTTGGAAAAAAGGCAAATTTGCCCATTTTTGATAAAAATGCAAGGCTAACCCCTTACTTTTGATAATTTTCGAAAAAAGCCAAAATTTGCCCAATTTTGATAAAAATGCAAGGCTAACCCCTTACTTTTGATGATTTTCGAAAAAAGCCAAAATTTACCCAATTTTGATAAAAATGCAAGGCTAACCCCTTACTTTTGTTAATTTTCGAAAAAAGCCAAAATTTGCCCAATTTTGATAAAAATGCAAGGCTAACCCCTTACTTTTGGAAATTTTCAAAAAAAACAAAATTTGCCCAATTTTGTTAAAAATGCAAGGCTAACCCCTTACTTTTGATCATTTTCGAAAAAAGTCAAAATTTGCCCAATTTTGATAAAAATGCAAGGCTAACCCCTTACTTTAGTTAATTTTGGAAAAAAGGCAAATTTGCCCATTTTTGATAAAAATGCAAGGCTAACCCCTTACTTTTGATAATTTTCGAAAAAAGCCAAAATTTGCCCAATTTTGATAAAAATGCAAGGCTAACCCCTTACTTTTGATAATTTTCGAAAAAAGCCAAAATTTGCCCAATTTTGATAAAAATGCAAGGCTAACCCCTTACTTTTGTTAATTTTCGAAAAAAGCCAAAATTTGCCCATTTTTGATAAAAATGCAAGGCTAACCCCTTAGTTTAGTTAATTTTGGAAAAAAGCCAAAATTAACCCAATTTTGATAAAAATGCAAGGCTAACCCCTTACTTTTGTTAATTTTCGAAAAAAGCCAAAATTTGCCCAATTTCGATAAAAATGCAAGGCTAACCCCTTACTTTTGGAAATTTTCAAAAAAAACAAAATTTGCCCAATTTTGTTAAAAATGCAAGGCTAACCCCTTACTTTTGATCATTTTCGAAAAAAGTCAAAATTTGCCCAATTTTGATAAAAATGCAAGGCTAACCCCTTACTTTTGATAATTTTCCAAAAAAGCCAAAATTTGCCCAATTTTGATAAAAATGCAAGGCTAACCCCTTACTTTTTTTAATTTTCAAAAAAGGTCAAAATTTGCCCAATTTTGATAAAAATGCAAGGCTAACCCCTTACTTTCGTTAATTTTCGAAAAAGTCAAAATTTGCCCAATTTTGATAAAAATGCAAGGCTAACCCCTTACTTTTGTTAATTTTCGAAAAAAGTCAAAATTTGCCCATTTTGATAAAAATGCAAGGCTAACCCCTTACCTTGTTAATTTTAGAGAAAAGTCAAAATTTGCCCAATTTTGATAAAAATGCAAGGCTAACCCCTTACTTTTGATGATTTTCCAAAAAAGGCAAAATTTGCCCAATTTTGATAAAAATGCAAGGCTAACCCCTTACTTTTGTTAATTTTCGAAAAAAGGCAAAATTTGCCCATTTTGATAAAAATGCAAGGCTAACCCCTTACCTTGGTTAATTTTCGAAAAAAGCCAAAATTTGCCCAATTTTGATAAAAATGCAAGGCTAACCCCTTACTTTTGATAATTTTCGAATAAAGTCAAAATTTGCCTAATTTTGATAAAAATGCAAGGCTAACCCCTTACTTTTGTTAATTTTTGAAAAAAGCCAAAATTTGCCCAATTTTGATAAAAATGCAAGGCTAACCCCTTACTTTTGTTAATTTTCGAAAAAAGCCAAAATTTGCCCAATTTTGATAAAAATGCAAGGCTAACCCCTTACTTTTGATCATTTTCGAAAAAAGTCAAAATTTGCCCAATTTTGATAAAAATGCAAGGCTAACCCCTTACTTTAGGAAATTTTCAAAAAAACCAAAATTTGCCCAATTTTGATAAAAATGCAAGGCTAACCCCTTACTTTTGATGATTTTCGAAAAAAAGGCAAATTTGCCCATTTCTGATAAAAATGCAAGGCTAACCCCTTACTTTTGATAATTTTCGAAAAAAGCCAAAATTTGCCCAATTTTGATAAAAATGCAAGGCTAACCCCTTACTTTCGTTAATTTTCGAAAAAGTCAAAATTTGCCCAATTTTGATAAAAATGCAAGGCTAACCCCTTACTTTTGTTAATTTTCGAAAAAAGTCAAAATTTGCCCATTTTGATAAAAATGCAAGGCTAACCCCTTACCTTGTTAATTTTAGAAAAAAGTCAAAATTTGCCCAATTTTGATAAAAATGCAAGGCTAACCCCTTACTTTTGATGATTTTCCAAAAAAGGCAAAATTTGCCCAATTTTGATAAAAATGCAAGGCTAACCCCTTACTTTTGTTAATTTTCGAAAAAAGGCAAAATTTGCCCATTTTGATAAAAATGCAAGGCTAACCCCTTACCTTGGTTAATTTTCGAAAAAAGCCAAAATTTGCCCAATTTTGATAAAAATGCAAGGCTAACCCCTTACTTTTGATAATTTTCGAATAAAGTCAAAATTTGCCTAATTTTGATAAAAATGCAAGGCTAACCCCTTACTTTTGTTAATTTTTGAAAAAAGCCAAAATTTGCCCAATTTTGATAAAAATGCAAGGCTAACCCCTTACTTTTGTTAATTTTCGAAAAAAGCCAAAATTTGCCCAATTTTGATAAAAATGCAAGGCTAACCCCTTACTTTTGATCATTTTCGAAAAAAGTCAAAATTTGCCCAATTTTGATAAAAATGCAAGGCTAACCCCTTACTTTAGGAAATTTTCAAAAAAACCAAAATTTGCCCAATTTTGATAAAAATGCAAGGCTAACCCCTTACTTTTGATGATTTTCGAAAAAAAGGCAAATTTGCCCATTTCTGATAAAAATGCAAGGCTAACCCCTTACTTTTGATAATTTTCGAAAAAAGCCAAAATTTGCCCAATTTTGATAAAAATGCAAGGCTAACCCCTTACTTTTGTTAATTTTCGAAAAAAGCCAAAATTTGCCCAATTTTGATAAAAATGCAAGGCTAACCCCTTACTTTTGTTAATTTTAGAAAAAAGGCAAAATTTGCCCAATTTTGATAAAAATGCAAGGCTAACCCCTTACTTTTGATAATTTTCGAATAAAGTCAAAATTTGCCCAATTTTGATAAAAATGCAAGGCTAACCCCTTACTTTTGATAATTTTGGAAAAAAGCCAAAATTTGCCCAATTTTGATAAAAATGCAAGGCTAACCCCTTACTTTTGATAATTTTCCAAAAAAGCCAAAATTTGCCCAATTTTGATAAAAATGCAAGGCTAACCCCTTACTTTTTTTAATTTTCAAAAAAGGTCAAAATTTGCCCAATTTTGATAAAAATGCAAGGCTAACCCCTTACTTTCGTTAATTTTCGAAAAAGTCAAAATTTGCCCAATTTTGATAAAAATGCAAGGCTAACCCCTTACTTTTGTTAATTTTCGAAAAAAGTCAAAATTTGCCCATTTTGATAAAAATGCAAGGCTAACCCCTTACCTTGTTAATTTTAGAGAAAAGTCAAAATTTGCCCAATTTTGATAAAAATGCAAGGCTAACCCCTTACTTTTGATGATTTTCCAAAAAAGGCAAAATTTGCCCAATTTTGATAAAAATGCAAGGCTAACCCCTTACTTTTGTTAATTTTCGAAAAAAGGCAAAATTTGCCCATTTTGATAAAAATGCAAGGCTAACCCCTTACCTTGGTTAATTTTCGAAAAAAGCCAAAATTTGCCCAATTTTGATAAAAATGCAAGGCTAACCCCTTACTTTTGATAATTTTCGAATAAAGTCAAAATTTGCCTAATTTTGATAAAAATGCAAGGCTAACCCCTTACTTTTGTTAATTTTTGAAAAAAGCCAAAATTTGCCCAATTTTGATAAAAATGCAAGGCTAACCCCTTACTTTTGTTAATTTTCGAAAAAAGCCAAAATTTGCCCAATTTTGATAAAAATGCAAGGCTAACCCCTTACTTTTGTTAATTTTAGAAAAAAGGCAAAATTTGCCCAATTTTGATAAAAATGCAAGGCTAACCCCTTACTTTTGATAATTTTCGAAAAAAGTCAAAATTTGCCCAATTTTGATAAAAATGCAAGGCTAACCCCTTACTTTTGATAATTTTTGAAAAAAGCCAAAATTTGCCCAATTTTGATAAAAATGCAAGGCTAACCCCTTACTTTTGTTAATTTTCGAAAAAAGCCAAAATTTGCCCAATTTTGATAAAAATGCAAGGCTAACCCCTTACTTTAGTTAATTTTGGAAAAAAGGCAAATTTGCCCATTTTTGATAAAAATGCAAGGCTAACCCCTTACTTTTGTTAATTTTCGAAAAAAGCCAAAATTTGCCCAATTTTGATAAAAATGCAAGGCTAACCCCTTACTTTTGTTAATTTTGGAAAAAAGCCAAAATTTGCCCAATTTTGATAAAAATGCAAGGCTAACCCCTTACTTTTGATAATTTTCGAATAAAGTCAAAATTTGCCTAATTTTGATAAAAATGCAAGGCTAACCCCTTACTTTTGTTAATTTTGGAAAAAAGCCAAAATTTGCCCAATTTTGATAAAAATGCAAGGCTAACCCCTTACTTTTGATAATTTTCCAAAAAAGCCAAAATTTGCCCAATTTTGATAAAAATGCAAGGCTAACCCCTTACTTTTGTTAATTTTCGAAAAAAGCCAAAATTTGCCCAATTTTGATAAAAATGCAAGGCTAACCCCTTACTTTAGTTAATTTTGGAAAAAAGGCAAATTTGCCCATTTTTGATAAAAATGCAAGGCTAACCCCTTACTTTTGTTAATTTTCGAAAAAAGCCAAAATTTGCCCAATTTTGATAAAAATGCAAGGCTAACCCCTTACTTTTGTTAATTTTGGAAAAAAGCCAAAATTTGCCCAATTTTGATAAAAATGCAAGGCTAACCCCTTACTTTTGTTAATTTTGGAAAAAAGCCAAAATTTGCCCAATTTTGATAAAAATGCAAGGCTAACCCCTTACTTTTGATAATTTTCGAATAAAGTCAAAATTTGCCTAATTTTGATAAAAATGCAAGGCTAACCCCTTACTTTTGTTAATTTTTGAAAAAAGCCAAAATTTGCCCAATTTTGATAAAAATGCAAGGCTAACCCCTTACTTTTGATAATTTTCCAAAAAAGCCAAAATTTGCCCAATTTTGATAAAAATGCAAGGCTAACCCCTTACTTTTTTTAATTTTCAAAAAAGGTCAAAATTTGCCCAATTTTGATAAAAATGCAAGGCTAACCCCTTACTTTCGTTAATTTTCGAAAAAGTCAAAATTTGCCCAATTTTGATAAAAATGCAAGGCTAACCCCTTACTTTTGTTAATTTTCGAAAAAAGTCAAAATTTGCCCATTTTGATAAAAATGCAAGGCTAACCCCTTACCTTGTTAATTTTAGAGAAAAGTCAAAATTTGCCCAATTTTGATAAAAATGCAAGGCTAACCCCTTACTTTTGATGATTTTCCAAAAAAGCCAAAATTTGCCCAATTTTGATAAAAATGCAAGGCTAACCCCTTACTTTTGTTAATTTTCGAAAAAAGGCAAAATTTGCCCATTTTGATAAAAATGCAAGGCTAACCCCTTACCTTGGTTAATTTTGGAAAAAAGCCAAAATTTGCCCAATTTTGATAAAAATGCAAGGCTAACCCCTTACTTTTGATAATTTTCGAATAAAGTCAAAATTTGCCTAATTTTGATAAACATGCAAGGCTAACCCCTTACTTTTGTTAATTTTTGAAAAAAGCCAAAATTTGCCCAATTTTGATAAAAATGCAAGGCTAACCCCTTACTTTTGTTAATTTTCGAAAAAAGCCAAAATTTGCCCAATTTTGATAAAAATGCAAGGCTAACCCCTTACTTTTGTTAATTTTAGAAAAAAAGCCAAAATTTGCCCAATTTTGATAAAAATGCAAGGCTAACCCCTTACTTTTGATAATTTTCGAAAAAAGTCAAAATTTGCCCAATTTTGATAAAAATGCAAGGCTAACCCCTTACTTTAGTTAATTTTGGAAAAAAGCCAAAATTTGCCCAATTTTGATAAAAATGCAAGGCTAACCCCTTACTTTTGATAATTTTCGAATAAAGTCAAAATTTGCCTAATTTTGATAAAAATGCAAGGCTAACCCCTTACTTTTGTTAATTTTGGAAAAAAGCCAAAATTTGCCCAATTTTGATAAAAATGCAAGGCTAACCCCTTACTTTTGATAATTTTCCAAAAAAGCCAAAATTTGCCCAATTTTGATAAAAATGCAAGGCTAACCCCTTACTTTTTTTAATTTTCAAAAAGGTCAAAATTTGCCCAATTTTGATAAAAATGCAAGGCTAACCCCTTACTTTCGTTAATTTTCGAAAAAGTCAAAATTTGCCCAATTTTGATAAAAATGCAAGGCTAACCCCTTACTTTTGTTAATTTTCGAAAAAAGTCAAAATTTGCCCATTTTGATAAAATGCAAGGCTAACCCCTTACCTTGTTAATTTTAGAGAAAAGTCAAAATTTGCCCAATTTTGATAAAAATGCAAGGCTAACCCCTTACTTTTGATGATTTTCCAAAAAAGGCAAAATTTGCCCAATTTTGATAAAAATGCAAGGCTAACCCCTTACTTTTGTTAATTTTCGAAAAAAGGCAAAATTTGCCCATTTTGATAAAAATGCAAGGCTAACCCCTTACCTTGGTTAATTTTCGAAAAAAGCCAAAATTTGCCCAATTTTGATAAAAATGCAAGGCTAACCCCTTACTTTTGATAATTTTCGAATAAAGTCAAAATTTGCCTAATTTTGATAAAAATGCAAGGCTAACCCCTTACTTTTGTTAATTTTTGAAAAAAGCCAAAATTTGCCCAATTTTGATAAAAATGCAAGGCTAACCCCTTACTTTTTTTAATTTTCAAAAAAGGTCAAAATTTGCCCAATTTTGATAAAAATGCAAGGCTAACCCCTTACTTTTGTTAATTTTCGAAAAAAGTCAAAATTTGACCAATTTTGATAAAAATGCAAGGCTAACCCCTTACTTTTGTTAATTTTCGAAAAGTCAACATTTTCCCAATTTTGATAAAAATGCAATTTTTATAACAATTTGGCATAATTTGACGGGTTTTTTTCGAAACTTAGCAAAAGTAAGGTGTCAGCCTTGCATTTTTACAAAATGGGGCAAATTTTGACCCTTTTTTCCAAATTAAAAATGCAAGGGGTTAGGCTTGCATTTGTATCAAAATTCTTGCAAAATTTGCCACCTTTTGAAAATTAACAAAAGGGGTTATCCTGGGATTTTTATCAAAATGGGGCGATATTTGCCGGGGGGGGGGGAGGAATTACTCACCACTTTCTGAATTTAGTCATGGAAACACGGAAGACACTCCGAATAAATCAACAACTGAGTCCAATTTTACTGGTCAACTGGTCAATGGTTTTATTTATTGTCAAGACACAAGGAAATACGGGAAATCTTCAAAGGTTCCTTGAAGTACAAGTGTTCTCATACTTGTGATAAGCTAGGCTTCTTGGGTGTGCTGGCGCTCAGTGGTGGCATTGACAAGCCTTAAGGAAATAAAGGAAGTTATTCACAAGTGTTCTCGCTGTACAGGTGCAACCAAAGGTGCAAGTTAGGTGTTCTTGGTCACGCTGGCTTGATTCTGTCTGGGTCTACTTGCCTGGAAGGAGGATACCGTCGTACTGGACACAAAGAAAATACAATGGCGAGAACAAAATACTGTGATTATCCGTTATTCTTATCATAGTTTGTTGGTATTACATCAGGCCATCTGAAGTGTGGATGTACGAAGTCAAATTCATTCAAATTTCAAGATGGAGTGCTGTGGCCTTGTGGTCTGAAGTACTGGCCTCATGGTCCTAGAGCATTGAATTCAAATTTGTTGAAATTTAAACCTTAATATTTTTTTTTTTACATATTTATTATAGTAGATCCCAAAATGTTGGTTGAAACAGAACAGAGTTGACCTTGAAGATGACAAAAAAGATCTGATTTTTTTGGCAGAAACAATAAAACAAAGAAGGGCTTCTATGAGGGCTTTGTCCTGGAATAGACGTATCAAGCAAAAATGCACAGTTGGAAAACTGACGAATTCCTGAAAAAAAATGCTCAGACTAGCAAGGTTACGCAGTTATAACATAAGAAATGCACCCCAATGGCAAATCAATCAGTCATCAAGTACCCAGATTCAACCCACCTTCTGCTGGAACCACTTCATGGACTCCTCCTTGGACACTCGGTGCTTGGCCCCCACCCTGCCCTGCTTACGCCTCTTGTGACGCACGTTGAACCCTGGCCGGCCCAGCACCACGTAGAAGTCCATACCGTAGATGCCGATGCTGGGGTCGTACTTGATGCCCAGATCAATGTGCTCCTGGATGCCAAAGCCAAAGTTGCCCGTCTTGGAGAAGTTGCCCTTCCTCAGCTCGTACTCACGCACCTGGATAGAAAAAGCAGGAACAACCTTCTTAAAAATGTTTTGTTTAACAGTGTGCATTCCTTTGGCAGCTTGGTGGGGCAAAGGACATCAAAAACACCATGAAACAAAGGTGATGCTATTACATTCCATGTCTATTCTTTCAACAAATTTACAGTACAACATTGGACTGGGCACACGCCTGGCACAAAAAGATACTTAGACACGAGTTAAGATGGCATGTAGAAATGACCGTCACACACACTGAGAATTAATTTGCAGATAAATTACCTTGAGTCCCTTCTCCAGGATTTCTTCAGCCTTAGATCCCCTGACGGTGCAGTGCACGGCAATCTTCTCATTCCTACGGATACCGAAGGAACGCACGGTGTAGCGAGCTGAAAGTGAGGAAAATTTAATACACAATTTATGAGGAAAACTGGAGAGAAACACACAGAGCATAAGATGACAATTGCAAAAGAGAAAATTGTATAACATCATCTCTGGGGGGGGGGCCTTTTAGAAAGCATCCACCAAAATGGATTCAAGATAAGCCCTCTTATTTTTATAATTTGTATATTTCAGGTTCCTCCTGTTGGTAATCAGTTTAAAACAGCTTTTCATTGCTTGTTTTTCATTGTTTTTTAATATACAATATATAATGGTAAGAATAATTTCATGAGGTGACAGATGGCTTCGCCTCGTGGAATGGAACATTCCATCTGTCACCCGATGACATTATTTTATGCATGCATGTGAAACATTCATTACTTGTTTTATACACAACACCCGAATAATTCCTCGTCATCTGGCTGATCAGAGCACCAATTGTGGGACCGTGCAATGAAAATCTTTACTGTGGAATACTACTTCTATGTTTGCGGTGTTTTCAGTTGTCAGCATTGCTGGATTGTTTGTGTGTTTCTCTTACATAAGTAGCACTGGTAACATTGCATGATAACAGTGGGTTGCAAAAGAGAATTACTTTAGCACATTTTTAATCAAAGCAGGACCAGAGATAATGGGTGGTTATCACGGCCTGAACCAATGTGCGAAGACACCAGCAAACACGAATATTCACAAACTCTTGGAAAAATCAATTAGACCCCACCCCCCAATAAATTGTTCTGCTTCTGATTACGCAGCATTTGAAAATAGGGTAGGTAGGTAGGGATTTTTTTTTTTTAGCAAATTTTTTTGAGTAGGATCATATGTAGGTGTCTGAATGTAGTCAAGGATAAAAGGTAGTAATCGATGGTTTTCGAGGATTTTCCTCATTTTCCCCAAAATAAATTAGGGTGGGGCTGTCAAAATAGGGTAGGTAAGGTAACCAGAAGCAGAAGTATTTTTTTGGGGGGGGGGGCCTTATTGGAAAGATCCGGGTAAATGTGTCAACTTATAACAAAAGACATTGACAAAATGGGGAACCACCAACACAGGGCTGGATAGCTCGGTTGGTAGAGCACCGGGATGGCGATCCAGGGGTCACAGGTTCAAACCCCGATCCAGTCAACTTCTTTGTTCAACTTCAAAATCAATGAAGGGTTAAAAGCTGTTGCTCACCTTTTGAGAAGACCGGGGTCTGGCCCGTCAGTTGTTCCAGCACCTTGGCAGCTCTGGTCAGCCTGTCACCGCTCTCTCCCACGCAGATGTTGAGGCACAGCTTGCGGATGCGCAGCTCACGCATCACATTCTGCTTCTCCTTGCTCTCCTCGCCTTGGTTCTGAAGAAAAAAAGGATGAAATAACCAGTCAAAAAGGACAATGAAGTGGAGATATTTCAGATTATGGAGAATTTTTTTTTATTATTAACCCTAACCCACCTCACTCCTCCAAAATCCTCCTGGCGGTTTTGGAGGATTCTAGAGGATTGAGAATGAATGGTGATTGAATCAAATGAGGATTCTGGAGGATTGAGGATGAATGGTGATTGAAGCACATGAGGATTTTGGAGGATTGAGGATGAATGGTGATTGAAGCACAAGAGGATTTTGGAGGATTGAGGATGAATGCATTTTGAGGCAGGACTGTCTGATGATTTTGAAGGATTTGACGTTGGTTATCATTCATTTAAACACGAGTGCAAAGTTTTGGGATGAGGAGGATTTTGGAGGATTGAGGATGAATGCACTTTGAGGCAGGACTGTCTGACAATTTTGAAAAATTTAGGCGGAGTTGCAAAATTTTGGATGATTTTGGAGGATTGAGGATGGTTGTAAGCAACAAGGGCCTAGGGGGTTAGGGTTAAGAGTTCTTATGTAGCGCTTTACATCTTTATTACCCCTGCTCAATGGGCCCATGAACCATTCCAAATACCATCTCAGCTCCTTGGGGAGTATACGCAGACTGGACTCGAAACCAAAAACCTGAAGAATTACCCACAGACCGCAAATTCATTGCCCCAGACCACGAGGCCATGGCACTCACAGCAAATTGTTCATGAAACTTGGCGTAGCTGCCCAACATTTAAATTATTTAACATCTTGGACGAGATGTGAGTGTCTTGTATCAATCTTGATAAGCTTTGTAGGTCCCATGGCGATCATCACAATTTGCTGGTATTGGTAAAATAGGTCATTTTCAGTCGCTACCCCAGAAACTCACGCCACTTTATAATTATATGATTGTGCAAGTTATGCTAATTGGCTATCAGTATCATTTTTTGCACAACACAAGTTGCAGACGTATTTACGCACCATGAAACTTTCGTAAATTGTCATAACTAAAATGTTGACAATGTTGCGTAGCGTTAAATCTTGTGCAACTTGAGCAATAAATTGTGGCGCAAGTGGAATTAAGCCTAACGATATCATGCCAATACGTAAAGTTTCATGAAAATTGAAATGAAGTGGCTATCGTTACGGCAGCCGTTGTTTGGCGCCCTCTACGATACTTTTTTGATACGCATGCAGGTATATAATTATTTGTTTCCCCACGTTTTGGTAAGCAGTGCGACAGCTCAGTCGATAGAGGGTAGGATTTTGCACCGTGAGGTTGCGGGTTCGCATCTCAGTTTTGCACTCGAACTATTTTCCTTTTCTAACCTGAGGCTTTGGAGGATTTTTTTAAAAAGGGAAATATAGTCCAAATTTCATAACGTTCAAATTCACTTTTTTTCCTTCTAATTTTATATTCTCTTCTCATGTTTTTATAAAAGTTGCAGTACTACCGTAACAATAGAAAATGGGAAATGCGTTTACGGCTGCCGTAACGATAGCCACTGCGAAATTGAAAACTCACTCACAAAATGGAGAAGAAATCTTTCTCCACACTCAAAATCAAAATCGTGTTTGCAATGAATGACCACGATTTGGTTACAGGGGCTTCATTTAGGTTACAACACATATATGGTGAAAAGTTACTACATTCTAGCCGGGGCCAAGTTGACTTCGAACAAAGTTGAATTCATACCACCAGAGCTGCCCCACACTACACGCAAGATCACGGGAATTCCCCGTACATACGATTTCCAGTGTTGAGCTACTGAGCGAATCGGTAATTGTAAATATCAAAATAACATTAACAGGAAACGACAATGGGATAATTATCAAAATTGTGAAAAGGCAGAACTCTGATCTATTTTTTCTTCCCCTCCATATCCTATTGTGATGCAGTAAATTCAAGATTATGACGGATTTTGTCGACAATTCTAAATCCAGCACTCACCGCCATGTTGGCTAGTGCAAAAGAACGCACTGAATTGTGGGAAATTTTTACTTCGCTTTCAGGCACTATACAATTGTACACATTTAATCTGACTTAGATTCATATAAAAAGTAAGGTAATTTTTAATAATTGATTATAAATGTTTTTAGCAATAAATTAAATATTTTAAAGTGAAATATAATGGATTCAATTTACTTTACCGTATGATATATTTATTTTATTTTTGCCTTTTATGTAGAGGCTGTCATGTAAACATACAGGATTTTTGCGTTAGCAACCGCTGCATAAGTTTGTGCACAGAGTGTAATTGACTCGCCAGAAAAACCATTAAAAGCAGACAAAAATGAACGGACACGACGAAGAAGAGGACACGGGTCCTTCAGTTGACTCTACAGATCCAGAAGAGCGTATTGCTGCTCGAAGAATTCGCATCGCAAAGCGCGTTGAGATGGCGAGAAGGTGAGAAAAAAAATAAGAATTGTTGGCCGCAGTTTAACTTGTCCCATTGACTTTATGCATGTAGAGGGCGCTGTTCACATATTTGGGGGCGGGGCCGGGGGAGGTAGTCCTAGACTTTTTATGAGTAGGCGTGGGATAGCCTATGGGATTTTTTTGTTGTCCACAAATTAATTGCCAACAAGCAAACCATTTCTGGTATGACATTAATTTATTCACCATTTGCATTTACACCAAATATGAAATAAGCAGTGTTGCATTTGACATATTTTTGGAAAAAGTGACGACCGACTAATTGTAAACATTCTCCCAGTGCAGTTATTTTAGTTTCTACCATGGATTCCTACCTCCGTGTTTCTAACAATGTCTCCGCACTGGGATTAAATTTGGGCCGCAGAAAGTCATTTGTTGCGTAAACCTTCCCGTACCGTACTCTCTCATTATAATCTTAGGAGGGTGCACTGCTATTGACCAATAATCTAACACAGCTGTGGTTGTGGAAAAACATACCCCAAAAAACCTGGTAACTGTTCATCTACCACAACCAAATAAAAACATCTGGTACCAATTAATTTCCTGCAGAGAGGCGATGGGAGAAGACCCCAGCAAATTGAAGAAAGAAGACAAGGAGGAACAGAGCAAAAGCAAACGACAGATAGAAGATAGTAGACAGGTGGGTGTGTCACTAACGCCCAACTGTAGCACCGACCCAACTATAGTTGGGATGGTCCCAACTGTAGTTGAGTTAATCACAACCTATTGATTGGTTGGTCCCAACTATAGTTCGGACCGTCCCAACAATAGTTGGGGCAAATGGCACAGTTGGGTTAGTCTAACTGAATTCAGTCTGACAGGCTTAAGTTTGAATGAGAAACCTGACCAATGTGTTTGAATCCCAATTGCTAGGATTTTAAACTTTATTATCTGTAACATAGAATTACTTCTTTTTTGTTGTTGAGGTTTTCCTCTTTGAACAAGGCAACAATTTAAAGAATCAAGAAAACATGCATTCAATTTGAATTTTTGTTTGGATGGGGAAGGGATGCAGCATCCACCTCTGAAAATATAATTTTACATTTACAAAATGGCGTTTGTGTCCCAATGCAAGACGTTTCACTGCAATTGGTCATTGGGTTGGGGTAACTATAGCTTACTTAATAAGACTTTTTCAGAAGTTTAAGATATTTATGTGTGGTACAAATTAAATTATTGCGGATTGCAGCAACTCTCCATAAGTTGTTTATTGTCTGTTTATTTTTATTTAGCTTTTTTTTTTGCATTGCTTTCATCATTTTTTGAGAAAAAAAAAATTGTACAAAGTGTTCTGGTTTGTTGTTTTTGATGGCAGCGTCTGACTAAGTTGGAGTCTGATGGCTCAGAGCTCGTGACCAACGTCCGCGTGGCAGCTGATGCAAGAGAAGCTCACAGACGGACAGAGGAAGAAGAAATCCAGAGACAGAGGTATAATCAAACACTCTCAGAAACTCTCTCGTCAAAGCACTGAGATGTAGCCAAGGTACAGATGGATCACAAGTGCGTCACAAAGTCAGGTCGCAAGAAAATCACAAGTTGATTTACAATTTGTCGAAATTTCTTTGACAAAAGGCTGGATTTTTCTTTTTATCTGGAAGGAATGAGAAGCTGGAAGCGGAGGCCAAGGCAGGCCTGGAACGCTTTGACGAGATCACCAAGAAATGGGAGCAAGCCAACAGCCGAGACCTGCCCATGGAGCTGCACGACCTGCTGAAGCAACAGAAGTCTCTGTCTGAGGCCATGATCGATGAGAAGAACAAACTCATCAACGACTTCCAGTTGGTAAGATGACTAAATATGCCTGAATTTCATTCCACTTACCAATTTTCACTTCAAACTTAGAGCACGTTTATGGTTCAGAAGCAAGGAAAGTTGTGAAATCACCAGTGGTAGACTTTTTTGTTTTTGATTTTTGTTTTATAGAGGTCCATTGAAGTAGTCTTTATTGCACACAGTGGAAAAGACAAGATTGAGGCCTTGTCCGAAATGGGCTTCCAGAGCTCTGGCCACTTCTATTGTCAGCGCGTCCCCGCATATTTTCAATGGGTCTAGACCTAGCTATAGACAGCTGATTCGGATGCAGCCTAACTTGCACAATGATGGAATGAACTCTTGACATTAATACAGCACCGACCAAAATTTTGTGATGAAAGCATTATTGTTAACGTCATGAAATCCTTACTAAGCATCGCCCTGCTTTAATGGAAAAATGACCAGGGATTTGCCATACTAACCCAAGTTTGTAATTGACATCAGGAGCTGAAGAGTAAAGATGACCAGTATGTGAAAGATTTGAAGAAGCAAGCCGAGGACATCGATCTGATGATTGACAGGATAGAGGAGCAAGTCAAGAACCTGACCAAGGCATACAGGGATGAGGTCACCCAGATCGAGGTAATAATAATGTTATAATGATGTAGTGCTTACACCAAAAATGTAGATAGCACTCTGTACCAAAGTCTGAAAGTGCTTCACAATTATTACCCCTGTTGATCAGGCCATGTGACTAGTTTTTCTGTTACAGCTTAACCAGTTCGCGTCAGATGACGTGTATACACGCAAAGGTTTTGCGGTATTCGGAACGGATGATGGATAAACACGCAGCGAGCGAGGCCGGAAATATCTGTCAGCGACCCGCTCGCAGCGAGTGAGGCCGGAAATATGAGGGTGCTGCCCGAGGGTGATGGCTTCAACCCACCTGGCTTGAGGTTGAGTGAAAAGTAATCCTTCGCCTCGTTCCGTTCTTGTCAACATAATCCTGGTGTGAACAGGTTAATTTCAGCACAACCTGGTGTCTTGCCTCACAGGTTACCTATTTATACTCCTGGGTGAAGAGATGCAACTATAGTAAAGTGTCTTGCCTAAGAACACACAAAAATGCGACTGTTGGGGTTAGAATTTAATTATACATATTGTTATCTGTCCCCTGAGCAGAAATCCTTTGAGACGGAGCGGGGGGAGCTGATGGACAACAACCGGCGCAAGTGGGAGCAGGCCATGACGGGCCGGGGGGACCAGGAGCTGGAGTACATGAAGCAGCGAGAACGACGGGTGGAGGAGTTTGAGAAGCAGTTACAGCATCTCAGGATCCAAGACGCCGACGAGTACAACATGGTCAAGATTAAGCTGGAAACCGACGTGCAGGTCAGCCATCTTGGGTCAATTTTAAAAAAGAACTTGTTCTCTTTTTTTTGTAAAGCTTGGATCTATCTCCTACTTCAGCTTTTGTGGAGCACTGTGACCTCGTGGTCTGGAGCATTGACTCATAGTCTTGCGACCCCTTTTTATGATGTTAGCTCTATATGTCTCTTTCAAAGATGTCATTTCCTACAGACCAGCCATGAGCATCGGCATTTTGAGCATCACAACATCGGCTGTGTCGTATTTCGAACACATTTCAAGCAACAAGCGTGTTTGGAACCTTTTCAACCCTGCACAATGCGTGCTTGATTGCGTAAAGTACGCAGTTGCAGTTCTCCTACAGAGACGGCTGTCTTTTAGAGAGACCCATTGCAGGCTTTTCAAATGACCCTTTTTCCCCGTGGTTTTAATCCAAAGTTGCCATCCAATTTTGGTCCATATTCTTCCCAGGTTTTGGAGCAGCAACTTCAGCAGATGAAGGCAACGTACCAGCTCAACCAGGAGAAGCTAGAATACAACTTCCAGGTCCTCAAGAAACGCGACGAGGAAAACACCATCACCAAGTCACAACAGAAACGAAAGATCACGAGGTTTGTACCTTCGTCAGTCGCAGGAAACCGTTTCTTCAATTTTGTCTTGGATGTTTTGGCATTACTGCGTTTGCCCAAGTGAATTAAATCTTTTTTTTTTCTTGTGTGCAGACTTCAAGACGTGATGAACAATCTGAAAGTCAAGCTGTCCAAGCAGGAGAAGCAGTACCGTGAGGAGAACCAGGGCTTGGCGGACGACTACAAACGCATCACGGAGCAGTTCAAGGAACTACAGAAGAAATCCAAGTAAGAATTTGTTCCAAAACAAACGTGCCTCTCCTGGACTACTCTGTACGTGACAGTATAGATGATGCTTTGTGACAACTGTAGACAGCCTCAGTGAAAGGAATGCATTGCTGAGTATGGCGCAGCGTGGACAATTAATTTACTCTGAATGTGATGGTCAGGTGCCATTAGCAATGTGCTCGAATCCGAATGAAATTTTGGAGTATACATTCATCACTTGTCCTAATTTATTTATACAAATTTTCATCAATATTCTATGTGCTATAGGCTGAATCTCAAAATACAGCCGTGCGACTTCCAACTGGTTTTTTTTGTGCTGGAGGGTTACATTTTAGGTACACTGTGCATCTTCTTTAAAGCAAGATGGCTCGTAAAACCGTGAGTTCATCAAATGCTCTTTCTGTCGTCTACTTACGATTTAGGCACTTCCAGGCAACCGACACTAGAAAGTTCCACGACATATGGTGTATGAATGAGGACCAAGTCAAGGAACTAGCCCAGATCTGCCTGGAGCAGGACCGCATCATTGCCGAACAACAGCTGGGATTAACGTGGAAGGCACCCCAAGATATGTGAGTCACTCAACCATTGATGCAGGATCGACTTCCCCCTTTTTCCCCTCATTATTGACCTATTGATCTAATTACATGAAGTACAAATGGACGCAGAACGCGCAAAATCTGAGACATACAAAATTTAGTGTACAAGAACTCCATAGGGTTGTCTAAGGGGCGTGGCTAACTCGCAAACGGCGATAGGTCAGTTGGCTTTCTCGTCTCCCTCTTTTATAAGATTGATAGAAAAGGGTTGAGCCTACCCCCTAAATATGACGCTGAGGTGTTGCCAAGTTTTCAAGTTGCTCATCTAAGACCTGTACCAAATGGGCAAAATGGCAGTGAATATAATCTCAGTTATGGTCTTTGAAAATAAGCTTCATCTTACACAGAAAAGCCCTTTCCATTAACAAATTTTTATAAAAGATACAAATTGTATCTGAGAAAGTTTTGGGAGTTCACCCAAACGGTGTCTTGTATGTTGCAGAAAAAAATGAGCTTCTTAGCATCAGCCTTTTTTCCCGAGCAACATATTCTCAAATGAACTTATTTTAAAGTTACTTTTTTTGTAAAACTATAAGGCGAGTGCCCCCTTTTTCTGTGCCACTGCAGTCGTAACTTTTAGGCAAAGCTGTCAAGTGAAAAAAAAAAAACATTATTGAGTCTGAAATTAAATTGCTGAAACAAATTTGGAGTTTACTTTTAGAAAGATTCAAAAACATGTTTAGATCTCAAACATACATGATGACACTTTTATCGGCACTCACTTTGTTTGAAGTGTTTGAATTCACACCATGGTACTTTGCAACTCACCAGGTGGTTCATGGACAGCGTTGGGCCGATCCGCAGCCAGAAGAGCCAGGCTGAGGCCACGGCCACCTCCGCCCACGACGTCATCAAGGAAGTCATGTCTGTCGAGTCCAGCGTCCAGGGTGACGATGAGACCGTGGAGCAATCGCAGCCGGATGAGGGAGAGGAAGGGGAAGTGGAAGGGGAGACGGAGGGAGAGAAGACCAAAGTCTCCGTGAAGACTATCAAGAGAGTCTTGGAGTTGCTGTGTGATGAATCGGTAAGAAGGAGTGATTTCCATATCAAAAACTGGATTAGATGCAGAACACCGTAATACAAACTTGCATTTTTCTGTAAGGTTCGTGAAATTTTGAAGTTAATGCATGCATGCAACAGTCAGCAGAAAAGTTGTGCTTAGCATAGCAGAAAAATTGGCTAACCTTAAGCACTATTCACGGCGTGTGTGCTAACAGTCGCACGTGCATGAAGATTTCTATTGTTACGTCACTAAGTTAAGCAAATTTTTTCTCCGAAGTAAGCGTGCCTTTTGCTGTGCTTATGCTTGCAGTCTCCATGAAATAGACAGAGGCTCTATTAGCATAAATCGTGTGCTTAGTAGCGACATGTAATTGGGCCCTTTTTTATATAGCTTTAATAGAAAGACATTCTCTCGCAAAATTAAAATAGTCACATTAAGATGGAGATATAAATTTCATTCGGTTTTTTTTCATTGTCAGTGAGACTTGAGACGTTTGCGTGGTAGAAAGTCAAGTCAGTGTGCTCTGTCCATCTTCAGGAGATTCTTTTGCGAAGTCTCCTGAAGATGGTCCGAGCATACTGCCCGAAACGTCAGGTTACCAAACCGATTCTTTTTCAGAACTGCACACAGTCTTAAAGGAGATTTGACTACACAGTGCTTCCACAAACCTCATGGTTTTTGTCTTTCTACCAGGCAACCTAACTTCTCATAATTTTTTGGGTAAAAAATTAAAAATGTAAAACGAAATGCTTCATGCTTCACATAGACTTTGATTTGGAAAATGGAATCTACACCACGGCGTCTTTCTATAATGAGTTAACAAGCGGATGGACGTGACTTGTATAAACATTTTTTATTTTCTCTTGCAGGGTTTCCTTGTGGAGTCTAAGCTGAACACACTCCTTGCTCCCCTGGAGAAGGATGAGAGATGTCTCATGAAACTGGACGCCATCTTCGGGGTAAATCAAACTCTGCTGTAGTAGCCTCAAAGAAAACTTGTATTCTGGACATAATCTTACTGCAATGACTACCAAGATCAAGCTTGTGAATTAATAGATAAGGACCATTTCTTTAAAAAAAACCTTGCTAGGGTGTATTTAAAAACAATACATTAAAAGCATTAACCATGCACAATTAAAACAAATATCAAAACAAACACATCTACACAAACAAAAAGGGTCGGACAAGCACACACAAAACTGGGCTAGAAAAGTGGAATCAAAATTTTTAATTAATGACCAAACACTTGTCAACGTTACATGCAAGGTGGGGTGCTGTGGTCCAATGGTTACGGTGTTCAACTCACGTGCCGGGGTACGTGGGTTTGAACCCTGACGGGGAACATGGTGCTTGTGTTCTTGGGCAGGACACTTTACTACAATTGCCTCTGTCCACCCAGGAGTATAAATGGGTACCTGTGAAGGTACAGACCAGATTGCGCTGATCTCGAGCTGCTGCAGGAAAATGGTCTCCTTCCTGATGAACAGGGATAATAATTGTAAAGCGCTTGGAAACTGTGGGTAAAAAGCACAATACAAGCACCACATTACTTTAAGTACATGGCGTAAATGGGGGGAGGGGTGTTTGAAAAACCAAATGAACAAAAAAAAGGGAGGGGTAAGAAATAATTCAATTTTCCTTGTCCCCATTTTAACCTTTCCTCTTGCTGTAACACAGGCTCTTGGTGTTGAGACAGAGGAAGATGTCCACAAGCTAGCCAACTTCTTCATCAAGTATCAGACGCCTCTGGACGCACCAGCAGCCGAGGGCCAAACCGCTGATGAGGCAGCGCCTTTCACAGTCGACACTGAAAAACAGGTGAAGTTATTTAATCTTTAAAGTTGCCTGCAAATATACTTTGCCAGGTCATGGTTACATGTCCTTCCGGCGTTAACTGGTTAATATATTTCAGTACACGTTCTTGACTTGAAAAGAACTTTACAATATAAGATGGAATTTTTGTGCCGGGGTGATATAAATCAAATTAGGTTTTGCCCTTCACCGACGTTTTTAAACACTGTATACTCAGTGTGTTACCTCCCGAGTGAAAGTTGGAAAAAATCACTCGGGTGGGACTCGAACCCACTTTACAATAGATAACAGCTAGCAAAACGTGTACGGTTATGGAGAATGGAATATTAATTGAAAACTAAATCACTAAGTATATAGGGAGTTATTTTGTATATTTTTTATATTTTTATTTTTTTGGTCGCGCAGACAACACCTGAAGAGGGTGAAGCTTCTACGCAACACAGAGCATCACAGGTGACACAACCCACGACAACTAAGGTGGGGCAGGTGTCAGACGGAGCGGAGGATGTTGAACAGGTTAGTCATAGGATGAGCCAGCCGTAGACTTAAATACATTTAAATCTGGCATGCATGTGTGGTTGGAATTCCGAACTTGTTGATATTATTTAACAAAAGTTACCCATTAATGAGACATTGAATATGTGCAACGCACAAAGATCAGGTTATGCCATAATTAGATTACAAATTTTGAAAACTTGTGACCTGATAATAATTCAGTTCTTGCAGGCAGACTGGTTTCCTAGCCAGAATAAAAAAAAACAATCCCTATAGCTATATAAAGACTCTGGAAACCACACTATCATGGTGTGGGTCTGTTTGTGAGAAATAGCAATCGAAAATGAAAGTCTTTTTCAGAGGATGAAGATGATGAAGATGCCCAGACTAGAAAACAAGAAAAGAATTTGTTGACAAGGGCTTATTTATGACGTCTTTCAGGATGATTTTGATGAGGGGGATAACGCCGAGATCCTGCAGGTGACGGGACGGCAAGAGGAGGCAGCCGGATCCATCCGATCGACACGCTCAGACGCACCAGAGCTCATCCATCCAAACGACGTCGGCAAAGCGCTCCGAGACTTTGTCAATGAGCACAGCAAACCTGCCAAGTAGGTGGATCGAGTGGACGCTTGAAACGGGCTTAGAGAGAAGTCACACATTTTTGCAAGTACACAACTGCCTAAACATGTCTGTATCCATAGCTGTGCTTGTCTTGCTCAAGGCGTTCAACGATAGAGTCCGATTATCGATAGTTGGCCGCGAAAAACAGAAGCCGTACGCTATGCACGAAGCGTAAACAGCAACTTCAGCTAGGCTACAATATGCCAATCAGCTTTTCAGTTCCAATAATCTTTGTTTTCTTCCTTTTTTCCCCGCAGGGAAAAGGCAAAGTTCCAGACATTCCGCATCATCTCTGGGGAGGAAAGAGACGACAGGTCAGTCAGTTTGGGGCAAAAAAATAATAAATTCATAAAAATAAATGTCTATATTGTCTGATGTCTGAAGTTTTTAGAAATTCCAGTTTTTGTGTGTTTTCTCTTGACATTGTAAGTAATCCTTGAAGCAATACATTAGTTGAATGCTTGGGCGGTTTTGGTCAATACAAGGAGGGACCAGGCAGAGTGGGTTGGGGCAAAACAGGGACAAATGAGTTGATAAAATTTAAGTTGGGCCTATTTCATGTACTTGTCCTTTCCTTTTCTTACCTTTGCAGTGAGGACGCAGCTTACTGGGCCAGTTTCCCGTCAGTCCTGTCTGGGAAGCAGGAGAAAGTTTGGAAAGCTCTGCTCGACGGCCTGGAAAAATACAGGTATTTTTATCAAATTTTCAGGAAACTAAAAAGATGGCATGACCCACATGTGTCCCATATCCAAAAGACAAAAGACGTTTTTAATCTGATGTTCCTGTTTTTCTTTGCAGTGATGTTCTCAATCAGCGCTCCAAGCTCATAACGGAGACGGATTCGCTGAGGCAGCAGAACGCCGAGCTGCGCATGCTGCTTCACCAGTATATCAACTCCAAGGTCAACCAAGAACTGGAGATTCCGCCGACTAGAGTTCTGAACCTAGACGTCCCGCAATAATCGGCCAGACTTATCAATTGAACTCCCCAACCCCATCCTTACCCCCTAAGGTTAGGTCTCAAAGTGCTTCAGTTAACCTCTGTTCAACAGGCCATCAAGCATTTTTCTGCAGACTCGATCATTGCAATCTGGTCTTGTCCCTCACTCACATACACTCCTCGGTGGAGATAGGCAATTGTAGTAAAGTGTCTTGCCCAAGAACACAAGCGCCATGGTCTCTACCCTCACAGGTACCTATTTATACTCCTGGGTGGAGAGACGCAATTGTAGTAAAGTGTCTTGCCCAAGAACACAAGCATCATGGCCTCAACCCTCACAGGTACCTATTTATACTCGTGGGTGGAGAGAGGCAATTGTAGTAAAGTGTCTTGCCCACGGACACAAGCACAGTGTTCCCCACCAGGATTCAAACACATGTCCCATGGCACCATGGCACACGAGGCAAATGCCATAACCAGGCCACATCGCTCAGTCAGTTAAGTCCAAAATTGGGCCCGGGTTTTTCTTGTGAGAACCCAAGCATGAACTACCTGTCGTTCGTAATTTTAATGGTCCCGTTTGTATAAAAGCATTTTAATACTGTAAGTACATATAATTCTATAAATGCTATCCTATTTCGAGAAGTGTAACTGGTCCATGGTGTATGTACAAATGTATACTGACGATATTCTTCCTCATTTGAATAAAATCAATTATTGTTTGAATATCAATTTTCTGTGACTCCTTGTTAATTAATAACAAAATTCTATTCCTTGCACAGCAAGGGTTTATGATACGAGAGCAGATTCGGCGTTTAATTATGCAAAACAAGACTGCGTCTTGACCTCGAGATTCCGACCATTCAGCAGGCATCTATAATTATCGGGTCTGCGATTGGCTGAAGCATGGGATCGCATAAAATTTGCATGTTAATGAGGACATATCATCAGACATTCCACCGTGGCTCTGTACACATGAATCATAATGTCACTATGAATTTCCACGACAGCTTTGAATTCCAGGATTTTGCAGGATTTTTCCCAGGATTTTTCAGGAGTTTTCAATGACTCGGGGAATGCCGAGGCATTTCACAGATCAACACAAGTACACAGGACATCCCACTAACACTGCGCATGTTGAGTTTTATTGTTGCTAACGATACCGCAAAGAAATATGCATATAAACAAGATGTTTTCACTTTTATTTAAACATGTAAATAACAGTACAAAGCAAAGCACATGGAATAATAAGGCCACAAAATACACGGTCACACGTGATTCAAGTTTTAAGCCAAACCAAATTTACATATAAATTGTCCAAAGGACTGCAACGGTCAAAACAAGAACATAAAATAGTTTTCTTACTACGAGCATTTCTTACACATTGTCACATCAAATTCCACAAAATGGTTAAATAAAACCACACGTAAATACACGCAAGCATGTAAACAAGATAATATTTTTTTTTGCTTAAGAAAATAAAGGCTATCTCAAAGGAAATAATCTGTTTGCGTATCATAAGGGATTACATTATTTCTTGGCAGACTGGATCAGACAATCTCATTTTCAAACTTTCAAGTGTAATTCGTAACGAAAAAAAAATGTCGTCATATCCAATCAAAAATACAAAATCCAGACAATGATCAATTTTGCCCATTCTAGGCAATAAATGGATCCTCAACTGGTCTATATCCTTAGGGACACCCCTCCCCTCCCTGATTCAATTTTAGTCCCGTAGGAAAGTAAATTTTCAAGGTTTAAGACACTAAGCTGCAACATAAATGCAGGGTTACTAACATTTCACACTGTCAAACACGTTACACTATCATACACAGTACTGTATCGTCAACTCCACTATAGTAATTACACATGTACATTCAAAACTGTACACCACTTATCAAACACGTTACATCATAGTCCACAGATTGAGACTAAACCATTTCCCTTTTTCAAGGAAATAGTCATTTTCTGAAGCTCTGCTTCAAGCATTATGAGGAATACACAAATTTCAAAGCAATTGAACTTTAATATACAAAGTTTTTGTTTAAACAAAATAAACAAACTTCTTTTTTAAATGAGGACAGTTTGAACACAAAACTATAATTGCAGTTTAAAATCCGCAAGATTTTTCATGAAGTTACTTCAATCAAATGTATATCCAACGGGGGACTACCGCTAACAAAACACGTAGTACATAAGGTACATGGCTATAGTTTCGCATTTACAAAGCTTTCACTGCGTGTATTAATATTGAAATGGTTCAACAACATACATATTGACGAGTAAGGCAGGTTCGTGGAAATAAAGTACAAGGGTAAAGGTTATACATTGTATAAATTCTCATCAAAATAAGTGCTGCCACAACATGAGCATTAAGTCAAACTTTTGTAAGAATTCAGACATTTTAAGTCCTGGATTCTGCAGAACAAGAGCCTTTCTCCTGGTAATGTTATACAGGATAACCCCCAAAAAAGTCGTGCAGGCTGATATAAAATTTCTCAAAAAGTACCTAACATGAGTATTTCACTTTGATGGAGCATATTAATTATACTCTTGTGTATAATCAGTGAAAATGTCATGGAAACCCATTCATGCATACCAGAGCTGTAACAGATTATAAAAGGATATGTGGTTTTCAAGCATTCCAATGGGAATTACACATTGCATTTGAAATCGCTCAACCAGCACTCTGCATGGGTCTTTTCGTTAAATGTGTAAATCACATTGGAGCGAATGATAAACACATTGCCATTTATAATCTGTTGTATCTCTGGTTTGCATGAATGGATTTTCATCAAATTTTCGCTGTGATTACACACAAGAGTACAAACAATATACTCCATCAACATGAAATGCTGATGTTGGATACTTTTTGAGAAATTTAAAGATGTCTGCTTGCACAACTTTTTTGGGGTCCCCCTGTATGCATGTAACATCTACGGGGAACTGAGCTCAGTAACAGAAATATGGACCATCAACTAATAACTTGAAGTTTGAAAAAATGGCATTTTAAAAAAATCCTGCTGTTGTATAATTACAGAGAATGAACAAAAAACTAACAAAATGGGACGAAAATAGATTTTAAATGCATTTGATAGAACAAATACAACTGAGAAAGGTACTGGTAGATCTGGACTGACAGATAACAAAAAATCTACCACCTCTTCAAATTTTAGCTTTGCCCCACCCTACTGCAAAATAGCGATTGTCGACTTTATGCTCATTTGGCAATGACAGGTCACAATTTGTGTAGAGACAACATAAATTAGAGACAACATAAAGTAGAGACAACGTAAAAATTAGATGTAGGTATATAACACAGCAGGTAGTCTAATCACGTCGGATACATGCTATCTCTTATGCAGTCTATGCTAATACAAATATCTGTTCAACAGTTTAAAAAGTACTTTTCTTAAGAGTTGTGTCAGACTAAACAAATGAGGAGGACACATGAATATTCACGATAAATGTGTAAGGTTTATACATCAAAATTTACGGTGGATTTTCTGCAATCATATCTATCATTCCTCAGTATTTACAGGCAGTGCCACAAAACATCGCAACTTAATTTTTTGTAAAAATAATCCGATCCGACGAAGGTTCCAAAGCCTTCAAGTGGATAAGGCTTTTAGTTCCTGTAGTAAAATACGGGTACCTTTAAAAGAAACCCATTCCCAAATTCAAATCCTGGATTTTATCTGAAGGTCTTTATATCCTTTTCATTGTCTGAGGAGTTATTTGTAAAGTTGGTTACCGGTTCCCGATCCACTAATCTGGAACCGGTTTCTGACATCAACGGTCAGGAACTTGGGTAGCCAATTCAGATGCACTCCCCTACTTGCTCTTCAAAAATATTGTCCTGCGAGATATTCCATCAAAAACAAAGCAATTTGTATCCTTTTTTTTTTCAGTAGTTCATCCTTGCAACAACACAGTTGACAATGTTCTGTAGTGTCCTTGTTTTCTTCCTCTCGGCCAAAATTCGGATTAGGATCTGTCTGTTGCCCTTCATGGTTTCTGCCACTCTCAGTGCGGTCAGAAATAATTGCTCGGGAAAAACAGTGTCAGGAACGGTGACACTGTTCATAAACATAAACAACCCACAAAAGTGTTGCGCAATGCCGGCTTGTTGCTAGGATCGTGTGTTCGCTTGTTTGTACACAATTCTCCAGTGAATCAAGTTCGCTTGTCTGAACGCCAGTCTGAACCGTGGGTTAGGTTCCAATATAATATAATAATCCATGTACATTTAACAAATTTCTCTTACATGGGCACTTTGGAACAATCCTTGGTTTCGTTATTTTGGTAAACATTAACAACAGTGAACATCAGTAACATGGGGGAAAAAATGTTTTGCAAATAAAATATAGGCTTTGGGCAACATGTCAAAACGGAGAAAACAACTGAAAGGCTTGGAACAAAATTGGTTTTCAAAGTTTTAGAAAAGAAAAAAACAATGGAGATTATGCTCATTCCAGATATACACGTACATCAGGAATTGTAGCAAGGAACTCTGTCTGTAGTAAAATTTTGCTGAGATCTAATCTTCAAGTCTAAAACTCAGAGACTGGGCTAGCTTAACAACTTATCGTTTATCTCTGCAACAAAAACAAGGAGGTAAACACAATATACTTTCTACTTTTCAGGGAAAAATGTACAGCTTTGTGCAAGGTTTTGGGAGAAAGAAACAATAGAATAGGACTGGAAGCTCTCTAGCCACCTCATAGATCAGTTGATCTGACGCCCATGTTGGTGAGAGAAGGTATGCTTGCAGGAGCCTCCAGTGAAATGACGCGTGGACTCTTGTCGCCGTCCACAGCTGCCAGATGCAACTGGGGCCGGTCCACCTCAACCTCTGTGAGAGAAATTGGTGGCTGCCCCTCCCCAATCTGAAGTCGCTGAGAAGAGGTTGATGATGTCAAAGACTCAGAGACATCTGAGGTCCCACTACGGACACCATCCCCGATCCCGCTCCTGCCACCGTCGGAGATCCCACTTCTGCCACCACTGTGACCCTTCCATCTCAGGTCAGAGCTCTGGGATGCGGATGCCGCGATGGCCCCTTCAATGTTCGATGAGGAGCTACACTCTGATGTGCACTCGCTGTCAGCAAGTGCAGCACTGAGCTCCGAGTTGATGGAGTCGTTGATGCTGACGTTGTCATGGTTACATGAGGATGCGGATGGCGCCTCTGTGATACGGTCACTGATCTTGACGCTATTCTTCCTGCCACTGCGACTAGTACGGCTCTTGCTGCTCTTGGTCTTGCGCATGGCACTGGTCGGGTTAGCTCCACTTGAGGCACTAACGTTGCTCTTCAGCTCCCAGACATCTTCAGTGGACGTCTTCTGGCAACCCGCTGCCCCCAAGATGTGACAGCCACTGGCCGAGTGGGCCAGGTGGCTGTTCTCTGTACTGCTGCAACTCCCACTGCTCAGTCTGGTTTTGTAAGCCCTTCGCTCCATGTCCACTTGGAATTCCAGGGGGTCCCTTCTCAAAGGAGTATTGTTGTTTTCTAAAAACAACAATGAAAAGTTACGGTTAATTATATTGTGTACATTTCAACATCACATACAGTGTGTAGTGTACACAATTTGTCATTAAAAAATTGTTGTCATTCTTGCACACGTAAAATTACAAGCCCATTAAACAGTCAAGTCGGATCATAAGTAATAGCAGATGAATCATGACATCTTCAAAATGTTTGACTTGAGATTGAAGGAATTTGCTGGTAACTGGTCCCAAATCTTTATCCATACACTTTACTCTGTTTAACTGCAAGGTACCAGCTACATGTACAGCTGGTCCCAGACCCTTATCCACACACTTACCTCTGTCTAGCTGCAGGGTACCAGTGGTGGCCTGTCCAATGCAGGTTTCACACAGATTGATGGAGGCAGTTTCACTGCTGTGGCTGGGAGTCTGGTTGCTGTTAACGACTTCAGCATGGACGTCCAACCTAAAGCAAAGGTTTCAGAGAACATAATTATTTAAAACTGTATCACTCATGTTGTTCCACCATATCTATCAGGCTCAATTTTGCAAATAGCTTTGCTTAGTTTTGGACCCGAGGCCAAAGCAAAACTCACAAAGTTTGCGTCTGAAAAAAAACAAAACAGCAGGGCATGGAGTCAATGCCATTATCTAAAACAAGCTGCTTACCGGTGAGAGTGGAGTACCAGCGGCCCGACACCACCACTGCCCGACAGACTACCAGTCAGACTGGCCCCTGCGATGGCCCGCGTGCTGGCGTTGTCGCTGACCGTGTCGTCACCGATCACGCCGGCCACTTCAAGGTGACTGTAGCTCTCCCGGTTCATGGAGGCTTCGCCGATGCTGGCATTGACGACTGCGCTGTTGACGTCAGGATTGGCATCTGTGGAACCGAGAAACAGACAAGGAACATTCTTTTAAACCTTCTGCAACCAATTTTGCGACGCCATACACATCGCACAGCTGTTGGCAGACAAGCATGCAACAAATACATTTTTATGTGTGTTATGAAAGTATACAAAAACTGCAAGAGCATACACTCTTGTTTTACTACACTCCCGAGGACAATGCTTTGTCTTTCCCTTTGTCCCTGTTATATAACACTCTGCCATAGACTAAGCACACAACCTACTACAGAGGACTGTTTTGAACAAAAGACCCAACTCCCAAGGACTGAAAGGATCTGTTGTTCTCCCTTTGTGTGTGTATCCTCGGGGGTTATGTAGAACACGTACACATGTTCCTGTCTTGTATTAGGCTCGAGGACAGACACACAAAGGGAGAACAAAAGATCCTTTCAAGTGTGTACATGTACATGTAAGTGAGTATTGCTTGAAAGTACCGGTATTAGGAATATATTATTTAATACTTTAGGACTACCAGGTTATTGGATTCAGATTACTTCAGCTCTAATAATTTTTTATTAAGTTCAGTACACGTAAAATGCATTGTTCTTTTTTATTTCTATCTGATCATGCATAAATACATTTGTGGCATTAATTTTTTATTCATAAATACCTCAGACAGTTTAGCCATTCCTATTGGTCGAGAGCCCGTCACGTGGCCGGTATTAAACGGATGATAAAGACATGGCTAGCTGGTCTTAAACACTTTTCCAGTGTCACAATAAAATGTGGACTCCTAAAAATCCAGTGCCTCTTATCGTTTCATTGGTTGAACGTTCACAATCCTCACGTAGGCATGCGCAACACTACCAGGGAGTTAGAATTTTATAGTTCTAAATTCAAAACGCAACGCGCCAGGTGCGTTCTGCGCGACATCGCGTAGAACATGATACGCGCGCGTCAATCTCTATAAAAGGGTTGTTTTCATCTTACTCGCCAGCTGAACACTCCATTATTTTGCAGGAGGGATGTTTCAAAAAGCATAAAGTGAATTTGTTGAACAAAATCGGGATGTTTTGAACGAATTATATGATTTTTTTTTACCGAAAAGGTATTTATGAATGGGAATAAATATGTACTCCGTCGGTATTTATCACTCTGTTTAATACCACTTAGAGTCTGGGTGCTGATAATTACCCTCGCCTCCGGCTCGGGTAATTATCAGCACCCAGACTCTAAGTGGTATTAAACAGAGTGATAAAAACCTCCGGAGCACACATTTATTCCCTTAATAAGAACTGGAAAAAAAATACACTCATCAGAGCAGAACTAATTAGAATTCAAGTACCTGAATGCCAGTTTAATACTTCCAAAATACCAAATAAAAAAAAATTTAAAAAAAGATTATTTCAAATATTTGCCACAACACCGTAAAATATGAAATATTTTGTAACACTGTAAAAATTTAACAGAATATACATGTACGTGTCATGGAGGCAGGTGGTCCACATGTTATAACACATCCAATCAGACATGTTAATTACTGCAAGGGCAACCGACATGTGGCAAAGGAGTCTGGTACGCACAATGGTGATGCACATCATGACCTCAATAATTGACGTATGGTTGTATCACTAGGTCAGACATATTTAAATGCACATATGTTTACACAAATATACAGAACCTCATACAGATACATTTGTTTGTACACAATGTACATGTATGTAGTGTAAAACATCAGGCTAACAGTTAGCACATCTTCTAAAAATATTTATATTTTAACAAACATTACTAATAATTTCTACAAATACATAATACAAATATTGCACACACGTGTTCTACTGCAATTTCTATGCATTCAAATGTTTACCTGATGCGTTGCCGGGGGTAATAGCGCCCCCGTCATTGTCGTCCTCAAAGTCAATCCGCACCCCTCCCCGGTCGCTGGTCGTGACCCCGCAGCCTCCGCTACGACACAGGGACACGGGGACCACACCATACACGTAGGCTAGAAGGATAGGCACGCCAATACCTGGATAGAGAGACAATATCAAAACATAGACAATATCAAAACATAGGTTTATCAAATATAAATGTACATGTACTGTATAATGGAGAAAACATGTACATTAACTTTGTTATGAGTAGGGCCTACATTTGTACTCACCCACTGTAAGTGCGGCTATTACTGGAGACACAAGCACCGACATGGTCACGCTACCAGCTATGGCCAGGTTACGTCGATGACGTGATGTGTTGGAGTACTTGCCATGAACCTGTGGTCAAAACAAAACAAAAAAATTAATTTAAAATCAAAAAAATTTGTTTTAATGCTTCAACAGGTTTATATTGCACTTGTATGTACTTTTCATCGATTAGAATTTCACAATTGTATCTTTTGTTGATTGAAAATGTTCTGGAAATCTAAAAAATAAGCAGAAAAGTTATGGTTCCTTTGGACGCAGTTTTGTACCGGCTAAGCAAAATAGTCAAACAAATTTAAGAATCCATCCAAAATCCGCCATCTTCGGGAAGAACAACATGCCATCAGCCTCCTTAATTTTTTTTCAAAATGACCAAATGTACTAATTTTTATTTTTTCTCAGCACATGTATGAAAAAAAAAAAAAGCCGCATGGCCACACCACTTTTGGGGCAAGCTCCATACCAGAAACCGAAGACTTTTTTTTTTGGCCTAAGAGACTTTTTTCCTAGTTCACTAGAGTAAATGGCAGTATTTAAATGCCAACTATCGGTAAATACAAACGACCTCGCCCAAGCATGAAAGCACTTGTCTAATGACCGTAGAAAACGGAGCCAGCTAGCTACTTGTAGCTAGCCATATGGCTGGCCCACTTCTGATGGTGCTTCAACATGCTCAAGAACCAGACACTGATTTGAAAATGGGACAGAAGATACTTTACATGCAGGGGATTCAGTCTGAACTCGTGTCTGACTCCATTCTTTGTGTACATGTACATGTACATGTGTACCGTATGTCTATCCATACGTGATAAACACACAAACTATTCCATGTATACTTTTTAAGTATTTGGTGCGTGTTCATTTATACCCATAAAATCACTTCAATGTTTAACTCCATCTGTCCTCTACCCTCACAGGTATAATGTACATGTTTGTACATCTGCTGGGTAGAGAGAAACAATTGTTATAAAGTGTCTTGCCCAAAAACACAAGCATCATGATCCTTGTCAAGGTTTGAAACGCCATAATCGCCACACTAGTCAGACACTGAAATAATCAAGTACATTTATAATTACATGTATTCAAATGGTTTCATTAACTGTGGTTGAAGTGCATGCTGTACACAATGTTCAGTGCTATTTCTTTTGAAGCGTAGGCGGTAAAAATGTAGTAAAAGTGACAAATGGTCAATTACGTTGAACAAACTATGGCATGTACATGATGTATGGGTGTTCAGATATTACAAAATCACATAAAAGCCTATTAAGGTTTGCAGTTTTAGCTACTGTTAGATGACTCTTCATAAACTGAAAGGAATGGACTATCGAGGCATTATTGACTTTTAGGAGTGGCTTACTAAAATTAGCATTTACTCGATCCAAATTATCTAAAGATAAAAATTACTGACAAAAATAAATCTGGCATTTTAACAAAAAAAGTACAATTCCTTTTCCTCTGAGATATTTCATAAAATCAGCTCCGATTTCTGAATCAGGGAGCTGTGAAAGAAAATGCCAGACCGCACTTCATCTCGTCGGTGGAAAGGCAGTGGTCGAACAAAAAAAATTTCCAAAATCTGATATACAGTCTTTACAGATTTTGCGCAACCGGACACCTCGGAGTACAGAGCATTCAGCATGTGTTAATAAGTCGGTGGCCTACGCACTATAGACACAAGGGATCGCGACACAAAGCCGTCGCTGAACGCAAGCTGTGGACTGCGCCTAGTTTCAGCGTTGGCATTTGCATGCCATTTCTCCATCCCCTTACAAAACCCGGTATTTGGTTACACGGAAGGCCTTTATGTTCTCCTTCAAACACTCTCTTAGTCTTTTTTCCCCCTCTCTTACTGCGAAACCGCAAGCCGCAAATCCCCGGCAAATGTTTGCGCAGGGAAGTCGGGTAAATAGTCTTTATTCCACCGACAGATATGGCAGACATCTCGCTTGGGGATTATTTGGGATGAGATTCTCCGGAACGATGACGTGATTTTTCCTCCCACTTCCGTTGCACTTACATGGGAGCCTATTTACAAAACTGGCCATTCACGTTGAAACTAAAGGTCTATGCAGTGTGCATAGTACACATTCGATTAAATATAATCTGTCAAATGATGCCCGACATTATTACTAAGTTAATGAGTTACTATGTACTCAATCATACATGTACTTTTTAAACCAATGAGACAGGTAACCACGGAGACAGCTCAGTAACCATGGTAACAGAATCACAAAAGTACACTTGCAATTAGAAGCCATTACCCAGAGAAAGAAGCATGATTACTACATGTAGAGTAAAGATTAAAATGTATGTGAAATGAGAAAAAATACGCTTGAACAATGATGGAGATTACATGTACATGGATTTTTGGAAATTATGAAAGCTTTGGAAATTACATGTTTTTTTGGAAACCTACCGGTAAGAAATGGTTAAAACACAAATGTCACGAGGCAGGAAAAGGACACGGGCAGATAAAATCAAAACTATAGCCAGGATATCGATGTATTATCACGGTAATCAGAAAATTACCAAAGTCATGCATGTACAGTACTGTACATGTACATGTACATCATTAACTACATGTGTGTGTACATTGTGTGCATTTGTGTGGTTTACCGGTTACTATGCAGGGAAAATTAATGAGAAATGGATAATCCTAGTAAGATAAAAATTGTTTAGTTTCCTTTCTGTGTACAGGTTTCGGTTCCTTTATCTGCAACCCAGAATAAAGGTCATAATGGCCTATATTTACATGATGAAAACGTGTAGTGTACATTTGTACATGTACAGACTTACTGTGTACATGTACATGTACATGTACATGTACATACCACTTACCAACAAGCACAATGTACATGAACATATGTATACATGATCCAGGTTTGTTTATGGTGTAAATCCAGAATTTGTTTTTGTTCCTCTTCCCTTTTCCTTCGTTTGTACTTTAACTTTTCGCACCAGCTCTCATTGGTTTTGTAAATGTTTTCTAATCGAGGTCGTCCTCGATTTGGTTCCTGTCCTCGATGCACCGATGATGTTGCACATGTGTGTGCTCGATTTACACCAAAACAAACGCATACATTTGCAACATGTTTGTAGCATCACTGATGCCACAAACTGACACCAGGTGATCTGAGTTTTCTCGGTTACGTGCGCATCGTTAGTAGCGCGCAAGTTTGGTTTTAACGAACTGAAAGGCAAATCCGGAGTCGTTATTTGTGTTTTTCACAAACTAAAACCCGTCTTTAAAAAAATCGAACACTGAACACTTTGTGAAGACCTTGTAGAACAAGGTGTTGCTCAAAGGTTTGGGTTGGCGAACTTTAATGGAGTAGTTTCAGAGAAAAATCCAACTTACATCATGTCCGAAAAATCCCAGACTATGGTTTTTAGATTATCTTACCCCTAAGTACACACAGTTCAATCTATCGAACTGATAACACCGGGAAGCCGCAAGATCAGAACAAAGAACATCAATACAAATATTTTGGACAATCTACGTCAGCAAACTTGTAACGCTGACGTTTTTTCCCGTTCTTTTATCGTAAAATGTCTATTTTAAGTTTCAGCACCAATCCACCTTTGCTTCATTAGTGTAATGGGCCCTGGCTCAATTTGCCAAAAGCAGTTTTGGCAGACTGCCAATTTCGGTTGAAACTAAAAACTTTTAAAAGAAAGATCGGGAATCGAATACATGCACTGACATGTGTGTTAATAAAGAAATGGAATCATAAACGTTCAAGTAAACTTTTGACTTCATGTTTGAAGGAGTAACGTTAAGACACTTTTCTTGAAAAAAAAAACCAATTTTAAAATGAGTTATGTACAAATAGAATTCCCTAAAAGGCACTGAATTAACAATTTCCCTTTGGTGAAATTTGAATCTGTTCAATCAAACACCAAGGCATACAAAAAAAACCATCCAGATTAGTTTCAAATGTAAATTTCAAATGTTTTTATTTGGTTAAGATACAATCACAAGAGACAGCGATCACAAACCTTTCTGCCCACGTAGACGGGAATTCCGATGATAATGGCGGGGATGGCTATTCCAGCAATCAGCGCTATTCCCACTGGAGCCCCAACCAGCGTGCCCAGCTGCCAAAGGATCTTCTTCTTGCGACTCCACGGCTTCTTGCCCCAGAAGGTGCAGCCAGAGGGACTGAGGACGCAAAATGGAACAGCCAATTAGATATTTTGATATTTGATATTTTTCCCCTAAACAACGGAATGAATAAATGTCCTTCGCCCAACTGAACAATCAAGGTTTACATTTATTCATTTTTTTTTTTTTTTTAAGTTTTTTTTTTAATTAATCTGTCTTTGTGTTTTGTTTGTTAGTTTCGTTTCTTTCTTGGATCAACACATTGCAACAGAAACGCATGCATAAATAAATGTACGTCTTGGTAACACATGTACAAGAAATGTAACAACTTATTGCACTGTATAATTTTTACACATACCCATGTTTATACGTACTTATGCAAAATGTACATGTACATGCATACATGTACATGTACACGTAAATATTAATATTTTGGTACCAGTTTTGTATCAGCACATTGTAACACTTGTTTATTTAATGAAACAGAAATTACACAGCCAAATTGACTTACATGTACATAAAAGTTGTGGTAGAAAGTAGTACATGTACATGTACATGTATACTTATACATGTACAGGTACATGTAGTGAATAGAGCTGATATACTGTACATGTACATGTAGTTTTTGCATTACGTTGTACATGGTAGAAAGTAGTACATGTACATGTACATGTATACTTATACATGTACAGGTACATGTAGTGAATAGAGCTGATATACTGTACATGTACATGTAGTTTTTGCATTACGTTGTACATGGGCATGCAATACAACTGAAGCGTTTATGCATGTACATGTACTGTACATGTACATGTACATGTGTATGGTAGGCATTTTCAAAGAAATATCGGTAAACACTGTACAGGATGAGTAAATATGAAAGTGACCTGGATCAAATTGTTTTTTCCTTTAAACAAAAATTAGATTTTTACACAACAATGATGCAGTATCCAACAGCATGTTCTTCACTCATGTGAATAAAACAAACCATTTTTACAGCTGTCCATGGAATGCTAAATGCTTTGAAGTTATTCAGCTGAGTGAAAACAAGAGATCACACACAGGCATTCGAATCCAAACTTATGAGATTTTAATAATATGAGTCATGGCTGAAACATTTGTTTTTACTGTCTAATTTTGATTTTGTATACATTATATGAAGAACAAATCTTGTCTTTTTCTGAAATGATCGTGATTTTTGTCTGTTTTCCTTCGCAAAATTTCGTGCATGCATGGAGACCTGAAAACCTCCATGGTTCATTGTATTTAAAGGGTATCCCTCAATGCGTATTGGTAAATGATCAGCGAAGGACAGCTAAATTTGTGGGATTTCCATTAAAATAGATATAACTTGTGAATAGATTACGCGAATTACATGAAATGTTACTAATCAATAACATGTGCTACAAGCACATTGTATATTCCTATGTTATTTTTATTGAATGGAACCACTAATAATAATAATAAAGGACATTTATATTGCGCAAAACCTATATGGATATACTCTTCTGCGTATTACAAAAAACAAACAGAAATGCATAAAAATACAAAATACTAGAAATACTTAATTGTGAAATAAATGTGTTTTCAACCTGGACTTAAATACATTAAGTGAAGAAGATTGTCTGATACAAGGAGGGAGATTGTTCCATAGTGTATAGGAGCAGCGTTCACAAATGCCCGATCACCGAGGGTAGCCTTTGATGTTCTTGAAGGGTAAGCCAACAATGTGTGGTCTTGCGAACTCCTGAGACAATAGGTTGTTCTAGAGAGTGATTTCATGGTTATGAGCTCCTGAATGTACATTGGTGCTATACCATTAATGGCTTTATAAGTTGTTAAAAGAATTTTAAATGCTATTCTTTGTCGAATGGGTAACCAATGTGAATCATGTAACAATGGACTGCATCGAGAATATCTGGAGGAATTACAGATTAATCTAGCACAAGCATTCTGAACCCTTTGCAATTTGAACCCTTTGCAACTACTCACATATTTGTACAATATTTCTTTCTAGCTCAGTCACTTTCTTTTCGACTCACCCTGTACATAAAATCACGGGCTAACGTTGTTACAATTGTCACAGTTAAAAATTCGGCCCAGGACAGAGAAAAAAATTCCTCAGGATTTTACAACTTACATACATGTAACGCCAACGAGGCTGACATGCAAGCTGTTCTTTTCTTTGTACAAAATTCAAAACGCCAAACGTCAAACATAACTGTTTAGCTTTGGACTCGTGGGATACATTGTAAAGAGATGTATAAATATCTCGACAGCCTTGTTCAATCTTTAAACAAGAACAACGGTAACTGAATATGTTCGTGATCTTAAATACACATTTTGTAAGTGCGTCATAAGCACTGAGTTGCGTCAATCCAAACGCAAAACTATTGAGTGCAGTGTACGCGTATGTGTGTACAGTGTTTGTGTATAATGTGTTTAATGTAGTAATGGAACTTATTATCTGCTGTGATGTACATTGTAGTCCGTGGCGTTCTGTACGCCCGAGGGGTTCATTTGAAAAATAAATTTCATTTTCAGTGTCGTGTTCATCTACTGACCTATTGCCGTTTGCGAGTTAGCCACGCCCCTTAGACAACCCTATGGAATTTTTGTACATTATGTCTTGTTTGTCTCAGATTTTGCACGTTCTGCGTCCATTTGTATATCATGTAATTGGACAATATTTCACAAGCTGCGTTGACGCGATTCTAGCGTGATTCTACCGCGATTCTATCGTGACTGCATTTTGTATCAAATTTAGTATGAAAGCTAAAAATTGCAAATTTGTTTCACTCTAAAGTGCATGTCAAGATGTGAGTCATGTTAGGTGACAACATTTTGTACAACTCTTTTGGGATTATGAATACATATATGGTGACATACAAAACTAGAACACATTGACAAGAACAAAACTCATCATTGTGGGACACATCTGAGGAGTGCATTTTTGGACAAAACAATGACTGATTCATATATGAACTCGGTGATTTGTTCAATGTTCAGTGAAAAGTTGTCAGCTTTTCACCTGAAAGTCTCTACAAAAAGGCAAAACAAAATGACCGACGTATCAACTGACTTAACAGCTGACTTGTGACTGACTTGTATTTAACTTGGAAAAAACATTTGTTATTGATTTGATTCATAAAAATTCGCCCCTGACAAACAATGGACCCTTCCTGCCTGTCAATCACACAGTGCACACTGACCAATAGGATTAAGATCTGGGGTCAGGTGTCAACAGGTGGGTGGGGCTTATGACAAATCTGGACCATTCCATTCCTTACCTGAGGTAATGCAGGTCTGATATCTCCTTCATGCACAGCCAGCAGAACTCGGCTCCGCAGACGGCGCAGGACATGTGGTTGCAGGAACCGTCGTCCATCTTGATGATAAGAGCAGTGCATCGTGGGCAGGGTTTAATCTGATCCGCTGTTATTGACAACAAAATAAAAATAAGATAACGCTAGCACTAGGATGAAGCCACTTGGCCCAAGACCATTTTTTGTATCGGATAGAAGTCGTTGTGCGCTGAGGAAAATGATATTAGTAGCCAAGGCATGCAAAGAAATTCACTTTTGGAGATAATCCATCCAGTTTAAAGGTTACTGCATTTGTGCTAGGTTTTTGTTTTGACGTTTCTAGACATGTTTGTCCAGCGTATTTATGGGTTGTATTTTCTTCAGTTTTTGAGTTTAGAGGCGACACTTTTTTTATTTTTTTCACATTTTTCACATACAAGCAAATTATAAAAATTTAAGTGAAAATTTGGGGCATTTAGTTTGTTTTTGGGGTAAATTGTTTTATACATGCACACGTAAATTGTAAACGAGGTTACTACATGTACTAGGGTAAATTCTGAGAAATAAAGGTCATTATCTACGTAGTCAGTCAAACATTCAAGCTACATGTACGTAACAAAAGCTGATCCTTCTCAAAACCCAATTTGCATTCCATCAATCACGTCGGATGGCCATCCTGAAGAAAACTACTTGAGATGTCCCTGAAGTACGATCTCTCAACACGCTCAAGAACAACTGTGACGTTAACAGCATACATGTACAAACAGTACCGGTACATGCACATGTAGAAATACCTAATTAATTTGTACACATGTACATGTAGTTCTTGATAGGATATGATGTCACCAACTTCAATGCCTATTCAATGCTGAACCCAGATTCAGCACGTCCAGGTGAGAGTGGCCCAAGTAAAATTTACACCCTTTCACTGAATAGATTTTATTTCTGGATCTAAGTACCCAAATAGAAAAGGAAAAAAAGGAGTGGATTGAGAAATAGGCCTAGTCAAGCTTTAAATTAATACAATTTTATTGAAGAAAAAAAATATTAAAAAGTTGTAATTATTTTTTTACAGCTCTTGATCATGTCTATGGATCCCAAATTTTAACAGAGAACTTGTAACTTACATGATGCAGAGCCCTGGCTATAGGATCGCGACGTCTTCCTCAGGAGCCCCTGCCGCTGTTGCCTTGCCGCATCGCACGTCTGGTCAGGGTGCCAGACTTGTTTGCAGTGGTAGCAGAAGAACGTGCCGCAGCCTGGTCTCAGGCAGGCCAGCTGGGGGCAGTTGGCGCACCCGGCCGCGATCACTGCAAAACTGTCAAACACAAAAATATATCACTCAATTCAAATTGTGGGCGTTGCCTGATCGATTTAAATGGGTGGGGGAAGGGGTTGACATGAAATTTCAGCCACACATTTTTAGCCTCAATCCTACAAAATCCCCAACTTTTGCAAAGAGCAATTTGAAGGATTTGGGAAGGTCAGGATTAATACTATAATAGTACTTGATTGGCAAATTAAAAAGTGCAGAGGTTACAGGGAAGGAAACATGTCACACTTTGACCCTAAATTTATAGCACCACACAAACACATGTTCGAGCTTATGAAACCCGGCCAGACAAAACTATGTCATACATGGTTTAGTATTTCTACATTAAAGGGAATATACAACATTTGCAAACATCGAAAAATAAAACTAACAAGTTTTACGAAATACCTAACTGGGATGTTGGTAAATAACAGTCTAAAGAATCTTATAAAATTATGGCACCTGGTGTGAAGTCATTTTCAAGAAAATGATATTTTTGTATTCATTTCCAACGGTGGTCGTTCGACCACCGTTGGGAAAAACCAAACTATTTTTCAACTACTGCTCCAACTTTACCCTTGTTTCAGTCCAAAGTTTGTTTGCTATTGGTTACATGTTCATGAATGGGTGCAGGCCAGCTAGACTGGTTCCCTTACCTTACAATTTTCAGGCATCTATAAATTGATCCATTTTATCTTTAGTGGAGTCAAGGAACCAGAATACTTGAACATTTTTGTTTTTCTTGGTTTTTCCAGCATTTTCGAACACAAAACTTCAAACATGTCAGTGTAACAATATTTGATCTATTACACTAACCCCTCAAATAGTTCATTTCTGAAATTTACAGCAAAAGCCAATGATGTACATTCCCTTTAATCGTGTACCATACATGTACATGTATACGTGTACATACTACATGTACACACAGGCATGTACTGTACATGTACATGTACGTGTAGTGTACTACATGTACATGTACATGTACATGCAGCCATTTTCTTTTTTAATAAGTATGTATTTGCAATGTTTACATGTGTACTTTTTTACGTGGTCATGTATTGCTCATTATTTGCAGCAACTAATGCTGTTCTTTATGTGAAATAATCACGCCCAATGAATATCAGAACCTGAAACAACAAACTGATAAACCCAAGAAGGATCGGCCAATCATGCCTCATGTAGACAACATATCACCCAAAACATTCTTGTTGAATGACTCATGTCTGGAAGCCATTTTGATTTATTGATAACAAATGTATGTAAACATACTCTACACTCTGGGTTGTCCCTTTATCACACTTCATGTGAATACAGTACAATTTACATGTTCTACATGTACATGTGTGGCCCATGTACATTAATGTACAAATGTACTTATTATTATCAAGGATCATGCGCTTCTACTATTGTAATGTAGGCCTAATACCAACAGTTGTGAAATTGAGTGTGAACAAAAAAAAATGTGTAGCCTTAACATAATTGACCTACGGTATCGCTGTTTGCGAGTTAGCCACGCCCCTTAGACAACCCTATGGAATTGTGCACGTTAATTGTGTTTGTCTCAGATTTTGCACATTCGGCACCCATGCAATTGGACAATATTTCACAAGCTGCGTTCACACGATCCTACATGATACATGAAGAGTCCCCCCCCCCCCTACACACTGATGAATGCATTTCAAAAATAAATAATTAACTTTTATTGTTAATAACTCGTCTCATTTATTGTTAATAACTAATTTTATGAATCAATTGTCCATTACTGGACAATAAAGTGTCATTAAATTTTTACAAAAAGCGACTTTTAATGTACATGTTGTACATGTATACATTGTACATACATGTACATGTACGTGCGTAGATCAAGCTGACATTTCTAAGAATTTCTCAGATTCAGAATGTAGAAGATAGGCTTCAGCAGTTGCCGGAATTGCAAAATATAACTGAATTTTCATCCACATGATATGATAGAGAGTGGTTTCAGATTGATGTGGGCGAGGTAATCATGGTAACATGATACTGCAAAGGGCAAGGATTGCTTCAAAAAACGCGTGGGCGTGTTTCGGTCTAATGATGTACTGTACTGTTTCTAGCGAGTGTTCCTTTGCGTTTTCCATTCTTGTGAGGATGTGTATGTGAAGGTTTCTGTACTGTCTTCACCTTTGTTTTAATTAGAGCAGACAGCTACATGTGTACTTGAACATTTACATGAAGTTCTAACGAAACCTGCCTTAAGCTTTATTGTACACAATTTCCGGTCCATGTAACATTCCATGGACCTATGTACAGGCATCATACACTGGGAAAAATGTGGTTTTTCTGTTTTCTCCAAAAATTAATGATCCTAACCGTCACAAGGAAATGCTGGTAGATCCTCTTTTCTGGAAAATAACAACAAACTATTGAGCAACGGTTTTGCAGGATGCTTGACCTATTATTTACATGTGCAATACATGTACAATTACAATCATACATGTAGGATATTACATATTATTGGGCAGTTCCCATTTTGAATGTTTGCAAATGGTATCGATTACATTGCCTTTAAAGGGAGTTCCCAGAAAATGACAACATGTATGCATAATATACATGCATAATGTATAAAGTATCAGCGACAAACAATCCCAGCTGGCCCTTCCTACATGTCCTAGTGAAAAAAAGTATTTTTGGCACTGTGTATAATTTCTGAATGACTTTCAGAGAATAAATACAAAAATTTGCCAAAACGTACAATGTGTAGTCAATGATACATTTACAGACGATGAAAAAGAAAGGTTTTGAATGTCGTTTGTGGGGAATTTTCAACACGAAAGACAGGCTCATGCGCATGGTAAAACAATTAACATATTTCACGTTTATCATGCTCGCGAAAGTTGATCTGGCAGTATTATCGTGCGGACCTTTATGACAAATCTCAACAGCAACTTCCGAGATTTGAATTTTGGGGTTGGTTTTCTTTAACAGATACCTTGGTTTGGTTTTTTTCAATCAGGTACAAGGTTTCCGTACTATCCATAAATGCACAACCCTACTGTTGGCTTCAGCTGGATACATGCACAATGTATGATACATGTAGAACTGAGTACTTGTAAAATGTAACTACATGTACAGCAGGCTAGGCTCAAGTTGAACGTTTTGTTGCATTCAATTTTGTCACGTAAAAAAAAAATCTTATGAAAAAAAAAATGTGATAATTAACTCACCCACAGTCTGGTGCCGGACACCACCTGCAGTCAGAATCCATCATCAACAACCGACGTAATGTAAACTCCTCGTATTTATTCATCAGCATCTCGTCCTGCAAGACCAGCTTGATGTCGTTGGGGTGCAGCGGCTCCGCGCACTCCGGGCACGCAATGTTCACGCGACTCTCCGTGATCTCAATCTTCAAGTACTGTCGCAGGCACTCCCGGCACGAGCGATGCTCGCACGTCATGATATCCGGGAACTGGTCCTTGGGCCTGTCCATCAGGCACAGTGGGCACAGCGACCGACCGGCCGTGCCGCGCTGGTGCCCGGCGCCCTGCGTGGACACGGCGCGGCGGTAGGATTTGGCAGGGGGCGTGCCCGTACTCCCGCTGCTACTGTGGCCCGACATGGTATCCAGGCTTCCCCGTCGCGGCTTGGATTGCCGCTGCAAGAAGCGCGGGATGAAGCTGCTCTGCTTCTTACGCTTCACCGAGTCCGTGGTGGCCTGGGAGGTCCCAGACTGTATGGAGCGGGTGTCGATCTCGGGGCCTTTCATGATGGCCTCGCAACTCCTACTCCCCAAAAGTACACGCCAAAAAGGAACAACTTTTGACCAAAATTGACTCAAAAACAAATCCTAAAAAAGTCTACATGTTTGGCAGTGCATTTTTTTTAAACGGTGGTTTCTTACAATAAGACACTGTGTTCAATTTACATGGTCAAGGCTGACGTCAACTTGCAAACACAATCCAGTTCAGACATGTAGGTTGACAAAAGTTTTAGTAAAAACAGACGAGTATTCAACCATGCAATGAAGTCATCACTAGCACCAACAACAGAACTGCTGACAGGAATGTCTGACTTTTGAAAGAAAATAGAAAAAATCGAGGAAGTGAGCTACAAATTGAATCAACAGTCAACTATCGAAAAATCCACTGAGGGAAGTACAGTACTATGGTTTCTTTGGAGTTCGGTCGAGTCGTCACAATTTCTGTTTAGAATGCTGCATGCTGGTTTACATGTTCTTGTGCCTTGCGTGTTTCATACAGGATTGTGTGAGGATTTCAGTTCAATGCATCAGGCATTTCCTTGTTGCAACAGAGCGATTCCTGTGAATGAACAAATTCAAAAGTTTATTGAAAAATAGAATATTTTCTTTTTCTACCGGTCAACTGGCCTGACGTCAATGTAGTGATCGTTTTGAATGCCTATTCATATGGTAGTCATGGAGCAGTCTGATAGTGGGTGTCAACTCAATTTTCAAAGGAGTTCTCACAGAGAGAAAGTGAAAGTTTGTTCTTCCAATATATATTGAGCTCTCCTGAACCGGTCCTATGCAAACATACATTCTGTAGTCCTTTCAGTCAAAATCAAACAAGTGACTGTTTTCAACAGTTAAGAATTCCTAGCCTACATAAAGCAGGATTGACTGGCTGGGACTGTTTAAGTAACTTGATACAGCTATGCTTTGGCTCCGGGTGAGTGATAAAACAGCTGTGACCACAACTTGCCTGCTTTGTCTGTTGACCCAGTTTGACTAGTCACAGTGCTTGCTTGACATATGATCTGACTGCTAGTGACTAGCCTTTGTTAAAAACGTATAGCAGTGGAAGTGGAACTGAAAGTGAATTTTGACTGTCTTTGACTGTTTAAATAGTAAGCGGTCTCATGGGACAAACATGGGTCATTTTGGAGGATTCTAAAACACATTACATTGTTTTTTTGAAACTTCACAAAAACAGCCCCATTGAATACTCGAACACAATCTCACAAGTCTTGCATACAAAATGGGTCATCATGACCACATGGAACAATATTACACAGTGCACAAAAAAAGAATCCAGATATAACTTCAACAATTTGTAGGTGTAAGGATATGTCAAATGACATGCACCAATGCTTAAGAGAACTCGTGCAAAACTGGGCAAGCGTCAAAAGATTACAGTCAATTAGAATATAGCACCTCCTGTGAAGTGTGTCCAGCAATAATGAGTTTGCCAGCCTGTTTTTGTGATATTTTGAGGTTCATCCACAGGACATTACATTTCTGTTTTGCAACGTGTGAAGTTATTAATCATTATTCCATCTGTGCTGGCTAAAACAAAAAATGCCACAACTCACAGCTTTTCATTTTGAGGGAAATTAGTAAAACGTCAATGGTGTAGACATTTAACCCAAAACAAAAATGATAACAGCAAGAATACTGAGACAGGTTTAACGCTGGTTAAGGTTATGCTGATGGAAAGTTATATTTTTAGATAAATGTAAAAACAAAACTCTGATTTTTGGAATGTAGTGGGGCAGTTACAGAATTTTTGTGATTTTGTTGGACGCGATAAATGAATCCTGCAGGAAATTTCAGACTTCACTTTACTTTTTATAGACAATCGTTGAGAGGTATGAATTACAAAAAGAAATTTGAAGAATTTTGCTGGCTAAAGAGTGAGTAAAGTTGGCCTGGTTTTGTTTTACATGTTTTTGAGCATTTAAAGCCAGAGTCCATCATTTGCAGCTATCCAAAAAGTAACTGGCGTAATTATTGTTGAAAAACATACTTGGTTGAAAGATAGTAAGGAGACTAAACTCCCTGTGAAATTATTCTTTCTGGCAAGCTGTCATTTTGAAGAAATCAACAAAAGAAGGCCTTTCCAGCAGTGCTTCTTAAGAAGCACTGTAGGAAATGCAAATTAGTAGTTTGTTTTGTTATTCGGCGAAGCGTGCTCAAGCGTTCACACGACGCACACGCGCGCGCGGTTGCTATAATTCGTCGGATCAGTACGCGACATCGCGTAGCTGCAATCGGCTCAGTGAGAACATGTCTCGGATGCTGAATTCAGGCCCAATTCAAAACATGATTCAGCAACTTTTGATTTGAAATCGAGATCCAAGAATGTTGTTTTTCTCGAAATATACAGCTAAAGCTGAGCTGAAACTTCATCAGGTTAGTTGTTCAGCACCCTTCTTTACATCTTGAGCACTTTTGTTGCTTCAAACGAACAAAATGCACAAATTACAAATGATGGACTATACCTTTAAGGCCCCAGTCTGGGGTTAAGGGTGTGAAAAAATAAAGTATACATATGTATGATCTCAAAATAATTTGGGGAGTGAGGTGCGTACAGAGTAGGTTACATTGTAAATAGAAGGGAAGCTTCGACGCCTGCCATGCCAGCTCACTGAATGTATCAAGCATGATCAGTCAATCTATCGTGCACTGTGCTGTTTTATACAATCATTTGTTTCATTAAGCATTACTTGATCACTCAAGGATCTGTCAAATATACAAGGTAAATAAATGCATAGAAAAAGGACCGCATTGCTTTAGGGCCTAAAGCTAAGCGGTCCTTTTTCTACGTATTTACATTGAATTTGAGTGTGAGAATGCGCACGTATGGCGTATGCAAGCGTTTAATATCTGCGCAGATAATTGAGGGTCGAGGATACATTGTCAATGATTATCATTATGATACATCACACTACATCATCATGTTCCGGAAAAAAATGGGCGATCGTGAAGTGTAGGGCCCCTGTTTTGTTTTGATCAAATTGAGTCAAAAATGTTTTTGATTGCTCAAAAAATCACCTTTTACAATCAAAAGCAGACTTTTCTCAATGCTACTTCTTATGACACCCGTTTTGCAATTTTGAACACGTTCTTGGGGTAGAAAATCACGATTTTCCTGCACGGTTTGTGCCTTGCGATTCATCACTCCGTGCGTGCTCACGGTACACCATGTCCATGCGGTGATCGCCATCTTTATTTTCGGGTCGCGTGTTTTTTTTTAACCCCCAAATTTCCCTCAAAAAATCAAAACCCTGCCCTCTATCTATGACATAGGCCCTACCTGTTTACTGAGAATATCGCCAACTAGTTTGGTACATGTTTTTGTAAGTCCAATAATTTTAAAGTGGATTTTGTTCAAGTTATACTAGGGTCGGGAACCGGGCCCTACACTACACGATCGCCAATATTGAAACGGTGTCACGAAACTCACGATCACGTTTTACCGTAAAGCGTGTTCACGGACGGACGTGACGGCACGACAAATGCACTCACCTTCATCATCGAAAGCACGAACGCCCTTCATCGAAACCACACTAACATAAACTAACCCGATACAACACGGAAGAAATGGTGGGTAAAAGTGACTACGTTGTCAACTATTTGTTGGTTTCTAACATTAAAAATGCACACACCTACGTACTTTTCATGCGAACCGTACGCACGTACAATCGGGATCACGGACTAGTGACGTCATAAATCGTTTGTTTACTCAAATCCAAATCATCGTCAGAGCAATAATACAAAATATTATCTCAAAGTTTTTCTTTTAAAATTCAAAACTGAAATTTCGTTTAGGAAAACACTGTTTATTATTCACAAATCTGACCCTTAATTTTACACGCACAAGCATTATTTATTGATATCATATTTAAAGATATTGAAACAGGACGTACTCGTCATCACTTCGATATTTTCCGGGAAATTCCGGAAATTAATCATTCAAAATGGCGGCGCCCTCCAACAGATTTGCTGTTGTTCGTGAGCATTTAACTGTCAATGTGTGAATATGGAGACCATGCCAAATGATGCATTTTTTATTTCTTAAGCACTTGGTGATTGTTACTGTTAGATCTGGCATGGTACTGTGTGGCAAGCTTTAGGCCAACTGTACCGAATGACAATCTTGGACTTGCAGAACTAGAAGAGGTGGGTAGCAAGAGCGCCCTCTATTGTAAGTTTGCCATAAACAATGATACATTTTGTGTGGATTTGTACAGCGAATAAATGTTTTAGCAATGTCATGATAGAAAGAGAAACGAAGTGGCTATCGTTACGGCACTCGTTGTTTAGCGCCCTCTACGATATTTTTTTGATACGCACGCAGGTATATAATTATTTGTTTCCCCACGTTTTATCGAGCAGTGCGCCAGCTCAGCCGATAGAGGGTAGGATTTTGCACCGCGAGGTTGCGGGTTCGAATCTCAGTTTTGCACTCGAATTTTTTTCCTTTTCTAACCTGAGGCTTTGGAGGATTTTTTTTAAAAGGGAAATAAAGTCCGAATTTCATAAAGTTCAAATTCACTTTTTTCCTTCTAATTTTATATTTTCTTGTCATGTTTTTTTATAAAAGTTGCCAGGTTGCAGTCTACCGTAACGATAGAAAATGGGAAATGCGTTACGGCTGCCGTAACAATAGCCACTGCGAAAGAGAAAAAACAAAGGAAAAAATGAAAATATGTTGCAACCTGCCACTTTTTTCTTCATATAGCATCTCAATGAACGTCATTCATTTGCAAAAATGATGAGACATGAATCAGGCACTGAGAAATATTTCCAATTTTGTTAGGAAATACTTAACTTTAGTGAAAATTGTCCTGACTCTCCATATAGACTTTGTTCGCAACCGCGGAAGTGGCGTCAGGTTGCAACATTTTTTCCAAAACAAATTCTAGAAAATCAAGTCATTGTCAGGTTTTTTTTTTACCATGATAAAAAGAATACTGCAGCGATTGTGTAGTGTATCCTGCCCGACTTTAGTTTTGATCAAATACAGTAAAGGTAAAATTTTATCATTCCAAAATTAGTTTTTCAAAGAAAGCAGACTTCTTTTAAGGCCAAATAAGAAACAAGAGTGTGTAGTGTCTTGCCATTTTGTAAAAAAGGAAGGAGTAGGCCGCCCGACTAATTTTTCAAAATGACCGGCCAGGATATTTTTGATACACTCCATTGCAGCCAAATGTACTCGTACAAATCGACAATTTCCACAGCATAATCACGGTTACTTTTTCCACTTTCCAGATGTGCCACACCCTGCAACATAAGTTGCTCTTGAACTTCCAAGCTGTGAATCTCCATCTGAAAAGCGTCTACAAGTAGCAGTTTGCCTTGCAATGAAGGATAGTGTCTGTTAGTGTTACACGTATATTCACTGATGATAAGAATGGACTATCGACTTGGCAGACGACAGGAATGCATCAAGTTGGTTTTGCGGTATCGTCAATAGTCCCAGTACTACCACAAACCACCCTGCCTAGTATTATGCACTCCCTGTAATGCTGGAATCCGTCAGAGCACTCAAAGTCGATGGATGTGTGATTTTTAGTGAATAAATACAATGTAATACAATGAAGTACATGTAGTACACACAAATGAAAACGACCAACGGAAACAACAATTTTCATATGAGGACTACTATGACAACTCTTAACCAGATGGGCTGAAATTTGGATTGTGAACTTCTGTCGGCTTTTCCCTTGGAACAGAGAAAAATTTGGGAAAGAAATGCTTGTCCGACGGTTGATCCGGCGGCGCAAGACGTGGCTGTTGTGCATTCTAGCCTTGGCCTGCGTCTGCTTGTTCTTCCAGTTCATGGGTCTTCACATCCTGAGCTCTGGGGCTCGTCAGTCGGAGCTGTCCTGGTACGACAGGAACAAGCCCAGGGTCCAGGCCCGGCCAGCCATCATTGGGGTAAAGCTATAGATACGAGAGGTAATGACGTCTCGCTTTGTTTACATTTGCGCTTTCTTATTGTACACAGATGGGGATGAGACACCATAATGTAAACAAAGCGTGACTTCATTATGTCTCGATCAGATTGTTCTTAACCCAATAGTACTTTCCGAACTGTAAGGTAAACATTACAGAAAGGCACAGGTTGTAAACAAAAGAATCGGTTTGTTTTCGGTAACAAATTTCTCCAATCATTTCCCTCACATTTGACAAGTATCCAATTTTGTCAAAGTTGCACATGTATTTTTGTTCCAGACAGGAGAACATGATTACTAGAGTATAGCACGCTGGCATCTGCCGCGGAGCTGCTCCGAGGTGGAACTTTTAGTCTTTCAAACAGCCCACTTGTCACATATTTTAATTCAAATCTCAATTATTTGGCTCGGTGCAATTCGGGAACTCAAATCATAAATGGATGTTCAAACATTGATTCTCATTTACAGGTCAGGCCCAGCGACATGCCCCTGTACCTACCGGACGGGTTTGGCAAGATCTTCTGCCTCGACTTCTCAGGCAAGATTTCGTTATCCAAGGTGAACGACGATTACTGTGACTGTCTGGGGGACGGATCGGACGAACCTGGAACGGACGCCTGCCCTAATGGAAGGTAGAGTGTATTCATTGATTGATGATTGGCCGGGATAGACCCCGTAAAGTCTTTCATCTTATTTCCAGTGAGGTCCCTTGGTAGAAGATGTTGAAGGAAATTACAGTTTTTAGTGGTGGGAGGAAAACCCCAGAACGACATTCTCAGGAAAACCCACGGAATCAGGTAGGGATTGAAAATCTAATCCACACATTGGCCTAGGCAGGATTCGAACCAGGTCACAGCAGTGGAAGGCGACAACCGGGATCCTGCTAACTACATGCTTGGTATGCTGTTTGTGGTATTGAAGAGATTTGTATTGTTCTCAGCACAAATATGCAATGTGTTTCCATAATGGAACAAAAAGAAAACGAAAAATTCTCAGTTTTGAAATCTCATCCATATAACAAATTCAGACCTTACTATTCAAACTCGTAATTTGCACCACATGAGCAACACAAATCTAATAATGAAATACCGGTTACACAGATACAACTCAGTTTGTAACGTACTAGTCTTGTCAACACTGTTTCTGACTACAGGTTTTATTGTTTGCACGAGAAGCGATTTATACCGTCCGGCAAGGTGAATGATGGGATATGCGATTGCTGCGATGGAAGCGAAGAATGGAACCAAACTGTCAGCTTACAGAAAGTCAAAGGTATGTACGCACATGAGCATTAAGCACAAAACCAAATTCTAAAAGTCTCCCTCAGGTAAAAACTTGCATCATGGTCATTTACTGCAGTGAATATCAAATTTGTTTTGAATACCATGTTTTATTGTATTGTAGTGAATTATGGTGCATTGGTGCTTCATTTTACCAAAGTTCATTCTAGATTCATTATAGCCAAAGTTGGAGAACCTCTCTAATAATCATAGTGCTACTACCGTGGCAGGCTTTCCTCAGAGTAACAGAGTGCGGCAGGCTCCGTGCGAGAACACATGCACAGGAGTGGACAACCGGGTCGTAGAGGAGGAAAGCATGAAGCGACTTGGTGGACGGATGAAGCGACACTACCTCCAGGAAGGGAAGGAACACAAAGGGGAAGTAAGTCTGTACTGGAATTATGTCTCTCTGGCTTGCAGTAACTCAGCTGTCTTAGGTGGCCAGTAGAGACGTAGGCCTTGTCCAAAGAAGTCAAGTTATCAGGACAAGGCCACCTCCCCCTTGGCAACCTAAAACACCTCCAGATTTAACCTTCGTGGGACTTCTTGCATAAATATTAGATGAAGCAAAATGACGAAAATTGTCCGAAAAAGATGGACCATTGCAACGGTTGTTCCGAGGCATTCAACCAGCACCACCTGATTTGCATATTGTAGCCTAGCCGTGCGAGGTAGTTCTCGCATTTCGTACAATGATGCATAGCGTGCGGCTATTGTTTATTTAAGTGGCTGACCATCGATCAACAGACAATATCGCCAGAGGCTAGAGAAACTGTGGCCCCTGGACCAGAGAAATTCTGATCATACGTCATGCATGCTACATTTGGTCCAAGCGCCAAAATTCCCAATACTTGATTTGATTCATCTTGTTGAAAATTCAGTCTTGGACGAAGACTTTTTAAACCCTGCTCATTTCATTGCCAACCCAGATATACGGCGATAACGGGGAGTACTATCTACTCAGCAAGAAGTGCTTCAACTATTTTGAGGGCCACGCCCACTACACGGTGTGTCCATTCAAGCACATCGTCCAGGAAAAGGACGACCACTCCTTCTTTGTCGGCAAGTCGCCGGAGTGGGACCTGGAAGCAAAGGCTGACGGGAACAACATTCTCGTCATGAAGGACGGCGACAAGCGAAAATGCCCCAACGATGTCAAAAGAAAGACTTACGTAAGTGTTAATCCGTGAGGGTGTCCAGGCATCTCTTGAACACCTTTAAGTTTTACACGAAATTATTATTTACAAGACTGCACATTGCCTTAAAAGCATAAACTTACACACACAATCATAATGCTAAAAAGCCCCATGTCCTGTTCTTGAACAGATTCAGACCTCTATTAATGTACATTTTTCAGCTCTGGCAACAGACCTTCTACAAGTCACTCGGGAGTCGGTCAGTCGGTCCCCCCCCCCCCCCCAAAAAAAAAAATTGACGAAAAACGAACCCCCTAACTCACCCCTAAAACTGTAAGTACCAAATTGTAACTGTCCATAAAAGCAAACAAAGTACATTAAACACTTGACAAAAATTGTTTGTGTGCGCTATGAACTTAGGAAGTTATGGGCTTCAATACACCTGTCACTATACATCACCCCTGCCTCTGGCCCTGTGTCAGTTTCACAAGTCTCAGGGCGTAGGACTGAGGATGCCATTGCATTATGAATGTCACTATTATATTATTTTGCATTGTGACTTTCAACAAAATGGGACATCTTTATTTCAATTGACAATCACGAGCAAGTATTTTGTATCATTTCATGCCAGACTTTTATGCAAGACGGCCAGGGTTTATCGTGCGTTCACACTCGTTATCTCTCTCATTTGATCATCTTCCCCTCAGATTCACTTAGTGTGTGGCCTCAGGGATGAAGTCATCAGCATGAGGGAAAGTGAGACATGCATTTATTCTATGAGGTTCTCAACTCCCGCGGCTTGCTGAGCTCTAGAAAGCTGGGAACTGCCATCAGTAAACAGCGGTAGGCTCCTTGAAGCTGTGATAGCTGGCTCATCATTATGGAAACAGAGCCGTCCTTGGAACGACACGGTTACCCGTCAGAAAACAGCAGTAGGCTTCTCAAACCTGCAACAACGGGCTCGTCTTAGAAACAGAACAATCTTGGATGTACATTGTTGTCCATAAGAAAACAGAAGCAGGCTTTTAAAAAAATGCAACAACTAGCTCATCCTAATGGACACTAATCCATCTCGCATCGGCATGGTTGTCACAAAACAGCAGTAGGCTTCACATTTGACAAATCTGCAAAAACTGTTAATGATATTGGAAACTAAACCAACTCGGATCCGTGTGGTTTCCACCAGGAAACAGCAGCAGGCTCCAAAAAGCTTGAACCCAACTGGCTCATCATCTTGAAAACTGATCCGTCATGGTATGGCATGGTTTTACAAGAGTAAAGCCTGATATCTACATGTAGACGAGTCACTTCCAAACAGTACTTCAGCCTCTGTGATACAGAGTCTGAGAACAATCAGCACATTATAGTGCCATTATGACCTGGGTCATGCTGGGGTCAACTGAATGTATGTTACATGTGTGTACAAACAGTACTTGAAAATGTGGCCAACCACTGTACAAGAATGGTCAAGGTACGTAGCAACCAATCAAATCGCAGAGGCAAGGAGAGCTTGTCTCTGTTCATACCAAGGGAAGGGTGGTATCCCACAGTGGTACCCCACCATTGGTCTCTGTCTGGCCATACCCCAAAAGGGCAATTCTACAGACGAGGGATAAAAGGACAAAGGATAAAATGATGCAACTAATCCGCAAACTCCATCCGTAAGGTTGTGTGCACATGGGTGGGGGTGATTGTGTGCGAAGAGGGGGGCAACGGATGAGGGGCAATCAACGGATGTAATTTTTGTCAGCACAATTATAGACAGTGGTTTTTTTTTGTTCAGTCTATCAAATTTTCTGTGCAGAGCACAAGCGTTTCTAAACAAAAATGCAGCCAAAAAAGATTGATTGAAAACTGTGCCTTTTTTTCTATCTTAATTGTTGAGTGTTGCTAGGTATCACCCATTATACATCTCAAGTAGTATATTTTTGTACAATGGCGGGCCCACAAAATCTGTGATTGTAAAATAACATTTGTAAATGAATTAGAAAAAAAAGCTTGATAATCACTTGATCAATGCAATTTGATTTAAAAAAAATATAAAAAAAAACTGTGAGATTTAGTGATGTGCTACTGTAGTAAGCTAATAACCATGCGGCCAGAATTAACATAAGTTTATTATATGTAGGGCTGTTCATTGTCGAATAATTTAGTATTCCATTATTCAAAACTGTACTTGACCGAATATTCGAATATTTGAAACTCGCCGATCAAGTTTTACACACTCCAGATGCAGCTGTCTTCCTCACTGATCAAAAGTTTCATACAAAGCACGCCGGTTGAAATTTGCTTACGGCGATATATATTTTGGGCTGCTGAAGTGTTTTTAGTAAGTACTGTTTCACTGTCAAGGGAATTTTACCAAGCTAAAAGAATGAGACCATTAAATAGGCGTCGACAAAAAAGTGGCATCTGACAATAAAAAACAAAAACTTTACGAGTAAAATAACATCACAGTTGTGTGTGCAGTGCATAGCTTGTTTTCTTTTTGAATATTCAAACTGGCAAAAAGCTATTTGAGTATTCGGCTGATGATCAAATATTCCATTTATTCGGGACGGCCCTAAATGTTATCATGTGTTCTGACTAAGCTTATATGTGGATTACTATTCTTGAAAACTTGCAATTTTGAAGGAACCATGTTTTCTGTATACATGTGTTCTTTTATTTTTCTTAAATATAGCCATATTTTCAAATGCTTAGTGTTTTGAAAATGAGAAACAAATAAAGTACTCCAAAGACTATTGAATTAACAAAGACTATTGAAAAAACAGTTGGGACAGTTGGGCCCAACTCAAGTTATCATGAAATGAATGAATGAAGAAGAAGAAGAATCGGAAAAAGCATTATTTTGTAAAAATTGTACACTCTGAACAATCCTGATTTTCAACAGGATTTGCACGCTTCCCTCGAGTCTAGCATTGCAATCGAGTGTTCCTATCTGGGGTTGTTTGGGAGATCACCGATTTGCAGTTTACAAAAGCTCCTTCGAAATAAGTCCTGCCAGATAGTTTTATGTATACATGTATTTAAAGCCTGTGCTTATTCCATTTGTTTTTCTAATACATTTTATCTGTTTTGAAGGTACATTGTATTCAGTATTCAATGTACATTGTTTTGTTTTGTTTTCATCACAGCATCATGCTTATGGTAGAGTACCGGTGTAGGCCTACAGTGTTTAGCTGTTTGCCAATTCTTTTAAAAAGTGCAGTATAAACCTCAATTTTGCAATATGTAAAAAATATCAAGGTACAACTTATGCTGTGTCTGCTAGAGAATGTTAATGAACAATCGGTGTATATGTTCGTTTATGTGGAGGCTGTAAAAGTTGTCAAAACCCGTAAATTAATGGGCTAAACTCACAAAGAAGGTGCTTGTATTATTGCATAGCGATTGTATGTTCCTTGCATCAGGAATGTGTGCAAAAATCCACAAAAGTTTTTGTTTTTGTTTTTGCATATCAAAGGCGTCCACATTTTCGTTATTTTTTTGGGCAAGTCACTCATTCTATATCCTGGTATGCTGTTTGTTTGGGGTATCCTACCAAACTGGTGTACATATTCATATTTAGAGTCAGGGAAACCTTGTATATAAGGGAACTAAACTTCACCATTCAGCATTTTGTTAAGAATATAATTTCGCGTTTTTGTTGCAGGTTTATTGTCCGGTACTAATGCTTATACTCGATGATTTCCTTATGTACATATCAGCTGACTGATCTGCCATCATGGGCGTCAATTATATTCAAATATCAAAAAGTTATCGAGCTCGGAGGATTGTTTATGTATATGTACATTTAGACGTTTAGCTGTACGTTTGTATTCATGCTTGTGTGAATACGATTTAGTGTAATCAGTTTTGGTAATTTAATTTTAATAAACACAAGTGCCAAAAGAATTGAGTACATGTAATTTGTTTCAACTTTGCCAAATCTCCAAATGGTGGTTTACGCGCCATAAAGTTCGCTCAAGACCAACCTCGTCCCCAGTGCTTACTTTATTTCCAACTGCGTTTCCAATAGTAAACCCTGGATAGGAAACTTTCTTCCTGTATCCTGATTGGATACCGCAATTGGCTAGTAATGGATTTTTATCGTGTACTTGGTGCTATATATTCACAACGTGCAGTACGTGTTTTCGCGATCATTCGTCCACGCCTTCTCGAAAATACTAATTTCCTTTCCAATTTGCTCATATTAATATGAAATATGATACTGCATGTTGTCTCGATAAGATCGTAACAGTGTGATTTCAAAAATCGTTTTTTCGTAACTCACGCCGTGCTCGCGCTGCTACGAATTGACTCTGTTTTTACCCCAGACACCGCATACAAAAACAAGCGCTAATGTGTAACGCATATCCAAGCACCAGACTGTTCTCATTTGCATACGTGTGCAAAAATCTTGCACATGCAAATGATCCAATACCAGGGTGAGAGAGCAGGTAGTGGTGGGCGCGTACTGCTCGACACCCTGGGGACGAGGTAGTGGTGGGCGCGTACTGCTCGACACCCTGGGGACGAGGTTGGCTCAAGACCTCTTTGAACAGTAACAGAACCACGTGTTCAAAGAATAATGATCGAAGATTTCTGCTGGTCACATGACTACTGTCACGCGCAGTACGGTCGGAGTTCATCACTGGTACTACGCCTCGGGAAAGTTTGCGTATTTATTTCCTAGCTTAGTCCTTGGAAACCAGCTGAATTGAACGACCCCGGGAAAATTGTGTAACTCAGTTTTGTTGTTATTGTTTGGTAAACTGGTTTTGTAATTTGTAGGGGAAATTTGCCGTTGCAGTTTTTGGTGGCAAGTTGATCTTTGTTTAAACTTTCCAGGTGAGTATTTTGATGTCCACTTTGTTTGTTTGTGTTTTGCTAAAAATACAGATACATGCAGCGAAGCACATGCCTCGACGTGGTCGACCCTCCATAAATCTGCGCAGGTAATGCTTGCAACGCGTGCGCGTTGTCACACACAATTTGGATGCGAATGCCTAGAAATAGGACCGCGTAGCTTTAAACTCCGTGTAATGTTGCTCGTGATTAGTTTTCCGATGACGTTTGCTTAGCATAAAAATCACATAGAGTTTAACCTGCTTTTAATATAACTTCCTAAGCCGGACTTTTTTTGTGCTAAATAAATTTTGTGCTTGCACTATTGCAGTATTAAGCGCCTGCATGAAATAAGGTGTTTCACGGTAAGGCAAAATAAAAAAAAAAACATGTTTAGCGTCCTGCCTCCTTGACAAAAGGAAGGAGGAGGCCCTTTTTTTTTTTTTTTCCTTTCAAAATGGCCGCCCGACACATTTTTCAAGACAACGCGGCCGGGCTATTTTTCAAGATGGTTACCAGCTAAAAGTCTAAAAATACGATTTCTTTCGTCAGAGATCGTTAAAATTTATCAATTTTTGTCCTTTAAAAAAAAAAAAAAAAAAAAAAAAAAAGGAGGCGGCCTCTAAAAAGGAAGCGGGCGGGGACGCTAAACATGTTTTTTTTTTTACTTCGCCTAATATGCGCCTTCTTGCCAGCGCAATTGGGGCAATTTTACATGCCTTGCTGTGTATGCATCGCCAATGGAAAACTTTGGCGCTTCCAATTCATCATGCGGTCATTCCAAACTGCGCCCGCGTCTAGCAATGTGTGCTCTTTTTGCCCCGTGAACAAGATGGCGCATATGACCGTGAAACTGCATATTGGGCCCTGTGCGTGCACATTAATTGTAGGCCGATGTGTAACAAGTGGAATCTTGTTCAAGAAGTCGTTCTCATCAGCCCACAAAGCTTGAATTGTCAATCGATCATATCCTTGTTTTTCCTGTTGGACAGATTCAAATTCCTTTTGAGAAATTGTCCGCAATGAAGGCTGTGGTTGTCTTAGTTTGTCTGGTCTGTGCAGCGTCAGCTCACATCTGTCTGCTGAACCCTCATCAGCGTGGCTCAATGAGAGGCATCAACACCAAAGGTATATAAATAGTAAATGTTTATTACTGCAATGGTAAGAATAGTTTGGAGTGTTCCATTCCATGAGGCCAAGCCGACTGCATTGGAACATTCCATCTGTCTTTGAATGAAATTATTCTTTGCATTGCGCAAATGCGAAACATTTGTTTACTTTATTTAACACCTGAAAAATGCCTGAATAAATCCTTGTCATCTGATTGGTCATCACCCCCAATCATGTGACCTGGCAATGAAACGTCTATTTTTGCAGATTTACTCGGGTGTCATATAATAATAATAATTTTTTTTAAAAAAAGTGACATTTTTAATACATGTGATAGTTCAAAATCAATATAGTTGGAAGAATGTTGTACCCTGACGCCACTTTTTTCTTCATATATCATCTTAATAAACGTCAGTCATATGTTGCAAAAATGTTGAAAAGACATGAATCTTTAACTGAGAAACATTTCCAAGTTATCAGAAAATACTTACAATTTTCTTGACTCTCTGGCGTCTGGACACTGCATTCTTTCCAGATAATTCATTTCTTTATGTAAATATGTGCATAATTTCCCCCTTGGCTACGGTGAAGCTTTTCCCTAACATGTCGTGCTGGTTTTCATAGTTTTGCTCCCAAAAACTTTGATTGGTTGTTGTTTTGTCCGTCTCTGCAGAGGCTGATGACTGCGGACTGCTGCATAAACCTTGCGGAGGCCGACCCCAAGAAAAACCTGCCATCCAAATCAAGTATGTGTTCTCATGGATCCTTATGGTTTCTAGTCCGTGCATGATAGGGCCCCTAGTATTATTTGCTTGCTCGATTAATTGATCAAAGTATGGATTATTCAGCTACATTTTTTTTATTCGATTAATTGAAAACCACTTTTTGATAAAGGCTTCCTTTCAAAAGGTGCCAGACAATGGCCAAAAAAAGGTATAAAAAAGCATAACAAACAAAAAGGCACCAAAATACTGGCTCTAAATTGCATTTTTCATTTTCAAATGTCATTTTATTTTTATTTTTTTGCAGGGGAGGATCTTCTTACTCTGTTGTCTTCCAGAAGAACTTGAACCACTTTGCTTCCTATCCAAATGGAACAGCCACAAATGTGAGATGAAGGTGTTCCTTAAAACTATGAATTCTTACACACATTAGCAGCAAATGTTGTATAAAAATTTGTTGTTTATATGTATATTTACTGTGTATGATCAGGGTACAATTTCATTACGTGCCACCCACTAGCAGGCAGGCAAGCATATCTAGGGCATTTCAGACACCCCCCCCCCCCCCCCAAGTTAGTTTAAAGCTCAGTTTTGTCATTTAACAGTAGAGTAGATGTTTGTAGCTCTCCAAAAAGTAATGACAAAATCATTGTTGAAAAGTTTGGTTTAAAGATAGTAATGGCAATAAATTCCTTGTGAATTAGTCTTCCTGGCGTGCTGTCATTTTGAAGAAGGTAATTTCCAACGATGCATCAGGTATTTTTGTCAAGTGACGCATTTTTGGAACATCTTATTGTAGACTATTTTTGATTTCAGGAATGGTTTGGGGAAATCACCTACACTTGTACCTAAACTGAATTTCAGTTTTTGAGTAATGCTGCCCAAACCAAGCAAGCATACTCAATGCATAATTATTGTCCCTTTTGTTTTCAGGGGTATTTTGAAATCTCGTTCTGGACCACCACACAGTGCCATGTTCTGGATAAGATCAATGATTCAGCCACACCTTCGCTGACGCTGTACACCCAAACTGTTACAATGCCTGACGGGTAAGTAAAACTTCAACTAAAGTCGCTTAACCAGTACGCGCCGGATAGCGTGTTAACATGATCTGGCTGTTTTTAAGACGTCGAGCGTGCCTAGACTCGCCTCCGGGTGACGTCTTAACACGCTAATCCCTAACTTGTTTTGTTACACACAAAAGTCCGAGAAGTCTGTGGAGGCGGACCGTGTGTTGACTAATTTTGACAGCTTTTTTGCTGTCATCAGTACGATAAGTTTGAATGACTGCTATCACAATTCTACAGCAAACACTGTGACATGTGCATTGATGACTCTGTCATTACTGTCCATTCAAATACAATGGAGAGATATCCATGCCCATCAAATATCCCGACCCCTCCATTTCTTAATTTTTATGCCTTTTTTCCCTTCATGTACAGACCTCTCGGAGTCTCTGCCATACTGCAGGTAAGCAAACTTAAAACTGGAGTTTGGTGACAACATATTTTTAGTTCCATGTTGTCCATGTTATCACTGAACTTCCATTAAATATGCAATTGAGCAATTAAATTACAGTGGCTATATGATGTCATGAAAATTCTGTGGACTGAAGAAGTCAATCTAGCACTATGGGCCTTAATTCACAAGTCGGCCATATTGAATTGAAAGTTAGGTAAAATCTTAACTTTTGGAACTTAATTGCGAAGAGAAATGAAAGCAAGTTCATTTATAAAAATTTCCAGTCTGCTTCAATGAATAAATTAAAATGTGTAATTAAATATTCCTTAATGTTTAAAGCTATATTTAAAAAAAAAATGACAGTAAAATAAGGCTGCATTGTGCCTGCATAAATAGTCTGGCGCCATTCCATTACACAGTGAACAATTAATGAAATACATTCAGGGAACTCAACTTAAATGGCCAACTTCTGAATGAGGTCCATAGATTAAGACCCAGACTGAAGAAGTTATGTAGTGAAAAATGCAAACTAAATTTTCCCCTAAATTTGATATTGTGGAGACGATCTGTGTGGATTTTTTTTTTTCTTTAGCAGAACTCATCCAATGACATTTCTTTTCATATAGCTGACCTACGCCCTTCACCCTTGTTCTATTATTTCAATTTCTTCCCATGCAGCTGACCTATGTGACCAACAGCCATGATGTTCCAATGGGAGGAATCTTCTACCAGTGTACTGACATTGAGTTGTTCTGAGCAGGGAATTACTAATAAAAAGCTCTACAGAGTGAGTCAAAAAATGAAACCCAAATGGCAGGACCAATCTTTGAATGAAGTTTTGCCTACAGCACTTTCAAAATCTAGTATATGAAAGCCCAGTCATTAGGCTTTCTTTTAGTACAAGAATCATTCAAATCACTCATGTACTTTTTAAGTTATGGAATTGTGAAGACAAACACCATTTTAAATTTCTGTCCACGGATCACTCAAAAAGTAAGTGTTCTTTCTGCAAAACGAAAACAATTCTCATAAGGATGCATGTGAATTGTTTTCATTTTGCTGAAAGAACACCAACCTTTGTTGTGATCTGTGGATAGAACTTTCAAACGGAAAGATTTCCATATATGAAGTTCACTCAACACCCTGTGTACAAACCCTATGAGATTGGACTGAAAATTGTAAGTGTTTTCTAAGAAAATGCTTGTATTTTCTCACTGCTTAAATTGACTTTGATGACATGAAATTGCTATCTGGGGGCTTGTTAGTCAATACAGAGGAAAATTAGTGAACTTCGTAAATGGAAATCTTTCCCTTTAAAACGGTGGTTGTGTTCAAAATTCCATAGCTTGAAAAGTACATGAGTGATTTGAATGATTCTTGTACTAAAACATAGCTCATTGATTGGGCTTTCATATCCTAGCCTTTGAAAGTGCTACAGGCAGAACTTCATTCAAAAATTGGTCCTGCCATTTGGGTTTCATTTTTTTTTACTTGCCCTGTATTGTTATATCAAATATGCCTTCTCTAGTCTTCCCTTTTTGTATTAAGACATGCTTGTTAATAAAAAGTAAATGCGGGACCTAAGCTTCGCCAACACAGCCAGATGTATGTTACTCTTGTTACATTTTTTACCTTCTTATCTCAATTTATTGGCATAACTTGGAATGAATCTTGAGGATAAGAAGCCCTATGTCAAAAATACACGCATGTCGTGATCATGTATCATTATAAATTAGTACCATGTGTATGTTTCTATTAGATCATCATGAAGGAGGCCCCTGTTCTTCAGATTTTATTTTTGTGTCACCTTTTTATGTCAATATTACAGGTGGAAGTATCTTTAAATCTAAATGTTTGTGTCTTTTATTATCTTAAATATATATGCTTGTTACTACATATGCTTGTTAATGTTTATGTTAATAATATATATGCTCGTTAATGTTTTGTATGCAAAACATGTTGAGGCAAAACAGAAGTTTTCACGCACAAAAGTATGCCATTTTGATATTTGTGGTGGCTGATACGACTCTAAATGTAGAGTTAGTTTACTTTTATTCACATTTATTGAGAATATCTTGCAGTCTTAAAAGCTTTCAAAAAGCCATATTCTATTTTTTGGTTTTGAGTGGTTTATCTATATTATGTATATTTCTGATATATTTTAGTTTTTGAGTGACTTGTTTATTTTTTTATTTACATTTTGATAGATTTATGAATATCATTTCATGGTTATAATGTGCATTGCATCTTTTGTGAATTCCTTTGAGGAATAACAGGGTATCACTCTCAGCTTCTTGTTTGCCGACCATGCCACTGTTTTGCTGCTGCTGGTAAACTATAGGCCAATACATGCCGCAATATAGTTTTGATGGGATTGCAGGTATTTTATTCCTGCATGTTTTTGTTTTCTTTGTACTTTCTTAAGGAGAGCCACCAGATAGTGATGAAGTTCGCTTTTGGCAATCCTTCAGGGGTGTTATCAATATTGGTTGGTTTTTTTTTGTAAAACTGGTTACCTTAAATGTTTCCATTGTGTTCTTTGTCTATGTTTTCTAACCTGAGAAATAATAAATGAAATGAAATTAAAATGCTTTTCTTCGTTACCAGATCCTTAATGTACTGGCTCCAATATCGTTCCTTTAAAGCAGTATATTCCCACTTTAATTTTTTTTTTCAGTCAACAAAGTACGTGTCCGGTCCGCGCTCGCCGGGCATTCCCGCTTTGAGCATCGCCCGGCGCCGGATCTAGCTGATCTGAGTAGCATCGATCATATTCAAAACACACCCCTTTTATGTAAATTCCAAAAACCATGATTTATGAACTCAGTCAAGGCTGCTCTGATCCCCTGCAATTTCATTTTTTTGTTTTTCAGTCAAAGTATGTGTCCGGTCCCATTATACTAGGGAGCGCTATCAATATATTTCTTTCTGCGCTCACCTAGTTTTACCTACAGATCTTATTATTACGCAAGCGTAATAATAAGATCTCGTTTAAGTGTTTGGAAACGTGACGATAGCGCCCTCTATCGCCTTAGGTAACTTTTTACGTAAATTATGGAAGTCTTAGACCCGGTGTGCCGTGCGTGGAATGAAATAAATATTGTTTGACCATTGTTCGCGCACCAGACTGAATTACTTGCCCTCGCAATATATCACGTACGCCAGCGCCACTGTCTGCAGAGTGCAGTAAATACAAATTTCGGGTAAATTCACAATAACAACAAAGTACAAAATGGCTTCGCTTCTGAGGTTACCTTGCCGATCTGGTGTCAATTTACTTGGTCATTTCTCGAAATCGGTAAGTGAATAACTTGTTTCTTTGTCTGCGTAAGAAATGAAGGAAGGGCAAGGAGTGACTATCCAGACCGGACCGCCACTTCATTCAGCTATATCTGGCTGTTGTCAGGTTGTGTACAAAGTCTATGGAGAGTCAAGAAACTTTTTCAAACTTATTGGTGATCGTGTAGTGTAGGGCCCCTGTTTTAGTTAAATCAAATTAGAGTCAAAAATGTTTTTTTTTTTATTGCTCAAAAATCACCTTTACAATCAAAAGCAGACTTTTCTCAATTCTAATCACACCCGTTTTGCAATTTTGAACAGTTTCTCGGGGTAGACATGGTAGAAATCACCATTTTCCTGCGCAGCTGCGCGGTTTGTGCCTTGCAGATCAGCGCGCCATGCGTGTTCATGGTACATCGCGGGGTGATCGCCATCTTTATTTTCAGGTTGCCTGTTGTCGCCGCGCTGTCATTGTCATTTTACCCCCAAATTTCTCTCAAAAAATCAAAACCTCGCCCTCTATGTTGGTTGTGAACAAAGTTTATGCCTAATGTGCAATGGTGGTCTGGAGTCCAGTGCATTTTCAAAGTATTTTCTAACTATATTTGAATTTTTCTCTGTCCCAGTTTACATGTTTAAGTTTCAACTATTCTTTCTCATGTCCAGGTCACACCATCACTTAGTGCCAGACCGTTCCATTTCACAATCGAGGGGAGACAAACAGGAGGGAATGTGAAGACAGGATCAGTGAGTATCTTAATTTATAATAATTTATTCATTTACAATAACCCAAATTCCATCGTAAAAATGTTCAAGTGCTCTTGACAAGATTTTATTAAAAATATTGGAAAGAGTTCCATATACGGACGTCACTAATTTTCCTTGAAATGACATGAATGACCTACCGGCCATCAGAAAGTAATAACGTGTCGTAAAAAGTCAAGTTTAGCAGGGAAACTATTGAAGCATTTAGTGAGAAAACACTTAGAAGTTTTCAGACACAGGGTGTCAAGTGACGTCAGTATATGGAATTCTTTCCAACATATAATCCTATTAAAATACTCAAATTAAAACAAAAATATGCATACTTTATAATAAGAATTGGGGAAAAAATATTAAATAGCTCATAGCATATTTAACAAAGATCTATGTGCCCAACAATTACCCCTGCTAATTAAGCCTGTTGATAAACTCGTTAACCCTAATCCTCAATCCTCCAAAATCATTCAGACGGTTTTTGGTGGATTTTGAAGGATTGAGGCTGAATCCTTGGTTTCATGACCAGAAATCATAATAATAGTATGGATGTTTGGAATTTCCCGGATAACACTGCCAAAGTTCCCAAAACTGAAACTATTTGTTCTTGTTGATGCCACAGCAGCTTTACTGCACTTACCAGGAAACAGCTGTGTTAGATTCATGGAATCAAATCGAAATCTAGTTTTTGACCAAGGCTAGAGAAGTTATGGTCCGGCTTTGTCAGACATCATACACTTATCTTTGATTTTGTCGCAGATTGCTCGTGACTACCCAGTCGTGGACCACACCTACGATGCGGTGGTCTTAGGGGCCGGTGGCGCGGGGCTGCGCGCGGCCTTCGGCCTAGCCCACGAAGGGTTCAAGACAGCGTGCGTCTCCAAACTCTTCCCTACACGATCACACACGGTCGCTGCACAGGTAAGAAAACCTTCTCTTAGCATGTCTCAGACAATGAAAGGTTTGGAATGCCTTTTGTGGGGAATGTGCAAAATGAAAACCGGGCTACATGAAAAACCAAAACAGTCTTGTTTACACCGCTAAGCTATAAAGCCCTTCAGACAACTTCCGGGATTACAATATTGGGGTTGGTTTCTTTCACAGGTACCCAGATACCTGTGTTTTAATTCAATAGGAAATATTACCCGGTTCCCGTACTACCCGGACATGGACACCGTTACTTCCTCCGGGTAAAATGAATGATTCTATTCGCAACTTGTCCCAACCTCATCCCGGATATGCATCGGGACGACCCTTCAGAAGCTGCTGGAAAATTAGACCCGATGGATTTGAACAGGGTTAAAGGGAAAATACAACATTTGCAAACATCAAAAAATAAAACTACCAAATCATTTTGAAATACCTTGCTGGACTGTTAGTGAATGACAGTCTAAAGCATCCTGTAAAATCATGGCACCTGGTATACTGTCATTTTCAAGAAAAGTGGTATTTTTGTATGAATTTCCAACTCTGATCGGCCGATCAGCGTTGGAAAAAAACTGGCTTTTTTTCAATTACTGGCCCCAGTTGACCATCGCACTTGTTTGCAATCGATTACACACCTATGAACGGGTACAAGCCAGCTAGACTGGTTCCCTGACCTTACAATTCCCCAATATATGTAAACTGCTCTGTTTCTTCTTAAATGGAGTCAGGGAACCAGACTACAGGAAAATGATTGTTTTTCTTGGTTTTTATAGCATTTTCGAACCCAAAACCTCAAAAAAGTAATTGTAACTATATTTGCTTTATATTTCCAACCCCCCAATTCCATCCATTTCTGAAAATTACAGCAAAAGCAAATGATGTGGTATGGCTTCAAGCTCAGTTTTAGTGTGGAAATGTGTCGTCGTGTTTCTTACTTGTGGTATATTTCGTAGTGTTTTTACACAACCATGGGATGGAACTGGCAGTCTCTCCAGTGTACGGCCATTGCCTATTGTGTACAGCCGGGATGCTTTGTTAAAGCTCAGGTCACAGGTTATCACACCACCGAATTCCGAAATACCTGAAGACTGTGCCGGCTGTATGAAAAGCCACTTCAAAGGTCGCAAGCGGGGAAAAAAGGGAGGCGTACGAGTACGACTTCGACGGCGGAAACATAGCCCACCTTTACCTTCAATCATCACAGGTAACTGTCGATCTTTACGGAATAAACTGGATGAATTGCAAGCCTGTGCAAAATACCGCTATGAATATCGTGAAAGCTGTTTAATGTGTTTCAGTGAAACATGGTACAAAGATACTGATACAAGCAATAATACTGACATCGATGGATTCATTTGTGAAAGAATGGACAGAACAACGGAGTCCGGAAAATCAGCCGGCGGAGGAGTCTGTATTTACGTCAACAAGCGTTGGTGTAATAACCTAACAGTTAGAAATCGATTCTGTTCTCCAGATATTGAGCTGATTACCGTCAGTGTCAGACCGTTTTACCTGCCAAGGGAATTTACACAAATATTCATCACCATGGTGTATATTCCACCTTCAGCAAATACAGATATTGCAGCAGCTAAAATCCACGGGATAGTTCAGCAACTTGAATCACAGTCGCCTGACTCTGTGAACTTGATCCTTGGAGATTTTAACAGTTGCAACCTGAAAAATGTACTGCCTCATTACTATCAATATGTCAACGTATATACTAGAGGTGATCGGACATTGGACAAATGTTACGGAAATGTCAAAAATGGTTACAAAGCTTATGGAAAAGCGGGCTTGGGCTCTTCTGATCATTGCATGGTGCATTTAGTACCGGAATACAAACAGAAACTGAAACGGGAGAAACCAAGGGTGACTCGCATCAAGAAATGGACTGACGACAGTGTGCTGGCTCTTCGTGCATGTTTTGAATGTACGGATTGGAACATTTTTACTGAGTCAAACACACTTGATGCAGCTGCTGATGTTGTCACTGATTACATCAAGTTTTGTGAAGACATGCTGGTACCTGTCAAGGAAGTGAAAACATATCCGAACAGTAAGCCCTGGGTAAACAAGGAGATCCGGAACCTCTTGAGGGAAAAACAACAGACTTTTAAAAACGGCAACTCATCAGATAGACGGAGGATCCAAAACGAACTCTCTCAAGCGATTCGTTCAAGCAAGAAGAAGTACGGCAAGAGAGTGGAAGATCAGTTCCGTGCCGGGAATCCTAAGGAAGCATGGCAGGGCATGAGATCTATCACAGGGTCAGGGAAAAATAGTCAATCTGTAGTACCACCTTGCGACGTACCATCATTCATAGAAGATCTAAGTGACTTTTATGCTCGGTTTGACAGACTGGACTTTAGAGCCCTTCACGAAGAAGGTCGTAAGACCCTTGAGAGTCAGGTTTGTAGTAATGACTTCATAAAACTGGATGCTACTGTTGTTGAAAATACTCTGAAACGGGTAAAAGTTTGTAAATCTACAGGACCAGATGGACTCTCTGGCAGAGTTCTTAAACATTGTTATAAAGAACTTTCATCAGTTTTTTGTGACCTCTTTCAGTGGTCTTTGGATACCTGTCAAATTCCTAAACTGTGGAAATCATCAACTTTGATTCCAGTGCCTAAAAAGCCTAAGCCATCAGTACTCAATGATTATAGGCCTGTAGCACTTACGTCAATAGTAATGAAGTGTTTTGAACGCATTGTAAAGGATATTCTTGTCAGTCAAACAGGTGCCTACATTGATCCCTTACAGTTTGCCTATAGAGCTAAACGTAGTGTCGAAGATGCTATCATTACACTTTTGCATAGCGTCTATAGCCATCTTGATCAACCAAGGACGTATGCTAGAACATTATTTGTGGATTTTTCTTCGGCCTTCAATCTGATCCAACCCCATGTTCTGACTGGCAAACTGAGAGGGATGAATGTGAACCCCTGTTTGATTATGTGGATCGGTGATTTTTTGACAAGCAGAACGCAAAGGGTGCGTTTCATGAATTCCCTGTCTAATGTTGTTCATAGTAATACAGGGGCTCCACAGGGGTGCGTTTTGTCCCCAGTGCTTTTTACTCTTTACACTAGTGACCTCAGAAGTGAAGACCCTATGTGTCCTATGATAAAATATGCAGATGACACCTCACTGACAGGGTTGATTAGTCATGACAATGAGACTGTATACAGGAACGAAATTGTTAAGTTCTGTAATTGGTGCAAAGATAACTTCCTAATATTGAACACGCAGAAGACGCAAGAAATTGTTTTTGATTTTAGGAAAAATCAGAATGTTATCAAACCTGTTGTAATTAGTGGTGATGAAATCCAAATTGTGACAGAGTATAAGTACCTTGGGACGTACATTGATAGTAAATTGAATTGGAATGTGAATACTCTTAAGTTATGTGCCAAGGCTAGTCAACGGCTCTTTTTCCTGCGGAAATTGAAATTATTTCATGTTAATCGTGATATTATGTTGCTTTTTTATCAGAGTGTCATACAGTCCGTCATGTCTTTTTGTTGTATCGCCTGGTTTAATGGTTTGACTGTTGTGAATTCGAACAAGTTGGAAAGGATCACTAAAATTGCCAGCAGGGTCATTGGTGTTGATGTTCTGGACATTCAATCAATGTACCACAATGCTCTTGAATCCAAACTGAGAACCATTATGCAAGACAATACTCACCCACTCCATTCGTTCATAGTACAAAACAGGTCAGGTCGAATCCGTCAATTGAACTCTCGTACAACACGACACAACCTTTCATTTTTACCCAGTGCAGTTTCACATTTTAACAAGAATTATACTAGATAATGCTGTTTTTATAATCGTGCTGTAGTGTGTTTTTAGTGCAATCAGATTAGCCCTTATTCTGTCTTATCTCATAATATTCTTATCCACCCCTCCTCACACATCTACCCATTTGTGTCGGGTTAAATTAGTAAATTGAAATCTCGTTAACACGACACATTTTTTCCCCTTATTTTTACCCAGGGCAATCTCGTGTTTTTAATCAGACTTATAGTAGATGTTATGCTTTTTAAATCGTGATGTAAATGTGTGTGTTTATACCCCTCGTACATGTAAGTTTCAACCCTTTCCCTGTTCCCTTTTCCCCCGCTCATATCCCCCTGGCTTTCTAATCCCCCCCCCGGCTTGCCATTGTGTCCTTCCCATTTTTCGTCTTTATACATAATAGCTCTATCAATCCAGATATTTTATTTATTTATTTAATTAGGCTCAATTTGTTGTTCTATTTCTGTTTACGTGTACTCTTGTCAGTGTTCTTATATTGTTACGCCTATTTGTACATTTATGTAATATGTTTTTGTTTTGGTTTTTAATGTGAAGTTTTTAAGTGTTTTATACATCATATTTGTGTGCAGAACGAGGAGACAAGTTTCATGTTTTTACATGATGAGAATAAATAAATAATAAAAAAATAATAATAATGTATATTCCCTTTAACAAGGCTTAAATCTCTCCATATTTTTTTCAACAGGGCGGCATCAATGCAGCACTTGGCAACATGGAGCCAGACAACTGGAGATGGCATATGTAAGTACAGATACCAGACCTAGCCGTGTCCAAATCACATGACTATGGCTAGGAATTACACACGTGTCTATGGTAGCCGCTGCAGCCACTTGCATAGACCTGTATGTTATTCCAAGCCGCAGCCACGGATATTGAACGTGTCCTTGAAATAGACTCCTTGCACAAGTACCCCCTCAGTGGTTAAAAAGAGAGAGTCTGGGGGCCATTTGGAGGAAAATTTGATCGCAATGCTGACGCTCAAGCAAAGACACCACAGGTTTGAGAGTAAACTAAACCTGGCACCAATTTCACGGCACTGCTAAGCACAAAAATCTGCTTAGCACCAAAAAAAGACTGGCTTATTAAAGCAGGTTACCAGCCAAAACTCCATGTGATGTATATTGCTCGTGATTAGTATCCAGCTGTTTGCTTATCACGAAAATCACATGGAGTTTTGGCTGGTAATCTGCTTTTATAAGCCAGACTTTTTTTGTGCTAAGCAAAATGTTTTGCTTAGCAGCGCTGTGAAAATGAAAATGTATTGTTCAAATATACATCCATCATCTAGTGATGGTCTAGGAGATTACAGACTAGGAGTTTGGGATCATTTCTCTGAATCATTCATTAGATATCATGGCTAATTGGCTCTGTCACGGACATTACACTTCCTGTAATGTATGTATTTATCTAATTAGCATGTTTGAATATTCATGAACAGGTATGACACAGTCAAGGGCTCTGATTGGCTGGGAGATCAAGATGCGATCCATTACATGACGGAAGAAGCACCAAAAGCCGTGATAGAGGTATCCAACAGAACTAGAAGTAAAAACGATGGTGGGCCGAACATCGTTGGAAAAAACTGATTTTTTTTTAATACTGCCCCAGATTTACCAAATTAAGTTATTAAAATTTTGTTTGCTATCTGTAACACATCCGTGATTGGGTGCAAGCCAGCTAGTCTGGTTCCCCGACCTGACAATCCCCCTATAAATTGCTCCGTTTCATCTGAAGTAGGGTCAGGGAACCTGACTACAAGAACAGCATTTTTTTCTTTCATTTTCGAACATCTATGAGCTCAAACCTTAAAAAGAGGTCAGTGTAACAATATTTGCTATAACATTTAACCCCAAATCCATCCATTTCTGAAAATAAAATCAAAAGCCAATATTGTATATTTCCTTAGATTTCAAGCAATGTTGTTGCTTCAAATGAAAGAAAATTACTACATAAACGCAAATGATCCTACGTATCTTTATCTTTCATTTTTGTGCAGCATTCGTAAAAATTATTTTTCTCAAAAGTAATTGTAACAACGTGTGACTCATTTGTGATTTTGTTTTGTTTTGTTTTGTTGTCAAGCTTGAGAATTATGGCATGCCCTTTAGTCGTACCGAGGAGGGCAAGATTTACCAGCGAGCCTTCGGTGGACAGAGCTACGACTACGGCAAGGGGGGGCAAGCTCATCGCTGCTGCGCCGTGGCCGACCGGACCGGCCACTCATTGCTACACACGCTGTACGGTCAGGTAAGTACAGGGTGTACGTGTTCTACATAACCCCTGAGGACCGACACACAAAGGGAGAACAACAGATCCTTTCAGTCCTCAGGAGTTGGGTCTTTTGTTCAAAACGGTGCTCTGTAGTAGGTTCGTGTGCTTAGTCTGTGGGAGAGTGTTATATTACAGGGACAAAGGGAAACACAAAGCATTGTCCTCGAGAGTATAGTAAAATACGCCTGTATGCCCAGCCACTCTGAAATCAGGGAAAACCTGGAAAAGTGTTTCCGTTTTTCCAATCAGGGAAAACTCAGGGAATTTGAAAAAAAACACCACAGGGAATTTGACAGTGACCCTGGTGAAGACCAGTTTGGCGTACGTGCGTCGAAAAAATTCTCACGAATTTATGGAAAATTCTTGCGGAAAACTCAAGGAATTTTGAGGGAAACCCTGTTGTAGGACACTTGTGAGGGACTACAAGTCATCACAAGTCATCACAAAGCATCACCGTGCAATGGGATATTCCATAGACTAGACATAGGACCAGATAACTACTAGACGCACTTTTTTAATGATTTGTATCATGTATACAGTCCTTGCGTTACGACTGCGAGTATTTCATCGAGTACTTTGGCCTGGATTTGATGATGGAGGACGGGGAGTGTCGAGGAATCACTGCACTGTGTCTGGAAGACGGCACTATCCACAGAATCAGAGCCAAGAACACTATCCTGGCCACTGGGTAAGGATTTCTGGATTTATTTTTTGTTTTAACAGAACAGCTGCAGGATCCGCAAAATTGTTTAGACAAAGTGAAATCGCACAATCATTTGTGGAACATCATTACAAATACAGTGGCAAGTTGACCTAAACCTGCTAGATTTAAATTATGTTCATGCAGGGCAGTAAACAATATAAAAACAGACCCAACATTGAAGTCTTTAGAAATCTTTCTTCCCCATAAGAGAAACGCTATGGAGTTTGAGATTTCAATAGGAACAAAGGAGAACAAAAGAAGGGAAATAAAGGTCTTCCCCACAAGTATATGTATGTAAGGCTGTGTCATATGGAGCTACAGCTTGTGTGATGTTCTATCTTTTCATACATATGCATATCGTTATTGTGTATCCTCATTGGGATTGTTTTGTCATTTTTCTCATGTGGTGCTGTTCATATCTTTAAAGGGAATATACATCATATGCTTTTGCTGTAATTTTCAGAAATGGATAGAATTGGGGGTTGGAAATATATAGCAAATATAGTTACACTGACTTTTTTGAGGTTTTGGGTTCGAAAATGCTATAAAAACCAAGAAAAACAATTATTTTCCTGTAGTCTGGTTCCCTGACTCCATATAAGAAGAAACAGAGCAGTTTACATACATTGGGGAATTGTAAGGTCAGGGAACCAGTCTAGCTGGCTCGTACCCGTTTATAGGTTTGTAATCGATTGCAAACAAGTGCGATGGTCAATTGGGGCCAGTATTTGAAAAAAAGCCAGTTTTTTTCCAACGCTGATCGACCGATTAGCGTTGGAAATTGATACAAAAATACCACTTTTCTTGAAAATGACAGTATACCAGGTGCCATGATTTTACAGGATGCTTTACACCGTCATTCACTAACAGTCCAGCAAGGTATTTCAAAATGATTTGGTAGTTTTATTTTTTGATGTTTGCAAATGTTGTATTTTCCCTTTAATTGTTTTAGCGGTTATGGGCGTGCCTATTTCAGCTGTACCTCCGCCCACACCTGCACTGGCGACGGCACCGCTATGGTTACCAGGGCGGGAATAGCCAATGAGGACATGGAGTTTGTCCAGTTCCACCCTACAGGTATGTGCTCCGTGAAGCTACCGTAGAGGGCGCTGTTTGGAAAACTTCGTCGAAATTTCATTACTGACCAATCCAACAATGAATGAAAAATAGACACAAAAAATTGTACTTAATATTGACATTTTTAATATGTACATGACTTAAGATTAAACCTGACGTGCATGTGTCATTCTCTAAATTTAGGGTCGAGGTGTGACATTTTCCTTAACTTTGTAATTTGCCGTTCAAGTGTCATTAAAAATGAGTTTTATAGACCCTGGCCCTGGCCCTGGCAAAGCCAACCATGGTCTATGATATGTAAACAGACTCGGAGATTAATTATGTAGCTAGACTGCATATAACCTCGAGAAACTGACCAATCGGCAGGCGCCGTCTATACACGCGTAATTCGAGCTCCCTGTGTGCGTAAACATCACGCCCAAGATGAGAAGCATTTTTAACAGGTTGTTGTATTACAAAAACGCGACATCGAAATTGACCAATCACAATCTTAGTCCCGATTTGAGAATGATGGCGATGTCATATGCAATGGCGATCTCGTTGTACTGTCCGTAAGCCATGATTTCTGAATGAAATGACGTCATGCATGCTTAGATATATCAGACGTAATACAGGGGACTTGGCTCTGTGGATAACGGTGATACTCAGACAAGCATTCGGCAGGGTTTTCCAGCAAAGATTTTGTTTCTAATGAAGCAGAGGGATTGGTTGTCTGTGTGTGTAGGTATCTACGGCGCAGGCTGCCTCATCACTGAAGGGTGTCGTGGTGAGGGCGCCATTCTCATCAACAGCGAGGGTGAACGCTTCATGGAACGCTACGCCCCGACTGCCAAGGACCTGGCCTCCCGCGACGTCGTCTCACGCTCCATGACCATCGAGATCCGTGAGGGACGGGGTTGCGGTCCCAACAAGGATCACGTCTTTCTGCAGTTGTCGCATCTGCCACCTCAGCAGCTCGCCATGCGCCTGCCGGGCATCTCCGAGACCGCGCAGATCTTTGCCGGCGTTGACGTGACCCGAGACCCGGTGCCCGTGCTTCCGACGGTGCATTATAACATGGGCGGGGTACCGACCAACTACAGAGGGCAGGTATGTGTGCGTGTGAAGCTTGTTTAGGAACTGTAGGTTGCATACCTGTGACCTACTCATCGGTGCCATACATAGTTTAAATCTCAAACTGAAACAGTCGCCTCAAACTGCTTCAATTATTACACAAAGTATTGCCTAAAACCATCCCATAACCAGTGCTGTATTGTTGAATGGATTCATCTTGAATAAATACAATGTACTACAATCTACATGTACAGAGTGAGTAAAAAAAAAACGAAACACAAATGTCGGACCATTGTTTTAGTGAAGTTCTGCATGTATCACTTTCAAAATCTAGGATATGAAAGCCCAATTCATAAGCTTTCTTTTAGTACAAGAATCATTCAAATCACTCATGCTCTTTTCAAGTTACGGAATTTTAAACACAACCACCGTTTTAAAATTCTGTCCACGGATCACAAACATGTAAGTGTTCTTTCAGGAAAACAAAATGTGTGCGATGTGTTTTCGTTTTGCTGAAAGAACGCACACCTTTTTTTGTGATCTGCGGACAGAACCTTAAAACGGTGGTTGTGTTTCAAATTCCGTAACTTGAAAAGTACTTGAGTGATTTGAATGATTCTTGTACTAAAAGAAAGCTTATGAATTGGGCTTTCATATCCTAGATTTTGAAAATGCTACATGCAGAAATTCACTGAAACAATGGTCCTGACATTTGGGTTTCTCTTTTTATGACTTACCCTGTAAATGTCATGAGTTACATGCAACCTCAGTACATTACACCCATAGGTACTGCCTAAGTTGTAGAGCAGGCTACTCCTTAAAAGTATTACATTTGTCAGTCAACAATCTAAACAAAAAAACGGCGTCTACTTTCCATTTTTCAGGTGATCACGTACGAGAACGGCGAAGACAAGATTGTGCCTGGCCTGTACGCCTGCGGGGAGGCTGCCTGTGCCTCGGTCCACGGAGCCAATCGCCTGGGTGCCAACTCTCTCTTGGATCTGGTGGTGTTTGGTCGTGCCTGCGCTCACACTATCACGGAGCTGGATAAGCCTGGCGACGCCCAGCCCGAATTGAAATCGGTAAGCTTTGCTTAACCCTAACCCCCTAGGGTATTCTGGCTAGAAACCATGTCAAATGCAGCAACATCGAACACTTGTCAAAATGACAAGCCTCCCCAGTGTAGCAAGATCCATCAGGCCAAAAGTCTCAAGGCCAAACTGCCTCAGAGTCTGTGGTCACCAACTGCAGCAGGATACAACTGTGGCATTTGTTCAATGGGACTAGCTGTCATTGTTTCTGAATTGGCCGTTCATGCACTGGTGTTGATGGCTCAATGTAGCAAGGTCACACAGACTTTAACCCCCGATGTACTGTGTTGCGTCTGGCAGGGTTAGGGTCATTCTATAAATTTGGGGTCCACTTCTTTTCCTGTGCTGGTTACATCTGACATCCATGATTTTATAATTCTGAACATAGCAAATGACTCAGGAGGACCATTAGCAAGACCATGAGCCTATGTTGCTCAGGTTTGCCAACGTAAGTGGTATCATGACACATCTATATCTAGTCAAATTCACTTCAAAGAAGCAACTTCATTCAGATCAGCTCCAGACAAGCTCAAAACTCAACCCATAATCTTGACAGATTTACCACCCACCCAAGTGTGTATTTGCCTGCAATCGGGGACCCCCTATTGTCCCTCTTTTGCTTGTACTAACTTTTTAGGAAGACCTCCCATATGTTTTGTACATGAATCCAAATAGGGGACCCCTCGCGAATTGGGGACCCTATTGTCCTCTATTGTTCAATGTCCGCTATTGCATGCAGAAACAAACTCAATCATGTGTGTATAACCATACGCTTCATTTGTCGCGTATTTTCAGAATGCCGGTGAAGCTTCTGTTGCCAACATCGACAAGCTGCGCTACGCTGACGGCAATACCAAGGTGGCAGACATCAGGCTGAACATGCAGAAGGTAAGCCAAGGAAGAACATGAAGGGCCCGTCTCTATTCATATCTGGGACGAGTTCCAGACAAGTCGCGGGTAGAATCATTCACTTTGTCCGGAAGAAGCTCTGCATTTGTCCTGGACATGTTCCAGGGAAATTTTCCTAAGCAAGTGCTTGACTCAACAATACTGATAACTTCACTGCGGGAAGATTGCGGGGACGTTGTTCAGAATCCTGCAACTTATACCCGATGAAACGTCCGCAACTTGTCCGGAATTCGTCCCGGATATGAATTGAGACGTCCCTATTTAAATTGAGACGGATTCTAATCAATGGGATTATCATAAATCCTAGAAATTTACGCAAAGCATTGTTGAAGAGGCCTGTAAAAAGGTTGGTGTTTAACTTAAGTCTGATTCAGTATGGCTCAGTAGACGTTTATTTGAGGTTTGCTTGACGTGAAAAAAACAGAGAATATTTTTCTGCCTTCTGAATAGGATTCCAGTCCATTGTAGGTCACTCCATCGTAGGTTACTCCTCAGCTAATACAGGCACCCAGTCGTACTTCTGAGTATGTAAACACCGACAATCGTGGACCTAGGACAATAGGGTTAGGGCACTGACAATACGTCCACGATTGCACGAACGTCCACGATCGAAATTCATGTACAAAACCAATGAGAGCTGTTGGTAAAAAGTTAAGGTACAAACAAAGGAATGAGGATTAGGGACAATAGGGGTCCACGATTGCCGGTTTTTACGAAGATGGGTGGGCGGTGTGTAAGTAAGAGTAAAGTGGCTTGCCTATGGACACATCAGATGGCGAGGAGCTGGCTTTCAACTTCTGACCCTCTGATCATGAGTCACAAGCACTGATCACAAGCCATTATCCTTTCAAATAAATGAAATGAAGTGTATGAAAGTTTCATGGAACATTTATTATTTTGAACTTTCCTGAAACAGTTTCTTTGTAAGCAGTACGATTTTTTTTTTTGTTATTGTAGGTCATGCAGAACAATGCTGCGGTGTTCCGAACCGGTGAAACTCTGAAGGAAGGTGTTGATCTCATCATGGACACTTACAAGACTATGGACGACATGAAGGTACATTATCATGAAAATGGCCAGTTTGCCAGCTCAAGAAAAACAATTGTATTCACTTCTAACAAAAACTTTTATAAATATTAAGTTAATTAGCAAAATCACATTTTGGAAGTTAGGCTTATGACAGAATGCCAGCTAACGCCTAATTAAAAATAAAGAAATTTTCAAACAAGAAACCACAAAGGGACTACGTGCATTACAATAATTTGTTGAACACATACAGAATGATAGAAGTTCTCAGTGACAGCATGGAGAGGAGAAACTATCTGTCAAAATCTATCAAGTGACAGTTTTTAAGAGTTTTATAAATTGGGCTCATAATTATTGGTACAATTGACAGGCTGTGGCAAATTTTGTTAACTGAAGATACCATGCCTTGACTGACAGTAACAGATATGGTGGGTTTAAGCACTGCTGAGTGCCTGACAATGATTGATTTAATTCAGTGACAAATGAAGGCACAAATGGTTCACTCATATCCTAGTAAAACAAAGACATTGCCCTCTATAAGAGGGCATTGGCTGTTATGCAAAAGGTCTATAGAATTACAGTTAAAGTTGTAGCAGTATTCAGGGACACCTTATCCAAACCCCTTCAACAGGTCTTGACAGTTATGTGGTTTAATTAATCCATAGGGGTTCTGGCAGTTGGTGACCAGCCTCTGCAAAAGCTATGGGAGGGGAAGACGTTGGGAGTGCAGTTGTTGGTCTGCCGTTTCAAAGTATATGATGGTTATTTTTTGATCTGGTTTAAAATGTCTAGGTGTACGACCGCGGTCTCGTCTGGAACACTGATCTGGTGGAGGCCCTAGAACTGCAGAACCTGATGTTGAACTCTGTTCAGACAATGGTGGCAGCAGAGGCACGCAAGGAGAGCAGAGGAGCGCACGCACGGGAGGACTTCAAGGTATGCGATGGACTTGCACACCAGCGGTACTCGTACTCATGGCAAAGTACTCGTACTGGTTCTTGTACTCAAGGAACTGTATTCAACTACATTACTGATTTCACCCTCTGAAACAGTCAAATGTACATTTTGTTCTGCTTTTTTTTTCTCAGACCCGTATTGATGAGTATGACTTCAGCAAGGCGTTGGAGGGTCAGACGCCCAAGCCTTTTGAGGAGCACTGGAGGAAGCACACCATGAGCGACATGGACATCAACACCGGAAAGGTGGGTTCAATATCCATATTATAATATTTGAATATTCATCACCCTGAGCGACATGGACCTCAACACCGGAAAGGTGGGTTCAATATCCATATTGTAATATTTGAATATTCATCACCCTGAGTGACATGGACCTCAACACCGGAAAGGTGGGTTCAATATCCATATTATAATATTTGAATATTCATCACCCTGAGCGACATGGACCTCAACACCGGAAAGGTGGGTTCAAAATCCATATTATAATATTTGAATATTCATCACCCTGAGCGACATGGACCTCAACACCGGAAAGGTGGGTTCAATATCCATATTATAATATTTGAATATTCATCAACCGAATATTCAAATAGCTTTTTGCCAGGAAAGATGGGTCAATATCCATATTATTGTATTTGAATATTCATCAACCGAATATTCGAATAGCTTTTTGCCAGGAAAGATGGGTCAATATCCATATTATTGTATTTGAATATTCATCAACCGAATATTCAAATAGCTTTTTGCCAGGAAAGGTGGGTCAATATCCATATTATAATATAAGAATATTCATCAACCGAATATTCAAATAGCTTTTTGCCAGGAAAGATGGGTCAATATCCATATTATTGTATTTGATTATTCATCAACTGAATATTCAAATAGCTTTTTGCCAGGAAAGGTGGGTCAATATCCATATTATAATATTTGAATAATCATCAACTGAATATTCGAATAGCTTTTTGCCAGGAAAGGTGGGTTCAGTATCCATATTATTGTATTTGAATATTCATCAACTGAATATTCGAATAGCTTTTTGCCAGGAAAGGTGGGTCATTATCCATATTATAATATTTGAATATTCATCAACTGAATATTCGAATAGCTTTTTGCCAGGAAAGATGTGTCAAATATCCATATCATAATATTTGAATATTCATCAACCGAATATTCGAATAGCTTTTTGCCAGGAAAGATGGGTCAATATCCATATTATTGTATTTGAATATTCATCAACTGAATATTCAAATAGCTTTTTGCCAGGAAAGGTGAGTTCAGTATCCATATTATTGTATTTGAATATTCGATCATCAACCAGATATTCAAATAGCTTCCCGCTTGCACTTTTTGACCAGTGAGAAGTGCAGTTGCAGCAGGTGTGTGTAAACCTTGATCGGCGAGTTTCGAATATTAAAAAATTCGGTCAAATACAGTTTCGAATAATCAAATACTAAATTATTATCAAAACACCTGAAAATGTTGTCACCTCTAGTTTCCTTTGTTTTTCACAGGTTGACTTGGTGTACAGACCCGTGATTGACAAGACATTAAACCAGGAAGACTGCTCAACCGTTCCCCCCGCCGTTCGTTCGTATTAAACAAAATTAAACTACTTAAACTTGTACAGCCCTCCCTCAAACTATCTGTAGAAGAATGAATGTGATGTGATCGAGCTATGTGAGTTGTTTGTCGACCCTGGTCAATTTTTGTTACAGATTTGAAAAGAGCACAATCCCAGCATTACTGCTGTGAAAACCGTTTGCTGTAGTTCAAAAATTATGGTATTCGAAACACCAAGAAATGTGATAAAGTGATGTGATGAAGTGGCCCTATTTTGGCCTGAACCTCCAAATGAAAATTCCCAGCAAACGACTCATTTAGCTTGATTGTATCACAAATGTCTTCAAAACATACAAACTGTCCGAAATATTTTGGACATTGAAAAGAAAACGTGAAAGCCAGTTTGTAGTCGTTTGGCATTTAAGCGTGCGGTTTGAGAAATACAAATTTCTAGGCTAACATGTTTTTGTCGAAGAAATATGAACATGGAAATGAATCAACTTGTAATGCAATTTTAGGCTTTTGGGGCTGAAAATGTATATAAACATATAATGTGCTTATCCTGTCTCGTATTTCGAGATGAAGCAGTGATTGTTGGTGTGCTTGAACTAAAGATGTACACGTGATAATCTGTTTCTAACTTCGAAGATTAAAACTAATAAAAGGCTAGGATGAAGAGATTTTTCTGTAGGTATGAATTCAGAAGTTTATATACGACTTGTATTTCACTGTGTAACTTCATGCATTGTGTAGAAATTAACAGAATTAGAAAACTGGTTATCATGAAAAGATTTCTCAGCCTCTGAGATTTGATTGGTTGCTATGTGCTGTGAAGTTATCTTCCCTGCTGTCTGATTGGTTAATTTGGTGAGTTGACGACAGTCTAAGTTGACAACAGCCTCCGTTAGTTTTGCCAAAACAGCCCATAGCAAACACGGCTTTAGTCATAGTGCATGCTAGTACAAAGATGATTGACAAGTCCAGTCAACTAACCGGGACCAGACTATTGAGGTTGGTCACATTACTGGTAACCGACCCATAGTCACACAAAAAGCAGTGTTAAGCAGGGAGCCAGGATTGTAAAATTTTGATGTGATGAAATTATTCTCAAACTTCCTGACACAAATCTGTGATCGTCCTTGTTTTTCTGTCAGTTTATGATATTAAAACGTCTTGTTGCTAGAGGTGGTAACATTTGTTTGTTTTTTTGTTGGTTTTTTGTGCGCAGACATTTTACATATAAGCAGACAGCAAAACATGTTTATGAAAGTATTGCACAATTTCTTTTGCCAACCGAATCATGTATCTATATCTCAATATCAAGTTTGATGATAATTAATAAAAAACAACTTGACAAACTAAAGTGGAAAAGTGCCACTTCAAAAGAAATAGCACAGATGCTCATATGAACTAGTGTATTAACGTCTTGTTCTGACTTAAATTTAAAAAAACTTCAAGAGGTCATTGGTAGTTGTACATTTCTAACTAAACTGGTAGTTGAGTAGGAAATAAAAGGTGTTTTGTCTCAGTATTTTAAAGTCTGAATATCCAATATTAAAGTCTACCTACCTATTTTGTTTAACTGCTAAAACTGCATAATAGTTTGTGAAAAATATTGTGATAGAATTAAATGAAAACTAGAGGTTCGTGTTGTTGAGACACAAACGTAGAGTGGTCGGGCAGACATCTATGCTTCTCATACCAACAAAGTAATTTGTGCATTTTTGGCCAAATTTAATTAAAAATGTAAAGTAAACCCCTTGCATTTTTTTTTCAATTTTGGCCAAAAAATGAAATTGCTTCAAACTTGCAAGAAAGATGCCTAAGGGACCTTAGAACACATTCCAATTAAATTTGTGGACGGTTCGACTTTTCAAACGAATTTCTGCATTGTTTTGAAAAAAGTCAATTTTTGACCGAATTTCATCAAAAAAGTAAGGCTAACCCCTTGCATTTTTTTCAATTTTGGCCAAAAAATGAAATTGCTTCAAACTTGCAGGAAAGATGCCTAGGAGATCCTAGAATTCATTCCAATGCAATTTGTGGACGGTTGGACTTTTCAAAGGAATTTCTGCATTGTTTTGAAAAAAGTCAATTTTTGACCGAATTTCATCAAAAAAGTAAGGCTAACCCCTTGCATTTTTTTCAATTTTGGCCAAAAAATGAAATTGCTTCAAACTTGCAGGAAAGACGCCTAAGGAACCCTAGAACACATTCCAATGCAATTTGTGGACGGATGGACTTTTCAAAGGAATTTCTGCATTGTTTTGAAAAAAGTCAATTTTTGACCAAATTTCGTCAAAAAAGTAAGGCTTACCCCTTGCATTTTTTTCAATTTTGGCCAAAAAATGAAATTGCTTCAAACTTGCAGGAAAGACGCCTAAGGGACCCTAGAACACACTCCAATGCGATTTGTGGACGGTTGGACTTTTCAAAGGAATTTCTGCATTGTTTGGAGAAAAGTCAATTTTTGAAAGAATTTCATCAAAAAAGTAAGGCTAACCCTTGCATTTTTTTCAATTTTGGCCAAAAAATGAAATTGCTTCAAACTTGCAGGAAAGACGCCTAAGGGACCCTAGAACACATTCCAATGCGATTTGTGGACGGATGGACTTTTCAAAGGAATTTCTGCATTGTTTTGAAAAAAGTCAATTTTTGACCGAATTTCATCAAAAAAGTAAGGCTAACCCCTTGCATTTTTTTCAATTTTGGCCAAAAAATGAAATTGCTTCAAACTTGCAGGAAAGATGCCTAGGAGATCCTAGAATTCATTCCAATGCAATTTGTGGACGGTTGGACTTTTCAAAGGAATTTCTGCATTGTTTTGAAAAAAGTCAATTTTTGACCGAATTTCATCAAAAAAGTAAGGCTAACCCCTTGCATTTTTTTCAATTTTGGCCAAAAAATGAAATTGCTTCAAACTTGCAGGAAAGACGCCTAAGGAACCCTAGAACACATTCCAATGCAATTTGTGGACGGATGGACTTTTCCAAGGAATTTCTGCATTGTTTGGAGAAAATTCAATTTTTGACCAAATTTCATCAAAAAAGTAAGGCTAACCCCTTGCATTTTTTTCAATTTTGGCCAAAAAATGAAATTGCTTCAAACTTGCAGGAAAGATGCCTAGGAGACCCTAGAACACATTCCAGTGCAATTTGTGGACGGATGGACTTTTACAAAGGAATTTCTGAATTGTTTTGAAAAAAGTCAATTTTTGACCGAATTTCATCAAAAAAGTAAGGCTAACCCCTTGCATTTTTTTTTCAATTTTGGCCAAAAAATGAAATTGCTTCAAACTTGCAGGAAAGACGCCTAAGGCACCCTCAAACACATTCCAATGCAATTTGTGGACGGATGGACTTTACAAAGGAATTTCTGCATTGTTTTGACAAAAGTCAATTTTTGAAAGAATTTCATCAAAAAAGTAAGGCTAACCCCTTGCATTTTTTTTCAATTTTGGCCAAAAAATGAAATTGCTTCAAACTTGCAGGAAAGACGCCTAAGGGACCCTAGAACACATTCCAGTGCAATTTGTGGACGGATGGACTTTTTTAAAGGAATTTCTGCATTGTTTTGAAAAAAATTCAATTTTTGACCGAATTTCATCAAAAAAGTAAGGCTAACCCCTTGCATTTTTTTTTCTTTTTTCAATTTCGGCCAAAAAAGAAAATTGCTTCAAACTTGCAGGAAAGATGCCAAAGGGACCGTAGAACACATTCCAATGTGATTTGTGAACGGATGGACTTTTCAAAGGAATTTCTGCATTGTTTGGAGAAAATTCAGTTTTTGACCAAATTTCATCAAAAAAGTAAGGCTAACCCCTTGCATTTTTTTCAATTTTGACCAAAAAATGAAATTGCTTCAAACTTGCAGGAAAGATGCCTAAGAGACCCTAGAACACATTCCAGTGCAATATTTGGACGGATGGACTTTACAAAGGAATTTCTGCATTGTTTTGAAAAAAGTCAATTTTTGACCGAATTTCATCAAAAATGTAAGGCTAACCCCTTGCATTTTTTTCAATTTTGACCAAAAAATGAAATTGCTTCAAACTTGCAGGAAAGATGCCTAAGAGACCCTAGAACACATTCCAGTGCAATTTGTGGACGGATGGACTTTTCAAAGGAATTTCTGCATTGTTTTGAAAAAAGTCAATTTTTGACCGAATTTCATCAAAAATGTAAGGCTAACCCCTTGCATTTTTTTCAATTTTGACCAAAAAATGAAATTGCTTCAAACTTGCAGGAAAGATGCCTAGGAGATCCTAGAATTCATTCCAATGCAATTTGTGGACGGTTGGACTTTTCAAAGGAATTTCTGCATTGTTTTGAAAAAAGTCAATTTTTGACCGAATTTCATCAAAAAAGTAAGGCTAACCCCTTGCATTTTTTTCAATTTTGACCAAAAAATGAAATTGCTTCAAACTTGCAGGAAAGATGCGTAAGGGACCCTAGAACACATTCCAGTGCAATTTGTGGACGGATGGACTTTTTTAAAGGAATTTCTGCATTGTTTTGAAAAAAATTCAATTTTTGACCGAATTTCATCAAAAAAGTAAGGCTAACCCCTTGCATTTTTTTTCTTTTTTCAATTTCGGCCAAAAAAGAAAATTGCTTCAAACTTGCAGGAAAGATGCCAAAGGGACCGTAGAACACATTCCAATGTGATTTGTGAACGGATGGACTTTTCAAAGGAATTTCTGCATTGTTTGGAGAAAATTCAGTTTTTGACCAAATTTCATCAAAAAAGTAAGGCTAACCCCTTGCATTTTTTTCAATTTTGACCAAAAAATGAAATTGCTTCAAACTTGCAGGAAAGATGCCTAAGAGACCCTAGAACACATTCCAGTGCAATATTTGGACGGATGGACTTTACAAAGGAATTTCTGCATTGTTTTGAAAAAAGTCATTTTTGACCGAATTTCATCAAAAATGTAAGGCTAACCCCTTGCATTTTTTTCAATTTTGACCAAAAAATGAAATTGCTTCAAACTTGCAGGAAAGATGCCTAAGAGACCCTAGAACACATTCCAGTGCAATTTGTGGACGGATGGACTTTTCAAAGGAATTTCTGCATTTTTTTGAAAAAAGTCAATTTTTGACCGAATTTCATCAAAAAAGTAAGGCTAACCCCTTGCATTTTTTTCAATTTTGACCAAAAAATGAAATTGCTTCAAACTTGCAGGAAAGATGCCTAAGAGACCCTAGAACACATTCCAGTGCAATTTGTGGACGGATGGACTTTTTTAAAGGAATTTCTGCATTGTTTTGAAAAAAATCAATTTTTGACCGAATTTCATCAAAAAAGTAAGGCTAACCCCTTGCATTTTTTTCAATTTTGACCAAAAAATGAAATTGCTTCAAACTTGCAGGAAAGATGCGTAAGGGACCCTAGAACACATTCCAGTGCAATTTGTGGACGGATGGACTTTTTTAAAGGAATTTCTGCATTGTTTTGAAAAAAATTCAATTTTTGACCGAATTTCATCAAAAAGTAAGGCTAACCCCTTGCATTTTTTTTCTTTTTTCAATTTCGGCCAAAAAAGAAAATTGCTTCAAACTTGCAGGAAAGATGCCAAAGGGACCGTAGAACACATTCCAATGTGATTTGTGAACGGATGGACTTTTCAAAGGAATTTCTGCATTGTTTGGAGAAAATTCAGTTTTTGACCAAATTTCATCAAAAAAGTAAGGCTAACCCCTTGCATTTTTTTTTCAATTTCGGCCAAAAAATGAAATTGCTTCAAACTTGCAGGAAAGACGCCTAAGGCACCCTCAAACACATTCCAATGCAATTTGTGGACGGATGGACTTTACAAAGGAATTTCTGCATTGTTTTGACAAAAGTCAATTTTTGAAAGAATTTCATCAAAAAAGTAAGGCTAACCCCTTGCATTTTTTTTCAATTTTGGCCAAAAAATGAAATTGCTTCAAACTTGCAGGAAAGACGCCTAAGGCACCCTCAAACACATTCCAATGCAATTTGTGGACGGATGGACTTTTCAAAGCAATTTCTGAATTGGTTTGAAAAAAGTCAATTTTTGACCGAATTTCATCAAAAAAGTAAGGCTAACCCCTTGCATTTTTTTCAATTTTGGCCAAAAAATGAAATTGCTTCAAACTTGCAGGAAAGATGCCTAGGAGATCCTAGAATTCATTCCAATGCAATTTGTGGACGGTTGGACTTTTTAAAGGAATTTCTGCATTGTTTGGAGAAAAGTAAATTTTTGACCGAATTTCATCAAAAAAGTAAGGCTAACCCCTTGCATTTTTTTCAATTTTGACCAAAAATGAAATTGCTTCAAACTTGCAGGAAAGATGCATAAGAGACCCTAGAACACATTCCAGTGCAATTTGTGGACGGATGGACTTTTTAAAAGGAATTTCTGTATTGTTTTGAAAAAAATTCAATTTTTGACCGAATTTCATCAAAAAAGTAAGGCTAACCCCTTGCATTTTTTTTCTTTTTTCAATTTCGGCCAAAAAAGAAAATTGCTTCAAACTTGCAGGAAAGATGCCAAAGGGACCGTAGAACACATTCCAATGTGATTTGTGAACGGATGGACTTTTCAAAGGAATTTCTGCATTGTTTGGAGAAAATTCAGTTTTTGACCAAATTTCATCAAAAAAGTAAGGCTAACCCCTTGCATTTTTTTCAATTTTGACCAAAAAATGAAATTGCTTCAAACTTGCAGGAAAGATGCCTAAGAGACCCTAGAACACATTCCAGTGCAATATTTGGACGGATGGACTTTACAAAGGAATTTCTGCATTGTTTTGAAAAAAGTCAATTTTTGACCGAATTTCATCAAAAATGTAAGGCTAACCCCTTGCATTTTTTTCAATTTTGACCAAAAAATGAAATTGCTTCAAACTTGCAGGAAAGATGCCTAAGAGACCCTAGAACACATTCCAGTGCAATTTGTGGACGGATGGACTTTTCAAAGGAATTTCTGCATTGTTTTGAAAAAAGTCAATTTTTGACCGAATTTCATCAAAAATGTAAGGCTAACCCCTTGCATTTTTTTAAATTTTGACCAAAAAATGAAATTGCTTCAAACTTGCAGGAAAGATGCCTAAGAGACCCTAGAACACATTCCAGTGCAATTTGTGGACGGATGGACTTTTCAAAGGAATTTCTGCATTGTTTTTAAAAAAGTCAAGTTTTGAAAGAATTTCATCAAAAAAGTAAGGCTAACCCCTTGCATTTTTTTTTCAATTTAGGCCAAAAAATGAAATTGCTTCAAACTTGCAGGAAAGACGCGTAAGGGACCCTAGAACACATTCCAGTGCAATTTGTGGACGGATGGACTTTAAAATGAAATGTCAACAAAAATTGGTGGTAAAATCAGTCAAAAGTGTGAATTGTTTTCTCAAACAAAGAAAGGCTCCTTTTACCTCCAAAGGAATTGCTTTATTGTATGGAAAGAAGTACATTTTTGGCCACATTTAATTTAAACTGTACAAGAGATTCGCATTTGTTGAGTATACAAAGACACACCGACTGAACTAACACAGGTGACTTTTATAAATGCACAATCCATTCAAAACATATAGGACACATTTTCATGTACATGTACATGTTTATTCATCTTTTGACATGATTCAATACTATTTCCAAGTCCATGTAAGATGGGGACATGTACGTGTGTTTGTTTATGGTTTAAAGCCAGGACCCACACGTGAATAACCATCAAGTAATCGAGGACAGGAGTCAAATCGAGGACGACCTCGATTAGGAAACGTGTACAAACCAATGAGAGCTGTTGCAAAAAATTTTAGTATAAACAAAAGATCAATGATGATGAACAATAGAAAATCCTTGATTTACACCATAAACAAACGTGCTGTACAATGTACTTCATATAATACATAATGATATCACATTAGCTTTCAGGAGCATAGTTATAAACACACCTATATTTTACACCTACAGTAAAGAGCAACATTCCTGTGGAAATAGTTTTTAAAATTGAAACAATTCAAAATTCATTGCGAAATGTATTAATCCTATTAAATAAATAAATATCACCCTGTTCCATGTACATGTACAACAGGTTACAATTTAAAGTTGTTCAGGCACTAAACAAATAAGGGGGTAATTATATCAATGTGGTAAAAAAATATGTAATTTTTTTTTTTTTTAAAGTGTGATCTAAGTAAAACAAAAAAATAACAAATTAAATTGCATAGTTTCTTTCTACTGTCTTACAAGTATCTAGTGTCGAGCTCTAGGGGAAATTTTTAAAAATCACAGATTTAGACAAAAGGTTTGGGTTGATTTTCCATGGTGAGGAAGAAGAGTTACAGTTCATTGTGGCAGCTTCATGTAAAGCATGCACTTTAGCTGTACACATCCACATGATATAACCTGCACTACATGTACATGATGTACACACGCAGTGCAAATTTATCATTACTTTGTGTTCTGAAGTCCAACTTCAAGACATTGCAATTAGCTGCCGTTGGAAAAGTGAATGTGATACATCAATAATATGTGACAATAAAAAAAAAACATGTTTAGCGTCCTGCCTTTTTGAAGAAAAGGAAGCGGGAGGCCCTTTTTTTTCACCTCCAAATTGGCCACCCGACCGGGCTATTTTTCAAGATGGCGGACAGTTTTTGTTTTTTAAATGGCCGCCATTGGACTCAGGAAATGACATACCAGCTTTATATGGGCTAGATGCAACAGACAAAGAGGCCAAAAATGATGTCACTGTTTTAAATTTATGATTTTTTCGGTTAAAACAAAAGAAGGAAAAAAAGGAGGAGGCCTCCAAAAAGGAAGCGGGCGGGGACGCTTAACATGTTTGTTTTTTATTTGGCCTAATGAGTAGAAAACAATTACAGACCAAACTAAGGTACATTTACAACGCCTTAACGACCTGTACATGTACATCATGTGGTCGGAGCTGGGCGCACTTTGGATTTTACAGAATTGCCCAACAGTAAGGAATAGGTATAATAAGGTAAACACTCAAAGCTTTGAATACGGCAAAACTTGGAAAACACTTTTTATATTTTATTAAAAGATCAATGTTGTTTATTTGATTATATGCAAGGCGCTGCCCATTTCGAGAGTAGTGAATACTTTAAAATACAGTAACGAATAATTTAAAGTATGGCGCATCATTATTTTTTTTTCAGCTTGGGGGAATTCTCACTTTTAATTTTTTTTTTCAGTATGATTGGAGCACCACTTTTAGGTATCCCTGTGGTTCTTAAGGTACCCTTCCCCATTCCCCATGCATAAAAAAATAAACTCTACAAACCTCATTTTGAGGACATGATATAATTTAAGCAGTACACATGATTCAGCTAAAATGCATAAATTTAACTCTTTACAGCCAAGGCCGTTCTTATGAATACAATTATTATGCGTCAGCATCTGGAGTTGCTTAATGGAGGCCTAATCAGAAGAAACAAGGTGCATCTCAGACTCAATAAAATATGACATTATAGAAAATGTGGGCGTACAAACCCTTTCCTCTTTTATCCGAACAAAACCAGTTATATTTTGTACCCTGTGGCCTGTGCATTTTAAGGTAAGTGCGTATGCCAGTTCAATATTGTTTGTGGTCAAAATATAGCAGTTTTTGTCTTAATATTTGGTTTTTAGCCAAGTTACTAAAAAGGGACTATGTGCTCGGCCGGTTTGAAATGAGTACTTTTAAAACCAGCTAAGGGCCTGGACACTCAAGGCCATTATCAGTTCTTGTTTCATACCGGCCAAGCATAAGTGCAACTTAATACTCAAGTGACACCTGAGAGCTTGCAGGCAGTTTTGTCCAACAATTCGCTTGCTCACACTGGGAATACAACCCCTGACCTGTGGTTATATGTAACTAGTGCAGACACCTTAACCCTCGACAACCAAGCTTGTAAAAGTTAGATAGTTGATTTTAAATTAATATTGCAGCGCATACCACAATCAATCTCAAAGTTTTACTGTCTCCAAATGAAAAATTCCATCATACACAAATGTACATGGTTTTTGTCTCTAATTCCACCTTACTGTCTCCAAATGAAAAATTCCATCATACATGGCTTTTGTCTCTATTCCATCCACTGCATTTCTCTAGTCTTGGTCTTAAAGTTGCTTTGGTACAACGACCCGAGAAATTCCTCAAGCATGTTATTAGTCAAGTAAATGCCAGTCAAGTCAAGTAAATGCTAGTAGGGGCTCGTAGCCAAGCGGTTAGAGCGTGGAGCTACGGAGCTAAAGGTTGGCGGTTCGAATCCCATTCGGACCAAAAACTGGAAAACTCTCTCTGACGACCCAACAGTAAAATGGGTACCTGATTCGTTCAGGGAAGGTAAGACGGCGAGAGGAGAGGACTGGGCACCGCCACTCATATGCCAGGCCCAAGACACAGTGGACCTCTAACATCCCACTGCCCCTACGGACAATAATGGCTATGGGACCTTTACCTTTACCTTTACCTTTTAAATGCCACGCACTTGAGGTATCCTAGGAATTTCTTTGTAGAGATACCAAAATGAGTGAATTTGATTCATTTTCATCATAGCAACCTCTGCTGGCGTGCCTACTTAGCCATGCTTGCTAGGAAAGAGCTGCTAGAGGGAACAATGTAAATCCAGTCTGAAACCAAGACTAGAAAGTGTCGTGATCAGGTCATAGTGTGTTCTTTGCCTTCGTCTGGGCTTTTTTCCCACTCTAAACATCTGCAGGCAGAGCCTTTTTTTCCAGCCGCGACATCAGCGTCTGTGCCGTGACAACGGCCATCCGCCGTTCCCCGCGTATATGCTCGTTACCTAGTGTGTCCACGTTGTCCAGCTCCAACATGTGCCTCATCAGCATCTCCTCAATCCGCAGGTAGTCTTTGGTACCCTTGCGGCCAACAAAGTCCTCAATGTCTCCGCCCACGTCCAGGATTTTTGCTTGGATGGCGCGGATTTGGGTGACCTGGGGTGGCACCTTGGGCTCCTCCCCCTGGGCAACCCCTGGCTCCCGGCTTCCGTTCTCTGGCCTGCATGGGGAACCCGTTTCAATGCCGCTTGTGGGCGGCTGCTCTCTTTCTTGGGAAACCTGACCCTGTTGTGGGCCCCTCGGCTGTGGTTGTTGGTACTGCAGAGGCTCATCCTGTTGGGTCCTGGCATCCTGGTTCCCGGCGCCCCGGCTCCTCTCTTTCAGGTCCCTCTGCTCGACTTCGGGCTCGTGTTGCATGGGGTACCGCACAGGACCATCGCTGGAGGGGTATTGCCGAGGATCTTGTTGATATTCTCGGATGTGCACATCTTGTATATGAGGTTCTTGAGTTTGCACATGTTGAGGCGTGGGTACTGGCTTAGGCATGGTCTGTGGAGGCATTCTGGGGCGAGCCTGAGAACTCTGAATGGGTTCTCCGTGGGGACGTGCTGGAGCAGTGTTCCCATCGTAATCCCAGTCCCGGCCCTCAACTCTTATGGGTATATTGATCTCTCGTTCCCCATCAGACATTGGGTAGTCACGCTGGGGTACATGTACATGAGAGTGTAGACTTTCCTCGGTGATGGGTATTCTACGGGATTCATTGGGTGGATGGTGGTGATGATGCTGATCGGTTCTTGGACTTGACGAGTACACCTGTTCCTGGGGATGTAGCGAGTCTGGTTCAACGTTCTGATGGGGAGACTCGTTCATGCGCATACGATTCATCTGGCTGTCCAGCGTTGGGGTGCGCCTGCCGCTGGGCTGGGGGCTCGGGGCGCGTCGGATGTCATGCTGTGCCCGGCGCGGCATGGAAGGGCTCCCTCTAGGGCTGCGATTGAATGGATCCCATGTATTTTGCCAAATGGGGTTCAGGTTGTCAAAAGTACTGCGGAAGAAGTTGTCTCCACCGATTGCTGAATCCATGAAGGCCTGTGCAAACAAAAACCAAAAGAAATCATTTTATTAAAATTTGTGTACAATTTAGGATTACAGATTCTTGTCACAATGTACGCCCTGTATTTACCCGCACATGTTATGTAGAACTAGAAAGTATAAAACAGAAGAGAGAAACATGTCATAATATGCATGCAAAAAAGCCTTCTTTTTTTTTTAAATCAATATTTGCTAAAGAAGTTGCAACCTGAAGCCACTTCCGCGACTGTGTATTAAGTCTACAGAGAGTCAAGAACATTTTCAAACTATTTCCTAACAAATTTGGAAACGTTTCTCAGTCCCAGATTCATGTTTTTTTTTGCAACAATGTGCAACGAATAAGCCATTTGCAGATACCGCCATCTTTGACATTTTTTTTTTGGGGGGGGGCATTACAATGAAAAGACATCCCATCATGCTCAGCAACAGTTGCATGCTGGGACATATTTTCATTGCAATGTCCCCCCCCCCCCCCCCCCCCCCCCCCCCCCCCCCGTTTCAAAGATGGCAGTATCCGCTAAACGGCTTATGACCTAGGCCTATTTCAACTGACATGATTGAGATGATCTTTCAATTTCATATTTATAACATTTAAACAAGAAAGTGGCGTCAGGTTGCAACACTTTTCCCTAATAATTGATGATAAAAGTGGCGTCAGGAAACAACATTCTTTCCCAAAAAAATCAGCCGGTTAGGGCTGCAAAATAAAACTGGGAGTGGGATTAAATTAGGCGTCAAATTTTACCTGCATCGGGCTGGACATGTTTGGACGTCGGGGGTGCCTTGGGTCTTTCCAACTCGTCCGACGGCTTCTGTGATCCACGTAAAATGGCCACTGCGTTTCTGGGTCGATCAACATTTCCCAGCCGTCTGGTAAAGGATCGTCGTCTGCCACTGGTCTTGTCATTCGTGTCTTTAGAGGACTTTCCGAAAATCCGCCGAATTTAGACATTTCTGAGGCCTTTGCTCGAAACTTCCAAATCGTCAGTTCACGAGGATCACTCCTTCTCGAGTTTTCTACATACGTGTAGTGCACAATCTGCTACCCGTACCTGTTGGTCGTATGACGCAACATGAAGAAAACTGTACGCGGCAGGAACCAGACTACATTTCCCGAATCATCCAGATGTTTCTACCGAACTCTTTTTGTCGTTCTATGCGATTGGTTGGAATGGTAAAGATCGCAACGCAATGACCAATAACAATGACTGTGATATTCTGCCTGATTTTATCAATAAAATTGCGTTGGAGTTATCGTCTGCTTATTATTCCCAAGAAATGCATGGCGAAGCGGTGTCATCCCGATTTCATTTGGAACATTTATTTCATCCGGAATTATTTATTGAATATTGCAGAAAAGTTGGAGCTACACTTTTTGAGAAAGATATGTATCATGGAAGTAGTAAAGTACGTCGAATTTAGAGACTGGATCATGTCCGCACACGTACCTCCACTGACTGGTTGTACCGAAAGGGAACACCTCGAGCCCCCCCCCCCCCCCCCCCAAAAAAAACCAACTAAATGGAGAGAAACGCTGAAAGAAAAGAAAAATATAAACAAACAAAAAAGAAGAAGAAGAAAGAGGAACTTAATGGCTATCATTACATTTCAAAAGTTTGCAGCAATCTACTGAATTATGAAAGATCGGGACAGATGAAGAGCGCCCCCTATATACTTCGGCTGCCGGTTGGGCAATTTTGTTTCTACAAGTTTCAGATCAGTACCCGTACCGAACCCCAGGAGAATATTCTGGGGAAAATTCATGGAACAGGTAGGGACTGAAAAACCCAAATCAACATGCAGACCAGGCCTAGGCAGGACTTCGATCAAACCTGGGTCATAAGTACTGGTGTAGCGCGCCCTCTTTTGAAAGAAATTGATGTTGGTAAAATGTACGAAAGTGCCCCAACACAAAGTAGTTTTTGTTTTGTTGTATTATTTTTGTTCTTCAACGGTTTCTGTAGACTTTCGAAAGGTTCGTGTCGTACATCACGACTAATTATGGGACGCAATTTCAATTCAATGCAATGTGTTTTTCTTGAGTTATCGTCTCCACAAAGAGTGCTATATTTTTGTTCAATAAAAGTGACTTGAATTTGGATTGAATTTTTCGCGATTAGTACACTGTAATTATTTAAATCATATTAAATTTATTCTTCAAGGGTTTTCGTCGACTTTCAAAAGGTTTGTGTTGTATATCACGACTAATTATTGGACGCAATTTCAATTCAATACAATGTGTTTTTCTTGAGTTATCGTCTCCACAAAGAGTGCTTTATTTTTGTTCAATTAAAAGTGACTTGAAATTGGATTGAATTTTTCGCGATTAGTACACTGTATTTCTTCAAAATCATATTAAATTTATTCTTCAAGGGGTTTTCGTCGTTTTTCAACAGTTTTGTGTCCTATATCCTGATTATATTGGACGAAATTTCAATGCAGTGCAATGTGTTTTTCTTTTTTCTTGAGTTATCGTCTCCACAAAGTGTGTTTTATTTGTGTTGTTGGGCAGATCGTGATCCGCGTTGACAGACGTCTTTACGGTGCTGACCAGTATTTGTGTAGCGCGCCCTCTTTTGGAGGAAATCGATGTTAGTACTTTCGCTCGTACAATACTCTGACGAATTCACGCTCTTATTGGTGCGCGTCATCAAGGTCATGACTCTGCAAGGTTTGAAACAGCCGTTATTAACTGATTCATTACTCTTTTATTCCAGTTTAGATATGTTTTTTCTCGTTGAAAAAGCGTTATAATGTAGGAAATTCTGTAAAACTTATCTGTGTTGTAAATTTACAATTCCCGTCACTCGCTCAGGCTCCGTTTCGAATCACGAACGGTCGGATTGCATTATGCGACGCTCAAAATTTTGTCCACATGCTCCGCAATGAAACCGAAATCACTTCCGGTATGGAATGTGCGCAATTCTATGGGAAGTTTTCGGATAGCATTTGCGCACATTGTCTAACTGCGGTTTTGAACAGCTGCAGCCAGATGCTTTATACATAGGTCAAAGGCCACTTCCTTCACAAGATTCTGTGAAGCTCATCAGAGTATCCCAGCGTCCTGTTTGCAGGGCGGGGGGTACGACTACGAGCGAATGTTTAAGTACCTTGCTCGTGGTAAAATGTACGGAAGTAAGTTTACAGTTACTATGCGCCAATCAATTGTTTCCCCTACCCCTCCCCCACCCCCACCCCCTCCAGGGCCGCCCCACCCAAAACGTGGGGATTGTCACTTTTGAAGTGACAAAATCCCCACCCCTCGGGCAAAATTTAAGTGACAATGCCCGACCATGCCCGGACCATGCCCCGACATATACGTATGTGGGCACACTAGCCCAGGTCATGCAGGTGGACTCCCTTTCCTCCCTACGTTACGGAGGTGCAATGAAGACTTCGTCCAACCTGCTGGGCAGTGGGCACACCAGTATGGCAATGTTAACAATCGTACCTGGGGCAGCGCGGGGGGGGGGGGGGGGGGGGGGGGACTTTTGATAGGCGCATAAAGGTCAGTTATTGCAAAAATGTAGAAAAGACATGAATCCGGGACTGAGAATCTGTTCATGCTGTTCCAGGATTTCTTTGAAAATCAACATTTTTGAAAGTACATATACTGTAGGCCCTTAATATAATGTAGGGCCTACTCTTTTTAGATACATGATCATACATGTTGTACGCTTTTGAAAATGTTGATAATTATAGATGATCGACCCCTAGGCCTAAGTGAAAACGTCAAACAAACCTCTTTTTTTCGGATGAATTTTATGCTTTGACATCCAGGTTTACCTGACATAGTGGTGAGACGAAGACTTCCTCTGTAACCATGGCCATCACGGACTCCCAACCTACTGATAAATCGTTCTTAGAGAAGCTGAGCCACATCGCCTGCCAGTTTATTGTCCCAGTCTTGATGCCAGCATCAACTGCGGTTGTCGGTAGGTTAATGTTCTTCAATGTAAGCCAACAACAAAAAATATTTGGTCTCTGGTCAGACCAAAGTTCCGGGATTGACGCGGGGACGCGGCCTTTTTTTTCTTTTTTTCCAAGCTTGGATTGTACAGACAAGGTGGGTACTATTTTGCTTTTTTGGTGTCCTCATGACACTGGTGTCCTCCATAATTTGCCTTGGTGCTCTCGATCATTTGCCTTGGTGCAATTTCCCATTCCTTGGTGCTCTTTGGTAAAAGAAAAACATGAGGAGGTGCGGAAATAGAGGGCGCTGTTGAAGCTACCGCGGACCTTTTTTGGGAAAAAAAAAAATTGCCGCGCATGATTAAAATCGACGCGCGCGCTGACCAGAGACCGACTTTTTTTTTTTTTGGCCTAACAGCCTTCTCAAATTAGGACTGCGTCTGGATTACAAAATACAAGTATCGGTAGTATCACATGCTGTATCACAAAGAGTGTGATATTTGGGTTTAACACTTCACAGTGGCAGATTTTGGAGGATTCGGGGAGGATCCAAGCACAAGTTCCTGGGGAATTTCTATTAATCTTCTGTGCAAATACTTTCAAGTCTCTCAATGACAAAAAGTGCATATTTTTTAAAAGGTGTTGATTTCACAAGTTCTCTCTAACCTCACCTCCTGGTACAGGTTACCTGGTCCAGCGGCGCATCAATAAGGAGAAACAACAAGCAGAGATGGAACTCAAGACAAAGAAACGGGACGTCTACGAAGGAAACGTGGGCATTACGACCATCAAACGGCGTCAACTTCTGGAAGAGGCCATCCTGAAAGAGGAAGAAGAATCGACAGAGAAGATCCTGAAAGATCTTGAGGAACTCCGCCCGTTACTGAAACAGCGGCAAGACATCTTCTGCAGCCACTTGCAATACCGCGGGGACCGCTTGAAGATCGAGGAGGAACTCAAGCACACGGCTTACGCCAAGCCGTACGACAAAGAGCTAGGCTTGTACATGGGTATGAAGGACATTTTGCAGAACGACAAGAGCTGCGGTCCGAAGACCAACGGCTGCCTGATGTGGTTGTACTTTCAGTTCTGGGAGACCCAGGCCAAGCTTCTTCAAAACAAGCGAGTGGCTGCTAGGATGAAGTCATTCGATGAATCATTCACTGAGTGAACTGCAGCTCATTTGAACATTGTGTGATGAAGTTTTGCCTTCTACCGGCCTAATTTACTCGGTTTTATTCAAAGCAAAATCCTCCATACATATTCATCACGCATTGTTTTTCTAATGATTTCAAACCGAGCATAGCTAGATTAGTAATTATGCGGCGTGCTCTTTCTAGTACATTTTTAAAAATTCTGAAATAAAACAAGTCTCAATTATGTGTATTGGGGTTGTGAATGGTGGTGGTTTTTTTGTCTTTCAACTTTGTTTATATTATCATGTAATTTTAAGGTATGTTTCAGTGTTTTTAACACACAGGATGTAGAATTTATTTTTGTATTCATGATGGTTAATAAATAAATTGAATTGAAAATGAAATTGAATTGAATTGGCAACTGTAGCATTGTAAGAAGTTACATGTAGCTTTTTATTGGTAATAATTTTGTTTAAGTTTATTTCAGTTGACATAAGAGAAATTAAATGTTGATAATTTAGTAAAGAATTGTTAAATTGGGCTTTAATTTTGTAAGGCGACGAATTAAATTAACACATTAGGCCTGGACTTCATTGTATTACATTGTGTTACATTGTAATACATTGCATTACATTGTATTACATTGTATAACATTGTGTTACATTGTGTTACATTGCATTACATTGTGTTACATTATATTACATTGTATTACATTGAATTACATTGCATTACATTGTACTACATTGTATTACATTGTAATTATTCACTGAAGAATCAACAAAACCATAGAGTTTTTGGGCAGTACAGTGAGTAATAGGCAGGGCAAGTATTTTTGTATGTAAATGTACGTAAAAATTAATGTGAACTACACAAAAATAGAAGTCAGTAATTTAGAAATATTTTATTTTGCTTTGTAGTTAAATTGAAATTTGAAATGAATTAAACTGCAATAAATAACTAGGTTTACTGAAATTCAGCCTGTATAATTTCATTGTTTTTGAAAACAATTGTGTCGTGTGTGTGGGTGCCAAAGCTTATACACGTCTTCAGATCTTAGTATGGGTCATACGGGGCTTATTTCAAAAACGTCATTGCCAAAATATTTTTTAATTGATTAGGGGAAATGAAAAATCAACAACATAATAAATCAGCAGAGGGTTTGATGGTTCTAATTCAACGGTTTCTGTTGACTTTCAAAAGGTTTGTGTTCGCATATCACGACCAATTATTGGACGCAATTTCAATTCAATGCAGTACCGGTATTTTTCTTGAGTTATCGTCTCCCGGCACAAAGGGTGCTTTATTTTTGTTCAATTAAAAGTGAGTTGAATTTGGATTGAATTTTTCGCGATTAGTACTCTGTATTTATTTAAATCATATTAAATTTATTCTTCAAGGGTTTTCGTCTATTTTTTTAATAGTTTTGTGTCAGTCCCGAACAATTATTGGACGAAATTTCAATCAGTTCAGTGTAATGTGTTTTTTTTTTAGTTATCGTCTCCATAAAGAGTGCTTTATTTTTGTTCAATTCGCGCTTAGTACACTGTTTTTCTTTAAATCATATTAAATTTATTCTTGAAGGGTTCTCGCCGATTTTAAAACGTTTTGTGTCCTATATCCCAAACAATTGTTGGACGAAATTTCAATTCAATGTGTTTTTCCTGAGTTATCGTCTCCACAAAGTGTGTTTTATTTTTCACGTAAAGCCGACTTCGTTTGGGCGGCTCCGCGTTGACAGAAAGTACCAGTATTTGTGTAGCGCGCCCTCTTTTGGAAGAAATCAATGTTGGTAAAATGTACGGAAGTGGACTTACAGTTAATAGTACTAAAAACACTGTAACTTTGTAAAAAAAAAAAAAATTGGCATTAATTTTGTTCTTCAACGGTTTTCTTCGACTTTCAAAAGGTTTGTGTTGTATATCACGACCAATTATTGGACGCAATTTCTATTCAATTGCCGCAGTGTGTTTTTCTTGACTAACTTGAGTTATCGTCTCCACAATGAGTGCTTTATTTTTGTTCATGCGAGTTGAATTTGGGATTAGTAATAGTACAAAAATAGTAGTGCACTGTAGTACACAATTGATCATCATCATAGGGGCAATAACATGTTATTGTTATTTTTAATGTATTTTTCATTGGAAACAGTGTTGCTAGCTTTTTTCCTCTTCATTAGAAGGAATCTGGGACTGAGAATCTGTTGCAGGATATCTTTGAAAATCAACATTTTTTAATGTAGGGGGCAGGGGGTTCTGCCAAAAAGATTCATGTTTTGTACGCTTTTGAAAAATGTTTAATAATTATGGAGACCCGGCCCTAAGACAAGTGAAAATGTCAAACAAACCTTGAATTCATCCCAGATGAATTTTAATCCTTGTCGTCCAGGTTTAGTGAGACGAAGACTTCCTCTGCTCTGTAACCATGGAGTCCAATGATCTGAACTTCCCACCGACTGAAGAACCATTTGTAAAGAAGCTGAGTCGCATTGCCTCTCAGTTGATTGTACCAGTCTTATTGCCAGCATCAAGTGTGTTTGTGGGTATGTTATTCTTCAATGTAACAGCCACTATTGCTAATTTACATGGGGCTTGATGCCTCTTGAAACTTGGTAGTACTTACAAAGAGTGTGCCATTGGGTTTAAGACTTCACAATCACATGTACAGTGGTGGATTTTGGAGGATTCGGGGAGCATCGCAGCGAAAATGGAAAGATTTCCATATACGAAGTTCACTACTTTTCCTCTGTATTGACTAACAAGCCCCAGATAGCACTTTCATGTCATCAAAGTCAATTTGAGCAGTGAGAAAATACAAGCATTTTCTTAGAAAACACTTAGAATTTTTCAGTCCAATCTCATAGGGTTTGTACACAGGGTGTTGAGTGAACTTCGTATATGGAAATCTTTCCGCGTAAATTCCTGGGGAGCTGCATTTAATCATCTGTGCAAACTCACTATATTCAATAGTATGTGACAAGTTTGTTAATGACAAAAAGCATATTTTTAAAAGGCGTTGTTTTTCACAAGTTCTTTCTAATTTCACCTGGTGCAGGTTGGCTGGCCCAGCGGCGCCTCAGCATCCAGCTGAGCGAACTCCGTAAGGAGAAGCAGCAAATTGACGACCTGAAGGAGAACATGGAATCCCTGCAAGCAGAGATGGAAGTCCTGATAAAGAAACGGGACGTCTACGAAGGAAACGTGGGCATTACGACCATCAAACGGCGTCAACTTCAGGAAGAGAGCATCCTGAAAGAGGAAGAAGAATCGACAGAGAAGGTCCTGAAAGATCTTGAGGAACTCCGCCCGTTACTGAAACAGCGGCAAGACATCTTCTGCAGCCACTTGCAATACCGCGGGGACCGCTTGAAGATCGAGGAGGAACTCAAGCACACGGCTTACGCCAAGCCGTACGACAAAGAGCTAGGCTTGTACATGGGTATGAAGGACATTTTGCAGAACGACAAGAGCTGCGGTCCGAAGACCAACGGCTGCCTGATGTGGTTGTACTTTCAGTTCTGGGAGACCCAGGCCAAGCTTCTTCAAAACAAGCGAGTGGCTGCTAGGATGAAGTCATTCGATGAATCATTCACTGAGTGAACTGCAGCTCATTTGAACATTGTGTGATGAAGTTTTGCCTTCTACCGGCCTAATTTACTCGGTTTTATTCAAAGCAAAATCCTCCATACATATTCATCACGCATTGTTTTTCTAATGATTTTAAACCGAGCATAGCTAGATTAGTAATTATGCGGCGTGCTCTTTCTAGTACATTTTGAAAAATTCTGAAATAAAACAAGTCTCAATTATGTGTATTGGGGTTGTGAATGGTGGTGGTTTTTTTGTCTTTCAACTTTGTTTATATTATCATGTAATTTTAAGGTATGTTTCAGTGTTTTTAACACACAGGATGTAGAATTTATTTTTGTATTCATGATGGTTAATAAATAAATTGAATTGAAAATGAAATTGAATTGAATTGGCAACTGTAGCATTGTAAGAAGTTACATGTAGCTTTTTATTGGTAATAATTTTGTTTAAGTTTATTTCAGTTGACATAAGAGAAATTAAATGTTGATAATTTAGTAAAGAATTGTTAAATTGGGCTTTAATTTTGTAAGGCGACGAATTAAATTAACACATTAGGCCTGGACTTCATTGTATTACATTGTGTTACATTGTAATACATTGCATTACATTGTATTACATTGTATAACATTGTGTTACATTGCATTACATTGTGTTACATTATATTACATTGTATTACATTGAATTACATTGCATTACATTGTACTACATTGTATTACATTGTGTTACATGGTGTTACATTGCATTACATTGTAATTATTCACTGAAGAATCAACAAAACCATAGAGTTTTTGGGCAGTACAGTGAGTAATAGGCAGGGCAAGTATTTTTGTATGTAAATGTACGTAAAAATTAATGTGAACTACACAAAAATAGAAGTCAGTAATTTAGAAATATTTTATTTTGCTTTGTAGTTAAATTGAAATTTGAAATGAATTAAACTGCAATAAATAACTAGGTTTACTGAAATTCAGCCTGTTTAATTTCATTGTTTTTGAAAACAATTGTGTCGTGTGTGTGGGTGCCAAAGCTTATACACGTCTTCAGATCTTAGTATGGGTCATACGGGGCTTATTTCAAAAACGTCATTGCCAAAATATTTTTTAATTGATTAGGGGAAATGAAAAATCAACAACATAATAAATCAGCAGAGGGTTTGATGGTTCTAATTCAACGGTTTCTGTTGACTTTCAAAAGGTTTGTGTTCGCATATCACGACCAATTATTGGACGCAATTTCAATTCAATGCAGTACCGGTATTTTTCTTGAGTTATCGTCTCCTGGCACAAAGGGTGCTTTATTTTTGTTCAATTAAAAGTGAGTTGAATTTGGATTGAATTTTTCGCGATTAGTACTCTGTATTTATTTAAATCATATTAAATTTATTCTTCAAGGGTTTTCGTCTATTTTTAATAGTTTTGTGTCAGTCCCGAACAATTATTGGACGAAATTTCAATCAGTTCAGTGTAATGTGTTTTTTTTTTAGTTATCGTCTCCATAAAGAGTGCTTTATTTTTGTTCAATTCGCGCTTAGTACACTGTTTTTCTTTAAATCATATTAAATTTATTCTTGAAGGGTTCTCGCCGATTTTCAAACGTTTTGTGTCCTATATCCCAAACAATTGTTGGACGAAATTTCAATTCAGTGCAATGTGTTTTTCCTGAGTTATCGTCTCCACAAAGTGTGTTTTATTTTTCACGTAAAGCCGACTTCGTTTGGGCGGCTCCGCGTTGACAGAAAGTACCAGTATTTGTGTAGCGCGCCCTCTTTTGGAAGAAATCAATGTTGGTAAAATGTACGGAAGTGGACTTACAGTTAATAGTAAAAACACTGTAACTTTGTAAAAAAAAAAAAAATTGGCATTAATTTTGTTCTTCAACGGTTTTCTTCGACTTTCAAAAGGTTTGTGTTGTATATCACGACCAATTATTGGACGCAATTTCTATTCAATTGCCGCAGTGTGTTTTTCTTGACTAACTTGAGTTATCGTCTCCACAATGAGTGCTTTATTTTTGTTCATGCGAGTTGAATTTGCGATTAGTACAAAAATAGTAGTGCACTGTAGTACACAATTGATCATAGGGGCAATAACATGTTATTGTTATTTTTAATGTATTTTTCATTGGAAACAGTGTTGCTAGCTTTTTTCCTCTTCATTAGAAGGAATCTGGGACTGAGAATCTGTTGCAGGATATCTTTGAAAATCAACATTTTTTAATGTAGGGGGCAGGGGGTTCTGCCAAAAAGATTCATGTTTTGTACGCTTTTGAAAAATGTTTAATAATTATGGAGACCCGGCCCTAAGACAAGTGAAAATGTCAAACAAACCTTGAATTCATCCCAGACGAATTTTAATCCTTGTCATCCAGGTTTAGTGAGACAAAGACTTCCTCTGCTCTGTAACCATGGAGTCCAATGATCTGAACTTCCCACCGACTGAAGAACCATTTGTAAAGAAGCTGAGCCGCATCGCCACTCAGTTGATTGTACCAGTCTTGTTGCCAGCATCAAGTGTGTTTGTGGGTATGTTATTCTTCAATGTAACAGCCACTGTTGCTAATTTACATGGGGCTTGATGCCTCTTGAAACTTGGTAGTACTTACAAAGAGTGTGCCATTGGGTTTAAGACTTCACAATCACATGTACAGTGGTGGATTTTGGAGGATTCGGGAAGGATCGCAGCGAAAATGGAAAGATTTCCATATACGAAGTTCACTACTTTTCCTCTGTATTGACTAACAAGCCCCCAGATAGCACTTTCATGTCATCAAAGTCAATTTGAGCAGTGAGAAAATACAAGCATTTTCTTAGAAATTACTTAGAATTTTTCAGTCCAATCTCATAGGGTTTGTACACAGGGTGTTGAGTGAACTTCGTATATGGAAATCTTTCCGCGTAAATTCCTGGGGAGCTGCATTTAATCATCTGTGCAAACTCACTATATTCAATAGTATGTGACAAGTTTGTTAATGACAAAAAGCATATTTTTAAAAGGCGTTGTTTTTCACAAGTTCTTTCTAATTTCACCTTGTGCAGGTTGGCTGGCCCAGCGGCGCATCAGCGTCCAGCTGAGCGAACTCCGTAAGGAGAAGCAGCAAGTTGACGACCTGAAGGAGAACATGGAATCCCTGCAAGCAGAGATGGAAGTCCTGATGAAGAAACGGGACGTCTACGAAGGCAACTTGGGCATTACGACCATCAAACGGCGTCAACTTCTGGAAGAGGCCATCCTGAAAGAGGAAGAAGAATCGACAGAGAAGATCCTGAAAGATCTTGAGGAACTCCGCCCGTTACTGAAACAGCGGCAAGACATCTACTGCAGCAGCTTGCGATCCCGGAGGAACCGCTGGAAGATCGAAGAGAAACTCAAGCGCATGACTTACGCCAAGCCGTACGACAAAGAGCTGGGCTTAAACAAGGGTATGCAGGACATTTTTCAGAACGACAAGACCTGTGGTCCAGAGACCAACGGCTGCCTGATGTGGGTGTACCTTGATTTCTGGAAGACCCAGGCCCAGCTTCTTAAATACAAGGAAGTGGCTTCTAGAATGAAATCAATCGATGAAACATTCACCCATTGAGTAACTGCACCTCATTTGAACATTGTGTGATGGAGTTTCCATCGTGAATATGTGATATGTCGCCTTTTTACCTGCGTTTCCGGTTATCCCATCCAACCTAGAAAAACATGCAGAACCAGATTCTGTTTATATAAAAAATAAATAAAAAATTAATTCCCCCCGACATCAATGGTCAGGTCCCCAGGTACCAGATTCCAATCCCCCCCCCCTTTATTTTTAATGGCTGACCAAGTTAGAAACCTTGGCCACATTTTAGCACAGAGTCCCCCCCCCCCTGCAAAATCTTGCATATGCCACTGTTTGTATTCATCATGTTTAAAAGGATTTCAAACTTTAAAATTGTGAACTGTGCCGTAGTCTTTCTAGTGATTTTTGAAATAATAATTCTGAAATCAAATATGTGTAGGTCTAATTTTTTGTAGATCTGACCTTTTACACTCTATAAGAAATAGTTGGGGAAAAAAGTGGGCAAAAACATCACCAGAAAATGGGATTCTCAAAGAAATTGAACATATTTCATAAAAATAATCATATTTATTCAACATGCTAACAGTGAAATTCCAGTTACCACATCGATCTACATGCATTTCAAACTTTTTTCTTGTCTTTATCAATGTACAATTGCATGATGTAACTACATATACATGAACATAAATCTACCCTCGCTAGCAAGGAGTAAAGATTACAGTTAATTAACTGATAACTGTCAAAATTCTGCCAAGTAATGCATGAAGTACATATGCACAAAGATAATGTACAATAGTGAGCATTTTTTTAAACTGTTGAAAGAAGACTTTAACAAAGTTACTTGGAGCAAAAGAACTGAATGAATGAACATTTTCTCAATTAGAAATATTTACATTGCTATACATATGCAGTGGGCTGAATAGTTCAGTTTTGCCAGAAAGACACTGTCAAGACATAGTGTTCACACCGTTTAGTTTAGGAACTGCAGATCACATCCTATACAGGGTGTAAGCGTAACTGTCAATTACAGATGTGGTGCGTAGTTCTGATTAAAATGCTTCTACAGCATGGCATTTATGTCTAAAATAAACACAAAAGAAATTTAAAAAACAAAGGCTTTTCCGCAGTTTGCGGAAAAGCCAAAAACACAAATTTCGTTACCAACCAAACAGCTTCACAGCCAAGATGTTTGCAATGTGCATAAAATTCGGCCCGTCATTGCAACCAAAATCAATTTAAAAATTAAATAAAGACAGCCATCCAATAATGAAAACTGTTCGTTAGTCCAATGCTTAACCCTTTAAGTTAGTTTCCCCAAAGCTGCACAAACTAAACATCCTGAATAAAATACAATTTGCTAATAAACCGTTAACTTACTACGTTGAAGTCAGATGGGCAAGTTTCTGCCCCAAACTACACAACTTTTTCTCTCTCGGAATTAAGAACATCAGAAACAGAGTACGATCTGAAACCTGTATAAGGTTTTCTTGATTATGTGCACAGGTAGATAGCATGTAAAACTGCAATGAATTTGAACTTGCGAATACATCACTTGATATAACACCTCGTAAGCAACATTTTTAGATTCAGAAACTCCAGTCCTTGATATGGCATTAAAAATAAAATAAAAATGTTAAAATAAAGATTTCAAACCGATGAAGATTTGTTTCTCTTCGGTGGTTCTGTTCCTGAACTCCCCCCCCCCCAAAAAATAGAAAAATAATGGACACCGTGCTCAAAGAGTACAGTGCACTTTTAGACCAATTTCACAAACCCTTTGTGCTTATATTGCCTTCAAAACTGAGCAAATTCTGTGTAAATGTATAGCGAAATTTCAAGACTGCTTAATGCATTTGTCAAGTATTTACATGATTATGAGTTGTTTGTACATTGCTTAGTACGCCATGGCAAAAAAAATTTGGATATGTTATCCATTTGTTCACGTATAAATTGTCATGATATGAATATGCATGAGTTACATAAAGTTCAGTAACTTGACTTTTCTTTTATACTGCTAAAAAGTGAACTTAAAAGAATAATTGCTGTTTGTCTTCACTATAATATCTAAATGTATATGTTTTCCTCTTTTTTTGTTGATAATGCGCATGATTTAAAAAAAAAACACAAAAAGGATACCAAATCACTCAGTAAAAACAATGATACATTTTTAACACAATTGGTTGCTATGGTCTCAACCAAGCAGGTCTGAACTAATTTGTTGCTAAGGCATTGACCAATCAGCAGTCAGGGTTCAAAACGTGATTGGGGTCTCCCTATTAATTGACCAATCGGCAGCCAGGATGCAAAATTTGGTGGGGTCTGTTTTTTTAATGACCAATCAGCAATGAGGATACAAAGTTTGTTAGGGGTTTTCCTTTTGATTGACCAATCAGCATTGATCCTGCAAAGTTTATTTGGGGTGTGGCTTTTAACTGACCAATCGGCAGTGAGGATGCAAAGCTTGGCGTGGGTCTTGCTTTAATTGACCAATCGGCAATGATGATCCAAGGCTTTGTTGTGGTCTCAATTGTTTTTTAACCAATAAGCAGCGGGAATGCAAAGCTTAATGGGGGTCTGCCTTTTAACTGACCAATCAGCAGTGAGGATGCAGGCTTGTAAGGGGTTTTCCTTTTGATTGACCAATCAGCATTGATCATTCAAAGCTTGTGTGGGGTGTTGCTTTTAACTGACCAATCAGCAGCGAGGATTTACAGTGGTTTCTCCGAGGTCTTGGTGTAGCTTTTGACTCGGGAGAATATCAGCGGCTTGAATTTCTTCTCGACTTCAAAATCGGTCACGGTGGTCCTTCCAGTGGGCCTGTGGGTACAGACAGTAAACTAGGATTCGAACCAAGGACCCTGAAATGCTATTCAAGTGGTGCAAGCACTAAGCTATCAAGCCCTGGATAGAGTTCTCTCAAAATGACGATATACTGATCAGATATTTTGATCACCGAGGCGAAACACAAGTGCGTCCATAGCAGTCTATATTTTCTGAAATCAGTCAGTTGATTATTGGAAATCACCCACATTTCTTGATTTCTTCTAAATGACAGCAAGCCAGATGGAATAATTTCACGGAGTGTTTAGTACCAGTACGATCTTTAATCCAAGTAAGCTTATTGATTGTAATTCAGTAGGTTATTTTTGGGATAAATGCAAATGATCTTATACATGACTTTAACTGGTGTGCATGAGGCAAGTGTTCTTAAAATTTTTGCACAATTTCCATTTTTTTCATTGAGAGGTTAATCCTGAATCCTGCTGTAATATTCCCCCCTCTCCACCAAGCGACCTCCTTCTCTTAAAGCAAAAAATCCAGTGCAGACTTACCTATGGTGTGTATGACAGCTGTACGAACGCCAATCAAGCTTGAAGTTTGGCCGGTGGCCGCACGCGTGCAGGATGAACTCCTGCAACAAAAATATTTTGAAAGAGCAGTTCAAATGTTGGCATGCATCTTGCACACTAAGCCTAGTAGGGGTGTGCATCTGAACTGGCATTACATTGGCATGACAGGTAATCCTATAGGATAGCACTGCCCGGCTCAAAAATGAATGCGTGTCAGTGGGTCAGTCAGTGTGATAGGTACAAAGAGTGCATTAGGCTGGCCATCTATAGACCTTTATCATATGCCGCCATTTCGGTCATGTTCCCTGTATCCAATAACAACACTGAATGATAATATTTTTTGTGCGAAAAGGCACCAGACTATTTTTCCATCCAGCCTCGCTTTGGTTACGTTGATTTGAATGGGAAAAAAATCAAGATGGCCGCAACATGATAATGGTGTATTGCGTAGGCACTTTCAACTCACTACGTAAAAAATGTGTTCCGTGTCCATCTTGGCGTTCATGTTGCGCTTGTAGCGTATGTAGCGACGGAGATGGTTGTCGTACACTTTGTTGTTCTCTCTCCGCAGTACACCGGTGACCTGGGTACCAATGAAAAGTAGATCAAGTGACCTATGACATCACTTGTGAGAGTCACTGAAATGGATCTTACGACTGATGAGTTTCTTAAGATTGCATTGCCCTTAGTTATTCTATTTTTTATACACTGGGAGACCATTTTAATATAATTCGCAACATGACGGACGGATTTTTATGAAAAACAAGAATTTTACAACGAACCATGTCACCGTCAAGCCGGTATTTGCCAACCACCACGCTCTGCAGAGATGTAGTCTGGTTCCGCAACTTGCTCACTATCAGCTTGGGCTCCTCTGGGGCGCTGTACATCAACATGGTGCCTGAAATAGGACATCCATGAAGGGCTTAAAAACATAAAGTTAAGGCCCAAAAAAAAAGTCTTCGGTTTCTGGTATGGAGCTTGCCCAAAAAGTGGTGCGGCGACGCGGCTTTTTTTTCTTCTTTTACCTGATTTTTTTTGCCTCAAATGTCGGCTGATGACTGCAAATGGTGCCCGACTAAACTTAGTACAAATATATGGGAGTCCAGAGAGGCCACATAAAGCTTATTCTCGATCATAACCCCATCCAAAAACACATTAAAATTGTGCAGCAGCAGGATTCCAGTCAAACCAGTGCGTTTGGCGGTTTTGAGACATCATCTTTTATTGAAAAAAAAACCTTTTTTTATTTTGCCGACGCGCATGGCTACGGCAAAGCGCGCGCATACCAGAAACCGGAGACTTTTTTGGGGGGGCCTAAGATCTCATTGACCAAAAAAGATCATTCATTTACAATAATGGAAGTATATGTACAAAAGCAGTGCCAAAATAAAACAAAAACATTAACTTACAAGTCAAATACAAGGTGATTTTCATCCGCCCTTCAACTTTGCCCCTCCCCCAGTCTCTTTGCCCCTCCCAGACCTCACTTACAATTAGAAAATGGCCCAACTTACCTGTAGCACTCCACTATGTAAACCCCTCCCCTTTTCTCTCCCCCCCCCTTTTCCTGCTTACATCTTGGAAGAGCACGACTTACAGGAGCTACTCAATATGAAAACCCTCCCATTTCCCCTTTGCCCCTCCCACTTACATCAGAGAACAGCCTGAAACATCTATAGTGAAACCCCTCCCCTTTTTCTCTTTGCCCCTCCCCTAAACATCTGATGTCTGCAATTAAACCCTCCATTTTTTACTTCCTTTGCCCCTCCCACTTACATCAGGAAAGAGCCTGGCATGCCGTGAAATCCCTCCCATATTCCCTAGGGTCTGTACAGCTCATCAACATCAGCCTCCCCTTCCTGAAGTAGGCGTTCCTGTTTATGTAGAGGCCCTCCCCTTCCTAGCATGCCATCAAGCCCCTCCCCTTCCCCGTTTGCCCCGCCCACTTACCATCAGGGAAGAGCCTGACGTATCTGTAGTACTCCACCATGTGCCAGGGTCTGTACAGCCCGTCATCGTCAGCCTCCCCCTTCCTGAAGTAGGCGTTCCTGCTGATGTAGACGCCGTTGTAGTTTGGGTGTGGCCTCTCCAGGAACATCTGACGCCAGGTAGCATACTCCTTTGTCAGACAACAGCGGCCGAACACGCTGCGCAAACGACAAAACCAAATACGCCGACGCCATTAATGTAGTGAAGTCCATCTCAAGTCAATAATAACAAGTAGGTAAGGTTGGTAAGGCCAAAAAAAAGTCTCCGGTTTCTGGTATGGAGCTTGCCCAAAAAGTGGTGCAGCGACGCGGCTTTTTTTTTTTTACCTGACTTTTTTGCTTCAAATGTCGGCTGATGACTGCAAATGGTGCCCGACTAAACTTAGTGCAAATATATGGGAGTCCAGAGAGGCCACATAAAGCTTATTCTCGATCATAACCCAATCTAAAAACACGTTAAAATTGTGCAGCAGCAGGATTCCAGTCAAACCAGTGAGTTTGGCGGTTTTGAGACATCATCTTTCATTGAAAAAAAAACTTTTTCATTTTGCCGACGCGCATGGCTACGGCGACGCGCGCGCATACCAGAAACCGGAGACTTTTTTTTTTGGCCTAAGGTAAAGGTTACTCCAATTCTTTTCTGTTCGGCATGACTCAATATTAATGTAAAACAAGTGTATTTACCCAAGGCATGCACGGTGCCAGAGAGAAGGGTCCCTGGCGCAGACGTAGAACCCACGGCAGACGGAGGATAGAAGCTCCAAGGAGCGCAGGTCCAGGTCACTGGATACCACATAGCGGAAGATGTAGAGCAGTAACTCCACGGGCAAGGCCGAGATGTGGGTACTCTGCAATCAAGACAATCAAGACAACATCAGCAGTGAGAAATATCCATCAAAAGCTATGAGTAGTCATAGTTGAATATTCCTCACGGGCAAGGCTGAGATGTGAATACTCTGCAATCAAGACAATCAAGACAACACTAGCAGTGAGAAATATCATCTTAAGCTATGAGTAGTCATAGTTGAATATTCCTCACGGGCAAGGCCGAGATGTGAATACTCTGCAATCAAGACAATCAAGACAACACTAGCAGTGAGAAATATCATCTTAAGCTATGAGTAGTCATAGTTGAATATTCCTCACGGGCAAGGCTGAGATGTGAATACTCTGCAATCAAGACAATCAAGACAACACCAGCAGTGAGAAATATCCACCAAAAGCTGTGAATTTGAATTGTCCTTGGTAGAACGTAGAACTACAGTTTAACTGGTCTACTTAAATACTCTGGACCAGAATACTAAGGGCTGGTTTCATTGCTGGCATGGAATATAAGTCAACTCTGCTGTAACTATAAAGCTCTATGAAGCTCTTGGGGGCTCTTACCGTCTGCTGAAACCCTGGTTCGCAGTGTGACTTGATGTCATTGGTGGTGAGAGCACACAGCTCCGATTCCAGCTCCTCCATTCCATCAGGATCCGCATCACTCGACTGTCCGTCGTCGTCATAGCTACAAAACAGGGATGAAGAAGAGAACATTTTATGTTACAATTTCTACCCACGGGAAATTTTTCTTAACCATATTCAATAACGGTTTTCTTTTGAACGATATCAATTTAAACGGAATTATTTCACAGGGTATTTGGAACTACTCCTATCTTCACTTTGAGCAAGGATTTTCTCGTTAAAATCGCTACGTACGTTTTCGGGTAGTTGCAAATATTCCTACATACATTTAAATTCAGTCGAGCTAAGCTGTGATAAATTAGTGGTTTGCCAAAAAATACACTCCAGTTCACAAAAACTATGAACATTTTGATACCGAGAATCTGTGGTGCTACCCACCCTTCCTGTATGTCATTGTCTGCGTCGTCGTCCTTCATAGGCTGGCTGATGGTGTAGTCAGTGATCCTGGACTCTACATCCGGAACTAGCTGAATGGCATGACGGTACTTGCAGATCGCTGGAGACAGACGAGAACATTTCAACGTGAATAACCAATTACAAAAGGATTTGGAGAAATTTGGAGGATCAAGGATGCATGCAAACAAGTGGGAACAGGGGGTTAGTGATAATGGCTACTCCTCTACCCTCCTTGTGTTTGATCAATCACAAACAGTCAAAAATTCAATCCAATTCGCCTGCCGTGCCTTTAACACAGGCTAGTCACCAACAGTCAGATCATGTTTCTTGTAGGCACCATGACAGTCAAATTACATCAACAGACAGGTGACTGGTAGGCACAGCTGGCTTATCAATCTCCTACAGTCAAAGCATGGCTATATCAGGTCTTGTAACAATCACAGCAATTCAATCCTGCTTTAGGAAGGCAGGGAGCATTCAACTGTTCAAAACAGTCACTTGATTGATTTTGACTGCTGGCCTGGCCTTGTTGAAATTGCCAGCCAGAGAGGAAGGGTTAATGATTTCGCAAAGATCAAACACTCTTTACATGATCTGTACCTTCTGTGAGATTCCCGTGTCTCTCAGCATTGACACCTTGGATGAAAAGCTCCTTGGCCTGAAATCAAAGAAAGAGATTCAGAGAATGGACAACTTTTCTGCTTCAGAATACAGACGTAACTAGAGAGGTTTCCCCTGTACAAACAATGGGTGTATTATTGGTATGGAAAAAAATTACAGATCAAATAAATTCTTTATGATTTTTTTTTTATTTTAGCATGAAAAAGATTGGAATTTGGTTAAAAGGACAAAGGAAAACACAAAGCATTGTCCTCGAGAGTATAGTAAAACAAGAGTGTGTGCACGTGCGCATGACGTGGGGCCGCTGGAACACGCATTTGGCATTGGAAAGGCGCATGTTTTGCTGCCCACGTGCAAAATGGGCATAACCCTTTAGTCACTGTCGCGCCTGAAACCGCTTGGTACTCTTATGGTTTTAGTTTGATTCTTTAGTGAATAAACACAATGTAACACAATGTAACACAATGTAACACAATGTAACACAATGTAACACAATGTAGCACAATGTAATACAATGTAACACAATGTAATATAATGTAACGCAATGTAACACAATGTAACACAATGCAACACAATGTAACACTATGTAACACAATGTAACACTATGTAACACAATGTAACACAATGTAATACAATGTAACACAATGTAACACTATGTAACACAATGTAACACAATGTAATACAATGTAACACAATGTAGTAGAGGTGCTAATGTGTTAAGGATGGCAACATGATGAGTCCTTCACCTTCATCTCAATGGTTTCTTCTTTGTCAGGCTGCCTGTTGGCGTTGCTGTCTTCTTTGTACCCTGTGGCTTTCTCTTTTGCGGCAGGTGCTTGTTGCTGTTGTTGTTGGTGCTGCTGTAGCTGCTGCTGTTGTTGTCTGTTGGTTCCCACGCCGACGGCACCAGACTGCTTACCCTGTGCGTCACTGGATGCTGGTTTGGGGTCATCGACCACAAAAAATGGGCTGACAGCGGGCTGAGCTTCGGTCGATGACCGCTGGGGATGGACGTCTTTGTCCACTACAGCTGAAATTGAAAAAACGAAATTTGTTTAATTCAGATTTTGGGTTTTGTTATCGTGGACTCTCCTCCAACCCCTCACTCCCAAATGTCTGCGGAACTTTCTTAAAATGTGTTTTTGACCAAAATGCTTCAAAACTGGAATGATGCACAACTCAAGTAATAAAAATGTGACACAAGTGGAGTTATGACATTGCGCAAAGTTTCATGAAATTTGCTGCAAGCCTAACTGTGGGTATTGTCAGAGGATTTCAAAGCACACCATGGCCGTGCAAAAACTACAACAATATTGGGGGGGGGGAGGGGGGCTGGGCATCATTTGACGAGCGCTGTTAAAAAACAGGGCCGACTTATTGTCTGGCAGCCAATAATATTTTTTTTTAATTCAATTTTTTGCATGAAAAAATTCAACAACTAAGCGTCGGTGGATTTTTTTGTTGGATGTCTCATTCAAAAGTGAACTTTCTAGAAAAATAGCAAAAGCTTTTCATTTTTTCTCCTTTATTCTTATTTAACTCACCTACAGGTGGACGGCTTGGAGTAGGGGTAACAGCCGATGGGCGGGGCGATTCCCGCCCCTGATCGCCAGCTGGGGACTTATCCTTCTTGCCCGCTGAGCCCCCAGTGCCGGCCTGCAACTCTTCCCGCCAGCGTCTACGGAAGCTGCTCAACTGCTCCTCCAGGTTCTGCCCTTCATCCGGAGGATCCTCCTCTTGTTCCTCCACCTCTGCGTCGTCTTGAAAGCTCTCGCGTCGGATAAAGTGCTCTTGGTTAGCCTGATTTTTAGAGCAGTAGCGTGGGAAAAAATGTTTGAAGTGACAGCAACCTTATCATAAAACTTACATAATTACTTGCAATTCACTTAAATTGTATAAATTTTAAAATGAAGGAATTAGTTACTTTTAGGCCCCTGCTGTTTTGTTGTTGCTAATTTCATGGAACTTGGAAGTCAATGGTTGTGCATTCATGATCCAGTTGGTTCTCTGCCCTAAACTTCGCAACCCCCACTTAAAGTTAAATGACCACCCCCTCCCTTCAAAATTCATGAACCCCCCCCCCCCACCCCATGTCACCCCACCCACTCCCACTCCCCCCCCCCCAAAAAAAAAAACATCACACAAATAACCTAAATAAGCCTAAATACACGATTCAAAACAATGTCGGAAAATACGATGGGTCGAATATACAATAACATTTAACAGTGTGCAATTTTGCAGATGGGCAAGGCAATTAACTCTGGGGCGAAATGACAATCAAAACAAATTGATTTTTTTCAATGGCTATGCGTTCTCGTTATTATTTGAGTATTTTTCGTATTCTGAACGAACCATTGTAACGGTACGGTCTCCCTGACCACTTCAGGCCTCGCAATCTCGGTCAGAAAAGCGTGTAATGCAGTTAGAGAACTCCAAAAACCTTAAAAATGCAGCCATATTTCGCCTTCTGTCTGCCGAGGGTCGTCCAAAACAGTACATTTTTGCTCGTTGACCCGAAGTCTAGTATCCAAATTCGGTATGCGTTATGTGTAAAGGTACATTTACAGGATACCGGGAATCTGACTAAATACATTTTCTTATTAGTGTCATGCAAGAGGGCGCTATCCACAAAACTATAAAAAAAAAAAAAGGATGAAAATTCACGGGAGATGGTGGACGGATCCTGCAGTATATCTTGGCTTATCTCTTTCTAGGTGACTTTATATGAGTTTGAAGAAATGAAGAACTGAATATAACATAAGGCTCCCTAAGGATCAAATCTTGGTTTGGGGGAAAGGGCAGCTTCGAACGAGGCAGGGTCTGCGTCTGAGACTCGCCTCCTTTCGTAGTTCTAGAGGTAGCTGCACACGGTGCTCCCATGTTTAATTTTTCCTGAGATGCTTTCTTCTGGATGCCAGAGCATCTTCCCGGCAAGTTGAGGAATTTTATTCTTGGAAGGCAGGCTGGTGCGTTTGTAAAGCCAAATCACACGAGGCATTTTTATCGGCATATTGAAGGCAACCAAATTATTTCAAGGGAACGTGACTTCTTTTTGCCGACAGTACTGTTGTAAGAACCTTCTTGAAAATGAAAAAAAAAGTGTTTGATGATGACAAGGATAAGCCTCAACTGGCAGAGAAAACAACTAAAGGCAGAAAGAGGTTCATATAGGAAGGAAAAACAGAACTTACCAATTACTGAATGGATTGAAGAGGTCATCTGACGTTCCAATTAACTTTCTCTCGCCGCCAATAGAATAGCAGCAACGTATGATGCTGAGGAGGGGGGGGGGGGTGCCGCTGGGGAGGGGGGCACAGGGGGCACTCGGTGGGTTTTAATGAACAGCTAAAAATAATTCCTGCCGTACATCCTGCTCAGTAGCATATCCAGATTTTTCTGTGCCACGGTGGGCAAAATTGCTCAGTGTATCAATTTTGAACTTTAAACTGATTTCTTTTTTTCAATGACGCCGTCAAACTGTCGCTGGGGAGGAGGTATGGGTGGGATGGGTTGGGGGGGGGGGGAGTTGCCTCCGCTGGATACGCCACTGGGAGGGGGTGTGAGGGGGAAACTTTCCCTACAATTTTGAAACTCCAAGTCACTTAAAAACCTCAGTAAACTCTAGCTCAGCCTAATTAAGAGGACATTATATCCCGTGGGCATAACTCGATAACAAAACGTCGGTGGATTTTGATTGTTCGATGTCTCATTCAAAAGTAACTAACTTTCGTATTGTTGGGAAAATAGCAATTGAATTTTTTTTTTAAAATATGGCGAAATAACATTTACATGGGGAACATTAATAACTCTACATGCACTACTTTGAAAGAGTGCTTGTTTTTTGTCTTTGTTTGTCTCGTAAACCTTTGCGCTTTCAGACAAATTATGCAAATGCGCGCGTACTTCGACATTCGAACGCAGACGCGGCAGCACTCAATGCGCGTTTCCACCATATCAGAAGAATAAAATAGTTTCTTTCCTGAGATAAAAGCATATCCAGCTTCAAAATGACGACAAAAAGGTGAGTTCCAGAAAAATACAAGATAACTCTTTACACTTATTTCCCTTTCCTAACTTGAGACGAATTCTTGTTTCTCTATCATAGAATAGATCATGAAACTATTTTGCTGAATAATTTCTGATTAAACAGATTAGAGAAAAAGATGGTGGAGGATGTTGCCATGGCAGCAAGAGTTGGCGAGGAAAGGTTTTCCTCCTCTTCCCAATGCTCCTCTGCCTCCAACAAGTCCTTAAATACTGGCACCTCCCCATCTAAGCCAGCCTCCTCTACTCCAACTCCTCCTCAGAAGTCACCCCCTGATCCCAGGGCAAGAGCTTCTCTGAGACCCAAGAAGTCTCCATCTCAAGACAAGCCCAAGAAATCCGGCTTCTACATGTACAACGGGTATCCTTCCTATCTTGGGAGCCGTCTTTACCAGTGCAGGGACATCGAGCCAGAGCTGGATATCCTGGGACAGTGGGTGGAGCTTGGATCTGGCGAGACCGGAACCGTGCGTCTTGTGCGCATCCCGTCTGAGAGCAACAAACTCGTTGCTGTTAAGATCATCCAAGGACATGATCCAGAGGCGAGATTCCAGAAGGAAGTTGATGCCCTCCACATCGTGGACGGTCATCCGTCCTTCCCTCAGCTGATCGGCGTTCTTGAACAGTCTCCATTCCGCTGCATCCTGGAAGAGTTTGTCGGCAACGACTTCATCCCTGAGAGTATCACCTTGGAGGATGTTCTGAGAAATCAGAAAGTCGCTGCCTCTGATATTCCTCACAGTGACTGGTTTCAGATTGCTCAGGACATAGCTGATGGGATGAACTACTTCCATAAGTTGGAGTACCTTCACGTCAACCTCAAGCCTGAGAACATCCTCCTGTATACCACTGATGGCAACTGGAAAGGATGGAGAGCCAAGATCTGCGATCTTGGCGACTGCACCTTTGCAAGACTCCCTCCTACGATCCACTCCACCCCTGAGATCAGAGCCACTGCAGAATCAGCTGCTAAGCCCTTTGTAGCACCCGAGGTGCTTCGTGATGAGACCCCATTCACACTGGCTGCCGACGTCTACGCCTTTGGAAGAATCCTCCGTGCCGTCGGAAAGCGAGCCAAGATTGCCTCCCTTGATCACATCGGCAAGAAATGCTCCCGCAAGACTGCTCGCCAGCGTCCCAGCATCGACAAGGTCTGCAGTATGCTGAAACGCCCCTCCTCTCCGAAGAGCACTCAACATAGCATCCACACAGCATGAAGCAAAACTGCCAGTTAGCAGCGCCCTCCACTGATTCAGTTAGGAAAGTGGCAGGCAAAAGTCAGATCAGTGCACACTTAGTTTCCCAAGGACACTGAGCTGAACCACTAAACTTGCCAAATGTTAAATGCCTTTCTCCATGAATACATTTCAAATGTTGATGAGAGCAATTTGAAGTGTGAAGTGCCCTGCAGATTTCAAAACTGGAGTCAATGTACAATATTATATGCGAAAACTTGGGGATTTTTTTCTTCAAAATCAAACCGAAATTTATATCAACTTTTTTTTCTACTTGTCAATACCAAATGGAAAAAATTACCAACTTTGCTTCAATATTTTTAAATGCAAGAATAGATAATATTTTTATACTGCATTTTAATGGTATTTTATTGATCGTCAAAACATTCATGAATTTCAATATGAAATTTATAATTGACATTAATCATGGAACTTTTTTTGTTAATTTATGCTGGACAGTTTCTGCACCTTCACTATGGCTGCACATTATATTTTTGTATTGAAACGAAGATGAAATATTTGTAACGTGGTTTGATGCCAAAGAAATTTAAATTCCCAATAAATATCCCTTCAAATACACTTTCAAATTAGATATTCTGGTTACTCATAGATCACTGAAATAATTTTTTGTGCCAAAAAAATTCAGATGATCATGTAAAATTTGTTACACATCTAATAAACATTTGATATTTTGATATTTCTTGATATTTTTGATATTTTTTTGATATTTTGAAATAAAACAAAAACAATATGAAAACTCAAGAACAAAGTGTGTGGTTAATTTTCTTGCCTCATGTGTCTGAAACAGTTTTCTAAACATATATAAAGGCCTATATTAGCAAATTTTAAAGGATTCCAAAAGTTCACCATTATTACGGAAGAGGCAAAACAAGGTTAACAAAAAAAGATGATACATTTTTGAAGAACGACGATGTTCATGGACTGTCAATGGCGCAATAAAATTGTGCATCCCAGAATTCTTCAAGAAATTCGGTACCTTTGTTAAATATTATCGTTAACATCTTGGCAGCACAATACACAGAAACAGAGGACATTATTTGAGTGACCCCTATGTTACGCAATTGCTCATGGATGGAAGAAGGGGCGAAGTTTAAGAAGACAGCAGGGAACAAAGGGGTATAGCTGCGTATGTGGGAGGGAATATCAAGGGGATACAGAGGAAAACCTGTCATTGAAACTGAAAAGCCGCAAGAAACGACTTTGGCCAGATTAAAGAGTATGGATAACACATAGGCAAATGAAACGCACGAACGAACAAGTTCGGTAACGAGACTTAACAGGGGGGGGGGGGTATGAACAATGACAATTCAAAGAAATACTATGCCTTTTAATAACTTTTCCAGTTTGGGAAGCATCATTCGTTTTAGGGGTGTATTTGTGAGAAATTAAAAATCAAAGTCGCTCTATTTGGCAATGATGGAGTGGAGGGGTCATTATTTTTTTTTTCTCAATGGCGATGGGCTTCAGGACTACTTTTATTGGTGGTCATCTTTGGAGGGAAATATCAAACAAAAGCCATGGGTTAACCCACAAAAACAATGAACAAAAGGTGAAGAGGGCGAGTCAAACTTGAATTTGATGATGTTGAACACCTGTGAGAGTTGTATCACCCCCCCCCCCCTCCCTCCCATTTTTTTTTGAAGTGGGGCATTTATCATACTAAAGTTGTCTATGAGAATATATTTTCTAGTCTGCACCGGGTACTTGCTGAATCAGGTGTGCACAAAAGCGCGGTCCATCGTCACCAAAATCTTGCAAGAATGACGAATTATCCGAATTAAGGCGTTCAATCCAGCTTTTCCCTTCTTAACCTCGAAATGCAGTAACAGATGATGCCTACGCGATAGCGATAATACCGATTTGCGATCTTGTGATAGTACTCAGCCTAAACCATCCTAGCCGTCTTATCTCTACGGACGGCGGATCATAATGATGTAGATTTTGGCCGGACGAAAAAAAAAACGATTTCAAAACCTGTGGGGAAATCACGAAGTAGACGGGATTAATTTTGGAGATTTAGAAAAAAGTGGGTCAGCAGAACTCGATCCAATATTGATAGGGGAATTTGGGAATCGAATGGAATTATAATGTGAAACCGATGGGTATTCTGGTGTATACAAAAAAAAAATTCGAGACTCTTTTCTAAGAGATAAAGAAATATCATGAGATCCGAGATAGAGATTTGTTTTTAAAGTTGGTTAGCTTCTGAAAAGCCGGTTTTTTTGGTCAGGAATTATTAAGAGGGGGGTTACCCCCCCCCCCCCCCCAGGAAAAAAGAAAGTACAACCGGGCCGGTTCCGTACTTGAGCCTAAAATATAGCAATACAACGTATACACTTTTTTCCGACGACAAAACTCATTCAAGTGTTACAATAATTTTATTGTGTTGAGTGAACCACCATTGTTAAATTATTAAAATTTATGACAAAGTGACGAATAAATCATGACGAATATTTTGGCAAACAAAATGTTTCAAAATAATTTACGAAATCTGGTATCCCAAATATTAATACATTTTTAATGACTATGGAGAATAGAACCAGTCTAAGCTTACCGTACCCCTTTACTTCACTGACAAGGTCAAAAGAAAACAAAATCAAGTGAGAACCTCCTGGGAAACTAAATACACCGTTGTTCATGAAAAGAAGCTCAAATGTAATGAACTGGGGCAAGATTGGGAGAAATAAAAAAAATAATGGTGGGAGAATTCGGAGATTTCAAAATCCGGTTATCCAATTTTTTTTTCAAACTGGATAACGCTTATCCGATTTCACCGGAAGTTCCCCTTCAGCTTACAGTCATGCCGACAAAAAGTGTGGTGCTGCATCAAATGTCCTCCACAGAGGCTTGGTATTGTTTGCGAGATTTATTGACCACTTGTCTTTCCAAAAACACTCAAACTGGATAGGAAGTCTCTGATCAGTCGAATGAGGCTATTCAATAACCAAGAAGATCGCTAGCGAGTGACTGTGGTCACAATCAGAGACCACGCAGCAAATTGGGGGATGTTCCAGATATTTCCTTTAGCTTGTGTCACAAAAAATGGAAGGCTTCATTTTTTAAGGTTAGTTTTCAAAATGGGGTTGGAAAATCCAAACCGAAGAGCAGAATTCAAACTGAAATTTTTTTTAAAATCGCGATTGTAATCCCACCACTACATAAATTTGCCTTAAGGCACCCCTAGAATACCAATGTCATTGTTTTATAAAAACTGTATTGATAACAAACATCTTTATGGTAAAACTTCAGGATTTCCATATTTCAAAGGGGATTCTTTATGAAATCCTAAAATCTGGAAAAAAAATCCTGACAAAAAAAATCTAAAATCAGGACGAATCCTGACAATAAATCCGGAAAAGACCAAAAAACCTCACTGAATGAAGATTAGTACCCCAAAAATAATCAAACAAAATTTGAGAACCATGTCCACATGTAAGAATATTCTCCATACTTAATGTACTACATCCATTAAGGAATATTTGACAGATTGGCAGCTTATTATAATCACTGTGTTACATTAAAATATTGATCGTGTATAAAATCAGTTTCATACATTACATTGGTTAACGAAACGTCATTGTGGATAATTAAACAACAAACTGATTTCAACTACATTATCATTATTGCACACATGGTGTATGGATTGAACAATTTTATTGGGAATTTTAAAATAAGTTTGAGAAAAGAGTTTTGTGAGAAACAGTGGTTTGGGAATGAAATATCAATTTTTTTCAGTTTGCAGTATAATCATGGAAAACTCACAGCAAATGGGGAAAAAATACAACTTGAACCGAATTGGAAATACAAGTGGACAGAATGTTGCATCATGACACCACTTTTTTCATCATATATCATCTCAATGAAGGTCAGTCTTTGGAAGAAAATATTGAAAAGACATGAATCTGGGACCGAGAAACATTTCCATTTTTGTTAGGCAATACTTTGAAAATGTTCTTGACTCTCCATAGGCTTTGTACACAACCAAAGAAGTGGCGTCTGGATACTTAATTCTTTCCAAACAAGTGATTCTACCACAAGTCTGACAGAGTGAACCACCAAAATGTGTGAACTTTTCTTTGTGTATTATAACTTTTCAACAAAATTATGTCAACAACTGAAGAGGCTTACATTTGTGAATAATATACGGGTGAACCATGTGACCTCTGAATAGAAATATGAAGCATATTTTCTTCAGTATACCAATATCGTGTTCTTTGCCAAATATATAAATAAAATGCATTTGAGCTACTTGTACTACACTGAGCACTGATCTAGACTTGTGATTGACCTGTGATTGTGATGGACTTGTGATTGACTTGTGATGACTTGTGATTGACTTGTGATGCCTTGTGACGGACTTGTGATGCCTTGTGACGGACTTGTGATGCCTTGTGACTGACTTGTGATGCCTTGTGATTGACTTGTGATGCCTTGTGATTGACTTGTGATGCCTTGTGATTGACTTGTGATGCCTTGTGACTGACTTGTGATTGACTTGTGACTGACTTGTGATTGACTTGTGGTGATCACAAACACCTCATCCACAACACATGTGTTAAACATATAATTCCAAAACGTGAACTGGGATCATTTATCTGGTATGTTCATGTTCTCTTCTTTTTGTGGGTGTATTGTTGTTAATTTTCAAAGCCTGTTTTTTCGCTTTCACATAACACAAAGTTCATGCGATTAAATATCTTTTCTAGGTCCTTGATTTTCCATGTGACAGCATATTTCAGCCCATTTTCAATTTGTGCAGGCAGCTTTCAAATGTCAATTTTGCCACATGAGACCCGTTATTATAGGTGAGTCATCGATGTTCTCTGAATAATTAATTAATACGAGCAAATGTCAAAAGGATACACATACTTTCTCTTTTACGTTGTACATGTACATCTAATACATGTAGTTGTAAAAAAAAAAAAAAAAATAGCAATGATGACATTACATGTACACGTAATTGAAAATTTGCTTGGTTTTAGATTTAACGATAAACACTCAAATACAAATTTTCCATAAACCTTGAAAAGTGATTTCTAATTAATAAAGTGACCACTGGACTCTCAGACACTAGGATCTTTGTAATAAAAAAAGGCACAGTCAGAAATAAATAATGTGAAATTTTGTACAATTCAAAAACTCTGTAATCATTAATTTGTACAACTGTACTTATTCTAGTAGTAATCTATAAAAATTGCATTTTTTTTTATAAATATTCGTAAAGTGAGATGTCATTTTAATCAATGTGATGTGATTTCTAAAAACTCTAATACACATGTACAACTTCAATTTTTGTGAAACACATAATCATTATGTAACATATATTTGATGGAGTTTTGGCAGATTGTTTGAAGAATGCTACATACATGTAAATGTAACACAAATTGACACAAACTATGTGTACACTAACTTTTCTAAAACAATTTGGTATCATGGCAAAACTGTGGTAAGAAACTACATGTACCGGTACATGTCAGTGAAACCAAACATATTCAAAAGAAAGTACATTTTTCAGGATCAGCAACAAACAGCATAAATAAATGTACAATTGTTTGTCTATTATTTCAATAAAACAAATGAGTTTGAAATAAACTAAGATCAGCACATTAAAATGAGTATGCTATTCATTATAAGAGCTGTTACACATGTAAATTGTGACACTCCTTATCGTAAAATAAACTGAGTTTGGAGTTGTTACCAATGACATTGTAGATGCAGCTATTCGTGAATGCACGTCTACTATACAGTGCACATGTTTATAAATGCATCAATTAATCAAACTTGAAACATCAGACTAACTTTTCCCACAAGAATTTTCCACAAAAACCCAAGCTGAGGACTATGTATGTAAGTCGATTCCATAAAAAGTGCTTCAAAACTTCAATAAGTTACAATGAACTACCTCCATTCCCGATAACCCAACCAAGAGTAAATTTAAAATTTGACATCTTAAAGTAGTACTTTAGTATTTGCAATGTTGAAAATCGTCCTTTGCTACAACTGGATGACCCTAGAATAGGTCAGGGTCAAATTGGATGTGTCAGCATTGCTGTCATCCCCTTCTTTGATTTTCTGTCGCGAGTACTTGGCGCGCGCGTTCTTAAACCACACATACACGATCCTGCTGTCATACTTGGGTTGGTTCTTGCGGAATTCTGTACGGTTTAGCTCGGCAACGAACTGGTCAATGGTGTGGCGGTCCGGTTTGGGGTTGACGCAGAACCAGGCCTGCAGCTTGGGCACCTCCAAGCTCGGGTGGATGTTGAAGCGCTTCCGGGTCGGCCGGCTGGGCAGGCTTTTCGGCGTGCTGTTCTGCTGCGGAATGCTCAACCCCCGTGGGGTGTCTGTGAGAGAGGCGTGCTTGGGGTGTGCTTGCGTGGGTCCATTTGCCATGCTGTTGTGTGCCATGGTAGTTGTTGGTATTCGAATCGGGGTAATGCTGCTTGAAGGCGCCATGCTAACTGATGGGACAACCAGGGCGGTGGCAGAAGTGGGATGATTGGTGGCAGAAGTGGGATTGTTCACGGCAGAAGCGGAATTATTGGTGGCTGAAGTGGAATTGGCACTGGGTGTGGCTTGTTTCGAGTTGGATAGATTGAGTGCTAAGCTAGAGTCATGTTTGGAAGTTGCCGTCGTACTTGTAGACATCGGCTCTTCTGTTTTGATACTCTCAATGGGCAGGAGTTTGCGCTCAGGGGTTGTAACGTCTTGCACAGACGGTGACAGCATGATGCCAAACCCCGATGCTATCTTGCGAATGTCAGTCACTTGTGATGACGCAGTGGCACTACTTGAAGGTGTGGGGATGACTGCTTGCTCAGAACTGCTGCTGCTATTGAGAGCTTTAGACATTCTTAGTGAGGAAAGATCGGGAGTTGACAACAAGGTACTTGAGTGGTTGCTTGTGGTGATATGGCCATTGCTCAGGTTTGTCCTCAAACACGTCATACTTCTGGGTTGGGCCCTTGGGGTCAAATCTGCAGATTTCTGGGGGGCGCGATTCTGGTTGGCAAACCGTGACCTGCTATCGTTTTTTGCCTTTGAGTGGCCCAACTGGATGTAAGCCTGGCGCGGACCGTTGATAGATTCACGGCGCCGCTCTGCGACAGAGCCACTTGGTGCTTTGCCAGGGCGTGGCATGCGTTCGGACTCGGGTGAGTCCGGGCTCAACCCACGCAGGCCGCGATACTTCGCCCGTGCGTTCTTGAACCAGATCGCGATTGAAGAGTACTGGAGTGGGTGGGAGTTGCGCCGCCTCTCCGAGGAGTTGAGCTCGGCCAGGTAGATCTCCAACTCAGCCCGACTGGGCCGAGGGTTCATGCGGTACCAGCTCATCAGGCGGGGGAGCTCGTAGCGCTGGTCAAAGAGGGTCCGTGGCCGGCGCCAGTGGCGCGAGCTGGGCTTGACTGGTAAACTGCTGTCCAGTTTCTCTGCCGAGACCAGCGTGTTGTCCATCAGGCCGTTGTAGATGTTGTACCACTGATAGAAGGACTGCATTTTCTCCGGCTGGATGGGTTTGGTGTATTTGCCCTGGAGGATTGCGAGAACAGTGCCCTAAAAAACAAAGAAAGCTATGTATTAGGAATACTGGTTCCTTAAAAATTTAATAGACCTTATGCATAACAGCCATCTTAGAGAGCAACGCTTTCGACCACTGGAATAGGCATGGGTGGATTCCTTGTTAATTAGAATATCACAGAACATACTCTAAAATGGGCTGCTGGATTCATCTGCACGAAACACCACTTCTTTATCATTGTGTATCTCTTATGAGTAGTGTGTTGACTTGGAACTACACAAATATGTGGCCCCATTGCACAACTCCTCAACTTACTAAGTTCTGCCTTTTTGAATCTCACCTGAGAGAATGGGCATCCGTGGCTGACAAGCATCGTGGGTCCCCGCTTCTCAAGCAGTTGCAGCAGCTTGAGGCGTATCTCCTGGCATGCCCTGGACCCCAAGGACTCCTGGCCGGCCGAGCGCTTGAGGGGAAAGCCAAGGAGGGTGGGCTGCAGGCCCAGCTGGAGAGGGGAGGGGGAAGGGTTGAGGGCCGAGGAGGAAGGGGTGCCGCGTGGGTGTGAGGTGCGACTGCAAGACCAAGGGGGTGAAACATGTTAGGTAAAATTTGCTCGAGTACGATATCTGTGTTCACCAACCACCGATAAAATCCCACAGCAGAGAGCATATTCCTTAACTGCTGGTAATACCACTTAAAGATGCATCGTCCGTGCTTTTCAATGAATTTGATTTTTTCCCCCAATTTCGTTTGTATTTCTGTAACAAAAACAACAAAAATTATCTTGAGGGTGAAACTCAAAAATAACATGGGCAATACGTCCTTACTGCATGTGCTTTTCAAAAATTAACTTTGTTGTTGCTTCTGAAGTAAGCATTTCATATTTAAACCAACACAAATCTAAACATATCCAAAGACACTCACAATTGTATAACAAAAAAATACTCGAATTACAGCTCTATATTTGGCATGTGGCTTGTTTCTCACCTGCTGGCTATTTTGATCTTGAGGGTGATGTAGGAGAGGAGGTCACCTAGTATCTGCCCAACCGTGGCCTGTTGATCCTCCGTGATCATGCTGAAGGGTAGGGCCTTCCAATTCTGCACCTGAATGACACCTGCAAAGGTGACAAAGGACTTGCAATAGGTGATTCAGTTAAAAAAACATTCTCAAAGCAGAGACCCCAAATGATGGAACAACTTACCAGTTAGTCTATGTACATGTACAAGTATAACACTTAAGCAGATTCGCTGATTAATTATGCAAGACAATTGCATCTTGACCTCTAGATTTTGACCAATCAGCGGGCGCTTTCTATATTGGGTCTTTGGTCATTCACCGTTGTCGCGTCATAGACATGGATAAAAAAAATACCCAGACACAGCAACACAGGCTGTGGTCACACGCTCTGTGTTATCTTACGCGATACACACCTGGCTTTTGAAACTGCATTGACATTGACCAATCAAACGTTTAGTCCTGATTTGGGAATGAAATGACGTCATGATTTAGTAAAGTCGACTCCGATTGGCTGGGGCGCGGCTTGCATACATCTGCATGCTTTGACATATCAGACGTTATACAGGAGCTTTGGCTCCGTGGATAACGGGTGATACTCGGACTACTTACCAGTAGCATTGCGGATCTGGTCCTTTGGATAGTCCAGTTTGATCAGAGCCACTCGGACCAGTTCCTTCAGGAGTAAGGTACTTGGCACGATGGCATAACCCTCCACGACGCTGTCCTTTTCTTTGGTTGAGGGCAGGTCTACTGTCTCGATGGAACAATGAACTGGCAGCATTTTACCTGTTAAAAAATAAAATCAAGACATGAAAAGAACAATAAGCCAAACTGGGAGAATTATTTGAAGGAGTCTGTCTGAATCCTTGAAAATCCCAACCTCTCCAGGAAATGAAAGGCCATTTCTTTATACTTTAACCCCAACCTTCCCAAATCCTCCAAAATCTCAAAGTTGCAAAATGGAGGATTTTTCCGGAGTGAGGCTATATGGCAAATCTGTGTGGCTGATTTTGCAGGATGCACTGTGTCAAGGTCTTGGGCCGGACCTTGTGTTCTTTATGCTCAGCCGTGCATAAAATTAGGTCTAGATTATACTTGAAATCCTCTGCACTGCTCCAGGATGTCACTGGCTCTGCCTCAGCCTATTGACAGTCATAGCCAGAGGATTTTTAGTTTTGCAAGATTGAGGCAGTGGTCACCCATCCAAGGACCACCAAGGACCACATTCAAGAAATTACGGAGGATTTTGCACTATTGAGGCTGTACGACAGAGGATTTTGCAGGATTGAGGCTGTATAGTGTATGCAATTTTTACATGGAGGCAGTTGGAGGATTTTGCAGGATTGAGGTTGCATCCTAGCAAAATGGCCTAGGGAGTTAGGGATAACCTTTACCGTGATCACAAAATATATACATGTACAATGTCAATGTAGTATCCACCAGGCTACAACTTCTACACAGTATACATAATTTGTATACAATTGTATACATTTGTATACAATTCGTCACCGACACCACGAAGTAACACCCATCTACATACCAGTAAAAACTAGTAATCGGAGAAAACGGCAACTAAAGTTGAACGCCTTCTAAAACAACACTTTGCGTCAAAACGACAGAGTATTTTCAGTTGGGTTTCTCGTTGTGGACACTTGATGAATTGAATTTATTAAATCTGCTGTTTTTCACTCGTTTGTGTATTAAATAAACAAGAAATAAGAGAAAAAAGATGAGTGTTAGTTCGTGAAACCGAAAAAGCTGCGAAACTGTACATTTTCGTTTTCACGAAGTAACACTCTTCAATGTATTTAACACGAGGAAAGTGCAACTTCAGGTCAGCGCGCGCGCGCTCATACAACTTGTTACAAGAAGAGTGTTACTTCGTGAAAACGTTTTTGCTCACTTATGAGTAGAGTGCGCCCCATGCATTGCAATTGAAAATGGAACTTGAGTGTTACTTCGTGAAAACGAAAATTGTCACTTTTGCGCAAAAGTTGCCATGGATACTAAGCGTAATTATTAAAGTAAAGCTCTTGAAGCTTTGAAACTTCGTGCAATGGTAGGCCTTGATGAATAATGTTTAAAAATCCAAAAAACTGAAAATCGAAAAAAAATATGCTTTAACACGGTAGAGTGTTACTTCGTGGTGTCGGTGACGAATTGTATACATTTGTATACAATTCTTCTTCGTTGTATTCATCTTTATTTTTTGCTTTCAGAATCTGAAGGCAAATAATGAATGAAATACATGAAGGCAAGTCCTATGGGTTTTTCATTCTTTCTAACATACAATGCCCACATCCTGTTTCCACCCTCAATGCTTTTAACAGTCTCCCGCCGTTCATGTTAAATGAGAATGATGAATAGAGATATCCTTTCTTTGAGCACTTCCCCTCATATCCTGTTATTGGCCTGCCGTACCTTGAGTATGGCCACTAGGCCTTGTCAGTGACAGTATGTTACAGTAATGTTATCATCAAATACATTCGTTGCCAAACTTTTAATTTACGTTAAAGATGCACGTTCAGCAATATTTCTCCAGAATTTCAACACTGAAGGTCGGTTCATACTCAACGCCAAAGCGAACGCGAACACGAATTTGTGACGTACTGGGAAATTTTGCGCGCTGCGACTTTGTGAATTCATTTCAACCCTGGTGAATTTCGCAGCGACTGTCTCATGACGTCAACTATGAACTAGGCCCAATTTCATGGTGCTACTAAACACACGGTTTTCTGCTAACAGAGCCTCCATCTATTTCAGGGAAATCATAAGCAGTAAGCACAGCTGAACCACGCTTAACCCCATACAAACAAGGTTGCTTAAATCAGTGACGTAACAATAGAAATCTTTATGTGTATGCAGAATTAGACACATGGCAATCCATGCGCATACAGGTACTGGTATGTGCGTGTGTGAAGAACGTTTCGACAAGAAATTTGTGACTGGAACGAAGACGTCACATGGTTATTACAAGAAACAGCATTTCTAAGGTACATGTATACCATGTACATGTAGTTGTGCATTGTATCATTTTGTGCCCCAATGGGTGCTTTCTCTCGGAAGTGCCCCTTTAAAACCTACAAAGTGATACATGTAGGTTTTTTTTTTCATCAACAGTAATGCAATGCTTTGCTCCTGAGACTTACATGTAAATAACGCCCATCTCAATGTACCCAATGGATTCCCAATCAGACAACCGCAAGAATAGACGGGGAGCAGATCGTCCTTGCTGAATCTAATTCACCACTCGCTATCGCATTGAATAAACCGCAGTAGCCAATATGTTTTATTTATATTTTTTCTACTTCTATTCTCGACTCTTCTTATCGCAATTACGAGTTGGCGATCCCCCGATACATCTTTGTGAATTTGCTGTTCCAGAAACGCCAGTTTTTTTCTTCTTCATCCTCACCAGTTTTTTCTTCTCTTTCTTCGAAGAATGCCTGAGAGATTACCTAGCAATGATACAAGATTAGAGCGGAGGACGGCTGCTCTATTAACCTGAATTATTCCGTGGGGCCGGCCGAGCGATATCTGTGATGATGGTAATTTGTTGCAAAGGAGCTTTTTTTTGGCTCTCTTCTTTAGAAGCCCAAATGTGAGGATATTGAAATTGTGTGTCACTTTAGCACGCAGGTAATATTAAAATGGGTTAAGACCATTCATCGTCGATATGTCGTGCATGTCGCGAAATTAGCTTCTCAACAGTCCTCTTGAGTGTGCGTTCCAACACTTTTTCCGTATTCGGTAATATCTGCAAATTTTGAAAGCTCCAAAATATGTGGCATTGGTCAAGGCGTTCGTCGACAGTCTCCGTGATTGTATCTGGCCGCTCATGTAGATACTAGCCACGTGCTATGTACGAAGCGCGAACAGCGACCTTACGTGGCTAATATGTACATGTACGCCAGCTGATGAGGAACAAACGCTTTGGGACAACAATCGTGTTGGCCCATCTTTTTCTTTATTTTGTCGCTGGATTTATATCCAGTTATTTTATGGTCTTCGAACTCCAAACTTGTTGGAGAATACAGCCAGCTCTCTATCCATTAAAAAAATATAAGCGTCCACTACCAAGTACTGAATAATAATCTCAATCTCATCTGCATTTGCTTATAATGGCAATTTTGACGATACATACAAGTACCGGAACCATGTAGATATCATGCCTTGATAAGCAGTAATAGGTTTAAGTACTGCTGAGTGCCTGGCAATGAGTGACTAATTCAGTACCAATGAAGGCACGAAGTGTTCACTCGTGCATTTCCCAGTAAAACAAAGGCATTGCCCTCTATCAGAGGGCAATGGCTGCTGTGCACAAGGTCTATAGAATTGCAGTAACAGTTGTTGCGGTATTCAAGGACACCCTATCAAACACCTTCAACAGGTTTTGACAGTTATGTGGTTTTATCTATAGGGGTTCTGGCAGTTGGTGACATGCCTGTGCAGAAGCTATGGGAGAGGAAGTACATGTAGGTTAGTTTTTTGACAGTTTGTGACACTTCAATTATCAGTAGGACTCCGAGGCCTAATCTTTAAATAGCTCACATGCAAGTGTATGTACTGGGACACACACTCTTGTTTTACTATACTCCTGAGGACAATGCTTTGTGTTTCTCTTGAACATAGCACTCTCCCATACACTAAGGCACACAAACTTACTACAGAGGACCGTTTTGAACAAAAGACCCAAAACCCGAGGACTGAAAGGATCTGTTGTAATTGTTCTACCTTTGTGTGTCGGTCCTCGGGGGGTTATGTAGAACACGCACACGTTCACTGTAACTACCTTCATCTACTGTAATTATTCTGTCCTTTTTGTTTAATTCACTTGCATCTGTCATGTCTGTTTCTTTACTTCTTTTTTTCTCCATTGTTCAAATCTTAACTTCTTTTTTTTTACATTTTTTTCTTGATTAGCTTCGTATCATATGTTATACAATAGCTCCATGCACATTCATTGTGTGTAGGATCATAGAACGTCCAGTTTCATTCTCTTTCTGGGCAGGGTAGGGGTGGGTGGGGCTATGAAGGAGGAAGGGGGGGGTTAGGATTTAGCAAGGAGGATATTGTGGATTTCATCATCACAAGTTCCCATCTATTTGACTCTACTGCCACTGTCATCCCAGGAATGAGCCGTCGTTCCGCTCGGCTCCAAGCTGACAAGATAATCCCCCGTTGAATCCTTGTCACCAGGACTCAAGCCCCATACAGCAACACCTGGCTAATAACAGACTACACACATGGAAATGTAGCTCAGCAGTCATCCAAACGGTCGTGGATCAACACACTCAATTTTAGTTATTTATAGAAGCATGATGAACAAAGCTCCTTTTCCTGAATGTAATTTTCCCCATATTTACATACGGCCTATCGGTACATGCATGGGCGTCAATTGCTTCTCAAAAGTGGGGGGCGGGGGGACATCTTGATGAGCTCTAATGCAGGAGTGATGCGCGAAGCCCTAATGGCGTGGGGTTCGGGGCCACGAAAATGTTGGATTCTACATAAAATATGAGTACATGTACGTATGATCACCAGGTGAAGCACTAAAGGGAATCAAACGAGTTTCTGCTTGTACATGTTAAACATGAGTACCAGTATATTACATAAAATTGACAATTTTTCTATGGGGTCCGTGCACAAGTACCCCCCTCAGTGTTAAGAAAGGGAGAGTTGGGAGACCACTAGGAGAGACATTTGAATATATGTAGTACCGAAATGAATACATCACGCGCACAAAAAGTGTGTAAAGACATCAACGCGTTATTCAGACCGAGAAC